CAGAAGGAATTTGTGAAGCTCTTGTTGCCATTGTCGTTTTTCAAGAATGGCGGTGCAAATCGACTTTCCAAGGGGTTTCATGAAAGATTCCACTTCAGAGTTTCCTTGTGGCCATAAAGGCGTAGATGTTGTGTGACGTATACCTAATGCTTTCATGTACCGGTGAAATTCATTTCCGAAAAATGGTGGGCCGTTATCAGACTTCAATTTATCAGGCATACCATGACGTGCAAAAATAGCATCCAGCTTTGGAATGATTGCACTTGCTGATGTTGACGGAACAATATCGACCTCTGGAAATCGCGAATATGTATCAATAACGACAAACAGATACTGTCCTGTTGGCAATGGTCCATAAAAATCAACTTTAAGTTCTTGCCATGGTCTTTCGGGCAAAGGTGGTGACTTGAGTGGTTCTTGTGCATTTGGAGCACCTGTAGCTTGGCATGCTAAACAGTCGGCTATCTCTTCATTAACTAAGTTTTCGAGCTTAGGGAACCACACGTACCCGCGAAGAAGTGCTTTGGTTTTAGCTGTACCTTGATGTCCTTCATGGGCGATTTTGATGACGTGTCTTTGAAGTGACTCAGGTATAATGATTCTAGTTCCCCTCAGCAGAATGTTGTTGGTGAGATCAACGGATATCTCATGTTTTATTGCGCGAAATGGTTGTAAGATATCACCGTTCCAACAATTACTCCTGATAGCTGCTCGTAGACACCGCAATGTTGTATCTTTATCAGTGGCAGCCTTGATTTCACCCAAAGAAAGAGCAGGAAAAACAGCTTCTTGGGTGACGAAATTGACGTATTCATCAGCTATATTTTGCTTCTTGTATTCAGCTGAAGTTGGATGACGCGAGAGATAATCGGCAGGGTTTACAATCCCTGATTTATACACAACTTCAAAGTCGTATTGTTGTAAGCGCAGCATCCAGCGTTCGATACGCGCTGGTGGTTTGGAGCAAGGGTTTGCATAGATAATTTCCAACGGTTTATGGTCGGTAACTAACGTGAATTTGGAACCAAATAGATATAAATGATAGTGTTCAATCCCCCATACTATGGCGAGTGCCTCCTTTTCTGTTTGCGAGTAGCGTAGCTCGACGGGTGATAATGATCTACTTGCAAAAGCGACAATGTTTTCTTGCGCACTTCCAGGCTTTCGTTGGCACAAAATGGCTGATAGTCCGACTGGACTCGCGTCAACAATAACTGTAGTTTCCTTCTCGATGTCAAAGTAGCTGACGACAGGACTCGACGTGAGAACATCTTTTAACGTGTTGAAAGCCTCTTCACAACGTTCTGTCCAATTAAACTGAGCGTTTTTCTTTGTTAGATTGCGTAAAGGCTCTGTAATCGTTGCATAATCGGGTATAAATTGAGAGCAATAGTTTGACATACCCAATAGACTGCGTACCTCCGTTGAAGTAGTGGGCGTGGCTGCATTTACAAACGCTGCTATTTTCTTCGGGTCAGGGCGCTTTCCTTCTTTAGAAAAGATAAATCCAAAAAATTCAAGATTCTCTTTTAAAAATTTACACTTTTCGAAGTTCAAGGTAAGGTTAAGTTCTTTCAATCGTCTTAAACATGCATTTAGGTTTTCATTGTGTTCGTTCACATCTTTTCCAAAAATTATGATGTCATCGGCGATGTTTTTGACGCCATTAAGTCCTTGAAGGGCAAGCTGTAATGTGTGCTGAAAAATTTCACTCGCACTTGAAGTTCCAAAATTCAGTCTTTTGCATCGAAATAAACCAATATGAGTTGTAAAAGTAGTTATCTGACGACTACTTGGACTAAGTTCAAGCTAGTGGTAAGCTTGCGCTAAGTCAAGTTTTGAAAACACTGTAGCACCATTGAGATCGATAGAAATATCCATCACAGTTGGTATAGGATGACGAACTCTTTTAACTGCTGTGTTTGCAGCTCTCATATCAATGCATATTCTGATATCCCCATTTTTCTTTGGTACGCAAACAATAGGAGAAACCCAACACCAGTATAACACGTTCTAAATAGAGATTATCCATATTCTAAAGTTTAGAAAATAGACAATAGCTACACCAGATGATCATCTCTGCCATCTGGTGATTTAGAATTTTGACAAATAACCATGTTCTAATCATCTCACACAATCATAGTTCCACACATGTTAGCTGCGGCGCTGTTTTCCCTGGGGCTTTTGAGTTGTTAAGGCGCTTGGCAATTTTTTATAACAAATTACTGAAACATTTCTGACAGCAGAAATTTGGTTGAAAGTTTTGTCGATAGCCGTTCAAGTTCAATGCGAAAGGTAAGTTATTTTGCATTCGTTTTTATATAAATCTACGACTTAGTCTTCTGGAACGGTAGACTGCAGTATTTTTTTTTCTAGGCCTGATGATAATATGTTTTGAAACGAATTATTGTTTAGGTACAAATTAGGCCTTATCTAATCATTTTCGAAACTTTTTTGCGTTTGAATTGTCGTTATTTGGCTCCTTTCTAAACCTCCATACACTTTCTTATAGAAAATGAATTCAGGAACAAAAAGGAGCGAAAATTATTGTTTGATGACAGACAACCAAAAACAAATCTTGGTTCAATATTTCAATGATGGCATGAGATCGACTTTGGACACGGAAAAGATAAGCGAAGCATCCAAAGTAGCTGGTTTATCAGTCCAAAGAGTAAAGGTCATTTACGATTATGAGAATATAGGAATAGGATTCTCCAATTCAATACCGAAAGATATTGTCAATGAAAACGTTAACAACGAATAATATTGCTGATTAAAATGTAAAGAATGGGCGCCAATTTTAAATTGAGCTCAATTTTCCCTTAATGTTCTCGAACATGAAATTAGAGGCAAACATGCGGTCTTTGGCATTGAAAAGTAACGGCTGCTATTAATATTTTTCCCCATTTCCAATATGACGATATTTATAGCCTAATTATATATCTATTGTTGGAATTGGTTTGACAAAGGCTTGTAGTCAAATAGAAGAAACAACAGCCTACATCTCTAGTATTGGCTTCAAGAATCCTTCCCTCATTTCATTGTTGTTTGGCTCGGTGAAAATTAATTTTGGTTTTTGATGCAGCAAACTTGAGTTCCATTCCAACCAACAGCAGTAAATGCAATTGGGCAGTACCTTTGTGAAAAAATGTTCCCCAAATCAGCCTTCTGAATGTATTTATATATATATATAAATGTATTAATTGACTTTTATGTTTATATCACACTGATTGAGGAGGAATCCTGTTTTTTATATAATGCATATATTATTTAGTTTGGTTTGGATATCGTAACTTGGATATCATAAATTGGATATCTTTCTATTGTCCCAGGCCAAAATCCCATGGACACTAGAGCCTCTGCATCTGACTGACATGAGCAAAACTGCACTTTTTTAATATGCTGTCGCCCTGAAAACAAAATAATAATGTTACATTTAAAACTTTTAAAAATAATTGTGCATAAGTAATGTATTTCATATAATTTTGCACTCACATAAGCATACATTTTTAATTGATTAATCATATGAAAAAGACTACTATTTTATGACAGTTGTTTCATTTAAACTCACTGATACATGGCTCAAAATACTATCTTTAGCATAAATAGCATATTTCATTTGCTCAACAGCTTAACCACATTTAACTACAATTTATAAGTAATTTAAACAATTCTTGCAAAATTTATTGATGTTTGTTGTTTCCATGCTTCTTGGCATGATGGAGAAGTCATGGCACTATTTTAAGAGTCTCTGTAACACTTAGAAAATTGTTGTACTTTATTATAATATAACAAGTGTCTATAAAACCTATTAGTACCTTGCAAGTCTAAGAATATAATTTCTCTGATGTCATAAATGGTGCCACATGAACCATGACCTGGTGGTGTTAAAATTTTTGTGTTGGGAAACAGGGGGATGAATGCACCATCCTATAAGTATGAAAATAAACTACAATCAGTATAATGTGCATACAAAACGAGTAATCTTAAAACTAAAAACAATGTGATACAAAATCTTAAACAACTTTGTGTGAAACAACGAATATACAGAAGATTTGTGCTGCTTGAATAAATGATGATTTGAAGTGTGATTCAATCATGCATATTAAATAAATATTTGCTTTAAAGTACAGATGAAATTGTTGTCTTGCCTAATCATATAGGTAAATACCAAAGGATGCAAAAATATGCGAACAAGAAATGCAAAGCTCACCTTCCATATCTCCAATACATGAAAAAGGTTGCGGTCGCTATGAATCGATGTGGCACAGCTTAGGCAAAAAACCTGCTTCCAGCCACAATCTTTGCAGCGGCATACAGCCATGTTTGGCAGTCGCCTTCCAAAATCTTCACATGCAGTGCAAATTGTGCTGTTAGGCAAAAACTGCTGTGACACGAAAGCTTCTTGTAATTTTTGGCGAGAATTTTCCCATGCAGTTTCTTCCCTTCGTTTTCTGGTGCTATAAGAAGTGGCCTGTGGATTTTCTTGGGCACATCTGTTAGCAATGATATCTGTTTCATTCTCATATCCATGCGGTTCACAAGGAGGAAGGCTTTCTGATGGTGGTGGTTGCTGGTCAAGACGTAAATTAGGCCACTCAGCTTCCCTTTTCTTAGCACTAGTCAGAGCAGGACGATTGCATGTAAGTGGAATCTTTCTCACTTTTGAAGCTTCATTGCACTTTACCACCTTCACTGAAATTGTTGGAATACGTGCTCGGCAATAATTTCTCTTTTTTCGAACCGGCGCCATTAACCCAAGAGCGATGTTTGTGTTGTGGTTGTGCTACAGTGTTCGCTACAAACAAATTGCCAAGCGCCTTGACAACTCAAAAGCCCCAGGGAAAACAGCGCCGCAGCTAACATGTGTGGATCTATGATTGTGTGAGATGATTAGAACATGGTTATTTGTCCAAATTCTAAATCACCAGATGGCAGAGATGATCATCTGGTGTAGCTATTGTCTATCTTCTAAACTTTAGAATATGGATAATCTCTATTTAGAACGTGTTATACCGGTGAACCCAATCAGTTTGTTCATTCTCCGGAACGCGCTCAATTATGTCCTGATCTAATAGTTTGGAAATCTCGCTCTCGACTTTCTTTCGAAGATGAAAGGGAATTCTCCTGCACTTTTGTGCGATTGGTTTGACTTTTGAATCGATTACTAAGTCAATTTGTTTTCCTTTCATTTTACCAAGGCCTTTGAAAACATCTGGATATTGATTAACGATATCATTCAGATCTTTATTTTGTATGTTTCCAGTTGGTGGGTGAACTTGGTTTAAATGCAAGCTAATTAAGCCAAGGTCTTGGGCCGTTGATGCGTTAAGTAAACAGCCTCCATTGTCTTCCGTGACATAGAACTTTGCGACGGCATAACGTTTCTTTGTTTCCACCAATGATTCAAATTTGCCCTTCATTTTCACGGGCGTTTGCGAGTTGTAGGCATAGGCTTTTATGTTTGTGGGTTGTAATGAAATACCCTTGAGTTGACTAAAAGTTGCATTATCAATGATATTGATAGACGCACTAGTGTCCACTAGGAAGGGGATGCGTTGTCCTTTGATTTTAAGCCGGGTTTCTAAGGGTTTTTGACTTGAACCCCCTATTGCATAACAATAGTTTGATGAGCTGGATTCGCTGTCGGAATCTGTTGACTTGCACACCGGGTGAATTTTCGATTTAGACGTGGTAAATGAAGACTGGCGGGTGTCTTGTTTGCTCAGACAGAACTTAGCGAAGTGATTTTGCTTTCCGCAGCGATGACAGTTTTGACCTTTTGCAGGGCATGGCTTCGATTTGTGTGGATAATTGCCACCACAATTTCTACATTTTCGTGCTGAAGTTTGTTGTTTACTGAAACTCTTTTTCTGTTTGATAACTTGTAAATTGTCCCTTGACTGTTTACCCTCGATATCTGCCGTTTGAAAAGTACTAATTCCCGCTCTGCGGCCGTCCAGTAACATATCTTTAAGGGTGTATTTAGGATCTTTGAGAGCTTGTTTACGCAAACTTGTGGATTTGCCTCCGATTACGATTTGGAGCTGTATTTCAAAATCAGAAAACTCACAAGTTTGTGCCAAATGACGAAGTCGAACGTGAAATTGATCCAACGTCTCATTTGGTTGTTGTACGGCCTGCCTAAATTTGTAGACTTCATAAAGCCTGTTCGTTTGGGGCTCGAAGTAGGCAGTGAGTTTGGTTACGGCAGTTTGGTATGCATCAGCAGCGTCTGTATCGGATAATTGGCGAAATATTTCCCTCACTCTTGAGCCAGCTTGATAGAGGAGTAAAGCTCGTTTACGTTTATTGTCAGTGATATCATTTGCTACTAGAAATGTTTCAAAATCTTGCAGCCACACTTTCCATCTCGGGCCTACCGAAGCACCAATCTCTGCATCTGGGTCGAAGGGCGGCATGCTAGGAACGATGCTAACTGAAGCCATGATTTACCGATCACGGTAAATGTTACATTACTTTTCCTCGTCGCCAATGTTATATTTATGTTTACTGTGGCCTAATAAGCAGATTGTAGATGATTCAAACTACGGCGTGCTTCGAACGTAACCTTTTATAACTCCAAAACATAACAATATATCTAGGGTCTGGGCCCTAGCGTCCTTTCGCTGAACAAAACATTACAGTATGTTCACAAGGACCCCAGAACATAATACAGATCCAGGGGTCTAGACTATTTTGGGAGCTGAACATGATAAAAACAAAGGGCAGGGCGACTTTTGTATGGTCTTAAGTACATTTTTGAAACATAAGGAGGGCCCGTAGCCATTCCGTGGTGCAAGTATGTTTAACATTTCAGACTGAAGCATTGTGCAGTCTTCTGTTCGATGTTTAAACTTTAGGATTTTATCTAAATATATTCATGGTATGTAATGTTATGGCTTGGGGTTTTATAGAGAAAGGAGTGCATCATCGAAAACATATAGGGTACTGGATGCTGGATCCTGCGTCCTTGGTCCTTGGTCCTGCGCTCCGGGTCCTGCATTCTGAGTCCTGGGTACTGGGTCCTGGGCCCTGGGCCCTGGGTCCTAGGTCATGCGTCCTTGGTCCTGGGTTCTGGGTCCTGGGTCCTACCTTAAGCTACTGGGTCCTTGTTTTTCGGTATGCCTGAAATATTGAACCCAGTCCAGGAATGTTTACAAAAGCTGGATGTTCACACTGTGTATACCTGACAAGCAGCTGTGTTATCTTGTTGCCATGAAAACAGTACAGTTTACAAAGATCTACTGAAGGAACTACTAATCAAATCTGCAGTCTATAAAATATATTTATTTACAAAGTTACAATGAAGAACGTCTTTCAGTTTCAAACTTCTATATTTTTTCGAAGCAAACAGAACTGTATAGAATATTACTGATAGCAAACCGTTTTACTTACCGGCTATTCTAAACGGCACTTGCGATATCATATTATATACTGTTTCAAACAAGTAGGCTTTGTATAAGGAACCTTTTTATGACGCGGAAAATGTTAAAAAGCCGTTAGTGTTAAGGACAAAATCACTTTTGAATACTTTCATCATTGCTAGCATTCAATAATAAGAAAGCCAGTTCCATTCTTTTGAAGTTAGAAATCACATAACAAAGACAGGGAAATTTTGTGAGCAACCTAGCAAACAAGGAAACCGGGATTTTTTTTTCATATGTGATCTTGGTGGGTCTATGACTCAAAATCTGACAGGGGCCCTAAAATTAGGGGGCTGGTGGTCACCGGATAAATCATTTTGTTGCTCCCGGTCATCCAAAATTTTGTTCATCTAATCTTAATCTTTAGAACATTCAAAAATGAACAAAAAATTATAAAAAGCCTATGATGTTAAATAAACCTGTCAAAAGATATGAGCTCTTAAAATATTGCGAAAAAAAGGCGTCATCAAGAGAGTAAAAACGAGTAGTCTTTTATCACTTATTTCTCATTGTTTTGACAAGTGCTAAATCTCAGAATGGCTCAGGATTACTTTCTGGAGACAATCGAACTATTTTCTATAAGAAAAATTTGAGCCAAAGACCCACCAGGATCATATATTAAAAGAAAAAATACTGGTTACCCTGTTTGCTAGATTGCTCACAAAAATTCCCTTTCTATTATGTCCGGGGTTTCGTTATACCGCCAGAATTTTGAAGGAGTTTGTTAAACAGAATCTAGGGGACCAGACATTCTGTTCCTTATACCGGGAAGTTCGATATATCCGGGGCTCGTTATATTTGTATTTTGGAAAGTTGATGATCTGACAAATCTTTGAAATAATCATTAACATATAAATGAAAAAGCGATATCCAATGTGGTTCCATTACTTTTCTCACAAACAGCACTGTAACTGGATGACATTATTCTGTAAAACTCTATATTTCCATAAAACTTGATCAGAGAATGCAAAAAACTGCTTGCAAACATTACTACGGCACTCCACTCAAAGAAGGCAATCATGACACAAGACGAGGTATGAATTGTTGAATGGACAGTAGTAAACACGATGTAGTTCCGTTACCAAACAAAGTCTTTTCAATGCAGCTAGTTGCTCATTAAGAAAATTGATATGATTCTCTAGCAAACCTTTGAAATAGTCGTCAATATAATAATGAGCCTAGCGGATGCTAGACATTCAGGGAGGGTTTGTCTAGTCTGGATTTTGCCTGACTACTCTCGTTTATTGAGATAGAACCGCCGAAAGGAGCCTGAAATGTGATAAGCTTGCCCTGATTAGCGAAGCTGCAATACTCCCAGCTCCAGTGTCCATGCCTATGAATTTAGATATTGTATTTTACCCAGGAGCTTCGGTACTCTCACAGAAAAGCGATTTTACAACTCTGCGGCATTTTGTATTTCCACGTATAAAAATCATTGAGTTAAGAAAACTGACACTATTCGCAATTACAAAAGTCCATATGTAAATTGTATCCAGCAGAACTCCGGCAGCAGAAATTTTTTCGAATTCATGATACGCCCAGAAAGCTGAGGAAATGTTGGAGGGGGTGTAACAAACAAGAAATAATCCCAAAACCAAACGGATTGTTTTCACCGCAGCTAGACGTTCTGTTCGAAAATTGGGCAATTCTTTTCGATTGCCAGGTTGAAATCGAAAGACTGCATTTTTGTGGTGTCTCTCAAGAGTTTTTAATGTTCTTGTATTCAATATGATAAAGACAGTCATAAGCATAAAGTTAAAAATCACGATGGTCAACTGACGGTAGAAGGACTCCCATATCACGGAAATTGTGGCAGCAATAAGTCCACTAATAAAACAAGATACAACCAATAGGATCATGCGATTAGTGTTCATCATCGCCTGATATCGAATCGGCTTTGTAATGTGAAGGTACCGATCAACCGAGTTGAGAAGTATCATTAAGACCGAAATATATACCAAAAAAATCACCGTAAATTCAACAGATTTGAGCTCAAGGCAGTTTCTTTGTCTACTTGATATCCAGAATGCTCCCAGTACAGGCTGTGTAAGAATTCCCAAACACAAGTCTGACACTGTCATCATGAGAATAAATTTATTTGAAAATGTCCGTAGCTGCTTCGATTTGTACAATGCGAAAATCAAAAGGGAGTTTGACAGGATATTGAAAAAGGCAAATATAATCATAATGGCTCCAGCAATTGTAGTGTACGGGTTCCCTGGATTGTTTGGAACCAGCGACAGACAACGACTTACCACTCCATATTCTCGTAGCATCTTTGTCTACGATATTTTCCGTCTTTTCAATAAGAATATACTTTTTTGTCTTTTAGCTTCTCTTGTCCTTTTAGTTTCAATCCTCTGATATTACGATGCAAAAATGAAAATGCTGCGAGCCATATACCATTTCAATTAGATTTCCTTTACAGTTCCATTTCAATTTAAATCAAATAAAGCTTCAATTGACTTCTTTAATGACTTGTTTAAAGTCTTAATTGTTTATAAACATTGAAATCTGAAGATAACTAAGAAACATGCAAAATGGAATAAAAATCAGTTTATTAATTTTGCAACGTATTAGAAAGCTTGAGCGTTATTGCTTTCTATTGACTTGTAGTTCAAGAAATCAAGCGCGATATGATTGATCGCTAAAGTCGGCTGTCATTTCTCACCGGATATTGACTGCCAATTTTGTAAATTCAAATAATGGCATACCGGAAAACAAGGACCAGGTACCTTAAGGCTGGACCCTGGACCGAGGACTCAGGAGCCAGCAACCAGGACCAAGGTCACAAGATCCACGACCCAAGACCCACGACCTAGGACCCACGACCCACGACCCACGAACCACGATCTAGAACTGTCTCTTTTTTTTGATGATGCACCCCTTTCTTTTCAAGAACTTGAAGCCATAACATTACATGCCATGAACAATTATACATGAAATCAAAAGGTTTTAAACATCGAACAGAAGACTACACAATGTTTCAGTCTGAAATGATAAATATACTTGCACCCAATCCTTGAATGTTTATAAAAGCTGAACGTTCACACTGTGTATGCCTGACAAGCAGCTGTGATGTCATGTTGCCATGAAAACAGTGCAGTTTACAAAGATCTACTAAAGGAACTACCAATCAAATCTGCAGTCTATAAAAGATATTTATTTACAAAGTTACAATGAAGAACGTCTTTCAGTTTCAAACTTCTATATTTTTTCAAAGCAAACAGAACTGTATAGAATATTACTGATAGCAAACCGTTTTACTTACCGGCTATTCTAAACGGCACTTGCGATATCATATTATATACTGTTTCAAACAAGTAGGCTTTGTATAAGGAACCTTTTTATGACGCGGAAAATGTTAAAAAGCCGTTAGTGTTAAGGACAAAATCACTTTTGAATACTTTCATCATTGCTAGCATTCAAGAATTAGAAAGCCAGTTCCATTCTTTTGAAGTTAGAAATCACATAACAAAGAAAGGGAAATTTTGTGAGCAACCTAGCAAGCAGGGAAACCGCGATTTTTTATTTTCATATGTGATCTTGGTGGGTCTATGACTCAAAATCTGACAGGGGCCCTAAAATTAGTGAGCTGGTGGTCACGTGATCAATCATTTTGTTGCTCCCGGTCATCGAAAAGTTTTTAATCTTAATCTTTAGAACATTCAAAAATGAACAAAAAATTATAAAAAAACCTAATATGTTAAATAAACCTGTAAAAAGATATGACCTCTTGAAATATTGCAAAAATGACGTCGTCAAACGAGTAGAAACTCTTTACCATGTCTTTTCTCACTTATTTCTCATTGTTTTGAAGAGTGCTAAATCTCAGAATGGCTCAGGATTACTTTCTGGAGACAATCGAATTATTTTCGTAAAAATTCATATTTGTTGCTTTTTTTCACGCCATATTCATTTCAATCAAAGAAAATGTTTTTTGCTTGATGCAAATTATGGTCAAACTCATGTTTTGTTTCTTTTGGAAAACTCGGTAATGATGAGTAAAGCTGGGATGTTGAGTAGACGCATTCACTAGGTTATAGAAACAGAACTGAAGCAGTTGACAACTGAGTAGAGACCACTCACATTCATACAAAGTTAAGATAAACTTAAGCGAAAACAATAAAAATATCTACCAAAAGAGTGCACAAAGAGGAAGCCAAAAGTGCACCGTAATCTTCAATGGCTCCACGTCTAGAGCTAAATGTTTATAAAACCAACCCATTTACTAGAAATAATCGAGAGATTTCAGAGGGCAAAGATGTCAATGTTGAAGTTGTAGAAGATAAGCTAGGCGCTGGAGAAGTTCGAAATATTTAAAACTTATGTTGAAGAAAGGCTAAAAAATGTAAAATCAATTTTATACATTCAATCAAATTGTAAACTCAACAACGGTAAGAAGAAGCAGAAAAACGTTCCAAAGGCAATCTCAATCTTAAAAGAAGATTGACAGGCATTTATTATACTTCTTTTAAGAGATATTAATCTCTGTGAATCTTTCTTTCTCCAATCCCCAATAACAGCATATCTTCCTAGCAGGGTCGATGCAAGGCAGTCCTTGTTTGGGGTGTCGGCTACGAATTTGCCTGATTAAAGATAATTGCCTGAAATTCTTTAGTTGTTGACACAAACCTCTGCAATACATTTTGCCAATCTAACTCTGTGGTATATAATTGGCAAGTTCCATTTATATGATAACAACGGACTTTCCTAAAAGCTTGTCAAATCTGTATATCGGGACGGGCAAAGGGTATAGTTACAACCCGAGGCGGCACCATGGGTGCATCCTAAGGAGTAGATAATTTTCGAATTTTCATGTTTCCAGTTAGTTCCTTGGAAAATGCACTCTTTCAAGCAAATTTTGCTAAAGCAATCTTCCTAATCCTATTGAAAATTCTTTTAATTTTGCAAACGGATTGAGCAGCAGATAAAACAACTGGTGCAATTTCACCGTGGTCTTGAATATCCCCGTGTTGTTTCGTTACTTAAAGGCCAGGTAGCAAGAAGCCAATTTAGATCCAACTAGTTGCCAATTTAGATCTCGCTTTCCCTCCTGGCATTCCTTTCGAATGATAAAAAAAATCTGTAGCTCATTGTGAATTGCAGTTGGCGCTTCTACTGGGAAATGGACACAAGGCACAATTGTAACTCAGAAGGGCCTGGTTTTTTGGATTTAGTGCCCACAAGAAATTGTAAAATCATAGCGCCGAGTTTGTTTAACTTCATTCATATACAGGAAATATCATATTTAACCAACGGAGCAACTACCTTGGCTTGATCCTTTATTGATTTCAAGACGTGAGGGTCTCTCATCTACTTAAACCGTTTCTTCCAAGGAACATATTTCACATTTCCTATTGAGATACGATTGGGGGGGGGGATGTTACACACTCCCACACCCCCGGTCGCGACGCTCCAACTTCCTATCCTAGAAACTCCCGACTGAAGAGTGTATTTAAAATTCATATGATTGATACAACTTTTGCAATGTCTTCACAACCAACTTTGGTGCCCGCTTGGCTTATGATGGAATGGCGATGCTCTCTCTGAAATACATGCCATAAACGCTCAACTCAAATCTCTAACAGGAAGAGGCTACTAAAGGAAGTTACACGATTTACTAGCATCAAAGATGCCCAGCGGTATGCGAAGTTTTTGTAATGCTAGAAAAAAGGACAAAACTGTCAAGGTAATACCGAAAAATTCCAATTTTCAGGTAGGGAAAACAAAAAAGCGAACAGCTTTTTTGTAATAAGGCTTCACCAAGCAAAGTGACACCCACGCTATGTCGAGCCTATAAATACCCCTAGTTCGAGCAAGGTAATATAAATGCTATTTACCTTACCCTAGTATTTCTAAACCATTATATTCTAGTATAACTGGTATTAGTAAAACATGAAGAAACACGTCACAAGAGACCATGGCGAATAGCAAGTAAATATCAACTTAGGACAAATATCAACGTGTTCTTGAGGCTTGGGTAAACAGATAGGAAAAATGTACTTGCCATGCGCAAAGTAACCACAGGGCACCGAGAGAAACTGACGCAGGGATTTTGTTTATCGCGAAATCCGCCATAATGAAATGTTGCCGCCCTTATAAAATCTTATATTGGCAACAATGATACCATTAAAACTTTTATTATGTTTATTTTTGAGCAAAGGTGGAAAAAAGGAAAAAGAAGTGTGGAAGAGTACAACAAACGAGATAAAAAACACTAGAATATATATGCAGCTCAAAACTCCACATTTTGTCCAGTCTTTTCCCAGTTCAAAAAATTTCATCATTCCTTTGTCTGCACTGAAATCTTTCGGGTCCAACATGTTTTTATATCAACAATTAAACTTTAGGCAATTTATAAACACGATAAAATGATTTCATCAAATCTTGATTCACCCTGACCATGCACTTTAGCGCTCAAGTTTGGTTTTTTGCTTATGGACTATGAATATTAAACTGAAAGCGCGATCTCAACCGAAAGCTTGTAAAAAATGGGGGAATTTGATTGGAGGAGACTGTCTTTCAACTGTTGCTAATTTTTGACAAAAGACAGTAAAATTGATAATGGCACATTAAAGGTTTCGTACATTTAAAGCAACAAGGGGGTTTCCATCTGCAAAGTTAAGCGTCCCTGCAATAATACAATAATATTCATTCAAATAAATTATACCTAGTGGAGGATTAAATGAGGGCAGCTAGGGGCAGGTCTGGCGTCCCTTTTTGGAAATCGTGCTTCCCTTTTAAAGAGTGAGAATCAGGTGAAAATTTTTAAGAGAATATCGATAAAATTACTTCCAGGATTACCTCAAAGTTAAAATTGCCGTAATTTAAATTGAGGCAATGTGACTTGCTCACAACGACAATGCTTGTATGCTTGTAAGTGGGAAAATATTCCCTTCAAGGCTACAAGTGATCTTTTACGAGGATTTAAAAATTAAATTGTGCGAAGTTAGCACGCGTTTAGATTAAGATTAGATGAAAAAAAAAATTTCGATGAATGGGAGCAACAAAATGTTTGATCCCGTGACCACCAGCCCCTTAATTTTAGGGCCCCTGACGGAATTTGAGCCAAAGACCCACCAGGATCACATATTAAAAGAAAAAATACCAGTTACCCTGTTTGCTAGATTGCTCACAAAAATTCCCTTTCTATTATGTCCGGGGTTTCGTTATACCGCGAGAATTTTGAAAGAGTTTGTTAAACAGAATCCAGGGTACCAGACATTTTGTTCGTTATACCAGGAAGTTCGATATATTCAGGGCTCGTTATATTTGTACATCGGAAAGTTGATGATCTGATAAATCTTTGAAATAATCATCAACATATAAATGAAAAAGCGATATCCAATGTCGTCCATTACTTTTCTCACAAACAGCACTGTAACTGGATGACAGTATTCTGTAACACTTTGAATTTCCATAAAACTTGATCAGAGAATGCACAAAACTGCTTGTGAACATTACTACGGCACTCCACTCAAAGAAGGCATTCTTGACACAAGACGAGGTATGCATTGTTGAATGGACAGTAGTAAATACGATGTAGTTCCGTTACTAAACGAAGTCTTTTCAATGCAGCTAGTTGCTCATTAAGAAAGTTGATATGATTATCTAGCATACCTTTGAAATAGTCGTCAATATAATAATGAGCCTAGCGGATGCTAGACATTCAGGGAGGGTTTGTCTAGTCTGGATTTTGCCTGACTACTCTCGTTTATTGAGATAGAACCGCCGAAAGGAGCCTGAAATGCGATAAGCTTGCCCTGATTAGCGAAGCTGCAATCCTCCCAGCTCCAGTGTCCATGCCTATGAATTAGAATATTGTATTTTACTCAGGAGCTTCGGTACTCTCACTGAGAAGCGATTTTACAACTCTGCGGCATTTTGTATTTCCACGTATAAAAATTAATGAGTTAAGAAAACTGACACTAGCCGCAATTACACCACTCCATATGTAAATTGTCTCCAGCAGAACTCCGGCAGCAGAAATTTTTTCGAATTCATGATACGCCCAGAAAACTGAGGAAATGTCGTAGGGGATGTAGCAGACAAGAAACAAACCCAAGACCAAACAGATTGTTTTCACTGCAGCTAGACGTTCTGTTCGAAAATTGGACGTTTCTTTTCGTTTGCCAGGTTGAAATCGAAAGACTGCATTTTTGTGGTGTCTCTCAAGAGTTTTTAATGTTTTTGCATTCAATATGAGAAAAACAGTCTTTAGCATAAAGTTAAAAATCACGATGGTCAACTGACGGTAGAAGGACTCCCATATCACGGTAATTGTAGCAGCAACAAGTCCACTAATAAGACAAGATACAACTAATAGGGTCATCCGATTAGTGTTCATCATCGCATGATATCGAATCGGCTTTGTAATGTGAAGGTACCGATCTAGAGAAATTGTGATTATCATAAAAAATGAAATATATCCCAAAAAAGTCACCGTAAATTCAACAGATTTGAGCTCAAGGCAGTTTCTTTGTCTACTTGATATCCAGAATACTCCCATCACAGGCTGTGTAAGTATTCCCAAACACAAATCTGACACTGTCATTATGAGAATAAATTTGTTCGAAAATGTCCGTAGCTGCTTCGATTTGTGCAATGCGAAAATCAAAAGGGAATTTGACAGGATATTGAAAAAGGCAAAAAAAATCATAATGGCTCCAGCAATTGTTGTATTCAGGTTCTCTGGATTGTTTGGGACCAGCGAGAGACAACGGCTAACCACTCCATTTCCTCGTACCATCTTTGTCTATGAAATTCTTCCTTTTGCCAATAAGAATATACTTTTTTGTCTTGATGTTTTTTTGGCCTTGATATTATTGCAATTCTTTGATAAGATGATGCGAAAAACGAAAATCCTGAGAATCGTGATCCTTACAAACAGCTGTACATACCTTGGAAGCAGCTGCGGTGTCCTATTGCTTGCTATAAGATCTGATGATATATTGTATTGATTGTGTAGCATATTGTTTGCCATGATAGCAGATGGTTTCATGAAATTTTTATAGTTGGAATAAGGAATGTTCTTTTTACCCTCAATAAAGATATGGTTTTTTAGATGATGATGCAGAAGCTGACTGAAATTATTGTACATACTGCCTTGAATAAAACTGAGCAAGATGGTCCCCAGAAAGCAAAACACGGGAATTTTCCTTCATCTGTATATCTTTCCAGGCTGAATCTATCCATGCTCTGAATTTGGAATAAATCAGGCATTTAGTTTTTTATACAAGTGTATTTATTTTGAATAAGATTATTTGTTATTTTTACATAAGTTTTTTCATTAAGCAGCTGGGTAGCCTAAATAAAAACGGGTGTTAACTGGCCATTTATCGTAAACAATAGAGATGAACTAAGAGTAAAACCCATTAAAAGTTTTTTCTTAGAGTTCAATTATAAAAAAATGCTATCTATCTCTGATGCCCCTACAAATGAACATCATCATAAAGCAAATAAAATTTAAATGATATTCAAATTAGTATGGGTGATTAATGAAACATAAATTGTTATATTTTTATTACTTGGAAACAATGAGATCAATCTTCTAGAGTTATTTTTGAAACATACAGTTTTGTTGTTAGTGAAATAACTACAACATAATTCAACGACCTGACCTTGTAGTATTTTTTGTCCTGTTTTTCTCTATCTACAAACTGGTGAGATATAAGACCTGCAAATGCCACTCCAAAACTCTCTTTTAGTTCATTTATGGTTGCACTTATAAAAGGGTTTCAGGCGCGGATCCAGACTATAGCTAATGACGCAGTCGCTTCAGTCAGATTTTCAAAGTACTTGTAATATATTTTCTGAATTTTCATGACTCATTATTCGATCATTATTTTGCTTATTACCGCCGTATTGTGGCCCCATTGGTCTTAGCCAACGTCAATGGTTTTTGCCAAGTATCTTTCAGAATTGTTTAGACAAAATTGGCGGGAACATAAAGACAACTTAAATGAATGTTGCGAGCCAATTGCATAGCTTGAATCAAACGTTACAAGCCAATCCTCATGCTCCCCAAAACAATCGGGCTTTGTCAGGAGTGTTGCAAACCAATCAAATGATGAAGCAAATGTTGCGAACCAAAAGATTCACAGAAAGGGATGAGGAGTGTGAAAGGTCAAGGTTACCAGGTTACCACGAGGAATCAAGATGGCAGTCTCACTTCTTGATGCTTTGAGTGAATGCCTCTTAAGCAATATCCTTTCTGCAGACGATAAGTAAATAAAAATAAACAATCTTAAGACATCTTAAGACATATTCGCGCAGCACTGCAAATAGAATGAATGGCCTTGCTTTACTACATGTGCATAGAGACACTGAGTTAGATACTGACAAAATAATTCATCGTTTTGCTTTGCGACACCCTCGACGCATGAAGCTCCTTGACATTTTCAATACTGATCAAAAGTAAAGAGATAATGGTTCAAGATGATGCAATTTAGTTTCCAATTAATCGTGCAGCTGTTAGTATGTTAGCTAGAAAGCTTAATTAAGAAGTTAAAAATAAGGCCATATCAATTTTTATTACAACTCTCGACCGAACAGTCCAAACAACATCATTTTTTCAAAATAAAGATGAAGATTTCAATTCTGAAGTATAATTTTTGAGAAAGATACATATTAGCGAGATACAAAATCGATGACGTCAACCCGGAACGGAGAATTCGCACAGAAAAAATTTCAGCTCGAGGTGTTGAAGTAAAAGCAATGAATTGTAGGACGTCTTCTATTGTATTTTGGACATGATCATAAAGCGTGACCTGATTGAATCTTTTCTCAGCACTTCTCAGCCCGTGTTGGACGGCATCGGGATATTTCTTGTGTTCTCCCGGTCTGAGAAGCTCGATCCAGTCTTTTTTGCCCAGAGAGGCAGACTCGTTTTCATTCTTCGGCCACTAAGGCCATAAACATTGGAGCCATGTTTGTGCTTGCAGAAATGAAAGATGTTGTTCGTATTAAACCGCGGCATTTTTCATATGATCTACATAGCACAATTGCATACGAACTAAACAAGAAGCTAGCAAATAAGGTAAGTGATCTGAAAAATTAGGTACAGAGTTTATATGGTCTATTGTTTTGAACGAAACAAACCAAAGCTCATCATCATCTCAATCCATCCGGCGGAAGTTTTGCGATAAGCAATTTAGAAAAAAGCGAAAACGATGTGTCTTGGAGATTCAACGCATAAAGGGAGAGTGGTTTGAAAAAGCATTCAAGAACTCTTATAAGAATTTTACAGTCTGCAACATGTAAGGTCATTGTACTGTGTACAATTATTATGTTTGAGGAGTTTTGAGAGTTGCAGACATTATGCTGTCAACCTTCTTAGTTGCATATACAGCATGTAGTTGTACAACAAAGATAAAGTTCCAGAGAAATTAATCTGGTAAATTTTGTTGCTTCAGGTTGTGCATGAAGTTGGGCTTTGTATAACTTTATTTGATATAACTGAAGTATCTGACTCCTACATTCTGCCTGGCGATGGAGCTGCTCACACACCAGGTATGTTTCTAGGATCCCATTAATTTCACGTTCTATGATGTTTTGGACTAAGGTCAACATCTGCATTCTGGCCTACCTTTGAGTAGTATTTGTGTGTAGAACAGATATGAATCAAGACAAGCTACCTGATGATAGCATAAATCATGGAACTTCTGAACAATCATTTAGAGACCACATCATATCTACAGGTAAAACATGTACTGCTGTGTTTATTTGGCATCAGAAGAGGTTTGCAACAAATATACACTTGTCAGTTTTAGTTGTTATGTCAGAATTGGTTTGTTGAAATTGGGAATTTTGTATGCTATCATTTTGCATGAAGATAACCGGCTAAAGGTCTGTTATGAAGTGCTCAATGCTGATACTCTCGAGTCTGGAGTAGACAAGGGACCTAAATAAAGGGAAAAAGTGGGAAATTTTCCAAATAAATAATTAGCAGGGTAAATGGCTAGCAGTCCCTTAAGCTGGAGACAGAAGGAGCAGAATTGGCTGTTTGTATTTTTGTAGGTGAGCTGTGAATTGCTGCCCTTATTTGATGAGGCGAGCTAAATCAGTAACACATAGAATGTAATTTAAATCAATGGATAGATGGCTTAAACCTCTTTAGCTTCTGTTGATTGCCTTTAAATAGTCTTGAAGTCAAGAAGTATGCTGTTTTACTTCTTTCAATATTTATATGCTGAAACCGTGGTTCAGGCACCCCTTTAAAAGAATAAACAGAAGGTTCCATTTGGAACCATATTAAAATGACACGGTAAGGCTTTCCTTTTACACGGGGCACATCTGCATTTACAGGAGAAATTTGGAACGGTTCCAAATGGAACTGCTAGCCTACCAAAACGGGATCGCTTAAAAAAAAGTTCCATTTGGAATTGTTCCAAATTTCTCATGTAAACACATCCAAAGTTAAGCTTATTGTCTGACACTCTTCAGAATATATAACATCAGAACATAGATCAAAAACTCTACGCTAGGAAATATATATACCCAGTTGTGGTTGAAATAGGCCAATCATAAACTCGAGCTTATGACTGTTGAGGTTGCCCAATCAGTGCAGCTTGCCTATGGAAAATGAACTCCTTTTTTCTAGACAATAGGGATTTTTTCATGCTTATGGCTTATGTAGATAGATTCCAAAACTGCTAGATGGAACGACAATCAAACAAGAGTTTTGTTTCCAATGCTGGAGGGGACCTCCTGTTTTATTCTTTCCCCCAGCCCACTATTTCTTTGACTTTCCTTCCAAGAATATGCTTGTTTCCATAAGATTGAAAGGTTCTAAGCCCTGCAAACGTACCTTTTGCTTCACTATCTTTTTCCAAGTAGGTTAAAGTTTGTGACTATCAAAGTAAAATCTGTTGGCTGGTGTTTGCAGAAAAAATTAATTGCAAAAAATGCAATGGTGGGAGAAATTGCTGTTGCAAAAATAAATCAATTAACCCTTTTCAGGGTTCTCTGAATACGAAATGGGCATATGAATGGAAATTTTAGGGGAGTGATGTTTCCTTCATGTCTGTTTAGGAGAGCAATTCACAGCTCGTCTCAGGTTGTGAGGAGAGCACAGAGGTGAGCACAAGCTATTGCCTACAAAGGCCAGGCCTTAGAAGGAACATACAAAAGATGCTGGTTTTCTAGACGCCTGAGGACTTTAGGTGTGTGTGAAGGCGTACCAGTGTTATCTTAGGCCTAATGTTGCCTGGACTGCCATATTCAAGAGTAGGCAGAGCTGTACATGCTTTGGTACATAGAACAGGAAGGTTATAAATTGTGATTTCTGGCTTTATATTTATGTCTTCATCAAGCAACTGTTCGATTTGTGACTACATGAGAAGACCAAAGTAATTATTGATGTGCAGCTTTTTATAGATAAATATTTGCTCAAAACCTCAGTCTATGAAAACTTAAAGTATAACATTGTTTTCATTTTGTGATTGTATATATCGCGCTATAGCCCGCGCCCACGCAAACCCCGTGCAAAATAAATTTGCGAGGGTTTTTTTCGCCCGCGCAGTTTTTCAAACCAACGCTCTTATTTATTCCATGCAGTTCAGCTTCCCGATGTTCAGTGGCGGAAATTCAGGCTTTTATTTGGGGGGGCCCAGATTTAATCGTGGATCATGTCTAATTTTAACGAAACTGCACATTTTGATGAAAAAGGTGATTTTTTGGTGGGCCCTTAAGAAATCTTTGCCCACCACGCCATTATTAAGTAGAAAGAAGAACAATCCATTTATGATTTTTGATATCAAGATCTATATATCATCTAAGACAATTGATGATACAAGAGGTCGACTGATTACACATAGAGATTACACATAGGAACAATAGAGATTAGAGAGAGAACAAAAGTGTGTCAGAAGTTCTTCCTGAAATCTTGTTCGATGCGTCTAGGGCCATAATATAGCACATGTATTACAAACTATTGTATTATCTGCTAAAACTTTTAATAGAATAGGAAATGTGTTCGCACGAAAGGAATAACATATAGCGTGATTAATGGTAGGAATAATTAAAGTGAGAAACGTTATTCTAAAGATTTTCAAGTCATGACATATAAACTAGGCATTCCAAAAGGGTAGTGATACACACAAAAATACCTTTTTTAGGTGAATAGTGTTTAAAGAATTGGCTAACGTAATGTATTTTCGCCTTTGTAAATATTCAAATATGAAAAAAATTTACAGCAGTTCTGCAAGGGCTAAATAGCCCTCGCATCCAAACTGGCAAGGGCTTGTGATAGCCCGCATTATTTTATCCCCGAAGAGAGGCCTGTCTTACGTATGCTGCCTTGTAAATTTTGCTGTTGCCGATAGTTGTTTTATGTTGTTTGGAGTATAGATTTTCTCATTATGGTTTTTTTCTAGTAAAGTTCAGATATGTGGTTTTTAGACCATTCATTGATGAAGTTCTTGTGGGTAAGATCAAAGGCTCAAGCTCAGATGGAGTTCAAGGTAAATGTAACTGTTTTTGGATAATTGTGTTTCATCTCCATTATATGCTTTATGTTTCATGCCGTTATACCGGGTACCGGGTACACAACGGTGTAGTAAGGTTTATTCTCAAGCCACTTAAATGCCTTTTTTATAAAACTAACAAGCAAGCAAGCAGGCCTTTTCATTTGATGCGAGCAATCACTCGGGATCGCGCCAGCACACGCGCAATCCAAACGACGCGAGCGTTTGATTGCTCGCGCAAAACGGCAAATTTTGAGGAATAAATGTCTTATCAATTAAAACATTTCTAGTTATCTTTTGTGACTCAAGAAGTTACATATGCAATGCAAAGCCGGAATATCAAAACACAGGAAATATAAGTAAGCTGACTTAACCACATCTCAACGAAAAAATGCATTTGGAAATCAATGCCACAGCTAATGTTTAGGAATACTTTAGGTGCTTAGTATTTGAACTACAATAGCACTTAGGACATTTTCTGGGCAGTAAAAGTGTTTTTAAAAAGGTATGGAACAACATTTTGCGATCATCCGGCAATAATGTATGTATGACCTTCGCGTTTATAAGCGAAGCACATTTGTATTGGGTAATTATTATTTCTTGGAGTGCATTAAAGGTCATCGTAAAAGTTTGTTTTCATTTGATATTACCCCAAACAAACAGGTAACTTATAACAGGAACATTTTTTCACTATCAGAGCGATCGCTTGCGCAAGAGTAATCACGCGATCGATGGGCCACTCGCGTGGGCTATTTCTTACGAAGGCCTGAGCAATAAGCATATTTGTTTCTTAATGTCAGCTAGGCATATGGCAGTATAAACAGGACCTGCTGCTTTTGCCTCACATTGATATTCTGTTCTGTCCAGTACCCTGGATGCACGAATTCTAGCATCAAAAGGATAGACATCTGAGTTGGCTACATGCTTGTAGAAAACGATCCTCATGGGGCTCAAACACACAGTGTCTAGATCATAAATCAGGTCTCTTAAATGCTTATCCACACAACGGTTCATCCTTAGTCTCATTTCTATTTATAAAAATTTCTTTTATTGCATTTATCTCTGTTGCAGTATCTTTGGGGCTCTTTGATGATATTCTTATCCCAGCTGTGTATCTGCAGCAGAAGTCAAAATTGTATCCTTTTCATGCAAATTTTATATTTTTGGTTTCTTGAACCTCATGCAGCTTTACAATATATACAAGCTTGTGTTAAAATGTAGCTTTTGAAATAGTAATTATGTTTTTACTGGCTTCATGTCTATGCTGTTGTCCCAGCTTATGCCACGTTTTTATGATTAGTGCAACATGTTAAGCCAAGTATTTTTAACTTAATTTCCAAGGAACAGAATTTTATTCGTACAGTATCTGCAACATTTTGGAATAGCTGGTGTATTTATGCAAGATTTGGACAGAAGGGTATCATAAATGATGGTGATACAAGTGCAAGCATTGTAAGATGGTGTGATCATCTTTTTCACCATAGGTGATCTTTCTTCTTGATAATCTTAAAAACAATTTGAATACTCAAGTAACATTAAAGGGAAATGGTTGATTTGGCTTGAGGTACTTGAATGGCATTGTTTTGCGTAGCAAATCCATTGTCATGAAAGGACTGATAATCCGATCATCACCTTTGTTTCTTTCTTTTGTTGTTGTTTCTTTTTGGGCGTAAAATCCCCTACACGAATTGCCTGTTAGGCCTTGTGTAGTATTTAATGTAGATGCGGATGATTATAGTACTTCAATTAAGTTGTTATTACCTCCCCTTCTTGTAAGACTCTCCCTGATTTCTCTTGTTAGAACTTTGCTATTGGCATCTCAGGCTCTCCCCACTGATCTCAAAAAAAGACTGGATCGAACAACCTATTGTTCTCCTACATCAGCACGAGGAAGCCGGTGGAGTCTCTCCATCTTGAGACCTTGAGACCTCTCGCGCCTAAAGCTTTGGGCTGTCATTTGTTAAAGCGGGGCACACACAGTGCTGCGCCTTTAATTGTGCATTAATAATTAAATTCTTAAATATTCTAAGATACAACAGGCCTAGGAAAGGAAAATAAGTGATCAGTTGATTCTTCGTTACATAAGCTTAATACCACGGCAAAAATGTTTAACGTCACTTACGAACAATGCAAGTTTTTGTTTCAACGTTTACTTTGAATTTTGCTATGAAAAAGTAAGTTGAACTGAAACCAACATAATTGCTCTTTTGCGGGGTCTCAAGATGGACGCTGCAATGTGGAATCAATGCTGGCCTGGAGAAGCTCGATCCAGTCTTTTTTTGAGATCAGTGCTCTCCCTAACTTAACCGTCTATAAAATACTCAGCTAGAGATTAAGTTTCTAAATTATTTTTATTAATCTGGTAAAATCTGATTATTTTTTTATTTAGCGTCCTTTATCAATAGGCAACTGATTGGGGGATGCGGCTTAGCCTTTTCAATATGCAAATAAACACATTGATGATAGGTTTGTGGGTCCAGCCATGATAATGGGTTTGCTATGTAGGGAAGTCCTTGGACATCTTTTTTGAAATAACAGAATGATGATGTGGTGTAGTCAGTTTCTTTCCTCTTTTCTGTACAATTTGATAAGATGAAACAATGTTAATTCTTGTCTCCAAATGCATAGCCAAGAAGTAATTTTCAATGAATTTGTCTCATATCCCCTTTGCTAGTTGTAAAATGTTCAGTTTGTAATAATTTCGTTCACAATCAGATCATAAGGAGCTGTGCTTGTTATGCCTTAATGTTTGTCAGTGACGACGATGAACAGTTATGGGTATGGGAATATGAGACAGACGATGGCTCACATGACCTGTTCATGGATGCAAATGAGCCAATCAGGTTTAGAATTATTGATGAAGAGTTCATTGACATGACACCATCAGGGCCAATGCTAGCTGGAAACACTGAGACAACAGAAACTGCAGAAAAAAAGAAGGCTCCTTATAGTATTCTGGTGAGCTTGCAACTCCAATAGAAATTAACTTGTGCTTCAGATTTTACACTGTTATTAACGCAGGATGCTAATCTATTCCCCCCACTTACCTCCAAAGTGCTTTACACAACTACCAAACATTTTTTAAAACAATACCAATTCTCTGTTATCTTATGTTGACTAGAGCAATCCACAAACTTAAATTTCACACACTTCGATAACTATCGCTCTTCTTGGAAAATGTGTAGACCTTCGAAATGAAGCTGATTCCAAAGTAGGTCGAGATGTTTTAATAGACACCACGAAATTAGGCCTAGTTTAAAATAAAGCGAGATGAAAATGAAGTATCAGGGTGTACTACCCAAACTCAAAATAGCGTTAGGGGAGATTCCCCACCACAAAAATCCATATCTCATCTTTAAAAATGCACAATATGCATGTTTCTGGCAAGTTGAGCAAACTGCTTCTGAGGGTGCTATCAGTTGGGTAATGTTTAGAACGAATAAAAGGGGGCGTGGCTTGGTTCAAGCTTTGTCTCTCTTGTTCAGGTTTCTAATTTTTTTCATAACTACCGTGTTACATTATCGTGTTGTATTACTTTTACACATATTACCTATTTATGATAGGCGTCAATAAGCGAGCCTGGTCTAGGATTGCTGTCATGGTGGAATTCAACTGGGTGATACAAAAACCGGCTACTGCTACAGCTGCCACGTGGCAAAGCATGCTTACATCAAGGCAAGGCATTCTTTTGCCAATCTCAGCACATGCTACTTCGTCAAACTAATGATGTTATCCCGTATGTAGCATTTCGATACATATATGTTGACTTGTGTGTTTGAAAAGAAAATACTTAAGGCATTCGAAGAAAGATACTTGAATGCATACATTGACATTGAATCTTGGAAAGATATTTCTTCTTGTGGTATTGTATAGTGATGTTGTATTTCGCAACCATTATCAGTTAGCCTCATATTGGTTAAAATTTTTCAAACAGCAAGAAGTGATATGCAAAACATACAATTGACTTTGCCACACGGGTTTCAAGATTTATGGACAATTTTCCCGAAAATTATTTGGTACATTTAAGATATTTTTCTGTAACTCTTATAATAGTAAGATAGTTTATAAGTTTGATTGATATGAAAGCAGTAAAGGTCTTATTCAAGGCTTTCTTTAATGCTTTTTCACAATGGCTTGGTTTGTTCGATAACAAACACGGGAGATACATAAGTTCTGTGCGTGTTGGAGCTAAATAATAACAACAGCAACAACAGTGGGAACAACAACAGCAATATCTATATCTATTCAAGGCTAAAAAGTCACATTGCAAAGAAGCTCCTACCCTTTAAGGTCCTGTGTTGAAAATAAAAAAAAAATATACAATTACATGTTGCAGTCTAAAGTCGGGTTAATATATATCCAAATTCACAGTTTTTGAGGTATTCATTTTTCAAAAAAGTTACGCTGGGGAAACCGGTTGAGATTGTGTCGTTGTTGAAAAAAAACAAGAAAAACAAGAAAATTAGCTGCAGAATTATTGGAGTATCGGATATTGACAATTTGTGTTAAGGTTAGCAGGTACCATACAACTTCAATGATTCGCTGCCTGATTTCACTTCACGCTTGAGTGGCCTCAAGAACCTGCGAAGATACTCCCTTGAACGAGTATGCCTGGGCGCCACTGCAATTTTTGCATTGATAAGTAATATGCTTTAAAGAAAATGGTCAGAATAAATCGACCTGGCAAGCTATTTATTGGAATAGCATCATTCGCCTTGTTTCTTCTCGTTAGAGTTACTCTTGAGAAGAAAACCTCGATATTCGAAAATGTCCGCGCGGTTAGCCGGCAACTCTTATCGACGCCTCTTGATGATAACTGTGTTACAAGCAAAGGAGCAGTGGAGGAGTTCCCGAAAGACTTCTTTACGCAAGAAGAGAGACTTCGGGGCGCTTGTGTTGTCCATATACTAGTTGCGTTTTACATGTTTGCTTTATTAGCGGTTGTTTGTGACGAGTACTTTGTTATTAGTTTGTATCATATTTGCGCGCGGCTAGATCTCGACAGTAATGTTGCAGGAGCGACATTTATGGCAATCGGAAGCTCCGCTCCGACGCTATTCATATCAGTTATATCGATTTTCTTCACTGAATCGGGTGGAGATGTGGGCCTAGGCACCGTCGTGGGATCGACGATTTTCAACACATTATTTATCATTGCTACATGTGGCCTAGCCGCCAAGCAAGTTATCTACCTTACGTGGTATCCACTGCTCAGGGACTCGTTCATGTACACCATAGGAACTGTTGCGCTTGTGGTCACGATACGAGATCGCGAAGTCTATTGGTATGAGGCAACTTCGTTTGTGGTTATATACGCAATGTATATAATCGTCATGTATTTCAATCGATCGCTAGAGAGTTTTTTCGTCGGTATCAAGGAGAGATATTTCGGCGCATGCAGTGATGATCAAAATGACAGCATTGTTGAAACAACTGCAGATAAATACGAAAAGATCATGACGTCAATCAGTGAAGAGCTTTCTACAGTGATCAACGCGGAGAGAAGAAGCGACAACGCCACGGCGCTTGAGATTGTCAAGAACAAGTCGATCAGTGATCTCGCTGGATTGAATCTAGGAAAAAATATAGGCACTCAAACGACATTCGCCCAGCGGGACTCAACGCTAGATACTAATACGACTAAGAAAGCTGATTTATCGCAATTTGAGCACAAACAAGACTCGCCGTTCAAAGCACCAGATGGTATTATAGCCAAAATTGCATGGGTACTTGGTATGCCTGTCTGTTTGTTATTCTACATCACAATACCACCATGTTGTAAACAAAGATGGAGCGAATGGTTTCTCGTAACGTTTCTAATGTCTGTTCTTTGGATGGGCACACTGTCCTATGTTTTAGTGTGGATGGTCTGCATTTTAGGCGGCACGTTCAACATTCCTGATTGCGTCATGGGGATGACCTTTCTCGCTGCTGGCTCCAGCATACCTGACGTCATGGCAAGTGTTATCGTAGCCAGACAAGGCGAAGGAGACATGGCCTTGTCGAACGCCATTGGTAGCAATGTGTTTGATATGTTGTGTTTGGGTGTGCCTTGGTTGATGAAGAGCACCATCATGAACCCAGGAACTTCTGTCACCATTTACAGTCAAAGCATTATGGTATCCGCTCTGCTCTTGATAGGTAGTATATTTTTTACTGTCTTAGCTATACATTTGAACAATTGGAAACTCGATCCTAAACTAGGAGTTATATTTTTAATCGTTTATGTAGTATTTATTTCACTAGCTACTTTGGTAGAGTTTATAGCTTGCCCGTGCCAGTTGGAAGTCTAGTAGTCTCTAAATTGACCGTTGTTAATAATAAAATACAACACAGCATCGAGCATATCCCTATTTTGAGAACTCGAATTTGATTGTATGAATTCATTCGAAGGAGATTTTTTCAAGAACTGAGAAAATTTTGAGAACCTTTTCAGATACTAGGTCGATCAAGAACTGAGCAGTCTGAATTTCTTGATCTTGGTCTTATCAAGGGGCGGATAGGCCGCACTTTCCCTTTGATGCCTTGAAATTAAGGGGGCATAAGGTGCAACTGACTTTAGAACTTTAGATTAGAATAGTGCTTAGCATGAGAATGGGAGAAAGGGAGGTGGAAGGCTTAAGCTCTTTTGGGGAACTTTTCGCTAGATCATTAGGATAATATGTTCTCGAGCGATGCGTCCTCTAATTATGCCACTGCTTTCTTGCAAGGTAACAAAACGTGACCACTGCAGTTTAATATTCAGTACAGGAAGAGGTTCCGTTTGATGATCTAATAGTTTTTGGAGTTGAAATCGACTTTGCTTAAGTGATACTCAAAATTCTTGAGAGAAAATTTGCAGAGTCTAGAGAAATATACATCCTTCTTCCAGCCAGACAGCCTTGACTTTCAAAACGTCTCTGCAATATAAATACTTTGTCTGGATGTGCTTACATAATTTATTCCAACCGTAAGCCCACTTGTTTGCAGGCTGAACCTAAGTAACGGAGGAGGACAAACATCACAATTCTTAGGGAACCCTTTTGCTGTAGTTAAAATATTTCATTTAAAGATGCGGTATTTTGCAGACTGCTAGTAAAATAATTCTTTATTTTATTCTCTCAGTCACTGTTTTTAATTTATGACTAATTTTGTTTCTTTTTGTTCTACTAGATTTTTCTCGTATGTAATTTTTGTCATAAGATTTTCATTTTTTGAAATTATGCCATCAAGTTATTTTATCGTCAGATATCTTTCTGTTGAGGCACTTCATTTCATTTTGTAAATCGGCAGCCAATCGGTATATAAACAGTGCTGAAATAATGTGATTTCATTGGCTATCAATCAATCAACCAATCAATCAATCAGTCAATCAATCAGTCATAGCAATCAATCAATCAAAGTTCCTTTTTAGGCGTGTGTATGGTATCATGCTCACTGATTGGTCAATTTTGTTTGACCGATGGCTCAAGCCACGAAAGGCAAAGACGATCAGCCTATTGCATGAATTTTTATCATACAAAATATTAGTTTGCTCTTATCTTGGTGTCTTTCAACAAATGAAAGCAGCCAGGAATGTTTTTAACACAAAGGGTCTGATACAATACAAATAAAATCGTCAGTAAATAATAAAAGAAGAGAGATTAATAGACTGTGTAATGTAATAAAGAAGAATTTTAGAATCATAAGAGGTTATAAAGGATTTGATACCAGCAGAAAAGCTTTGATATAAGCTCAATGACAGAAATTGCGGGGTTGTGGGGGGCGACTGCCCCAGCTTTTGCCAAATTGTCGGTTTAAAGATAGTTTTTACCATTTTTGTCGGAAAATTTGGTAAATTGGCGGCAGGTTTGCTTGTTTTGGTGGGTTTGCTCCCCCACCTCTCCCCCTCACCTAAAAAATGAATTTCCGCCACAGTAGAAACTAATTTCATGACTTGACACAAGGGGAAAAAGAAATGTCTTGGTTGAATGAAAGCTAACAATAATACAATCTTTCTAAACAGAGTCCAGAAAAGTTGTTAACCTTCCTCCAGACAAAAACATTCAGAAAGCAAACCTTCCTCACAAAACAATAGAGAATGGGCGTGGCTTGGGTGTATCATAGGAACTTATATAGTTTTTCGAGGACCTTCTTCCTGTCAGTTACCGTACGATTGTAATGTTTTCCTGACTCAGTTTTTTAAATAGCAATTATGATGTGCATGAAAGTATAGAATTTTCAAATATTCCAGTTTTGAAGAAAAACTAAGCTATGGAAATTAATGTCCTTTTCTTTGATTTAGGTGATATTTTAAACCAAGTAGTCTCTGAAAAGAGCTGTCATCGATTCAACAAAATATTGCTAGGACTGTTGATATATTTTGGCCTTATTCCTTTAAGTAGGGATGTATTGTCAACTGTGCGTGAACATTTAGATGTAGACATGAATGAATACAATGCTTTTTTGGCAGCAGATGTTTATTGCAAGAAACATCACAAGAGACGATCAAGAGAAAAGCAAATGTATAAGGGTATAGAAAAGAAAAAAGAAGTAGTAAGGGCTTCTTGAGGGCACATGCTGCTCCTGAATTTGTTTAAAGTGCCCAACAAAAGAGGTACCCCTGTGGGGTACTAGAATCAGAAAGGGGGCACTACTCCAAGCACATAAAAAGCAATTGTAATCCTGATGTCATGCTCTTATTCAAACCTCTCAGCATTGTTCTCATCCACCAAAAAGGCTGTCATGTTTAGAGAGGAACAAAGTTTTCCCTTCAACACACCCTTAAGGCCCAGCCTCCGCTGCAGACCATCTGGTGGGCTCCATCTATTCCCCTGCCCCAGCAAGATAACCCACACCATTTATAGATGGATTTACCCACCATTTCTAGATGTCCCTCATCCAGGCTTTATCGTTTCACTACAATGCAACCGCTATGTCAGACTGTAAATTGGCAACCCATAGCTGACAACGAAACATTAACAAACCCATAATAAATAACGTCAATTTGAAAATAAATTACTCTCTAAGCTATCTATGACATTGGTTAAAATTAAACTATTTTATGTTATTTTATATCTATATAAGATTTAGGCAGTTATTGAGAAAGAACTTGATCTTACTTTTACTGTTATTTTAAAGTTAGGTTAAAAATCTAATTGCAAAAGCAAAATGATATCAAGATAACAAAAAATTAAATATAATCAAGGGAAGTGATATAAAAATATAAGAGATTTCTCTAAATATACGTTAGTGACCTAGCCAAAATGTTAGTTAGTGAATTGAAATATCAATAAAAATTAATATAAAAAGAAAACATAAACACAATAGCTTTTACTGTGCAAGGAAGGGTTGCAGTCTAAAAAGAAACAAAGGTACAACATAAAAACAGCATTTTCTCAATACAGAGATTGAGAAAGGATAGCGGATAGAATCGAGAGGAGAAGGGAAGGGAAGGATAGGCTCAGATAAAGTTAAAGTTGAAAAATAAGAAAAATGGTAGGAGACGAAAGAAGATGCAGAGACAACAACAGAAACAGTTTAACATAAGATGAATTAGAAAGTCACTAGAAATGAAAGATGCATGAAGAGAAGAGTGTTACACGTTACAACACAGAACAAGCACGACACTACAAGGCATTTACTAGAGCTACACAAGCGAGGTTCAAGTTGGTGAAGCGTCAATAATGCACTTCTAGATACCATCTGAACATTTACTTGTTTCACTTAAGTAAAGCCTAAATTAGAGGACATATAAACACAACAAGGAAGATATGCTAAGTCTGTACAGCTGGCATTATTGCATTTGTCGTGAAACTTTCAGCCTTTTAATGAGATGACATCTGATGGCCTGCTAGTTGGTCCCCCTTTCTACTTTCAAAAAAGATTATCACATTGCTATGTTGAATAAAAGTTGAATGAGGCTTTTCAATGGGGGACCATAGAAGGCAATGGGGCCTGCAGCATTCTGTGCTACTATCGGACACAGAATGCCGACAAGGCGCGTTGAAAGTGCATATTTTGTTCCTCTCGGCATATTTGCTGGGTAGACGAACGACAGGAAGTCTTGAAGTGACTGATCCATACATGCCTCGGTCATTTCAAAACTAGCTGTCGTTCTTCTGCCCAGTAAATACACGGGTTGTACTTCTTGGTGGATCAGAACAAACGATTTAACTAGGGGCATGACATCACGGATTATACTTTGTAAAAGTGATTGGATTGTGCCCCCTCTCCATGTTTTTAGAAAAGCGTGCCCCAAAAATTGAGCATCACTGTGTCCTCAAGAAGCCCTATCTGCTTCACGAAAATACACAACAAGGGGAGATAGATGCTAGAGGAAATCATATGGAATTCCACCTGCTGCCAATTTTTATTTTTAAATGTTTTTTCTTCATCTGTAAACTTCTTTTCTTGATATGCCTATAAAATAAGAATGCGAAATTGATTTGAAATCTGCAATAAAAAAGAGGCAGTTCTTACTTGAAATGGCTGCGGTCTTATCTGTTAAAAAGTATGAATGCAGTATGAAAGCAGTATGAAAATTAACAATAAATTTTACCTTTCATTTAAGAAGAAAGCCTTTTTTAAACCCGCAAAAGCCCTGCGAGTTTCTCTTCCCTGCGGCCTTTGTCGAATCCTTGGCTGTCTTTTCGTTGTTCTTCTTTTCCTGATTGCCAGCTCCATCTTGACTAGAGAAAGAAGCCTTTCCTTTCTTCTCTGCAGCCTCTGCTGCTGCATTCGCCTCTTCTTCCTCTTGAAGTTGAGCCTAGAGTTGATATTGGTGTATAATTTATATATTATGAACTCATTTATTCTTTGTCTCTAGAAATTTCACTCTCAGTAACTTTCTCTCAACTGTCTGAATTACTAACTTCTATTAATAGTGCTAAAATTTAGGCATTGTGAGTATTATTGAAGGAGTATTTGAATTTAGAATGTATTCGTGGATCAAAGATACTCTTAACAATGCGAACACTGCTCCTTACCTACATACATCCAACTTTTCAAATGGCACTGAAATATAATTGCACTGAAATTGTTGCCTTTGATTCTTTCAGAAGAAAATAAGAATTTTTACCCAATTCTGCATGGCTAGTGAGTTATTATCTTTAAATATTGACATAGTAAAAGAAACTTTTGTGTTGAGAATGCTCACCTCTCGTTGCTCTTCCCGCCAGTTGTCATACCAAAGATAGGCGGCGTAACCAACCACTCCAAACGTGACTGTTGTTTGGACAACTTTCCAGAACGTGTTCATTTTTAAGGTTTTGCAAATAGCCAACGTCTTTGGTATAAATGATTCTTTCTCAATAAATGTTTGCGTGAATTCTGCAACTACTTTCGTAGAATTATTTTCTAGTCGAATAAAAACTCGTGTTCGTTTGATACTCTCGATGCGAAGACTAATGTGAGACTGATTAAGTGTGCATTATAATTGTCTTTCGATATGACGTCAAATTAAAGCCATGCGATACAGATGGAGGCTGCATTTTGACGTATGATGAAAATCAGGCCTCTTTTTCTTAATAAAAAATTGGATCGAGACAATGTCTTGGTCAGTACTTAATACCTAATTTCTAATGAAAACGAATATGGGTTTTCTTGTCGTTACTAGGTGCATATGTTGGCATGTTCGAGGCATGAGAATGAGGGTGTTGCGTCGATGTTTGATTGAAAAGTGATGTATCATCTAGATAAACTTAACAATATCGAGTCACCTATAATTGACAAATGACGAATGAATTTTCATAACAGGGTTTCCAGAACTGATCAAACTATCTTTTTAGAGCCCCATCCCTAACCCCATATAAATATTTATAAAATGTCCTTGATATTTATAAAATCTAAAAATTATTCGACAGGTTTATAAAACAAGGGTGTAGTGTTATGGGAAGAAAAAAAGGGGCTCTCACAGTTATCACTTTTGAAATTTAAATTTATAATAAGTAACAGTTTTTATTATGGGGAAATTGCTCCCCCTATTTTTCCAAGCAGCTTTTACGAGAAAAATATAGGCAAGGGAATCTTTTTCAACTTTAGGCTTGCGGCCTTACTTGCCAACGACATTACGATTGCAACCAATGACGCCAGAATGTATCCTTGCCGTACTTTTCGCTGTGATTTGGTCTCGAATTTTTTCTTGAACAAAACACTTGGTTTTTTCCTCGTTAAGTTTCTAACTGCACGATATTCATCGGTAGCCGATCTGACTTTGGGCGGTCTGAAAGTCTTGAAAGCTGTCGAAAATTGTGATGCCTTCAAATTTAAGAGTACTGTTGAAATGATAGATACTTTTAAGCTTCCTGCAGAAATTGCTGGAACCCTTAATGTTTCTGAAACCAAGTGGAATCGCACTAAACTATGTGATATTCGGTATAAGAATTCCTCGGGTAAAAAATACACAACTACAAATGCTAAGCATTTCTGCAGCTCTGCGTGAGTAAAGATGCGATTCCACTTGGTTTCAGAAACATTAAGGGTTCCAGCAATTTCTGCAGGAAGCTTAAAAGTATCTATCATTTCAACAGAAGTCCAAAATTTGCAAAAGTTGGATGCAAAGGGGAAGATGCTCCCTGAATCTCAGCCACTGTGCTCCTAGGTAAGGGACCCACAGCTGTTTATTATACTGATTAAACCTTTTCTAAAATGTTTTATAGGAACCTGGGGAAGTAGTGTTAATTGTACCACTATAGTGCTTCATTTACTTTAATGGTCCGTCAGACAATACTCGATGGCAAAGAGGCCAAGTTGTACATGATTTGGTGTGTAGAACAAGATGGGAAGACGGGAATTAGATAATTTTACTTTTGCCAAAATTTATTTTCCATTACAAAAATTCTGTACCAAAGGCAAGATAGTAAATTTTTGAAAGTTTTTCAAAACTGTTAATTAAGTTTGTGCCTCTAAAGAACAAGATACAAACTCATTCGCTTGCCTCAGTTTAAAAACCGACCTTGATTGGCTTCACCCACTCCCACTTCTACCCTTCCAGAGCTGGCTTCGTGCATGGGGTGTGGGGGTAGAGAAGTCACTTCAAAGCAAAAAGGACGTAGTATATAAATAAAATGCAAAAATCTCAACCTTTATAAAATTATTAACATATTTAACATATATAACATATTTATAAAATTATTAATGCTCATATTTAAGATATGAAATTAACTCTTGTGGAAGTCCATAAATGTTTCCAACCTCGTCAATTTGACAAATTGGTAACAATTGTCGTATTTTCAGTCTGCAAATTTCCTTCAAGGATCGAACAGTACCTAATGAAAAATTAAAATGATCAGTAAGAACTGTTAAATTAGAAATAGATACTGCTTACGTTGCTATAAAAACAGTTGTCACACTAGAGGGATACCAAGGTACAATGGTCCACCGCTTTTTCGGTCACATTTGTTGTTTGCGATTGATGGCTAAACTTTTTCGATTCAGGACACCCTATCCCACTTTGAATTGAAGTTAAAGTACGGATCTGAGCAAGATTTTCATATTTTGAATTAAGACAAGTTGTAGCTGTGCCCTTTTACAGAGAGGGGGTGTAGCCATAATATAACATTTCCGTTGGCAGAGCTCATTCCATTGAGGCTTTCAAAACTAAAATTAACAAACTTGCTTTTATCCTCCTCTTCCAAACCCCTCCCTCCTTTCTATGCTAAAGGATCCCAGGTATTTCCCTAGCATTACCAACTAAAAAGTAGCATCACCTTGCAACTGAGTGATAAGTTTTCGACATGAATCATCAGGTGTAATTTCTTGTGCCTGAGAGCCACTACTAGTTCTTGCATTGAAGTCTGCTCCATATTCCCATAATTTTTCGATGCATGCTCTTTTGCTTGTGCTTGCACAAATATGCAATGCTGTGTAACCAACACAGGCAAGCGAATAAAATCTTTTTGAATGGTCGGCTCCAGCTTTAAGTAAAATCTAAAAAATTACATCAGAATTGTTTATTATATTATGTAAGACGCTTATGCAGTTGAATCAGGCAAAATTTTAGCTGTGATGAGACTTCGTTGTTAGAATTCTGGATCTGTACGGCATACATCATTGAAATAAACAAGTGATTGGATCAAAGACTTGAGTCCTTCATTATTTTTGCTACATTAAGTGTTGATCAATGCAAACTTTATATGACAGAAGACTTTTTTGAAAAACAGAAATACAGAATGTGATGGTAGTGACATGAGCGAGGGGACTTGATGACTACCCCTGAGACTGACTTTCCATCAATTTATAATCCAATCCAAAGAAAATGTTTATGTTTACCCCTGAATTATTATAAGGGTTTGAAAGGGACAATTTCAAGCCTTCGTAACTGGCGATCGCGGAAAATTTTTTACTGAGTACAACGGCAGTTTTTTCATAAATTTATTAAAAATTCAATTTTAAAATAAAATTTAAGTTATCATTCAGCACAATTTACACGCTTATTTTTGTGGGTAGTGGTAAAACGTCCAAAAAAGGCCTATATCTAGCTGCGAGACACGTTTGTTGTCATATTCTTGAATTCTGATTGGCTAATGGGGTATGGAGAATTTAGGTCGCTCAGCCAATCAAAAATTTGGAACCTATGCTGGCATAGTGGGAAACAAATTAGTTGCTAACCTACAGTAAACAACTTCCATCAGATTGACTGTAACAGTTATCTTTGATGATGTCATAGCCTTTAAAAGATTTCAGCCAAACCATCAGTTTACTCCCTTGTACCGATATGTTTCACTGTCATACAACATTTAAACATTATATGATAAATTTCAAATTAGTTACACCAGGTGTGAGTCAGATATGAATCATGTTGGAATTATGCTGGTTACCTACCTCAAGCATTTCTTCATTTGCATGGAAGCAACTTAACAAAAGGGGTGTACATTCAAAGTCATCTTCAATATTTACTTGGCAACCAGCTTCAACCTTTATGTGATAAAAATAGCAATTTAACTCCACATGATGTTCACTTGAAATGACCGTAGGAATTCTTTTGAACAAGTTTATATTCAAGTATATACTGATTGCATCAAAAAAATTTCTTGATTAGAAAACAAAAAGAGGTTAAGGAATAACTTGGGTAATTATATGGGGGTTAGGGAGGGGGCAATTATTAGCACCCTTTAATAATTGCCCAGCTATGTTATTGTATTTCTGCGACCGGTTTTTCAGTAGGGAATAACTAGTCCAGCCATCTTTTTGCAGCCCTCTTCCTAACCCCAATATAAAATTGGTATCAAATGCCTTTGAATTTTACATATCTTACTATTTTAAGTCATTGTTCATTTTACTGAACATTGCCTTTTATTAGCCCCCTTTGAGTGGAATTTCTGAACAGTCGCTACAAGGAGAATATCAATAACAAAATTGAACTTCTAACAGACTGAGCCACATTCTCTGAACATAGCTCAGCATTATTTTTCAAAATGAATTCTGATTGTAAAATTCATAAAGTGTTATAACATATTACCAATTCTCTTGCAATTTCAGGAAAATCATTCATGACTGCTATATGAATGGGCACTCGTCCATCATGATATTTGACAGAAAGATTAGCACCAGCTTTTATTAGCAGTTTTAAACATTCCAATTGACCTTCACGAGCTGCAACAACTAATGGGGTCTCTGGGTATTTCACTTCTAGTTTTGCACCCTTGTCCAGCAAAAGCTTCACACATTTTTCATGGCCTGCATATGTTGCCACCCAAAGAGGAGTCCATGCTGCTTTGTGCTTATTTATACCATCAACTTCTGCTCCTATGATTTGTCAAAATGCTTCATCAAGTTATTGTCACAGGAGAGTTTAAGTATCATCTTATCATTTAGTATTATAATTACCAAAGGACAGCAATGAAATCAACTGTGATTCTACATGGATCAGGGAGCGATTTAGATTATCAAATTTGAGGTAAGTAAAAAGAGATAAAGTAAAATTAGTTTCTTGATAGTTAATTAGTATAAGAGTCTAGGCTATTTCAGAGTTCATTTTTGGCCTCTTTTAACCATTGCTACAAATTTGCAACCATTTTGCATGCATAAAAAGCTATAGATCAGAGACCGGGCCACAAAAATGAACCTGATGGGGGGGGGGGGGGGGGGGGAGGCTGAGAATCAAGTTTAGTGACATAGGAGGACCCACCAAGTTTGCGTGCAACATGAAAGAACATTTTTGAAATTCAACCTTCTAGAATAGCTAAAAATGCATCTCCCAGACTAAAATTTAACAAATTAATAGGCCGCTCAGAACAGACAATTCAACGATTCTTTGAAAAAACCTGATAATTGATTTTTAGGAAAAATTTGGGAGGAGCGGAGTCATGCTAAAATGCTAGTGACAGATGTTGGGGAAAGAAAGAAAGGGTGACCTTTGGTTCAAAGTGCACATCGCTGTCAATAACAAGAAGCTGTTGTATTGATTAAGAGAATTTCACTTCCTGAACAGAAATGTGCATCTACTTTGTCTCAACTATTTTCAGTTAGGCCATGTCTACACATCCAAAATGCAGACATAGCAATGATACAGAAAGGTATCTACTGAATGGAAAATTTAAAAAAATATCCCAAAATAAATTAGTAAAATTCAGTCTCTCTTAAAAAAAATTAAAAAAAGATGTCCAAAAAGTTTTCATCTTTGAAAAAGTTATATATTGTCCATATTACAAATGCATTGGGCTATATTTGATTTTTGATACCACTTCATGTTTCAAAAAATACTTTGAAACTAGGATATTATGTTATCTGTTTTTAATTTTTGAACAAGAAATATGAGCCAATGCAGCTGTTCAATGAAATTAGCTGAGCAAATTCAGCTGAGCAATGAAATTAAAATATGTACTTTTAAGGTACTGTTAGCTATGAGAACTAAAAAATGATACATAGACTGGAATGCAAGGGCTGAGATATCGGAGGGGGAGGGAGGCTTGGCCCCTCCCAAAGTATCATAAGTAAATATTTTTAATTTGTAAAATATGGCTGTTGTTACATTTATTTATCAGGGCTAGCCCCCCTCGCTAAACAATAAGTTGTACCTTAGCCTTGATCGTAATGAACTTGAAATTGCTCATTTTGCTCTTGGCCTTTAGCATTTCAGGCTTTCAAAAACCCTTTATGTCGTCATATTGTGTTAGTCTATGCATTATCTTTAAAACCGTTTGATTGGGTGGGCCTTTATGTTAGATGGTACAGAAACTTTCTTGAGCAGATCCAATACAGGCTTAATCCACAACACAGCGAATACTAGCACAAAAAGTGCTAAAAACAAAGAATTCCGTGTCAGCGGTACAGGACGAAAATCCACAACTTTTAATTACCTGCTTCAAGAAGTAATTTAACGCAATCAGCATGCCCTTGCTTTGCTGCCATAAAAAGCGGAGTCCATAGAGAATTCTTTGTTGTATCGATATTAAACTCTTCATTGTGTTCATAACTCTTTAATAAATTATACAGAAGGTTGCATTTGCCGTACTCAGAAGCATGAAGAAGCCGAGCTTCGGTCGTCTGGATCTCGAAATCCGGGTGTTCAGAGAATTCTTGAACATTGTCCATCGACATCTGTTTTCCAAACAAAATGTACAGGAATTATTGTACAAACATTATCAGATGTGCAAAACATATCTTCTACAATAATTTGTATGGAAAAAACTCTTTTTAGGGATCTGAAAAATATTGTTTGAATCTCATCTTATGATGTCGCCTCGTTTCTGTCAACAACAAATCAGCCTCTTTTCCATTTAAGGTCGGGATACCAAAAGAGTCTGGGCTCAAATCTTTACGAAAAACATGGTGGTTGACGAAAAATACCATGGCTCCTTTTGAGGTCCAAAGTTCTTATGCTAATTAATTCTTAGCACGCAGAAAGACAATACATTCAAATCGAGGCTTTAGGTGCGGAAAATAGACGGGAATATATTTGGCGGGAATATACTTGGCGGGAAATTGTATATTTTTAGTCTCAAATTCATGAGAAAGCTGTGAACCGCAAATTAATGCTCTCTAACAGGTGTTGCTAGTTTCTTTTAAAATAAACGTGAATGGTTGGCCTGATTCGGAAAATAAAATATTACAAGTTTACGTTAAATTTCACCCGTTATGGCTAATTTGGCTATAGGTAAGCATACAATATTTGCATTTAGTGCTACGAATGTTACTGAAAAACTAAAAAAACCTCACATAAGAGGATGCCGATAGAGAATGAGGTAGTGATAACTATTATATTTTATATTCAGTTTATTTCTAGCTTTAAGAATATGAACAAGGACCAGACACAGAGCCGTCACTACGGTGGTGCGTGACAACAGGGCCGTCACTACGGTTGTGACACCCCCATGAAAAAAATCCTGTTGCAAAACGAACATCTAGGGGTATTTCATCGCCGAATTTTCAAACTTATTAATTATGGCATCATTATTTTTCTAATGTAGTGGTATCTGAGCACATTTTCAAGGCTTATTATTAAATGGATCATGGCCAAAAAAATCATGGCTAAATAAGTTAGAATAAGTAAAACATTTGTTTAAAAACTAGCAAAGTTGCAAAATTTTCGGAAAAATTTGGTGATCTAAATTAACATAAAATTATGCGAATACAAAGTTATAGAATTCTATCTTTAGAAACTTCGGTAGACACACGGTACAATGTCCAGCATTGTAAATGAACTGCATTTTGTTGTTATCTTTATAATGTTTTCATGTATTGCCACGTATTTTAAAACTCGCTTAATTTAATGTATCTTATAATTAATATGATGCTGAGAATATGTATATGATTGATACGATTGATTGATTAAAGCAAGTCTAATTATTTATATTATTTTTAAACCTTACTTATTAAATGCTTGTATGAATCTAAGCAATTACATATTATTCCGTTAGAAACATACATATACCTTACCTGTTGCTATTGAGTTGACTTGCCCTGAACTGACGTCGCGTAGGCCTAATCTCATGCCTTGAATCAGAAATGCTCCTCCAGTGTATTCTGGTAGTTTACGCAGTGGACCTCAAAAGGAGCCATGGTATTTTTCATCAACCTGGTGGAGTTGAGTCTGCTACAATGTGAATTATGGTCGACCGAAAAAGAAAATTTTAAGTGCATAAATACATGTTAAATGCTCCTGTCGGGTAGATATTGCGTAGAACTAAAGGTTCTTTTACCATATCCAATGTTGTAATTTTGCCTTTGGGCAACAAGCTGGCAAATTGGGCCGGATAGCGAGTAAGCACGCGACGGTCATCACCAACACCCTGGGTGCGACACAGAGCCATCAGCACCCCAGTTTTCCTTTAAAGAAGCTGAGGAAGCTCAAGTCTTGCACTCAAGGAATGAGGCAGTCCCCCACAGAAAACCAAGAGCCTGATGAAATGGACACCAAGGATGATGGTATGTAGCCAATCAAGCCAATGGTTGAAATGGGAAACTTGCATTTTGCAATTTTAAATGAAGTCATGCTTTCAACATATTTTCATTCCAAGGGGGTTTCATTTGAGTTGGAGCCGATTTTAATGAGCTTCTCAGTTGAAATGATTTAGTATAATGAACTATCACAAAGTCAAATAAAAAAATATGCAATATTAAGACCTGTCAACCTTAAATTTTCAAAACATTTCAGATTTTTCCTAAAGAAAAACAGGTAGATTTGGTCAAAAACAGGGAGATCACAGTAATTTGATAAAGGAATAAATATACCTGATAAAATTTTGTGCTTGGCAAACAGTTTATGACAAAAGTGATCAGAAGAAGTATCTTCATAATAACTTTTAGTGCTTTTTTGTTAATCAGTAAGCACTAACAAAAAATTGTTGTCATGTGGAAGTCAATGTGACCATTATATCTTAATTATACCTCCTGTAAAAAGAAAACATACACAATGGACCTGTCTTTGAAGCATAAGATGCGTAGTTCAATCGAACATTCTGTGAAGAATCTTCCTAGACATTCTGCTAGACATCTTTGAAACCGGGAGAAAAATTTAAAAAAATGGGACACCGGGAGAAAGCAGTCTAAACCGGGAGTCTCCCAGCTGAACTGGGAGGGCTGACAGGTCTGAATATTTTCACAATCTTGTAATTTGATAATATTTAGCAAATTCTTCTTTTTCTTCTAATGTTCCAGGCTAGAAAACTGTTTTGCTGGTTTTTTGCCCTTCAACAAAATTCAACAACAATAAACAACAAAATTCAGATTTGCAGATAAAAACACTTGGCAATAAATTATGCATAGAATTTGTACTGAAAGCTTTCACAGAGATGTTGTATTTTTTGTCTTTCCCTTGTAATCAGAAGTCAAAGTTTAGTTAGTGGAATATTCATGGGAAGCATGACCAGATGGAAAAAATATTATTGCAGATTATCCATGGCAGTTTCTTGATAAAGCCCTGGTAAATCGATCCAACATTTTGCCCAACATTTTTTTTTATGTTGGAAAGTGATCCAACATTGGTGGTCAAACGACCCAACATTTCACCCCACATTTCGCCCAACATTTTCTTGCACAGATCGAAAAGGGAATGAGTAGTAGGTAACATTAATGTTGCTTAACAACAGTAGGCACACCAGACGCTTGTGATGATGACCATACATAACAACATGATGATGACCGTGCACCACATTTCGATCTGAGAAAACGAAAGGCAATCGCCACCATAGCTATAATGTTATCAATTGTAAGCAAAATCAAGAGTCAAAGCCAGAATCAAAGGGAGAGTCAAAGCAATCGAAATAAACCCGAGAAGTCAACAACAATGCTATGATCAAATTTTGGTAGCCTTTTACTGACTAACCGTGCGCAGAGCCAACAATGTTGGCTGAGATGGTCAAGTGATTCAACATTTCAGCTAGCACTTCAAAACAAAAGAATTGTTGGATGTCAGCAGCCAACATTTTTGACCTTAGTCAAATTTCGTCCAACATCGGAATTTACGATGTTGGGTGACCCAACAGATGGCCAACAGGGGTGAAATGTTGGATCATTTGACCAGTGCTTAATGTTCAGGCAGAAAATTATTTCATGGGGAATGCTTTTTCTGCAAAGACTGAACTTTACTGTCTCAGGCCTTGCACTAAGCAAAATAAGGGTGCTCCATATAACAAGCCCCTAAAAAACTCAAAGCGCTCACTCACACTTCTTTAAATTGTTGTTAGCAAAAATGTGTTTTTTTAACGAAAATGTGTCAAATTTTTTCTGTTCTTGAGGCCTTTTTTTAATAAATCACCTTTGCAATTGGTATCCTTTCAAAAGAAATTTTTTTTAACATTAGACGCTACAGAGAAAAGTCCATTGGTGGACAGTGCAGAGAAGAAGAAGGGGGAAGCTGTTGCATCCAATGACATTGATATGGATGGTGGACCTAGCAGAGCAGAAGGGCAACTTCGGTTTGAAGTGCAAAACTTTAGCAAGATCAAGGACACAGTATACAGTGATCCAGTGATGATCAGAAATCTCCAATGGTAAGTTTTGTTTAGGTATTGCTGTTTGCCAAGGTGCCTACCAACAAATGAAAATCTGATTAATCTGTTCCATGGTTTGTTTTTCTGCTGTCCTACATAAGCCTTATTATGCAATTACCCTCAAACACAACAAATAACTTTCTAGGGATGGCTTTTAGGTCCAATATTTGTCTGCTACATTTCGGTTTAACTAACCATATCAATTCAATGTAGATGATAGGCTGATACAATAGGGTATGGTTTGAGATATATACAGGCTTGGCGGTTTGAGGAGAGTCAAGCTTTTGCTCCACTCCAGGCTCTCCTAAAATGCTGGAGGGGAGCAACATATTGCTCTCCTAAATTGCTCTGAAAAGCATTGCTCTCCTTGAAATCAATTTTTATTTATTTCTATTCTTATTTATCTACAAAAAGCTCACCTGGAAATTACTAGGAGAGCTGTTTACTGCTCCCCTGTTTAAATCATAAATATTTAAGCTGATATATATATATGATGGTAATGGTGCAGTAAGGTATAGTTTGCTTCTAAATAGGTATAATTTGTGGCATAGATGAAATTATTGTCTCTTTTTAGCATTAGTAAGAAAGTCTTATCTATTTAGATAAAAAAATGTAGCCTAAATTTATTTCTTGCTCAAAGAATTTTTTACTTATTGAGGGAGTTTAAGCTAGCAAAGTTGCTGAAAGAATCTAATTAATTATTTTATGGCTTTGGTTGAGTTCCAGCGATGGTTTGTAAATCACACATTAGAGGACATAAGATTTCAACCTTTTTTATTTTAATCTCTTTCTATTTTCAATATCTAGGCGTATTATGGTGATGCCACGGTTCTCAACAGTACAGTCTGGAGAGAAGATGAAAAGTTTAGGGATATTTTTGCAGTGTACACCTGAAGGTGAAGGGTCTTCTTGGTCCTGTCATGCCTCTGCAAAAATCACTGTTATCAATCAAAAGAACCAAGAGGAGAGTTTCACAAGAAGTAAGTTTGGTGCATTGTGGATATATTGTTACTTTGTTGTTCCTTTGTACGATTTATAATTAAAAATGTGTATGTTAACAATTAACAGCTTAACAAAATGTCAAAGGAGAGGAAAGTCTACAAGGTTTTTATTCAGTAAACTACTGTTTTAATAAATTTTCTTCAGACAATATTTAAAAGTTTTTAAACAATCATTGTTGCTTTTATGTTTTTGTTTTAATTAAGAACAAAGTTTTATTTAATTATAAAAGAACAGTGATGCTTGTCTGCCTTGTATAGATAATGAAGTATTCAGTTGCTCAGTGTAGTCTAGTTTGGAAGGAGACTACAATCAATCTTCTTCTATCTGTCTTTGACAATTCATTTCAAGATTCTTAAAATATCCAAAGATTGTTCATCTTCTTTCAGATTTTATTAAAGAATCCTCTTATCAGCAAATAATGATTTGAAATTGTCAGTCTAAATAATGGCTTGGTGACAATGAAGTGTCTGCAATTATTACAGCTTGTTTCCTAATTTTTTTCTTGCAAAAGGTCATGTTGACCTGGTGACTCTTTGTAGAACTCTCCTTTTTGCATGAAAATAAATTTTGATTTTATTGCATTTGTCTATTAACTTGAAAACATAAGCCAGACCCTCACATAAATATAGGCTTGAAATTAAACATTTTCTATAACTTCCAAGAATAGACTCTCAAAACAAGTAGAGATCCAGTTGTGTTGGTGTACTTATGCAGACAAAAAATTTTTGCAATGTTTTTCTGATTATCTGAAAAAGTTTCATCTTTTTTGTGCTCCATGAAATGCTGTAGTTTTGGCAATAAACATGGAATAGGTTTATGGTTTATTTTTTGAAACCCCTGTAGATTCTATCTTGACCTGCACATTGAATCTTCTTCTGTCTCTGAAATATTATTTAATGTGTGTGTAGGGCTCCAGTAAGGAAAGGCTCCTGAAAATTATCTGAAAATTATCATACTAAAAGGTTGTTTTCCAAGCGTTTGCACTAACTTGATGGCTACATTTATATGGTTGGGGGTCATGGAAGATCTTTATAAAGTGACAGGAAAATCTTTAAATATTCTTGTCTTTTTTTAGAGATCACCCATCTGTTCTTTCAAAAGGAAAATGACTGGGGGTACAGCAATTTTCTCCAGTGGCAAGTGAGTCAAGATTTGTTTTTTTTTGCATATCATAAGTGTGTAAGTTTTTTGAGACAATTTTATTTTTATGGGCTTTACCTGAAATAGTCGGCCTCTCAAGTTTTCAGTCACCTGATTTCGTAAATTTGATGAAAGAGGTGTTATCTTCTTATTACAGGATGTTATTGATCCAGCAAAAGGTTACATCAAGAATGACACCATTATTGTTGAAATATCAGTTCAAGCTGATGCACCACATGGCGTTTTGTAAGTTTAACTGTCAGTTTTCCACTTATTCAGAGCAGAATTATTTTGTGATTCTTGTGTTACACTACCTTAAGTAGATTCATTGAATTTGTCTGCTAAACTTTTTCTACTTGTTCCCATGTTATTTTCTAAGACATATGCTCTGAAGAGATATCTCTTTTTGCCAGGTTTTCCCCATTTCCCTTTAAACTTCATTTGGAGTAAAAATTGGCAAACAAATAGAATTATAATGAACCTTAATGGACTGGTACAAATGAATTAATACGAGCCAGAAAAATTCTTTAGTTGATAAATGGTAACTCTTCTTTGTAAGAAGTAAAACTTCGTATATCAGTGTGAAACAAAATAAAAATTCATATCTTTTCTATGCACATCTGGTTGTCATAAAAAGTAATCATCTTTTTATCATAATTTCGGCATCTCTTACCCAAGCGTGAGTTATGCAAAAGTAGCTTGTTGTTTGCACAGAAGATGGTTCTGTCCTTTAGGGTCATCATGAAGCTCTTCAGTAGGTCAGGGCCATTTGAGCAAATGGCAGTTTTTAGTAGGTCAGGACAAAATGTTTGTTTGTTACCCAGATACTTCTATTGATAATTAACATTTGCAATCAGTCTTTGTAATATGAAAGAGACTGCGTGGGGCGTTTCGCATGTCTTGACTACTTTGCGCGTGCGAGGGCGTGCGATGTGGACCACTTTTTTATCGGTCGTTACTCATTCCTGTTGTCAAGAACTATAGGTTGCTGCTTTCAAGGAGACCATTTGTGTTACAAACTGAACAGAAACCAAGGAAATTGTCGGACAAACTATCCTTGTTCTTCTTTAAAGATGTTAAATTTAATTAGTTAGATTTTCTAGGAAGTAATAATAGAATCGTTTTGTAATCAATTATGGAAATCTGGGTTGAGAAAATTTTAATTGCTCGTAGAAATTACCATGCATTGTCGAGAAATTACCATGCAGCATCACTGACTTCAGTATCATCGTTGAATTAGCGGATATCATAGCAGATACTCTTAAGAAATATCTTACCATTTGATCGGTGTTCCTTTCACGATGATATGGAATTCAGCGAAAAATCAAATGAGAAGGAATGGCTAGAGAAATGACACAAATGTCGAAATATACACACTTTCATTGAACTCAAAACGAATTTTTACAGCTCTTGATCCAAAAAATCGTTCAATAACAGTTTAAAAATATTTAATAAAACAGTACAGTCACCGTCTCTTCTTCCTCAGAGCTTTCTTCAGTTTCCTCCTCTTTCTCCAGCTTAGGTTTCTTCGATATACCGATGCCATTATCAAGCTTTCTCTTTCTGCTCTTCGAAAGATAGAGCACTGTTGCCCTTTTCAAGATATTTATCTTTCTTCGTCAGTCAAAATATCATCATTGATTACAATACGAAGTCGCATTCCCATAACACTGTATGGCATTAGTAGTCGTTTGATAATTCTGTTCTTTCCCAAACCAAGAAATGTCGCCAGCTCCACTTTGTTTTCTTTCGCCATGATCACCGAAGAACAGAATAATCAGATGGACAGTGAAGACGACTCTTAAATCGCCGAGTTTTGAAAGTTAATAAAGCACCTTGGTGTTGATTGCAGATTACCCCCCCCCCCTTGTTCCCCCTTGGTTAAATAACTTGGTTAATTAAGCGATCTTGTCGTAACTACTTTGTGACACCGTTGTTAGATCCCGTACGGGAATACTTTAACAATACCTTAGAAAACGACAAAACTGCCTTTGATTTTGGCGGCTTTGATTTACCGCTGCTTTAAGAATCTTCGAAACATAAGCGATTTTTAAAGTTTTTTGGCAAATTCTTTGTTTTGCGCGTGCGATGATTTGCACGCCTTGGGCAATTTGGGCGTGTGTGGAGGCGATCGCACGCCTCATATTACAAAGACTGTTTGTAATGAAACTACACTTAGCAGAATTATATAAACATTGAATTTAGATAAAATATGTCTGTGAATGTTTGTTCATGTACCTCATTTGTTAAAGTGCCAGAACCAAACAGCTGTGTTTTTTAAATAACCATGTAAGGTACCTTTAACATAGTTTTAGCTTTGAAAAGCATGATACTGCCTAGCGAAAGCCTTCTCTCTCTTCTCGTTTTCAGCTGGGACTCCAAGAAACTCACCGGCTACGTAGGACTGAAAAATCAAGGAGCAACTTGCTATATGAATTCATTGTTACAAACACTGTTTTTCATGAGTGAGCTTCGAAAGGTATGACAAATAGCGCCGAGTAATGCCGACTTATACCGAGTCGTACCGAGTGATAACGAATAGTCTCATATTTTATAGAATATATAAACCTTTTACTTATTAAGCAATCATTGAGTTGAGCTTATCATGGATATTATCTTTAGTTAAATTGAGACGTTTACTTAAAAAAAGTTTCATTCACTTTTCTATGTAACTCCCAGTTTTTGTTACACTTTGATTTCGGCTTCTTTCTTTTATGACCTGGCTAAACGCCAAGTACTTTAACAATAGATAGATCAAAAACTTGCCCCCCCCCCCCCAATATTTGACTAAGTGATTCTGGCGAAAGGCTGTCAGATTCAAAACTCATTTAAAAATCCAAGTATTAAGACAAAATGCAAGATCTCGACACTGCCTTTGCATAATTTTACTTTTCAACTACTGTGTTTTTCTATCCCCTTGCAGGCCGTCTACCAAATGCCGACAGAAACTGACGATATTAACAAAAGTGTCGGGCTTGCTCTTCAAAGAGTTTTCTATGATTTGCAGTTCAGGTTTGTTTATATCCTAATCAGTCTTAATTTCAGCTGAATTGTGGCTTATACGAACTACTTCACACTGAATCTCTTTAGCTGCTTTTTGAGTCCAGCAACTGATCTTACGGCCGAGAAATTAATTTTTTTTATGAAAAAGAGTAATGGGATGGGCTTAGGTGAAATAGAATAATTGATAGGATTTCTATCGGATTATTTTGTAGGCTTAGAAATTACTCATCCTGTACTCTGTAAGTATAACTGTCACGAATGACATTTGAAGATGGTGCAAAGCTTTGCATGTGACAATATCATGAGAACCAGCAAAGCAGCTGTGTGACAGGCCTTTCGTTAGATGCTGAAAGCATCCATTCCTGAGACCCAATGACTAAAGAAATAGCTTAATACCTTGGTAGAATTAGTTTATTTTATTTTGATTAAATATATACTAAAACAGATAACCACCTACGGAGTGATTTTTTGAATTAGAAATTGAATACTCTACCACCATGGCTATTTTGTAAACAATTTCGCTGTGTTTCAAGCACTTTTTGACATCCACATAACCTGGGGCAAGAATTTCCTTGGAATCCAAGATCTGTGTGCAATATACTCGCCAGTTGGGACGAGAATTACGGATCTTTGCAAGATAATCGACCATTTGTCTGGATAAAGGTTAAGTGTCAGCCTTGAACGTGCTGATCCTACCACTCCTATTGAGCCTACTCCAAGAGATCAAATGTAACTATACACAGATTACAAAGCAAACTTCATGTCTTTGAACCCAAGGATTTTAAAAAAGATCTGTGTTTTATTTCTGGCACTAATGCATGCTCAGAAAATTGCAAATTTTACGGAGGGTATTTGTAGTTCTTTATGTTTTCAATGTCAGTTTAATCAGTTCGTTAAGAAGAGGATTCTAATTCCGAATTGCTAGCAGTCTTTGTAACCAGCTTCAATGAAACATCGCTCCCTTATTTTAGGAATAACATTCATGTTAAGTGAATCAGAGTACACGGCCTTTACAGATAGTCCGTGTATAATGATGGCAGCAAAACAGTTTCTGAATGGAACAAACGCATTGCTTGGTTGGAACCAAATTGTAACAAGCACTTAATGTCATTGGGAGCATGCTTAATTTAGGTATTTTGTATTTCCCGTGACAAGTAGTTCACTCTTCAATGGAACGTTTCTTGCTTTCAGGCTTAGCTTTACTGAATTCTCTAAGAAAACTATATTATCCTCTCATTCCCATCCGCCTTATTTAGATATCCTTTTATCCTGCAGTGAAGAATCTGTTGGTACAAAAAAGTTGACAAGATCTTTCGGGTGGGAAACACTTGATAGTTTTATGCAGCACGACGCACAGGAGCTTTGTAGAGTGGTATGTTGAAGTCATTTGAATGTGTTTTGCCTTAAGAATCTTTTTCATCGACATATAAGTTGAAATGAGTTGAAACAACCTTCACTTTTCTTGACTGTGTGTCGTGTCTTGTCCTTGAAAAGATGATAGAGTTCTTAACTGATGATGTCACAAAATATTTTTCTGAATTTTTGCATTTTGAACCGTAATCTGAAAGAGCATCATACAATACCTCTCTGCAAAATCAGTTAAAGGTATTATGAATTGGCTGAGACATGACCCGATGAGCACAAGCTCTGGCCCCATCAAATCTCTGTTCATATTTTTATGACTAATGTCACATCAAATTGTTGACATATTTAACTTTTAATCTTTATATAATATTTAATATATAGTAGTATTTCACGGTGCTCTTTTAGGTTATGTGGTCAAAATTCGGAAGTTTAAAATTAGATTTTTATGACGTCAAGTTTCAATTAATTCTTTATAGCTTATCGCTACTGGTTCAGGCCTGTTTGCTGATGTGTAACTCTATTTTGCTCATATTTTTCCTTATTACCAAGCCATTTCATTTTTCATTGTACTTTTCTTCTTGGCTTGTGTTTATCACATTTAAAGCCTGGACTCCATGATATGAAACTGTTCTCCAACTGATTTTTAGCTCCTGGACAATATGGAAAGTAAAATGAAAGGAACAATTGTTGAGGTACATTTGTTGTCATGCTCTCATTTTTTTTCAACACGTTTTCGTGGCGTAAAAAGCCTTAATCCAATGTGCAAATAATTGCCTCTAATACTGCTTTGCTCTTGTTAATCATTGGGCTATTTCTTATGTTTGAAATATTATCTCTTTCTTTCCATTAGGGTACCATACCGCGTCTACTCGAAGGAGAAATGGTTGTAAGTAAACAAATTGGCTGCTTGCTTTATAGTCAGTAAGAAAGAAATTTGCAATTTCGCAATTCCTTTACGGCATAGCATTTGAAAGCTTTACTTATTAAATTCAGCAAAAATTGGATTCTGATTGCAAAAAGAGGGCCAAGTGTATCACAAAAATCCACCTTTGCTCAATTTGATTTTCGCTTAGGACAATACATTTCCAAAGCTAGTGGATTTTGTATCAGAGGTTGCACAATATCACACGTTTTTCTCAAAGATCTACTGATATAAACAGGTCCAGCACGGTTGTTTCAGATAAAAAAATATACCTCGAGTATGGATAGTTTTCAACTTCAAATCCTGACAAGATATTAACGTGACCCAATGTCAAGGTTTGTAACGAACCTGTTTCTCATGCTAATCGCCATCTGACAGCTAACACCAGATAAAATTAAATTACAAGCATTTTTTTGAAAATCAGAAGATATCACTACAGCTGTAAGTAATGATGAAAAGTTGTACTGTTGTTACCAGTTTAGTACCAGTTGCTTTTAGTAAAAAAATCCCTGACTTACCATTTATCGATGCCAATCTCATATTCGGTTTATGTCATTGCTTTGTTCGAATCTTTTGGAATGTAAAACACTTCGTCCGATGGAGTGTAGACCAGTGATCATGCCATCAAATTTTGCTACTGTGCCAGTATGCCTGGTTAGAAAACAAGTGCGTTTCGAGCAAAATACTCAAGTTTTGCTCATTATCCGCAAAAATTTTCTTTATCTGCTAATGAAGGTGATATCAGGTGCGAGTTTGGATTATTGATGAAGCCTTGTATGCCAGGGCGAAATTTTAATGTGCCGTAAGTCCTCGATTTGGCCCCTCCTCGAAAAAGCCCCCCCCCTGGAATAAGCCCCCATCCTACAACTACAAATTGTTAATAAGCCCCCCCCCCCTCAAATATGCCCACCCCTCGAATAAACCCCCACTGCTACCGTAAATTCTCGAATTGGACCCCTCAGTTCGATGATTTTTGCCTTCCGAGGTTGTCTATGGCGTTTTATTAAATTGCCACAGCAAATTCATACTTTTGGTAAGATTTAATTAAATGCACATAGAGACATTCCTACTATAATAAACGAGTGACCCCTTCGTATAAGCCCCCCCCCTCGAATAAGCCCCCACCCAAAGATATCAAAAATAAATAAGCCCCCAGGGGGCTAATTCGAGGATTTGCGGTATGTTAGATCGAATTTCAATTTTAAAATTTTATTTCGCAACGTTGGATTCTCGTCATCTTTTTGCCTTATTCCTGACAATTACCTTGACAATTGCAAAATACACAGAATCCGGCGGACAGCCTATTCTGTGTTTCTTCCTTCTTGTGAATTATCAGCCTCACATGCAACTCCGAACGAGTGCGAATTTTTCAACCTGGCCAATTGTCAGAAGGCTAATCCAGTTATTCTTCGTTTTAGTCATATGTGCAGTGTCTCCATGTCGACTACAGGTCCAACCGGTATGGTTCCTTTCTATTCCACAATTACCATTGACAAAACATCTGCCTTTGTTGTTAGAATCTATTAGACTCATCAAAAGTGACTTTAATCAAATTGAATTTCGCGAAATCTAGTATCATCAAAACGATTTTTCATTTGAGAGGAATTAAATCGTCATAATATGTTAAGCTATCTTGTTAGACTGTCTTTAGTTTAACCGTAACAAGATCTTTTCCAACTTAGATTCGTAAATAATTTAAATGCTGAAAGAGTGATTTTGTAAATGCCACAACTTTTTTGAAATCCTTTCTTTTCATTAAACCCTTGAAACATGAAAATATGTTTTCCAGTCGCTAGTGAAGTTGTTTCTCGCAATTTGTTCTGTTTCATTTAACAGGTAGCAGAATTCTCCTTTTCTTATGTAATATTTGGCCCATCATTGGAAGTTTCATTTAATATGAATTCCAATTTGAGTTTGAATATGAATTTTGGCAGGGAATAAGAAATTCACAGCTTATCAATAATACCCACATCTTCTGACACAGGATTCATTTCAATTGTGTAAATAGCTTGGCCTGGAATGGTGAATGATTTTCAAGAGTATATTTTTATTGCGATTATTGGAGATCAGCAATCCACCTATGATGCTTATCAAAAATCTTGCTTGCTACCCCTTGCTAAATTTTTGATTCTTTTACCACATCCAACTCTATAAAATGTTGTTTCCTGCAAAGTTACGAGGTTCGATGTATTCCAATGGATTTATTTCGGATAACTATAATATTTAAATCTAGAGCCAACATTGTTGAAGATAGGGGGTGTGGTGTCAGTCTTTTTTATCAGAAAGAATAACTTTTTTCAAACAACACTGAAGCAACAGGGCATCCTAAGAACTTTTAGCAAGGAATTGTACAGATGAATTTTACATGTGAATTGTACATGTGATACCGAAGACTCTGGAATCAGTTGTTTTTATTATGTGATCAAATATGTTATAGTAATTTTCGTTTTTCTTTCCTAGAAAAGAGCCGTTTTATGATATTCAACTCAGTATAAAAGGGAAGAAAAATGGTATATATCTAAAAATTATGCAAGCATTATTTTTTCAATGCTTTATATGGAATGAAGTTTTTTGTAAGTGTTTTGGTGCATGTATTGATTAAATTAAATTATTTTTAGTAATGAATTTACAATTTAGTAGGGATGAGCTAACAATGCATTAAACTTCAAAGATAGATTCGTTTTATAACTCACAGTGTTATTGTCGTATTTTACTTTATGTTTTGAAGATTAAACTACTTCAAAGGAAAAATTGAAATTAACATAGATGGGGGAGGCCTACCAAATGAAAACTGATAATATTTTGTTTCGCTTTTTTGAACGAGCTTCACAGGAATGATTTTGAAATTAACATCCTCACCTCAGATTGTGAAAACTCTATGTTCATTTTAGTGTATGAATCGTTCAAAGAATATATAACACCAGAAAAGCTTGAAGGGGATAACAAATATGACGCAGGGGATTATGGGATGCAGGTATGGTTTTTTCAGAGAATAATGAAATGATGATTGATTGTAATTGGTTCAGATTTGTCCTGTCCTGTCCTGTCCTGTCCTGTCCTGTCCTTTCATATCCTGTCCTGTCCTGTCCTGTCCTGTCCTGTCCTGTCCTGTCCTGTCCTGTCCTGTCCTGTCCTGTCCTGTCCTGTCCTGTCCTGTCCTGTCCTGTCCTGTCCTTTCATGTCCTTTCATGTCCTGCCCTGTCCTGTCCTGTCCTGTCCTGTCCTGTCCTGTCCTGTCCTGTCCTGTCCTGTCCTGTCCTGTCCTGTCCTGTCCTGTCCTTTCATGTCCTTTCATGTCCTTTCATGTCCTGTCCTGTCCTGTCCTGTCCTGTCCTGTCCTGTCCTGTCCTGTCTTGTCTTGTCTTGTCTTGTCTTGTCTTGTCTTGTCTTGTCTTGTCTTGTCTTGTTCTGTCTTGTCTTGTTTTGTCCTGTCCTGTCCTGTCCTGTCCTGTCCTGTCCTGTCCTGTCTTGTCTTGTCCTGTTCTGTCTTGTCTTGTCTTGTTTTGTCCTGTCCTGTCCTGTTCTGTCCTTTCATGTCCTGTCCTGTCCTGTCCTGTCCTGTCCTGTCCTGTCCTGTCCTGTCCTTTCATGTCATGTCCTGTCTTGTCCTGTCTTGTCCTGTCCTGTCCTGTCCTGTCCTGACCTCACCTGACCTCACCTGACCTCACCTGACCTCACCTGACCTCACCTGACCTCACCTGACCTGTCTTATTTTCTCTTATTTTTTCTTGTCATGATATACGCAGCAAACGGAGTTAAAATGACATTTAAGATTTTAAAAACAAGACTGATTTAAAGTTTTGGGTTCTCTTGTTTAGCATTATTTTCCTGGCATCGTTTTTATAGTTAAGATGTATTTTTTATGTAAATTTGAATTTTGTATATCTACAGGATGCAAAGAAAGGTGTCATCTTCAAAAAGCTGTCACCAGTTTTGCATCTGCATCTGCTCCGGTTTCAGTACGATCCAATGACAGACTCGAATTATAAAATTAACGACAGGTAAGTTTTAACAGATTTGTTGGAAGCGTAGCTTACGGATTCAATCAAACATAAAGTTTTGAGTTTATCGTTCGTACCAACTTCAAGTTTGGATTTTACGAAATTATACCATCAGCAAAAATTGAAACGGCAGTATATTAAAGATCGTATAAATTCTAAATCTGGGTCTGATTTGATTTGCGAGTTCAATTTGTACATTTCGCTTGTGAATAAAATTGCGCTAAGGCAATTCGAACACAGTGTCTTATTAAGGCCATTTGAACGACTATCCACACTGAAAAAATTTCGAAATAGCAATTTTTTTTAAACTAAACAGGCTGCTTTTGTAATAGTTTTTTCGGTTATGCAGGCTTTTTGCGGTAATTTTGAAAATGTTTGTTTTCGTTTCAGGTACGAATTTCCTGAAAAGCTTGATTTAAGCGAGTTCCTTGAGAAACCCGAAGAGACACCATCCACATACACTTTGCACGCTGTTCTTGTACATAGTGGTATGTTGTTTCTCCATTTGCCGTGTAAATTTACAGCCTCACCTTATTCCTAGTTGTACACTCTTGTTGTTAGTTTTTGAAAGTAGGAAATGATGGCCAGGACTTTTCAGAATGCCCTGTTCTTCTCGATTCCATTGCCAATCGTTTTAGAACCGCCATTGGCAGAAATTTAGCAAATCATTCTTTGCCATATCTTTGTTTCCTAAATGATAACAACGTTTTCTTATTGCTTCACATTGACTGAAAAATGTATTGATATACTTGGCTCAATTACAGTTTTGTAAAGGCGAGAACAGCTGATCTTAAATATCGATTTTCTCTAAACTGCTAAAATCAACCCAATTTGATTTAAGAAATAGGATTTGGACATTGTAACAGAAAGATAACTTGCATCATGTTTCTCCACTTGTTATACACAAGGAGGATGTCTTATTACTCTTTGTGTCCTAGCAAAACCATTAGATTTTATTTGTTGAATGCTGTTGTCTTTTTGTAGGCGATAATCACGGGGGACATTATGTTGTGTATATCAATCCCAAGGGTGATGGACAGGTAAGAAATTCTTCCTTCATCTCGCAGCTTCCGATGTGTCTGCTTACATTTATTTTTCTTATTTGAAGTACCTTTTCATGTTCTTACAATGTTAAATCCTACACCAACACGTATACTCACAAATAATGTTGAAATGAAACTCGTCCTTGCTTTTGGTACAGGTATATTCAAATCTTTAGTCTTCCCACTACTTATTCTCAAGATATTGAATGAAGTTGTTCAACGGCCAGACTCCTAAGTTTCTCCGTTAATTTCTTGATCTTTGTAACAGTTTTCTTCAAACCTCCGATTTCAGACTTTTTTTCTTGATTTCTCAGGTAAATGAAAAAATTAAGCATGTATTTATTGATTTTGTATTCTGTAAAATTGAAAAGGTGAATCTGCATTTAAAAAAAATTTTTTGTTTTAGTGGTTTAAATTCGACGATGATGTTGTTTCACACGTTAGTATCTTTCAATTCTTAATCCCTTCATTTAGATATTATTGTTTCAAGCATCGGTTGTCTCATTTGCATAAAAATTTTGATCAGCCTTCATAAGATTCATAGCTTGACTTTTATCATAGCTAGAGCATCGTTTTCCTTCGCCGTGGAATCAAGTTGATGAAAATAGGCCAGAAAAATCATTTTCACAAGAAATAGGCCTATTAAAGTAGAAACTAATTTGTTATTTGTTTATTTCATTCGGCTTTTAAAATTATATTGAAAGTAAAAGGTTTTGACACATTACAGCTGAAGATCATATGAAACATTTCGCAACATTGTAAAGTATGCTGTCCTCAAACACCCTTCTCAGCATATGAAATGTTGACACGGTGGTGTTGACAGTCTGAGAAAAAGTATTGTTACATGTCATGAAAATTTTTCTGCTGCCTCGTTATCTATCAAAAGGTTTTTCTTACAAACAATAATTTCGATGTAGCATTTTCATTATGATTATTTATAATTCAAATTTAGTTTTTCCTCAGTATTTATAACCCAAAGCAAATCAACGAATGATAGAAACACAAATATTTAACCACTGAATGTGATATGGATTTTTTCAAATTTATCTAGGCAACCAAAAAGGAAGCAATTGAAAATAATTTTGGTGGACACGACGTAAGTATTATGAATTTTTGTTTGAAACACCATTATTTAACTATGATTGAAAATCTGAATAAGCAATATGCAACATGCTAGAGAACACTTACTTGCTTATTTTCAACTTAATTGCTTTGAAATATTTTAATACTTCGTTGAACTCTTTTTTGTTCACTTGGAATCTCAATTTGAAGGATCTCGCTGTAAAAGGCAATTATTTCTGGAAATCTGTTGAATAAGAGAAGCATTTTCTGCTTTATGAAAGTATTGCTTTGAACATTTGCCTCCGAGCATTTAATACAAAAAACCGTCAGGAATTCTCAACCTGGTTTTGATTTTAACTTGAATATGATTGAATAATTGAATTTTTCAAGAAGATTTTTTGTATTATTCTGATAAACCGAAGCAAAATACTATTTTTTTATATTGTGGAGTATAATTTAATGATCTTTCGGGAAATTAGGTTTGTAAATATGTGTGGATTGGCAGATTCTGGTGCATGTAGATTTTTTCGTTTCTGTATTTGTCGTGTTCTTTAGTCTAGTATCCATAAAATTGCTCTTGCAGGAAGACCTAACTGTGAGGCATTGTACCAATGCATACATGTTGGTATATGTCAGGGACAGTCACATAGGTTGGTGTCACATATTGTCATTATTTTGTCACTTGGCTACCTTAATAATCTGAAAAATTTTACCATGCTATTAGGCCTAAGCACTGTATTTTTCACTTCATCAAGTTAGAAACTTGCTTTAGATATATTATACTTCAGTATAAGTTGGCGAGGTTCAGTTTATTGGAAATTTGCTGTCAATGAAGGAAGATGAAATGGCCCTTATGTGGCCACAGATCTGTCGCCATATTTCATGAGATTCCTTAAACTGATATCTGTGTCACATTTCCATATTACCTGTAAACCACTTCTATTTAGCATCGAAACAATTTTTTGCATAAATCCCGATTTATATAAACAATCCTACCAATATATGAGCACTAATCGTTTAATTTCATATCACGAAAAATTGTAACCAGGCAATAATGTTTCTGTTAAAGTACTGGGGAATTTTATTATTATGTATGTGACACAACTTATTTCACTTTTCGAAAATCTGTAAACTGTTAGTTTGAAAAGATGCAAGTTTGCTGTATATGCTTATTGCTAGTTTCCGATTGTATTCCATGATATTTTCATTTGTAGGTCAAGTATTGCAAGAAGTACGTGACGAGGATATCCCTGAACATCTCAAACGAAAGTTTCAAGAAGAAAAGTAAGTTACTCTTTCACAATTTTTCAACAAATTCTAATACTTCTCTTTTGTTATGTTGGAAAATCATCCAGAAAATTGATAGGTATAGCATACCATCAGCAAATTTTACTTCATGTAAGAGCTGATTGTTTTTACTAACTGCAGTTTCGTAACATAAGGTAGGGGTAGTTAAGAACCAGAGAAGAAGTTCACCAAGAGCAAATGCTGGTATCATTTCCGCATTCTTTTCTGTAGCTTCTGCCGTCAAACAGTTATCTAGAGTTTTTTCGACGTATCACCGTGGAGACTCTTACAACTCGGTGCTTTACTGGGTTTCGTATCACACAGTTAATTCTCCTCTTACCAATCATTATCGTGTCTGAAATAATCGTAGCCATTCCCTTTAACAACCAGTGAAATCAGGTCTTTAGGCCGCTCTGATCCTCCCCGTTGGTTGAAACATCACTGATGAGCGCACAGGCTTCTAGTTTGCCACAAGCTGGCCAGGCGATGCCTTAAGACTTGCCTTGTATCAGCCATCTCATATTAGGCCCATTTTGAGTCATAATCTCTCTGTAACTGCATTGGTATTGATGCTGTTTTTATTTGATTCAGACGTCTTGAAGCCCAACGACGGAAGGAAAGAAGCGAAGCTCATCTTTACATGGACGTAGATGTGAGTACATGTTCCTCGTGGTAATTACAAGGGTGGGGCTTGGTGTGTTCATAAGGAGTGTTTGAAATTGGCTGTTATGGTCACAGAGTGCGTGAATACTGAAATAATAAGGGCGGAGGTCGGAAGACGAAGAGTTGGCCCGTTTTCGTTAACACACGCTTTACGTTTATTTCATTTCTTTTGAAGATGTTTATTGAGGGATAAATTCATATTATAAGACTAAATTGCTTCACAAACTGCTCCTTTCCCAGATAATAATTTTAATATGAAAAAGAACATGAAAAAGTACATGAAAAAGAACAGTAAAGAATTTTCTTTTGATGATCGACATCAAATCTTGTTTCCAGCTGTGCTCTATTGTCTCTTTATTTGTTATTTTCCCATATTTAAAGTTAGGGTCCTGATATTCTCTTTTGTTTGTTTATTTGTGTTTAAATGTTTTCATCATCATAGGTCGTTACCAGCGATGTTTTCTACTCATGGAACGGCAACGACCTTTTCGATATTGATCGATATAGGAAAATGTATGTTTAATTTTGAAATATTTGAATGAATTTTTTATTATAATTGACATTTTTTAAAAGTGTTGCAAGATCGCATACTAGTGTTGAAGGGTATAAGACGTAGCTTTTCTCAACTGTCCCTTCAAGAGTCGTATGCAGGGGCGGACACTTGATCAAATATTTGGGGGAGGGCAAGCCTATTGTTTTGATAAGATGACGTCACATTTCCCATTGTTTTAGAACAAAAGACCATTGTCCTCTAAAGTATTGAGGGCAGTCCCCCCCCACTCGCCCCCCTCCCCACTCCCCCCCTCGCCATCAAATGCGATCTTGAAGACATATAATATTGTTGACATATAACATATAACATTGGCAAGGTGTTGATATGGAGTATAGGTATTTGCTCCGTAATTATTAGCGCCGTCTGAGGTTGCACCCTGACATATGCACCTGAGCAAAGAAACCAGGGGGTATTGTCTTGAAGTCGTTAGAGTACCCTTTGGCTAAACAGACTACAAATAACTACTTTACTTTTAACGGCTCGACCAGTAGAAATTATTGATATTTGCAAGCGCCAAAGTTTTGCGGAAATATTTTATATTTCTTTAGCAATTAACCAAGCAAATATATTCTTTTCCAGTCGTTTCAGAGTTCCTAAAAACGAAAAACTGAGTGACTTGATGAAAAGACTAGCAAATTTAATGGTACACAAATTAATTATTTTACACCATTTTGTACTCACATTGTAACTGTCGTAGTAATCTACAAATCTATAGTTGCCTTTAATTCTTATTCAGACATTGACTTGTTAAGAAATGTTAGGAAGTCTATAGAAAAAGTTTACCGTTTTACTGGCTTTACATTTTTAAAAAAATGAACTCGTTTTTGAATTAATTATAAAATGCTTAAGAAATGAACATAAAACAAAGGTTCCCACCTAAATTTTTTTCTGACTATCATCTTTCAACGTGATGATTTATTTTCAGCGAATCATGGATAGTGAATCTCCAACACTGTTGAGAGGTTTATGGTTCTACAAATTTTCATATCCAACATAAATCAGTATAACTTAACTTGACTCGAAGTGGCCGTTTTTGTTGAAACCAAGTCATATATTTTACATACTTAGAAATGTGTAACGCTTTTGTTGTTTTATTCGAAATCCTACAGACTATAACCAAAAATTATTAATTATTAAGCCAAAAAATATAATAAATAAAAAAAGGCTTCGTTTGCACATAAAAGAAATTCGACTTCTATTGATTCAAATCGTTCACCAATTGTTTCTTCCCCTAACCTAATCTATCTTTCTCTGCCTAACAGGGCTACAGCTCGCCTGATCAACTGCGTCTTTGGCCTCTGTCAAGACGAACTAACAACACAATTCGACCAAACTCGTTCGATTACTCTAATGTGGACAAGAAAAAGTTCCCAACGATCAACGACGTAGATGTGAGTGAAACTGTGACCTCGTGACCTTATCAGCTAATACGCTGGTCTTTATAAATACTGTAATTTCTAAACAAATATCTCTTTATGAACCCTTTTTATCTTCTCTCTTCCTATTTTTTCGTTTTTTTTGTCTTGCTTGCATACTTGAATTGTGCAGTTAAAATATGGTTTTCGTTTTTAATATAGTTTCCACATTCATTGATCCAGTTTTTGAACTAGAAAATGAACAATGATTTCGATATTTGTTTTTAATTCCGAATGTCTTTTAACCCGCATGAAGAGACCATGGCCACTTTCTTTTCATGTGATAATGTAGTATATTGGAAATTAATATATGGTTTCCGGAACTGCATTCTTTGGTTTTTCATATTTCATTCATTTACTAGTTTTCGTAAAAGATAAGCAACATAACTCTTACTAGTGTGATTTTTAGTTGTTACATATCAAAATTACAAATATTTCTTAATGTTGGTCCTATACGCTATAAGACAGGGCTGTCTTCTTAAACTTGAATTGCCCCGACATATTGTTTTGCAAAGAAGCATAAAGCATGTTAATTTCATGTTTGGAAAGGTGCCTAGGATTGGCTTCCACGTTTCCTCTAAAGAGAATAGACAGAAAAGGCCTTTAACTCAATTAACTCAATTAAGCTCAATTAGTTGCAGATCCTCTTTCTTATTGGTAAAATCATTGTAAAAATACCCTCAAGACGCCAGACGCCCCCTCCCCCTTACCTCCCCCCTACCTCCCCCCATAGTTGCTCGGTATATGGAGATTTCATCGCGTAGGTTTTAAGATTGTTCATTGTGATAATGATAAAGTAAACAGAGACCTTATCTAATTACAGGTGGCCACTCTCAGCGAACAGGATCAAATTCTACTAGCTTTTCTTGAAACTGTAGACCCAGAATCAGCAGACAAAGTGTTGCCACCTTTCGACGAAAATAACCATGTTTTGCTATTTTTCAAATATTACAATCCAAGGACGAAAATTATGGCTTATTGTGGCCATCATTATGTTCCAGTCACTAAATCACCACGTGAGTTTTTGTAGAATTTATTTCGTTAGAAAAGTTTGCCACGAATAATCTTACGTTTTTGATTACGTTTCCTCCATTTGCCTGTTAAATGTGAACCAAATACTTCGCTTTTTAAGCAGATAACTTAAGGCCACAGTACAAAATTGTTTTTAATATTCATTCCGTTTTCCAGAATTTTTATTTCCAAGGTCTTCTCTTCCAACCTGCAGGAGAACTGTTTCCTCTAATGTGTGAACGAGCAGGATTGCCCAAGGACACAAAACTACTTTGGTTTGAGGTAACGATTCCATTTTTATGTTTCATTATCAGTATTATCGCTTTGATGAGCTGAAGCTTATATCATAATATTGTTAATAAATATCATCTTACTGAATACCATGTCATATTAATGAATCAATATTTTATACGATATTTTAACTGAATATCAATCTATGTCACGGGGTGTATATTATGTCCTCTGGATGAATATCATTTTATCGAATATCATGTCAAGTCGGAATATATATTATCATGCTACTGAATGCAAATTATGATATTATTTTGTAATTTTCTTTTTATAATGATACTATTTTGTACCAGATGTTTCTACTTTCTTTTGGTTCATTAGCCAACAGCCTTATGAATCAAATTATTTGCAAAGATATTTGATGGTTATCAATAATGGTTATTAGTTTTATGATGATAAATATTTTTTTAAGCGCAGAGGATCATGTATATTTTATCAACCAATATAAATTATTCTCTTTAGTCTCAATTTTTATGCTAATCATTTTTATGTAAGTTTTATATTTTTAAGCGCCTATCAGCCCTGGGAAAATACGGCGCTATAAAAATGCCTTTGTTATTTATTATCATTATTATATTTTGAATATCATTAAGGGTTTATTATTAAAGAAAAAATAACAGATATTTTTTAATTGATGTTTAACTGTATTTAAATTCTTTAGTTGGTTTTGCTAGTATATTATTTTTTAAGCTTTCTCTGTTACCTACAGGAAATTCGACCGGGGATAACTGAAAAAATTAACACAGATAAACGATTCGACGAGGTATGTGGTGGCATTCTGTTGGTATTAAACATTGCTTTTATTATAGAAATCATATAAAATATATTTATTCTTAGGTGGTTGAGATATTTTCGAAGGTGAAAAACCTGAGGATTTATGTCTTTCTGTTTTAGCCAGCCGCACATTTTTTGAGGTCTTTCATTTTATTATTTGTCCTTTAGGCTGTTCAAGATTTGATGGATGGTGACATCATTTGCTTTCAAGCGTAAGTATCAGTATTTTGCTTTATTCTTTATTAATTTCTTCATTCTTTTCTTTTTTAAAAACTACCTGCTGTAGTAACTAAGTCTATTGCAAAGGTTCAGTGTCGTATAATCTAAATGAACACGATAGAATTTTCAACAGCTACCAGTGCAATAATCAGATTAAATTTGTTACTATACCAATATTAGTATAAATACAACCGACTTTTATGCTCCACTCCATTTTAATGAATTCTGAAAATCTCTAATTCATCTCTCCTCATTAAACTCACCTTAAATTAGAAGCTGCCGTGTCCCCCTCTTTTTCCACTTTTATGTAATTTTTCTATTCTTTCTTGTAATTTAATTCTGTTACTGTTGCTTATAATTTTTTGAAATTCAGATTGTATAATATTACTGTATATCACAAGCGTATGTAATAGGGCACTGGGCTCGATAACCTTTCAGGTTTATCTCATTGTCCTAGGCAACACTCACGGACATTCTCTTTATAATTCTTTAATTCCTCTTTATGTTTAAGACAATAAGTAAATATATTTTTAATAAACATGCTGTAAAAATATTGCTTAATGAAAGAAATTTGAATTTGAATTTAAACTGTTACAAACGGGCTGAGATATAACCAGCAAAAGATCTAATGTTTAGTAAAGTATTAGTTTCGTTTCGCCTGGGTGTTTAAATTTTGGAAGCAGACCCAAAATATTGTCTGTGATTATGTTGATATATCTTAGGTAATTTTCAATAATATTTAGTTTAAATTCAGCTGCCTCTGCACGTGTAGAACTATTTTGTAATATTTTTTATATAATATTGTCCAATTTCTACAATTCTACGAATATTATCTTGACGTCATTACTGGGTCACTTTTTAATTGGTGTCGATTAAATACTTAATAATGCTGAATACTTACTGATACTGAATACTGGATACTTAAATCGATTATTTTTTATTTAGATACGAGCCTGATCTACTCAGCTACAGCCTTCCTACTTGTGAGGAATACTTCAGGTAATCACAAACAATGATAACCCTTTATTATTACCGCACAGTATCAAGAAAGCAGTACACATTTTATTAGCGTTTTGTCCTCTCACACTGTACAGCAATAACTGTATTTATGCACCAGGGGTCATTGGCCCAGACGCATTGCTTGGGCTTTCTTGGGTGCGTGTCCTTTTCCTGGGGCATCTTTGCAAAAATTGATATAAAGATGGCAAATGTTTCTAGAGGCAGTTTTTTGCCGTCAAGTTTTTTGCCGTCAAGTTTTTTGCATCTTTTCTGTAGCTACGCATGTTGGTTTGCAGACTTTTCTGAATGCAATTCCAAAGCAGATTTTAGAATTATGAACATCATCCTTCATTTACAGAGGAATTTTTTCCTGAAAGTATTGTATTTGTAACTACCGAGCTTCCAAAGCTTCTTTTACATGTTGTTCCTCTCGATGTGACTACAACTAATGACTCCAGCGCCGTGGATTACATGGAGGTAGCGACTTCTCTAAATCTACTAGGTGAAAATTCTGTCATGTTAGGGACTCGAACCCCAGGTCATTGGGCCTGTAGTCCCTCCTCACAATATGATGAACTATGAGTGTTGAACGAACATATTTTTGTAAACTTTCCAGCAGTTATAAGAGAGAAAACTCAAATGTTTTTATTTCTCGAATGTTAAGGTCAAGTTTTGTATTTATCGGTGCTTTTATACGCAAGCTTTTTGGATATCTGATGGAGTTAGATGTCTTTAATTTGTTGTTCCATTTCAGGGACTTATCAAACCAGATAGATGTTATTTTATGCGATAAAAACATCCCAAATGATGCTGGGTTCAACGTCAAATTGTCTTTGAGGATGCAATACATGCAGGTTTGTTCTTCTGCCGATGCAAATTCCAACGACATTACTTCGAGATATTTATCAGGGAGGCTTTTTAGTCATCTGAAGTTGTGAAAACAAGCTGAAGACGGTTTTAAGCTAATCATTAACTGACATTTTCATCAAAGCCTTTTTGAATAAGAATTTAGCTACTGTTGGGTAAAAAGTTTTATCCCCAAAAACTTTGAGATTTGCGCGAGGGTATACAGTTTGTGCGTCAATGTCTGATTTTTGGAAAACGTTTACATTTGTGCATCATTTATCATCACAATGTCGAATTTTTATTGTCAATCAAATATGAATTAGATATATTTACAATTAGGCCATTTGTGCCATTTTATGCCAATTTTTATATTGTACTTTATTTTGTCAACATTTATCTTTAAATTGTTACTACAAATATGTTTTCAGTTTGATAGGCACCTTAGATTAGTTTATTACTTCATCGCCCTTTTTGATTTTCGTTTTCATTTCCCCCTGTTTTTCTTGTCAATGCAGCTCGCAGAAACAGTCGCAAAGCATCTTGGGTGTGATCCGATGAAGCTGCAGTTCTTCAAACCACAAATGTAAGCGAATATTTACCTGCAAAATGAAAAATATTGTTCTTTTTATTTTCTTAAATGACTTTATCTAGTAAATCAGTTAGAAGTACCCAGATCTTCCTTTTTATTTCAGGTACCTTTTCGTTTGAAAGATGCCGTCAGATTCAATAAAAGTTTTAAGTTGCATATACAAAAGAGTTGTGTGTTGAATTGCTCAATGTTCATGATAACTTCAGAAGCATTTTCAATCTCTTATGTTCTCAACTAACTTTTACATTGATTTCGTTCGTCCTTAGGTACAGGGATGCGGCAGGCAGCGCTGTCAAATGTAGCTACGAGGGCACACTTAGGGATATGCTAGCAATCTTCCGAAGTCGATCGCCGAAAAAGTTATATTATCAAATTGTAAGTACCTTGGCTAGAATATCTTTTCTACTAGTCGTATATTCCTCCAGGAAAACAGTTTTTATGATCCTGATTTTCTTTTCCTTGGTAACTCATCATTTCTAAATTGGCTCCCTTAACTCCTTCATCTATCCATTTAATAAAGTACCCACGTTACAAAAGTAGTATAGCTTACTACTTTCCATTTGTTTGATTAGCGTCATGTAATACGTGAATGGCCCTCTATGTCAAAGCATTAAGAAACTTGCTTATATCTTCGAACCTCACGAATATTCGAGCAAATGGTATGCAGGGTTATGTCCTGAAACGTTCTATGCTTAATGAAGTGCGTAAGTTCACCTGGGATTTTTGGTCCAGTCAAAATTGTATACATTTGAAAAAGTTATTTGGAAAGTTTCTTTTTTCTGCCCATTGCTATTTTGTATTCCGCGAGAGTTTTTTTACGAAGTAGATCCTCTTTTTCAGTCTTGCAAAGTAAAGGTGCAATCACATTTGGATCTTAAAAATATTTGTCTTTGCTTCTACCGAGTATCTGAAGGTAGTTTTTGGGATACTAAGAAACTATGCTTATCGAGCAGTGTCCTGGTCCTTCCTCTTGATGTGATCAAACCTAGTGATTCATACGCCTGGAATTACAGAGAGCTGGCGACTCTCCTCATTTGGATCTTGAGTCCACTGCCCTTAACAAATGACCCATTCTCACATCATACCATTCCAGTCACACTGCTCGTAGATATTTTTTCGGCTATTGTACGTATTAAACGTCAGTTGATACAACTCATGTTCCGTCTTCGTTTTCTCCTATAACTATCGCTACCCCATGCCACATCTATGGTGTTTTATTTTGCCATAGAAAAGTGCCAAGAAATGCTATTTGTCATTATATAATCAAAACATTAGTCAATAATTTTCCTCCTTTCGTAGCTAACCATTCCAATAAACATCCTGGAAAATAAATTTCAATTCAAAGTAACGTGGTTAAACGGAAATCTGAAGGACGAGGTAATCTGCTACATAATTTTTTCAATCTTAATTAAACAGTATTTTGCATTTGATATGCAAATTTTACATCAATCTATCTTTCAAGAGGATATTTTCGAAAAGAGCTTCAGAAGTTACAAATACGAATAATGTCATTGTTATTTTGAAAGAGTAATTAATGTTCATCGCTAGATGAAATATCTCAGAATTTGTATTAGAGGACAATTTTATTTGAAAGAAATTTGTGTTGCTGTAGAATATTTTTCTAGGACCTAATCATTTTTTCTGAAAAGTTTTGGAGTTAAAAAATATTTGATGAAGAATTTAGTGACTAGATTTGGCGAAGTAGACAACGTCTTTTTGTCATAAAAGGTTTTTATGAGACATGTTGTAGCTCCTCTAATATAAGACGTTATTTAGTGGGCCTTGATCTCATTCTGACAATCAACACAGCGGGTACCCCGTAGATAAACATTTTTGCTCCTAAAGAATGAATCTCGCTCCTCTCATATCGAAGTTGATGGCAAACTCAATTAAGTTTTATTTGGTATGTTTCTCTTGGCTCGCCTCGACCCAATCCTTATTCGACTCAATGAGAGTTAATGTTTCAGTATTGTATTTGTCGCTATCAAGTTATTTTAGGACGTTTCCAACACAACAACGAAAACAAAAGCCTTAAATTTGTAAGTGAATATATTTAACAAGCATGTATGCACAAATTCACGACATGCTTTTTTTTAACAGCAAGAACTGACTCTGTTTGTGGAAAAAGAAGGCCTTGTGTCTCATCTGTTCAAAGAGGCCAGGCGCCATGTTAGCTCTGCGACCGAGCAGTTTCGATTGCTAGAGATTGTTAGCTGTAAGGTTTATCGTGTTGTACCAGAAGATCAGCCGCTGGAACAACTCACGCCACAAACTCAACGATCGTATAGGCTAGAGGTAATTGCCCGTCATTATTGTATGTTTTCTGTACATTATGAAAGTTGCCGGTCTGTTTTAAATTGCTCGATGCCGAATTTGCGGAGTTGTATTGCCTGATGATTGCATAAAGCATGAAGCTCTGGTTAGCAACTTAAAACCTCCCGGTTATACACAACAAAAACATGTTTCTCTATTCATGTATTTATTATATATAATCTTAACAGTCATGGGCTCGCGGTTCTGATTTGCATGTTTCGATTCAAAACTGGGTATATATATATTTCCTATCTTAGACATTTTCAATCATGCTTTGAAGAGTGTCAGACTATAAAATGTTTCCTTTTCTCAAACCCATAATTACATGTCTATTTTAATTCTTTATCTATTACCAAACATAGAAAGTGGTTTTATTGCATTAACGAAATATTTTGTCTTCCATGTTCTTGTCACGCTGACCCTGAGCCGTCTCTAGGCACATTCTAGGAAATTTTGCGATTAAACATTAACATAATATAAACACCGTGTTAAGCTACTTTTTCCTGCTCATTCAGTTTTCTGGCATCGTTGGCTCAATTTCAAGTTCCATTAAAAAGTCGTTTGAAAATTTCTTCGACATTTTTCGGATACGAAACAAACTGTAATAAACAGAATTGTGATATAAAGAAAGAACTTACGACCTCATTTCTAATGACCATCCACCGTTGTCTCTATCCACTACATACTATCCCTTTTTGGATTGTTACTTTATATTTCCGCTGCGACAATAAAACTCCATTTGCCGTTTATTCGATATGATTAAACCACTAGTTTTTATCAGTTCTATTTGCAGTACTTTTATCTTTAATTTTTTTACCAGGCTGTGAATGAAGAAGACCTCACCATTGATGAGGATTCTGTCATTATCCAAGTAGCGCATTTCAATAAGGTAACAAGCGAATTTTCTTCGAGCGATTGGAGTATTTTTTTGATATATATATACTCAATATAATCTTGCATTGACAGGATACCATTTCTTCAACTACTCTACTATACTACAAGGACGATACCCCAGGGTAGCAAACGATAATGACTACCCCGGGGCCATTACGTAAAGAATGACTAAAATAAAATTAACTACATTTTTTTAGAACTATTTTTTACATTATTTTTTCACGACTTAATCACTTTTTATAGAACTAAGCACATTTAGATTTAGTTTACTTATTGAAGTGATTCATTTGATAAGAGCGATTAATCATTCTTTATCACAACACGTTGGTGATTGTTTGACTGTTCTGATTGATTTCTCGGTGATTATTTGATTCTTTGAATACGCTGCTTATTATAATGATGGGTGTAATGTATGGCAATAATTCTTTGCTCATTTCATGTCACATCAGCCAATTCAGTTCAATTCATTTTAAATTCCACTACATGCAAAACACTCTAATAGTAGGCAACTTTAAACGAATAAAATCTACATATTAATAAACTAAATTTAAGTTCTTTAGGGGAAGAATTCTTAAGGAGGAACTCTCTCAGTAGCTAAGCTAATCGAGGAGAGCGCATCCAACCTTTTTCAGAAGAAAATTAAGAAACTATAGGTGCATGGTGATTACCAATAGTTATGTTTATTCAAAAGTTGTGCTCAATATTGATATATCGTTCAGGTTCAGTTTGAATATGTCACTCAATAGTTATGTTAAAACAGAAAAATTTTCAGTTCCTGACTTGCTCATTCCTTCTGAAACTTACTAACTTCAAGTTATTTCTCTCACCTATACACTTCTAACGAGGTACCATTCACTTTCTAGAAACAATTATTTCTTGACTTTTGACTCTATTTCCAAAGATTTGTGATCTAGGCCCACTGTGATCGATGTAATCCTCTGCTTTTTTAGGAAGTGTACAACACATTTGGGACACCGTTTCTGCTCAAACTACGAGATGTGAGCATCAGTATTTGTATTTTTCATTTATAATACATTTGTGATATATAACTTTTTATCATGATAATTTTTAAATTGACCATAAAACATAAAATATGACATGAATGATATCAAAGTTGTGCTAAAAGCATATCAAATTATAATATGCTGTCGCTGGCATTGTTTTGCGTGCAATTTTCAAATTTAACAATACCATGGTTTATTTTTATACATAGTATAATTAACCTTTTAGAGATTTTGCCCTATAAGCAAAGGCTCTTCCCTCATCAAACCTCTGCAATTTGGTCTAGGTTCATAACTTTATTATGAACCAAGTCAGAATAACATCCGTTTGCTAAACTGCAAACCTTTATGGGCCATATCTCGCCTAATTTTGAACATATCTAACTGATTCTGCATAGTGAGAGGTGCTTTTGCCGTTCGTTAAGATTATGCGGTTGAAATTTAGAAATTTAAAAATATATTTTGATGACGCCACACTTTGGTATTTTATTTTGAGATTAATGAGGATCATTACAAACGGAATTGATTCTCTTAATCATAGTGCGTTCAGAATATTTGAATAGAGATCAGTTTAAATATGAAAATCAATGCCATTTTGTTTGTTTTGCTATCCAACCATAATCTGAATTCCAGGGAGAAAAAGTTGGCTCAGTTCGCAAGCGAATTCGAGAGAAACTGGATATGCCTGAAAAAGAATTCGATAAAGTTTGTATTTATTTATATTCAATTTAATTAGATTGAGCGTTTTTATATCATACAACAGCTATGTTTTCAAAACAAAAACTAAATTTGCATTCCGCGACTCAGCAAAGCTAAATTAGTCACGAGTACCGAAATTAATTTTACTGCATTGTACAGAACAGCAAGCAAACACGCGCTACATACTCATATTTCCTTCCCAGGGCTTATAAACATTGGAACACTTTACCCTCATCCTACTTCCCAAATTCCTATATCCTTTTATCTTTATTCAAAGCTAAAATCGACGAACTTGATCTCACCTCCCTCTCTTCTTAGCCCCTTCCACTCTTCCCTTAGTTAGAACTTTGCTATAGGCGTCCAGGCTCCTCCCGAACATAACCAACAGGAACAATCTAGAGACAAACGCCAAGATGTGTTTCTGATCATTTCTACTTTAAGTCATTTAATATTATTTTTCAAATCATATATTTATGTTCTATTTTCGTTTATTTCACTCGTAGATACGGTTTGCCAGAGTGCAGATGGGGAAAGCAGATTACTTTTCTGATGGTATGCAGTTTATTATATATTATATTATATTATATTATATTATATTATATTATATTATATTATATTATATTATATTATATTATATTATATTATATTATATTATATTATATTTATTATATTTATTATATTATATTATATTATTATTATATTATATTTTTAGTATATATAATATATTTATATTATATTATTTATATTATATTATATTATATTATATTATATATATTATATTATATTATATTATATTAGATTATTTTATATTATTATATTATATTATATTATATTTATATTATATATAATTATATATATTATATTATATTATATTATATTATATTATATATATTATATTATATTATATATCATTATATTATATTATATTATATTATTGTATTTTGGAATGTCACGTTATTTTAATTTTTCCTATGTATCATTTACTGTATTTATTTACTAAATGCTATCATTCTTCAGTGATCTGTGTAAGCCTTTCCTTTGCAGCATTCTATAAAATATTAGATAGAAATATACTTCGGAGTTACCTTACCAGTGCTATGCTGCACTGGAGGACGACTTCACGTATGTTTATTTCCGTTTCAGATGACGATCAGCAAATATCAAGCAAATGTTTCCAATCATCCGCCAACACGACGACAAACAGACCCTGGTTAGGCCTGGATCACGTAAACAAATCATCCAAGCGAACTAGGTATGCTTACGCAGAGAAGCCAATTAAGATTCATAATTGAATCCAACTGTACTTAATTGAAGATCAGCACATTAGAAAATTTCTAAATTCCCAGAGAACACCCGGCCATTTTGCAATGATAGTACAGGTTTGGGTGGTTCAACTTAGCAGTGTCCGGACGAAAAGAAAATAGTCAATCTTGTAGGCGGAATATTCAAGCTTGCACAGGGAATTTTAATTTCGTTTAGTTTTCAGAACAATTAAAGTAAAAATTTAAACTTGGATGGTCTGTTAAAACTCGATTTATCTGTTTTTGTTTGTACAGAGGTCTTTGACAGACTTCGTACTATATATGGCGTTGTGTCGCGCGGGCGCCCGCGGTTGAATCACCCGGATCAAGATATTGCTTTGGTTAGTAGTTTCCTTCTTTGTTATGTGAAATTTAGAAGATTGATCAAAGAATACTTAAGTTGCAACTGCATACCTTTAATTAAGGCTTCTCGTGTAGGAAACCTTTGTAGGCTGAGGTATGGTGCGATCCATTTGAGTCTAACGTGAAAAACCGTGCTTTTAATGCTTTGGCCTAAATCTGGAACCCGGAAATGTCGCTGTAGTTCAAGAATTCTAAGGAAAATATTTCCTTTTTGTCTCTTTTCCTTTCTGAGAAGGCGTCTTGTGTCGATCATGCCGTTTTATTGCTAGATATAAAGATAGAGGGAATCTAATTGATTAATTAATATCAAGAATTCGCTGACTTTTTCTCAAGCCACACGAAACCTTTGCTGCCCCGGTTTTTTGCATATCCTGTCCTGCATAATGACCTTAATATATATAGAATATTTATCGAGGGAGGTTGATTGCGTTTGCCAACCAATCAAATTTAAGAAATTTCTGTCCTTTCCAAGAAAGCATACAAGAAAAATACCCATGGAACCATCTTCATAACCTTTCCTCGCAACCCCCCTTCCTCCATTTAACGGTGCCAACTTATCAATGTTTCCATTTGTTGCAAATTTCTCAACATTGAAACTCTATTCAAGTCATTAAGTTTCCTTCAAGCATCTTTGCCTTTTTGCAACCTCATTTATTATCAAAGCTCGAAATTGAAAAAATCCGTCGAAAGTATTGATAACCTCTTACCAATTAACTAGATAGTTGACAACCCCAGCTGGGTGTACTTTAATGTCTCGGACCTTCGTTTCTGGAATTAGACAGAATTAAGATAGTTCTCCAAAGCAAATTATTTATGTTATTGTCCTATTGTGGTAAGATTATTTTCCTATTTGTTCGCCGAACTCTTTGATTACTTGTACAGCAAATAAAATTTGTCACGTAGTTTCAGTTTTTATGTTCTGTTGTTGGGTGTTCGTTATCAACTTTTGCCAAGCATTTGCATACAAGCTTGAAGCTGTTAGTTTGAGAAATTTCATATGTCGCTTCTGTAAGACTTATCAACGATCATGGTATGCAAATTATCAATTAAAACTTGTCAGATTGCAGTCTCAATGTAAAAACAATAGGATAAAGGAAAGTGTGTTTTGTTTTTTGTGTTCTTTCTTGAAGCTGTTGGACTGCATGCTTTTTCTGAAATCGATACTTGTGGGTAGCAGGGAGTGCCAACCTATCGCTGCTTGTAGGCCCAAATGAAAAGGTGTCAACCTGTTCGTTTTATTGAACAAAATAATTTTTAGATTGTACTGACTATTATATTATATCCACTTATTGAAGTTTTGTCTTTTTACTTTTAACATAATTTTTTTGGCTTGAAAATACTCTGTAAGGTATCCTTTATTTTCATATATTTCTGTTCGTTAATATTTTGTGAGTGTATTAAGTTTGAATTGTGATCATATTATGAAAATTAGACCAATGCATTTTGGGCACACTTATGCCGTGAAAGACTTGGAGAACAATCTAACCAATGAAAGAAGAGAAAATTTCTCCCATCTCGGTTTTCTTTAACAAAAATTTATGGTTCAGAGACAAATATTGAATGAAAGGTGCTTTCGTAAAGAATGAATTGATCACTCCACGCTGGATTTAGTGCTCATCTCCTTAAGCAAATTCGAGAAATTACACTACATGGGGTTGCTGATACGAATGTTATGTGTTTATGTTGAATTTTGTTAATTGGGAAAAGGCTAATTTGTGATGTTAGACTGACTCCGGATTATTGCCGTGGTTTGAAGATGTCTTTATTAAGATTGCATTCTTTGTTAAACTTAAGTTATTTTTAGCGGTGAAGGGCTTTGGAAGGTGTGTGTAAAACAAAAGCAAACGAACGGGATGGACTCCATTGGGATGGGATGTATGGAAAATTTGACAAAATGTCCTCCCTTATTACGTGGAGGACACGCCCAAGGGAATTATGAAAGTCTGGGTGAACCATTCCCCACTTTCTTTATGTTGGAAATACCTTTGATACCGAAATAGTTTATAATTCATTGCCAGCATGTAAGAATGCCCATGAGAATGCATTTTTTTACACGTGGAGGCCTTCGAAGATCACTGGATTTGAGCCACAAACATACTGCTATAAAAGTGCACATTTTCTCTTGCATATAAGAGTTTCGTTTGAGAACGTAACATGTCGAACACATGTTTTGTGTTTCCATCTTCTCTGCCGTTGAAATTCTCTGGACCCTGATCCTGGCTGCCGTATCGCCATTTTGATGCAAAACTACAAGAGAAGGGCGACTAGGCCAAAGAACACCTGCTATGAGAAGCGAAGCTGAACGGAAAGTGAACTTTGAAGAGATTCAAACAAGTGATTTTTCTTTTGCTGGTAAGTCACCATTTGTATACAGAAATTTCATATAAATCTTGGCAATGAGTTAGGGCGTTGAAATATCGAAAACGCTGGTCAAGGTATATTTTCAACGACCAAAGATGATAGCAAATGTGTAATTAGAAATGCCGCATTTATAGTCAGCCGTGACATTATTTGCTCGTATCGGCAAGGAATAAGTTGTTTTATACAGGTGGGGGCAGGGTGTGAGGAGGTAATGTTGTCTTATTTCTAAATTTTGGCGAGTGCAGCACAAATAGCAGTTTAATGGATTAGTTGTATCATTCAACAAAACACCTATAAAACATCTCGAATGCTTTTCAAGCATGTCGCTACATGATACAGACATTACAACTTAACACAACCAACCTTCCTCTAATGAAAATTGTGTGCTTAAATTTAATTATTGCTACTTCACTGTGCCACGCGAAAATGCCTTCGTGGAGTGTAAAGTCTACTTGTTTTCTTTAAAATAAATGTGTATGTGCATGTGTTAGGGTGGGGGGGGGGCGGTTAAATCCTTATGCATAATGGAGTTTAAGTGAATTGTAAAAAGATAGAAAGGGGTCAATAGATTAGAAGGAAGTGAAACGTCCAGAGTTCTGGATTTTTTAGCTAAATAAGGAAAAACTTTGCAACGATCATTAGAAAATCCTCAAAAATCCATAAGCTAGGGGCAATTTTATTACAATTCTGCTAAAACACGTCGCTCGTGTTGAGGAATATTGAGATAGCAGGAAAAAGTAGAATATACACTCCCCTCACGAAAGTACCCGGACAGTTCGAAGATCGATTGCGCTTTCAGACAAAAACAAAATTAGGTTGGCGAAAAGGACATTTTAACTTAGTGATAATAATTTTTTCAGAAACCCTTCCAAAAAAAACCAGAACACCAAAATGCGGCAAAACTTCTGCGTTTTTTATCTGTTATCATTTTTTGTTAAAATGAGAAACCTTTGCGCTACAAGCCTTACGCAAATCAACTGATGTCAAATAAGCGGAGAACAGCAAAGTCAGGTGACTTGGACTCAGTTAAAATGGGCCAATAAAAGCCAAATTGCTTACATATCGATAAGATTACTTTTTTTCGACGAATAAATGAATTAAAGGCCAAAACAACTTTAAGAAAAAATTCGAGGAAATTGATAAAAATATTTCCATGAAAACTGACTTTGAAATTTGTAAACAAATTTCTCTAACAACAGATTCGCAACTGAATTCGAAACTGTCCGGATACTTTCGTGAGGGGAGTGTATCTAGCACATTATTCTAGGGTAGTTTGCGCCAAATACTTCTCAGTTTACAAAGTGTGAGATTCTGACCTCTTTGGCCTATTTCAAGACATCACTGAACAAAGATTTCAGACTTATCAAACAGAAGATCTAAAATGATTGGAAAATGTTAAGCAACAAGGAAACTCTGAATTTTAGTGAAATCTTTAAACGACTATAAACTGAAGTAGCAATATAGCGGATGATATCAGACAATTCACTTAGTTATATTTGCTTTATTCATATCGAGAGAAATTTAGCTGTAACGATCCGTGAACATTTGCGTAAAACGTGGATCGAAGAGCCAAAGTTTTATATCAATATTGCTCAATACGAAAAATATCATTGACGGCGGCGGACTGAAAACCTCACCTTAGACCTCTCTGTGAGCAGCCACTTGATAGGAAATTAGCACAATCAGACAACTATGATAAAACATTTACAAAATATTTAAACTATAATTAAATATTCCCTAATATTTCAATTAATTATCATCTATATAAATTCTTTTGCTAACATATATTGTCTGTTTGCACAAAATTCCACTTCCCCAGCAAAACAGACACCATTTTTTGCAGCAATGCATTGTGGGATCACCTACAGTCATGTGACTATCTATTGTTACCTCTCGCCAATCAATTGCTGTATCTGCAAAACGACAAATTTACTTCCATAAATCAAACATGCTTCTCTCTAGCTTTAACAAAAAATCAAATTCAAATCTTTGTAGAAAAAATTACCATTAATTCATATGAGATGCACAATATTTCTATGACTAGAGAACTTCTCTTTTTAGGCGAACAAATAGTCGGGAAAGAATAAAAAATCTCGATAATATATATATAAATATTCAAATAAATACCAAATTTAAGAACAAGAGATGCGTTTAAATTTAGGCAAAAATATATAATGTAAAGCTAAACAGCAAAAGAGCAAAGTTAACATGATTGAATAAGTAATTAAATATGAAAAATTGATTAAACTTTATATGAGCATATGAAATTGATTGAAATTTCAATAAAAAAGTTTTGGATGACAATAAGTCGTTTGATAACGGTTTCTTGAATTCTTGAAAACGGTTTAAATTAAACATCTCTATGACTAGAAACTTTCTCATTTCACTGTTGGATTTCCCTTAGTTTGAAACCACGAAAGTTTGTCAGCTTTAATGCCCAAATGGACTTTAATGCATATATTAAGAACTCAACACCAAGGCCCCTTTCACACGGGAACGACTGCGTACCGTTCCATATCGTTCCGTTCCAAAAAGTGGAACGCTTAGGGGTTGCGTTTTCATTGAAACTATTTAAATCGTATAATTCTATCCAAAAAGTGGGACGCTCTCAAAAGTGATACAAAAAGTGGAATGGAACGCAATCGTTCTGTTCCGTTCCCGTGTGAACGGGTGAACTGGTCCAAAAAACGGAACGATTACTAATTTGGCTAAATGCTTGCATGTGTATTGGCAAAATCTTTGCTCAAATTCTGACACAAAAAGTGGAACGAAACGATTCCATTCTCGTATGACCAGAAAAAAATGGGTACACATTCGTTCCGTTCCCGTGTGAACAGTTCATTTAATTTTTCCAAAATTTGGGTAACACGGGAATGAAACGGAACGATTGTGCACCGTTCCACTTTTCACATCACTTTTGAGATCGTTTTAATTTTTGGAACGGAACGATTTGGAACGGAACGCAATCTTTTCCGTGTGAACAGGGCCTAAGATGCTTCCTTGGTTCACACTAATAAATATTTAAACTAATTGTTAATGAATAGTTGAACTTATTTGTACCTGTTGCTTGTACATCTGTTTTATGTCTTCAAGATCCATTCTAAGTTCATCAGCTTCTTCCGCCTTCTCCCCATACATTTGCAGCGCTGCATTGTACCTGGATTCTAGTGCCTGAAGTGAGAAACAAAGACCATTGTAAAGCTTATACATGTCGAAATCTTTTTGCGGGGTAGAGTAGTTTGTATTGTAACATACTATTGGGACAGAGGAAATGTATATTGTAGAGGTGGTGTTATATATTAACGGACACTTAACTGGCAAAACAAGAAAACATGGGTAGAGATTCTCGTACTTTAAGAGTTATCAAAATATGAATCTATATTAAAATCATAATCTTTATGAATTAAGATGTTGTTATGAATCCATCTAACTTATACCTTGCAATCTTGCTGCCTTACATTGCCTTTTTACATTGCGTAAGAGTTCGCACGAGTTCTAACCTTCCTAGGAAGTTGAACTCAGACATGTTATCATATGTATACAAAAGCCAGGATTACAGGTCACTTCATTCAACAAAGATGACCTATTTTGTAATAACAGTATGCTCAAATTAACGATCATTTTCGATATTTTATCAAAATTAGCTTATGATAAACACACATTTCAAGAGAAAACCTTTGAAAAGTAAATCATTTCATCCGATAACTTTAAAGGCAAACAGTCGTGCACATATAGGTTTTAGCCAAAAAAGATTCTAGAAGTAACTGGAAAATTACTGTAATAGAAATTCGACTAAACCTCTTTGGATAAGCTACTAAAACCTATCTGAAAAGCCTGAAATAAGTTTTCAATCAAACATTAATTTCGAAATTGAATGTGCTGACTGGAAATGTGTTTTTGAGCCTAAGTTTCATAGAAGAGAAGGATTTCATACTTTATAATTTTCTTTCATCTCATTAGAGTCATTCAGCTTGTCTTGCAAATCTTCAACCAAATTTGCAAGGTCGACCAATTCTTGTGCAAGAGAAGCTCTTGTTTTCTGCAACGCAGTAATTTCCTCCTGAAACCAACAAATTTCTCGTAAAAGACTTACTAGAACTAAAATTGTTTCATTTACCAAGGGGTAACATAGGAATGCAATAATAAATAAAAGTAACTCTGCATTATATTTTACTGCCATCCGCCACATAAAGTCAAACACGTTTATGATAAGCCTCCTGTAGGCTTTATATTTTAATTCGTTTTGATATAGCATTCATTGTGTGTTGGGCTTCTAGAAAATTACAAAGTAACGGAAATAAATATTAACGAAATTTTCAACGCATTCAAGCCTTCGAATGTTTTTTAGGAATTTGTGATATTTCATTGACTTTTCTCATAAATACAAACAATAACTAATTACTACAACCTCAATCAAGAACTGTATGAAAGAGCGTGTATTGTACCAAAAAAGTCTGAGATTCTAGAAACTTGGAATACATTTTGCAACAATGCAGCCTGACCTATTTTATTAGTTCACTACGATCAACAGATACAAACGATATTCGTCAATTAATTTCCTAAATCTTCACCGCTTCCAGAGACATCCAAGATCAATTTAAATGCTTAGAATGTTACCTTAGGTGTCAAAAATCAAGTATTGGCCAAAAGCAAAAAGGTGAAACTTTTTATTACCATGACCTTATACGTATACATGGTTTTGCAAATCATGTATTTGAGTCATGAGGGAATTGTATTGTATTTTTTGCTGACCCTGGCTGCCGAAGGTACTTTTAGGACACTGAAAGGCAATGCTTATCGAGCAGTGTCCTTGTCCTTTCTCTCAATGTGACCACACTTCATGTTACAGAAAGCTGGCGACTCTCCTCACTCTGAGGGAAAATTTGTCCATGCCAAGGACTCGAAACCACGGACTCTTGGGTCTGTAGTCAGCGCCTCTAGCCAAACCACTAAGCCTTCCTCCTCGCACGAGGTAAAGAATACCAAGAGAGCATTAAGTAAATACATGAAACTTTGATATATAAAGAAAGGCATAGCAAGAAAACCTTGAGTAGCTGCAGCTCTCCATCTTTTTGCCGCAATTGCGTTTGCAGTTTCTCCATGATTGCTGTTGACGCGCCTCGGTTGGTTGTCTCAATCACGTTTGATGAGCTACTCGAGCTGCTGGTTCGTGAACGTGTTGTCTTAGCAAGCGTCTCGTGCTCGAGGTCATCTTCCTGTGTGTTTCTCTCTCCCTGAAATTCAAGTGCACAATCACATTCTTCTGGACACAATCATTACTCTGATGAAATATTTTAACACAGTAACTGACAATTTGTGATTATAAGCGGGTCAACATGCGAGTGTAAACCTGAAGGAGGGTAAGGCTAATGGAAACAGCAAAAACATTTCAAAAACATTACAATCTTCTTTCACATAATTACGAATACTAGTGTAAAGTTTTTAAGAAGTCGAATGATTTGAAGTTAGGCAGTATAAGACTAAGATATAAAACGAACAAGTCGAACATATGAATTGCAAGATAACGGCTATTCAATTAAAAGGCCTTCTGTATAATCAAGATTTTCTTTAGTTTTAAATTTCAAAACCACATCACTTTTAACAAAATTTACTTTTTCTCAACATGAACTAATAACGCTAGGGATACATAATATCTAAAAATTGAAACTGTGATCTTCCAAAAGCGCAAATTCTTTACCAGATGATTTTGATAATAATGTTTTACTTACGTGTTTATTATTCGTTTGGTGTAAACTTACTGCATTCGAGCTATTTTGCCGAGACAACTGTCTATTTGCCTGCCAAATAAGAAGAGGTATTCTATGAAACTTGCAATAAGTTTGGATATAAGGTAACAGACAGGAATAAATCAAAACAACGACGAGAATTCTTGACCCTAAATATCTAAAATTTTCTATGTAAAAGAAAATGATCAAAATTGTAGCTGAAAACAACAGAACAACCATTTTTGCTGGCCTAAAGCTCAGCTCTTTCGAAATTCTACATTGTGGGGCTACAACTAATTGATTTAGACTTTGAATTTTAATCAAGACAAATAATATAAAGAGCTTCTAAGTTGCTGAAATGACATTATACTAACTTATATTCTACATAGAAACTTTATAGGTAAAGTAACATTGGAAAGAGTATACTGTAGAAAAATTAAATATCAACGAAAAAGGGCCAGTAACTCGCGTGCAGATTTAGCTGTTAGAGCCAGGGACACGTAAGACTCTTAAGGAGGCAAAATCTCGTAAGCACTTGACCCCCGCTTAAAGCTACTTTTGCCCTTCATCACTAGCCATCCGTGGCTGCAATCCGGAGGGATACGTGTTACGTGTTACGTGTCACGAAACTGAACAACTTCTTCTTGCCAAAATGATGGGTTTTCTTTTGGACAGGAGTTAATTTGACAGGCCCTAAGAATCATATAAAAGAATACTGGTTGACAGGAAGAGGGGATTAATTGAAAATTGTACAAATTTTTTATAAGCTCAAAATTCTGGACTAAATCTATCTTAGTTTCTCAGTAGTCAAACTTCTTGTGCTGCCTTTATCGCATAGATGAAATGCATGCTGGATTTTTCCCCTGGTAACAAATATAAAAAACACAATAGGCTTGAAACTAATTAAAATAATATACCCTATATTCAGTTGACATTCGTGATAACTCAGTCTCGTGCTTCGCTCGTTCTGCATTCAGTTGATTTTCGATATACATCTGGAATAGAGAATATGTATTAATACAAGTGAACTCAACTCGAGAGCAATCTTTTGCGTAAATAATGAGCCCATGGCCTAAAAAAGCACTCCTTAAAAAAATGAAGTATAAAAATACATTGTCAGAAAACCAATTAAGTTCCATGGAAACCAAAGATCTTTTGACGAAATACAGATAGATTGTTTTATCAAAGGGTCTGTTTAATAAAATACTTTCCGGAGAGAAGACATGAGCGATGGACACAATCAGGGCGAGACACCAGTGTCACTTGCTTCATTAACTGAAGTACCAGGTAATATATCAATTATGTGCAATTAGCTAAATTGGCAAAGCAATCAGGAACAGTGTCGCTGGCCGCAGATTCAAGTCATGCCCCTATCGTTTCACTCTCTCATGTTCCTTACTCACTTCCAGTTCTATACTCACAAATAATTTATAACGGTGAAAGCAACTGGCCGGCATCAGTGCAAAAGAATTAACTTAAATATAAAATGATAACAAAACTGAACTAAGAAACCAACCTTTTCGTTTTGCAGCTCTTCCAAAGTCTTCCTAAAATTGTTACTGAAATCTTCATACTTTTTCTTTTCTCTGTAAGAAAATCATGTCTGAATTATTTCCTATCGATTTATTATGGCCGCGCGTGATAGTCTGAAATATTACTGCCTATCACTCCACCATTGCAACGGTGTTCCATAATAAATGACTTTAAGAGACATGACTGAAACAAATAGCTGTGTTATGTTAACCATTGAGGAGAGGGCATTGAATCGGAATTGGATTGAAGAAGAATTAAATAAGGCAATACTTTATAAAGATAGTTGACACTTTTTAGAAAAAAAACACTGTGGAAAATAGTCTCCATCAACTCTCCAAATTTAGAGTCAAATTTCTATGATGAATTTCTACATTATATAGCTCCAAGTAAATCGGGAAAAAAGTTATATCTAGAATTTTGGAAAATGGCATTCCACCTCGCCAAATTGGAGCGAGGCAGCAGCTTTTTGTGTCATTCTATTCAAAAACTAACGCTGGTTTAGAAACCACAGGAAATCGAAAATAACAAAAAAAACTCTACTAAAGCTTTTAGGCATCTCGCACTTGCATAATGTTACAAAATAACTCTTCATAAATATCAAAGTTAAATGTAAAAAATGCATGAAATTATCGTTCAGGCTTCGGAAGCAGCAATCAAACACCTCGACTGACTCGTTAAATTCTATGAAATGCAAGACCTATGCAGCTTCAACAAGGAGGAGCTGCATAATTGGAAATACATTGCATGAGGGAGGGGGGGGGGCTGTTTAGAATAAAAATTCACTACCGCAGGGTATTCATCATATCTCTAAAGAGTTAGGTCGTAGTTTGTACCTCTTACCTATTCAAATTCTCTTCTATATTTTTTGAATCCTCAATTTTTTCCTGAAGATCATCTGAAAGCTTTGCTTTTTCTTGGCGTAAAGTTTTCACTTGCATTTCCAAAGCATTTACACGTGACTTTATCTCCATTGCAAACTCGACTGCAGATCGCTCCTTCTCAGAGACAATTGCCAGCTGATTCTGAGCAGAGGCTGTGAAAACAAGTAGAAGAGTTTCTTCATTTGCACAGATTATTAGCCTCCTTACAAACAAGAATAATTTCTCCAATTGAACAATGGACAGTTGTTCTTACGCTGAATAACAAGTAACTATAACTACAAATCAAACAGTTTACACTTGGTCTTATCTCGAAAAACCTACAGAAAAATATGATGTTTAAATAAATAGTTATACCACATATTTAAGGAATACATTGCCACCAAGCAACTTTACAAGAGTTTCCAATGAAGTAAGAAAATAATATATCTTTAACAGTATCTAAGACTTATTGTCAACTATTTTAAACTCGATACAGTCGTTACAGTTCATAGCTAGAATGGCTTCAAAATGTGTTGGGGATATGATACGATGTTTTTGCATTTTACGAGATTTTTACCGTTTCCTATCATAAGGTTGGCAATTGTCAGCGCACTACATTTAACCGGAAAGTATATGAGCAATAAAAATAATGAAAAAAAATTGAACAATAAGAAAAGATGCAGCCACTGGCACCGATTGGAGAGGGCTGAGACGACTTTAAAACACCACCTTTTACACTTTCAAACAGTCTGTTCGGAGCAAAGATTATGCATCACAACAATAAGCAGATAATTCAAGCATTTCAGATATTTCATTCTTACCCAGTCTCTCGCTGAAGCTTTTCTCGATTTTCTCCCAATTAGCAGCCTGGTTATGATGGCTACTCTGAAGGTTTTCGATTTGACGTAAAAGTGGTCTTGAAGCTAAAACAAAATTTATTTGCAGTTCTGATCATAAGATTGCATTTTGCCATCATGCCTTAGAGCCACTTTTAAAGATGTAAAATCTGTGGGGGCTTCGTAAGTTAATCCAAATATCAGCCCGACAACCAAGAGACAATCCTGGACGATGAAAGATACTCTTTGCGATACGACATCTGACAAAATGTTTGCTTAGGATATCCCAATATTTCATGCCATGTCATATTAAATGTCATATTAAACCCATTAAAAGTCAAAGAGACCATGGTTTATAAGAAATTCTTAATGCCATTCAATACGAAAGGGTGAAAAGTACACTAATAACAAAGACATTACACGACACAGCTTCCTACAAAAGACAGCCTGAATCAAGATGAAAATACGAACACTGAGGTTGATTAACGTGTTACCTGTAGCGATACTCTGGGAAAGCTCTTGGTTACGTAGTTCTGCCTCTTCTATTCTCTGCGAAAAATGGGTTAGCGAGTGAAATGACCAGAATATAACAAGCACTGGCACAGTAACGAGGAAAATACTTTTTTAAAATACACAAACATCTTTTTGTTAGCTAGAACTCATCCTAAGAGACAAATGTAAGCAGGTCGCAAATTAACAAGACAAATGGTACTGTCATGTTAAAACAGGTTTTTCCTTCTAATTTTATCCTACTATTACCTCTTAGTCTAACGAAAATGCATCTGCATGTTATTCTACTAAAAAGCAAATAAACACAGGTTTTAAGGCAGTCACAAACAAACATAAGTTCTAAAGGAGAACATTCAAAAAAAGATTCCATCAACAAAATCAAGGGTATTGAAATATTTAGGCATGAGAAAAAGATCAACAGTTTGTGTGAAACTTAATCATGGGTAAAACTGTCATTTACTAAGTTCGGAAGGAGAGCAGGAGCCTTTCAGCTTTGTCCTTTCACGAAAAGTTTCAAAAATTGACCAGTTTTCAGTTTGAAGAGTTTTGTGAAATTCCTTCTAATCATTTAAAATGCAACCAAGAGTCCGAGATTCTAAATAACATTAAGCGTAGACGAAGAATTAAGAATTTGTATATGACTCTAATACGACAATATCAAAGAAAATTGAGCGGTTATCTATTAGATTAGTGCAGTGTTGTAGGTTTCTGAAACGAAAGAGTTATTTCCATTGAATGAATTCAACTAACAAAAATAAATACACGGATTAAGAGAACACTATGAAAACGGTATTTCTCAATGTACCTGGTGAAGATCTTTTATTTCAAGCTGCAGATGATCTTCACGGCGGGCAGCCGCTTGTTCAGTTCTTGTAATTATCAATCGCAAACTTGCCATCTGGAAGTGCACAATATATTTGGTAACCAGTACATGAAGCACTGCAGACATTTAGTGAGACCAAAGTACATCTTTAATTAGCATGATTTTATCGTTATTGTATATATCGTTATTATAAATGCAAAAACAGACATCAGAGTACCCGCAAACAAGGATTCTTAGCACTTTACCAGAAGGTTGAGTAAGAATTGGAAAGCTGAGCTAAGGCCAATACAAAGAAAAATCGATCTAAAAGCGGTATCTAGAAGCATCCAAAGAACAAAATGGTCTCAAGTTGGATGTTTGTTAGTGGCATTTATTAGAGAGAGGTGTTTATTAGAGGTTGGATGTAAACTGGAGGAAATGCGAACCCAAATGTGCTAACAAAACTGGTAGATAAAAAGAGCTGCAGGTCATAGCCAGAGTCAAAGTACTTGCCTGATTTTGGTTCTCCTGTTTCTCTAAATTCGCTTCATTTTCGATTTCAATTATCTTCTTCTCTAGTTCCTCTTTAGAACTTTTTAACAAAGTTATTTCCTGTAAAGATGAAAAGAAAAGATGCCACTCTCTTATTAAAAAGTTTGTATAAAAAAGCAGATATAAAATTAATTCAAAACTGGTTAAACAGATTTTCGACTTAGAATTTTCGATCAAAATTCTGATTTTTTTAATCTGAAGAGTTTCATACAAAAGCTTAAGTATCTTTCTAAATGTCTGCTCTTTTCAAATGTCTGCCATTTTAACATTTTTTAACAAAAACAATTTTTAAAAAATGAGACCATGGTCATTTAAGACACACAATAATATGGAATATAAAGAAAACAGGCTTAAATTCAGTTTTATCAGATTTCGTTCAGCTAACATATCTCTATTTCTGTCCTTTTTCCTCTCTCTTTCGTTCAATTTTAAAAATATACAAAGTAGTCTCGTTCCAGTTCGTCACAACCCATATCTTAACCAAAGCGATACAAACGTTAAACGATATCACACAAGCCTAAGATTGAAGTGAGAGGAATACCTCAATTTCTGATTCTCTGTTGGCTTTCTCTACACTCAATCTGTTGATCTCCCTGGAAAAGAAATGAAGCGCAAAATCAGATCTGAGCTAATACACCACGATGAATCAGACCATGACCAGGGTACAGAGTTGTGTTTGATGGTGATGAGACTTGATCACGGTTTATGTGATCGTGATAGTTGATCATTAGATAAGCGATAGTTGATCATTGAACAAATTTCTTATAGTCAATACAAACAAAAACGCAGCTGTCAAACATAAATCATCAGCAGTTATAAACAGGAAACTGACTTAAAAAATTGAAAGATTGCTGCTCAGCATGTGAAGAATGCGTACAGTTTAAACTTGTAGGATAAAAATCTCAGTCATTTTAATCGATATTGGCTTGCATTGAAGCTGTTTACATGACTAGCTGCAGGATATGGAAACAAGAAACATCTAACATTGCTTACAGAGTGTACACGATTCGTTGAAGAAATTGCAACTCTCAATACATCTATTCAAGACTCTTTAACTTGTGTTAACTTTTTCATTAGTTGTGCATAAAGCCATTATCACAATTTTTGTCCTTCACAAAAAAATATCATCGAAGTAATTAAACTTTAAATAAAAAATCAAGGATTATTAACATTGAAACTTACAAATAACCGGAATCTAATGTAGTTTGCATTCCTTTCATTTTATCTTCTGCGTCATCTAACTGATCTTTTAATTTTGAAATTTCATCTTCCTGTTGGTCTGTGATTATCTCCAACTTTTTCAGTTGATCTTAAAAGGAAAACAAGAAAAGTTTTAAGGTAACCGCTTTACGATATCGTCATGCCCTTCGCTAAAATGTTGCAGTCATGTCGAAATGTCTCCAAGAATATCTATATTTAATGGCAACTTTTCTGTAATTTTCATATTCCACATACCACAGAAATGTGACAAGAAATGCTAATTGTCATTACGATAATCAAAACATAAGTCAATAATTTTCCTTTTTTCACAGCTAACCATTCCAATAAACATCCTGGAAAACAAATATCTTAGAATAATTGTCTAAACTTGCCAATCTTACAACGGAGGTAAAAAAAGATATATCTTCTTTCGCCTGTCACTTCTTTGTTTCGTACAGTAATGAATTAGGGCAAAAAGTGGCAAGCGACCAGAGAGCTTGGTTCCAGTGTTAAAGGTCATGCTTCAAGGCACAATGCATGATTTTGAGGCTCGCCTCCTGCTCACCCATTAGCAATTGGGTACCCAGTGGTAAAACTTGGAGGCTGAACGCAGCTGGAAAAGGAACAGGTAACTCTACCTCACAATGCGGTTGGCCCAGGACAACTAGCAACCACTTCCCTCATCACAGGTCGAAAACGGGACCCACTTTACCTTTACTTTTAAAATGAATTCATCTTTACTGTCTCTTAGCACTATGTTTCACAGCAAAACTGCGATTTCCAGGTGATATAAAAACCTTGCACATAGATGATGTGACATTAATATATTCATAGACTAACAATGCTTGTTTTCATTTGAAAACCTCTTGCGTAATGCTTAAAACACCGTGTTATACTCTTTCGCCATAATCTTTCCGCATTTGGACAACGCTTAGCTTCCAAGCACAAACCATCCTAAGCTGTTCGCTTAAAAATCATTTTTCTTGTTGTCAAAGTTACCCAAAGCTCTTATCTCCGAAAGTGATGAAAAACATCAGCTGGAAAATAACAGTTTCCTTTCCCGGTAAAATTTCTCTCCTTAGCTTGAGCATATTCACACGTTCATAGACAGCATCCCTGGTTAAACAGCAGTCATTAGCATTAAACGTATCCGGGAAATCGACTGCGTTGAAACCAACTTTCTGCTTTATGCTTGCATAGGAAGCCAAATCATGCATGCACTGAGATGGCCATTGTACCAAATTAAACACAAAAACGGCTTTAGAAGTTTATCCATACATTAGTTCTGCTTTGAAAGTTCATCCATACATTATTTTGAGATAAGAATCTACGGAGAGGCAAGGATCAGCTACTAAGGCAATGAAACTACGTAGCAAAAGTTACCTTGTAAAGTCTTCTCTTGCTCAAGCTTGTCACTCAGCGTCTCTTTCAGACTTTTCAACTCCTTCTCCTTGTCCTCATTTTCTTTTCTAATGAATAAAAATGATTTTTTTATATATATATATATTCGGTTTAAAAACTTACAACAGCAAATTACCTAAAACAGTACGTACGAACTACTAAACTACATTAAAAGGACGGAACCCAGGAGGAGCAATATAACATGACTGCCCCCTGGAATATGACATGTATCTAAATATAACTAATAATTCAACTATAATACTACATATACATAAACTAGATTATAATAATACATACATAGTAAATATAAACATACATAAAAATGATTAAGATACAACGAAACTCGTCTTAATGATTAAAAACGAGTCTATTAAAGAGCATGATCCTGCAATTAATTCAATAGCAATTTGTACCTGCTCAGCTTGGATAATAACAGCTTTTCTAAAAATCTACAGCTTTTTCAACAGCTCTTAATTCCTTAATGAACTTTTTAGGGTTCCTTTGCGAAAGTCTTTTATTGCACTCTCTTTATGTTATATTTCTAAAAAAATGTGAAGATTGATAAAAACAGAATTTCATAAAACATTACTCACTCAAATGCGTCAGCTTTCTTTTCCAATTCTTTTGCCTTCAGCTTCAATTTTTTGACAGCATTGTTGCTTTTTAGCTCTCGCTTGGACAACGCTTCACCTTGAAAAACGAGATGAAAAATTTACAAGTACCAAAGTAGAGCTAGAAAAAACTTAAAAAACGCCTTGGTGCGATCACTCATGTCGATACATTATCGTACATTATTCTTACATTTCAATATCCTAATTTTTCAAGTAACAACAGTTCTTGATGAGCATCACAAAGCTCAAAAGCAGGCCAAAACAAAGTTCATTTGAATAGCTTTTTATGTCTGAACCTAAGTGAATGCAAGAAACAGTCTAAATTGCTACTGAGTGACTATTTTTACAGACAATTGTATTAGCCATTCGAAAGGGCAAACTATTTTCTTGCAGTTTTTAATGCGATAAAAGCATTCAGTGTCATCCTTCTCAGGTATCTGTTCGACTTGCGGATCCATGATAAATATGACATACAGTACCTTCAGCCAAGAGACCAGCAATTTGTTCTTCCTTTTCCTCCAAAGCCGCCCTGAAGTCGTGAATAAGCTGCTCTTGCCTTTTTGAAGAGAAAAAATATTAAAACTCCATGACAATTTACAAACAATATTCAAAAAAGGTATATTGTTGATAGATATACGAGCCTACATGCCTCGGGCCTAATTTGCAGTTTACAAACAATTTACAAACAATATTCAAAAAAGGTATATTATTGACAAATATACGAGCCTACATGCCTCGGGCCTAATTTGCAGGATGCAGTATCCAGCGCAAAGATTGAAATAATATGTGTCTACTAAAGTAAAGCAGCCTCGAAGGGTGAACATATTCAGAGACTACGTCTAATTTTATTCATTGACTCTTGTTGGCCAAAAATCAAAATCATAACTTCGCACATTAAAAGAATCTTGAAATGACAAACGGGATCAATATTTTCGACGGCTTTTTCAATTTTTCCAATTAGAATTAATACAGCTACACACAATAACACGACAAGGAGGTTATGGTAAAATTTAAAAAAATTTACTTAAATAAACATCGATACGTTAATATATGTTACTAGACAAATTACAAGATGATATTTAAAGAGGTGATATCAAGCACATCTGTCCTTCAGTCAACAAGAAAACGAGCAAGCAGTGACTGAGAGCGACAAAAACAACAAAAAGACAAAGAAGAAGATTAAATTTTCAATTCTTTGGAAGACTTTAAGGGTACTGATTAACCCACTAAGGTACTTTGATGAAATATATACCAATACAAGGCAGAATATATTGAGATTTCTGTAAGTTACTTTGCTTTCGGTCTTTGAACATTTCTTTTGAAAGAGGAATCGCCGAAGAAGCGCAAAAACTTAATTTGTTGGTTCTCAGGATCAACTCCAGCGGAACTTTTGGCAAGAGAATTTGCACAAAACAGCGAAACTTTGAAGCTGCCACTAAGAATAGCAAAGCCAGATAAATTTCACGTCAAATCATACAGTAACTTGGACAATATGTTCTTATCAAAACTAACCACTCGAAATCAAAGGTATATTGCTGGATTAAAATGATAAGCAGATTTTCTTACTCTTTTGTCAGTCGTTCAGTTTTCTCTTCAAGCTCTTTCTGAAATTCGTTTCTTTCCTAGATTGCAAAGACATATCTCCATCAAAAAGTAAGCTAAAATGTATCAGGTAAGTTCAATTTCTCGTTTTGAAAGATAATTGCAATGTAATACCTGTGGATGGCTTTGTTGCACCAGTCTTTTTTTAACTGTCATGATTATGGCAAGATATTCAATTCACGTTCACGTTTCTTATTATCTATATTATCTTAAGGGTTTTATTTGGCCTATGGCAATTCTCTCTGTGGCTCAACGATAAAATAGTACTTGAATAAGACTGATTCATTTTTTGCGATTGTCAGTGGCAAGCTATTCTTGGTTGAATAAAGTGTTTCAGGGACCTAAAACCAACTTGAACAAAAATTTTAATCAGATGCATAATGCTTGTGGTGTCCAAAAAAGCCAAATCGATATATACTTTTTAGTTATACATCAAGTGTACTCGGTCAAATGTTTAAACTATTCAAAATTAAGGAAAAATTATTACATCTCTAAGCTATCACTACATAAAAGGATTTTCCATACATCATAGAGAAAATAATTCTGCACTAACTTGTCTTACAAGGATGATAGCTATAAGTTTAAAGTTATCTACCGAGTTTGAGCCATATATATAAGTTGCATGAGTGTCCTGCATAATAGAAGCTATGTCCCTGCTCCTGTGGCTGTTCTAAGACTGTTTAAGTGTATTCTTAGATCTCGAAGCAGTTAGTAATAATTTCTTTCTTTCTAGTATCAAGTAAAAAATGTAAAAATTGACTGGACATTTTACCTTGGTTGTTTTATTCAATTTTGTATTCAGTTCTCCAATCCTTTTAGAAAATTCATCCCTCATTTCCAATATCATTGAGTCATCCACTTGTGTGGCCTGTTCGGCTTGCTCTAATTGGCTGGCAAAAACAAAAAATTACAAAAAATTAAAACACACTTCATAAAACTTATTATGATATAGTAGCACCAATTCAATACCTACTAAAGATCTCAACTAGAGGATATCTTGAATGATACTCAAAAGTCTCTTGGCATTAACTCCCTATAGAACTTGAGATGGTCATAGTTTCATGTCAAAAGTTTGCTTTACAGCATTGTCAATTCTGGATATATAGAGGGTACAAAAAACCTAATAAAATTGTGAATATAAAAAAATTATATGCAAAGTTTTCATGATAATTGAGAAAGATCTTTCAACTTCTGATAATTCATACTGTGAAAAAATCTCACTAGAAATCTCAAATTGTGTTGTCTAAAAGACCCTGGCAAGCAGACTGGAGGCTATAAAAGTTTTAACACTAGAGGCGCAAGTAAAGAATAGGTTATCCATAGTCCATCAAAATACATCATATATTCTTGTATGTTGTCTTTAGTTAAGAAAGGGTATCTTAATAGCTAGTCTTTTTGAATGGTCCGAAGCATTGCTTCACAATCTGCCAAATAACAGTTTGAAGCCTTATGGAAAAAGTGAAGTACATAGTGTCAACTGGCATAGCTATGGGCTTTTTTGTATTGTGACTGACTGGCAACAGATCAGATGCTTTGAGAGCCTTTTACTTGGAAAATATTATTCACTATCTATGTGAAATATAAGTGACATACTTTTTCAATATTGACACAGTCTCTTGAAGATCAATGTTTTCCTTACTGAGAGTGACCATTTTTGACTCTCTTGCTTCCACAAGCTCCTTCAGTCTTTTCACTTCCTTCAAATACAAATCATTAACAGAATAGTTAATGATGAAACACCATTAAGCCCAAGGAGGGCCTACACGAAAAACTTTTCACAAAAAACAATAGAAAAATAAAGAAAAAAGCGATTACTTGGCATTTACAAGAGGTCTTAGCGTCCATGAGCCCCAAGCTCTACATTTCTGACTAAGCCATATTCCAACAAACAATGCCAACAGTATTTTCAAAAAATGACAGTGCTGAAATATATCCAACCTTTAGAATTAGATTTCTCAGGTATACAGATTTCTTTTAATATTCGTTTTTCAGGTTACCTGCTGAAGATAGGCAGTTTCTTCATTTGAGTCTGACTTTGGTTGGTCTTCTTTTCCATCATAAGAACCAAGTTTGCTATCATGGTCCCCTTCAATTTCCTTTGTTTCAATACAATCTGGTTCACTTAAATCTTGCTTTGTGGCAATATCTTGTCTTAAAAGATTTTCTGCTTCTTCAGCCTGCTTCTTAGAAACTTCATTTGACTCTGCTGAATTACATGATGCAGAAATCAGGCTTAATGGCTTTGTGTTTTGATTCTCCTTCATTTGTATGCCGCTATTAGTCAACAGATTATCATATTGTTCTTCTCGCTCAATGTCAGGAGCTGCAGGCTTGTTGACATCAAGATCATCAAGTACAGTAAGTTTGTCATCTTGACCTCCAGTTATGCTTTTAATGCTGTCTGTTTCATCGGTTGCAAATGCAATACTACTTACATTTGAATTTTCAGTCTCTTCAGTAGAAACAGTATTGCCAGTGCCAAAGTCATCATTTTGTTCCAACACAGAGTCTGCAATGTTGATTCCTTGCTCCTTTAAAGTAGAACATTCAGGGTCAATTATGTCATTCCTAGATTCATTGTCTGGCCCGTCACTTTTTTCAATTTCCTGTTCACTTGAAGCTTCAATAACTGAATTAGAGCCATCTATAGAGTCATTTTCTTCTCCATCGTCTGCTGTATTATCAAAATCTTTATCTAAATTCAGGGAATTCTGAGATAAATCACTTTTAACTACCCCTGATTCTTCTAAATTAAATGTTGTTGACAGATCTTGTTTTAAGTCATCAGATACATCAATATCTGAATCTGAGGTTTTAAGATTTGGTTCTGTTGAAGGTTCTTGGGGCTTATTCAATTCTGTTTTGCTATCATCGGCTCTATCTGTGGTATTTTCTTTTTCATTAGAATTTTGATCTTCTTTTGTGTATGTCAACATCTGCAAACCTTCAGTTGCATCCGAATCTCTAGAATTTTCATGCTTTTTGTTATTTACATCACACAGTGTATCTTTACTCTTTATGCTTATAACTGCTAAGTTGTCTTCATTCTTTATTGCTTCTTTAGAGTTGGGAGTATTTCCATTAGTCTTAGAATCATCAACAAACTGATCAGAGATGTTAACTGAATCAGATGTTTTTGTCTCATTGTCCTTGGTAGTCTGTAGACTCTTTAGCTTCACGCTTGGAGTTTTGTTTGCTTTTGGAGTTGACTGTTTGCTTCCTCCCAAAAAAGAAGCAAAAAATGGGTCATCTTCTTGGGTTTTTTCACTTGTTTGATCTTTACTGTTAGTCTCGTACTTTTTAGATTTCCTTTCAACATTCAAATCTAGAAAATAAAGGGTAAAGTCTGATCAGTTTCTCAAATCAGTATAATCTGAAATAGAGGAAACACTGAAGTTATCAAAAAGCATTATTTACTAAAAGAAAGCATTACCTAATTCAGGTTAAAGAGTAATAGAAGAAAGGTCAAAATACAGTGTTCCTCTGCAGAGGGAATAAATCTTTAATCCCTAGAATGATGAAATGGCTGACAAGGAAAATAAAAGCTAAGTTGAGAATAACATAGGTTAGGAACACAGTTTTTGCAAAATGTATAAAAATCTACAAGCAGTATAAAAATCTAATTTTGGCACACTAATTACTCTGGTTAGGTCACATAATTAGGTTTCAAGTGGGTTATACCAATCAATGTGCACATATTTTGAATAAAAAACATACCAAACAATTTGCAAACCTTTGTCAATTGTTATTACTAGGCTATATGACAGAGGAACAATAATGATCCTCTTGGCTAATAAATCTTTGTCACTTTCAAAAATGAAGAGCTAAAATCTTTGTCTCTAAATTCTTTAGGAATAACCTATTTATACCTTTTGCTGACCAACCTGTTTCTACCTTTTTCCTTTACAAAAACTTCAATCAAATTAAAAGAATTGAGTATAAAATTTTGAATTGGATATTACATAATTTTCATTGAAAAATTGAGTTTTTTCTTTCATTGGATTTGCAAAGGCAAAAGGTGTCATGTGCAAATATTCTTAAAACAAAATATTGACAATCTTGTTTTGTATTCATTTTTCTACTATGATTTTATGACTTCTGTGACATGTAATAAGGAACTGATTAAATTCTAATTTTTATGTCACAGATAACTATTGGCTTTAAATGTTTGGTTTTGTAAATTTGCCATTTATGGTAAGACATTTTGAAAATCAATCACTAGATTAAAGGTTCTTCTTAGATATTTGTTGGTTACAGCAACCTATAGGAAGAAGGCTTCTAGACCATCTTTATATAAAATGAAATATGGAAATCGTGGCTATACTGTAATGAAATATGGAATTCAACATACTATAAATGAAATTAACACTTCTAGACAGGCACCCAAGCCACAATATTCCAAAAGTTTATGAAAATATTTCAAGATAGTATAATAAGGAATTCAAATTCATTCTTAGAGATGTAATGTCTTGTCTCGAAATTAAAACGAAGAAAGATACCTGGCAATGATTCGTTGGAGCTCTTTGATTTCGTTACCAAACTTTCTGAATAACTGCTCGACTTCGGCAAGGCAGATAGTTTATCGCTTCGTTTTGGCTGCTTTCTTTCAGTTGTATCCTCATCTTTAATATCCAGAACTTTGTCGATAGACTTCTGTGCTTGTGAGATAGCGGACTTCGCCAAGTTTGAAAACCCGGACGTATTAAACCAACTCATAGCTGTAAGATATAGTATTCCTTTCTCTCGTTTGAATGGAGATTCGAAGGGTAAGAGTATCTGTTATCAAAGTTTTTTCAGACTGCTTTAAATTCGGATCCAGAATAGACATAAGTGACAAAATCTAATCAACTCGAGGATGGTCCTGTTTTGTGATTGTGTTAGGCCATGTTTATGTATCTAGGCCAAAATAAATCGCGTTTGAACCCCAGTCGATCGACATTGCAGTTCATCTGAGCACTTTATATACAGAAAAAAATGTATCCAGGTTACTTCAAGATGCTTATTCGATAAAAATTTCACTCGACAATCGATATTACTTCAAGGAGAACACCGGTAGCTCCGTCCATCAATCCATCCATTTTGTTGTTGGTTGTAGGAATGTAGTTGTTGCTGTCTCCACGTAGCAAGGTGACAAACGCTGCCTGCCAAAGTGTCCTCGTTCCATCGTTCTCCGTTGCTCTGTGCAATAAAATTATCGTGTGAAGTTTTTCATCATTAGCTCCTGATACCGTAAATCCTCGAATTGCCCCCCTCCTCGAAAAAGACAAATTATCAATAAGCCCCCCCTCCGTATATGCTCCCGCTACTACCGTAAATCCTCGAATTGGCCCCCTCGATTTGTTGATTTTTGCCATCTGAAGTTGCCTTTGGCGTTTTATTGAATTACCACAAAAATTCATACTTTCGGTAAGAATTAATTGAATTTTCATAGAGAAATTCCCTACTAAGATATACGAGGTCTTTCATTTATGTCTTTTTAATGTCTACTATAATTTTATAAGCCCCCCCCCAACAACCCCTCACCAAAAAACATTAAAAATATATAAGCCCTCAAGAGGCTAATTTGATGATATACGGTGAATGATTTAGCTTCCAATCCTGGATCCCTAATTTCAAAGAACTTTCTCACCATTTTTATACACAACCTCCTACCATAGCAGCATTCGCTTCGGTCATTAGAACACTGATTAGAAATAAGAAAAGCTTTGCTTCTTCATGGCCTTACGGTAAGACTCTGCATTAATTCTTTAAAACATTGCTCATGGTCCATACTTTTACTCTTACTTGATAGAAATCCTTCGTGTTATATGACAGTCTGGTATAATCTGGTATAGGTATAGTTTTAGGGGATTGGAAACTGATGGAAATGCCCATTTTTAAAACTCAGTCTTTGACCTTTAGATAAAGAAGGTAAGAAGAAAATGAAAGCAACTTTTCAATTTCATTTTGTTACTACTGACCAATGGCGTCGCCAGCTTGAAAAAACTTGGGTGGGCAAAAACAAATTTTCTTGGCCAGGCCCTTCAGACTCTTCGAAAATCTTTTTTTAATATTTTCTTATCTATTTTGAAATATTTGGACAAGCAGCTTTCACAAGCAGCGTTTTTTGTAACGGTGGCTTTTTCGCCAGTTCAAAAATCAAAATTGGTCTCATCGGCCCAACTCACCCCCCCCCCTCCCCAAATTTTTCGAGAAACTAGAAGATCGACCTCTGGGAAAACTGGGACGGACATGTCCACCCCAGTCCACCCCGTGGCGACGCTACTGCTACTGACTACCAAATAATGCATTTTTACCAAATCATAGCAAAATTTACCGAAGAACACAAAAGGTGGGGGTTGTCGCAACCCTACAACCCCCGGTAAATCCGTCCCTGATTGATGCACAAAGATAATTCCATCAATGATCTCTCTAGCTTTTGGCATATAACGCCTGAATCTGTTCATTAAAAATTTTTGCTTCATAATTACAAAACTTGCCTTTCTGAAGATTCACTTTAAAAATATCTAGTGCTCTTTGGTAGCAGCTCTCTTAGACTTTCAGACTTTGACTATGCTGAAGAAGTTTGCCATCAATTAATACAACCTGTCTATAACACGTTCCTTTCAGTGCAATTTAATCTTTGGTTTTAAAATCTTTATTCTGATTTTGCCCTGACATTCATCGCAGACATTTCTCAAACTCCAGCATTACTTGTTCGTCGTGGGGTTCTACAAGGTGGCTGCCTTAGCCCTGTAATATTCTACCTCTGTTTTAATACCTCCATAAATTACACCAACACCGAGATCGCCAACAGCCTGATGAGGAAGCTGCTGCTGTTGCTAGTTTGGAACAGCTACTTCTACTTCAACTGTTTCTAGCTATATCAACTGTTTTCACTTCCAGATATCTTGGTCTCTTCTTTTACTTCGAGATGAGCAACGACCCTTATCAATCCTAATACTTATCCTTATTCTCTGATATGTTGAACAATTCGACAACTTTCATCTTTATTCCTAATATCTAGAGTTTCCTGGCTGGTGGTCAAAAACCTTTATACCATCTGGTTTCTTTAATTAAATATCTACGTTGCGTGTGGTACTTCATCCAGAATAACGATAATATAGTTAGAAAATAAATTTAGTACCAGAATGAAAAAATAATAGTTTGATTGTTAAAAACACGACGTTTCGAGCATGTACTCATTATCAAGTGGCTAGAAAAGAAATTTCTCTTCTCTGTTTTCTGTTTTATTATCTGTTTTCTTCAATGGACGTATCAAGAACTGCTGTAAGCAGTATAGTTCTCTCAAAAATCAATTTGGACTTTACTGCTAATGACAAATACACTGTAAACTGTCTCTCAAACTTCTATAAATTCTGATTCCTTTCAATAACACCTTTACTTCGTTTCTTAATGGTAGTTAATTTGAATTGAACACGAAATGCTTCTATTCTGTTAATTATCTAAATTTCATTTGTACAGTTGGGCTCTCAGAATGGGCACTCAAGGAACAAATGATTACAGGCAAAATCAATATTCGTAATTCATTACCCATCCTATATTCTATATCCATGTCAACAACGCTACACAGTTTTATCAATTAATTGACTAAACATGCATTTCGGTCAATAAGAGGTTGGTAAATAATTTTGTTTAAAAAAACTAAAATAGAAGGTTAGATAGTTTTTTTCAAACTTAATTGCATCTTTCTTGGCATACTTTACCTGGTTTGAAATTCATCAGTCGTTAATTTCTGTGATGAGCTAGCTCCTTTTTTTGAGGAAAATAGTAAAATTCAACTCACAAATGGCTTGCTATTTCGATCCATAACTGGGGATATGTATTTCCTAGCGTAGAGTTTTCAATCTATGTTTTTACGTTTTATACTCTGAAGAGTATCAGACGAAAAGACGAAATGCTCAAATGTTTTTCTTTTCAAAGCCATTTTTAAGTTTTGTACCACAAAAAGTTTGTTTAAAATTCAATTCAAGAAAAAAGGTATACGAACCAATAAAAGAAGTTCCTAATAAAGGAACCTAATTAGACAAATTAAATTTTGGACTACTTTCTTTTATCTAATGCTGCATTTACATGAGAAATCTTTGAACAGTTCCTTTGCGGTTTTCAAATGATTTGTTTACAGAGAGCTCACACTGGACTGTTTCTATTTGGAACCGTTTTAAGTAACTGAACAAAAGTGACGTCGGAGTCCCATGAGGTAGTGCCAGTCCCTTTTAATGTAAAAGCTCTAACTTATGAATTCATGTTTTTTGCCATTCAAATTTCAACAACATGTATTCTTATTATCTTCAAAGTTTCAGAAATTTTATTGTCCTTTTAGGTCATAAAAATGGACATAAACAATTTTTTCATAAATGATCGTCTATAAATATATTTGAGAGTATAAGCCGACATGAATCCTGAATTTGTAGTTATGACTTTCGGTAACAGGCAGAGAAACGACAAATGAATCAAAATTTACAATTGCTATTTAATATTCTTAATAAGACACAGCGCAAATCTGAAACAATTAAATGCAGCTTAAAGACACGAAAACTGGAGGCAAACGTACGAACGTAAAAATGTTTATGGGTTTAGAGTCTAACGAGACGTATATAACTAACAATACAATCTATGTACAACGGTCGATCTTGAAGGTGTCTTGCATACCGATTCTAACTGAGTGGTTAAAAGGTGAGGTGGAAAGCAAATCATGTAGTGACTGGCGACAAGGCATGGCTCTGGAGAGGGGGGGGGGTAAATCATGTAGCAGTTGAGAGTCCTTTTTGATTCTTCATAGTTAATGGTTCCAGGGATCTAAGGCAGGGGCTAAGAAATGAGTGTGTAATGCGTCGCACATCAAATTAAATTGGGCTCATTTCGACGCCGCCAATTAGCTACGGTTTAATCTCGTCAACGAGGCTTGCCTCTCTTGAAAATATTTGATGCAAGTTAGGATGCCGGGCAACGGTGAAGGGGATGGTTAACCCTGATCACTCTGTCAATGTCCCAGCGACATTGAAAAAGAATCTTTCTATATTTTGCTATTGCTTTGGTTTTTGTATTAAATGTTACTTATATTTTCGTACTTATTTGATTTATTAAATATTATCCATAAATTGGGCCCCTCATATGAGTGAATTAAGTTTATATAGTGGCAAAACAAATGTGCCAATTCATCCTCTACGAATTCTAAAATGAGTAACACCTTTTTTGTAATTGTATAATCTAAGCGAAATGCAATTTCCCATAAAACAATCGCACGGGCAGTTGATGTTCCTTTCGGTAAATAGCAATCTAAAGATATCATAAAAATGTCCGGGCCAAAGAACGCGGGCGGCCAGCGAGTGTCCGGTATCCATAGCTTGACCGCATTCATAATATCTAATGTCTAAATATTACAGACTTCAGCTTCTGCATTGTTATTCTTTGTCGAAGAGAAAAAACTCCCCTTTACTCCATAGCATCAGCTCTTAAAATAAAGCATTCTCTACAGTCATTCAAAACCGGAGATCCCATTCTGTTCAGAAGCGGAGCCCAGAGCACTAGCAACTCTTCTCAAACATTTGAACTGCAGAAACGCCATCTGATGGACCAGCAACATGACGAAGTTTCTTTAAAAATATCCAGGCTATTCTCTAAATATTATAGTCCGTAGAATAGTCGTTAAAAGGAGATTTTTTGTAGTGTATATCTTTACTTGCGTTACTTTTCTCTGTCTTCTTCTTGCGGGGCAGGGACATTGTGGAGGCCCTAGGAGAAAGGAAAAGTTCAATGCCTACTTTGCTTTTTATAAAATTTGTCAATAAACTTTGAATAAAGCAACAGCAATTTGATTATCGGACTGAATATACTGAATAGGGATCGAAATCTTCAAAATGAGTCAAAGTCTTTCACTGATGTCTTACTTTTTGAACTCTTTGTGCGTTACCCTTCACATTAACGACAGTATACTAACATTATAGCAGCTTGAACAGTCCGTCAAACAACAATTGGTCAGTTAATAAGCGTAATAACATTCAGACGCTTATTGATGGCCAATATTTGATTGAAGATGACTTATGCCACATTAGAATCTTTAGAATGCCTGTATAATCGAGGATGCCATGCTGCTTTCCGAAAGAACCCTTTACCATCACTTACTGTAAAGATAGTTGCTAGGTTGCCTTATGTTTACTATAGCTGCTGTAACGTAATCAAACAAGATGCACCCAGCAAGCCTCGTATTAAGACAACCTCTCTTAAACAAAATTTCAAATAATTTTGAAATAGATAATGAATTCATACCTTCGAACAATAGGCCTTCTGTAAAGATAGACAAACAAAACGATGACAACAACTAGAATGACACCGCCAATCGCGACTCCAATTATTAGTGGCAGCGGGGTCTTGTTTTCGTAATCTGGAAAATCAAGTTTTACAAATTAGTGCATGGTTTTCGAAGAAGGGTTTACAACTACTGAGGTTACAAATAAGATAGGTGCCATTACTCAAAGTGAATATATTCAAATGAAGATGAAAATACAATGCAGCAAATCTAATCATATACCTTTAGAAGGCATGCTAATTTTCAACTTGGACTGTAAATCGTCATCGTAACCAATACTAAATTTTAAATGTTCAAAAACATATCCTGTAAATAACAAGATATCAAAACGAGAAGGTTCAACACAAGAAGACTCATAAATGTTTCTTGAAATTCTTAGTACTGGAAGCTTATTTAGATTATCTCAGTAGAGTTTTAGGGTAACTGAAAATATTGTAGAAAATTATCCCTGAACAGGTTTTACTGAGTGTGAGTGGCCGGCTAAAGTGTCTTTTATTTCTAGCGTCGCTGGAACTGTTGCACTAAGCCCGAAAATCAGCGCAAAGATCTAGATTCGTAGTTACGTCAACTCACCATCTCTTGCAGGATAAACATTTGTGTAAACCTTTTCGGTTGTAGAGGGAATCTTTGCTGACGTCCGATCAAGGAGTTCATTCGAATTCTTCCTCTTGGTCGAGTCACCTGTTTTTGCAGTTGTTGGTTGCACAGGGGTAGTCGGGGTTGGTTCTGTTACTAAAAACAAACAAAGAAGGTCCAAACTTTTCCACATTGTCTAATCAAGGAAACATGAAACAGCAAAGTTATTAGTAAAAAATTGGTAATCATTTCATGTTATTTGGATTCTTTTACCTGTAAATATCTCCCATGAAAACAATATGCATTAGACTATCATTTGTCTACAACCTTATAAACTAGAATTGTAACTGCCAGGTCTCTCTTAAACACAAATTATTTCTTTTAGTTTTTAAAAGCGTGAAAAAAGTCAAGCAACAGAAATATCCAAGAGTGCGAACTGTCTAGCAATCGATAAAGGTATAAGCTTTCGTATTTATTCAAGTTTGTTGACAGCTAAGTACATCGCCAATTTACTTTGCAAAATAGATTTTAATTAAGAAGGACAAGTAAGAAGAAAAATAATATTTGGGGTTGGGAGCTCGATAAGTTATCAACAAGATCACTACTTTATTTTCCTACAATTCATGGTTGTAAAGAGGGATTCGTTCTACGAGATACGTTACCTAAATGAAGCCATCTGCTGATAATTGCGATCACAAAGGTTCTTTGTTTTTATCTATTTTGCAATATGAATCGATATAGCAAACGTACCACAATTAACGGCTGTTATTGCTTCCAACATCGTCTTGTTCATATTGACACATCGAGTTACATCCAAGTCTGATATTATGCTGCGGATTGCCTCGTCTGCCAGATCACTTTTCAGCTTACACGTGCATTTGATTGGGTTTGACTTTAGTTTTCTAATAGATGGATAACTTTGTTTATTGAATAGAAAATTACTCATATATAAAGACAATATGCAGAATATGTAAGGCGAGAAACATAGTCTTGATAAGAACAGTGAGTAGGAAAAGCCTTTAAAAATGCCAAATCGGTTAGATCTTTTACAGATAACCTGAGATATGGCCACATGAGCACAGGCTCTTGTACCAAACCACTGTTATTTAGGACTGACTCTGGTTCTTAAACTCACGAACCAGGCCAAAACAACAGCAAACATAAAGCAAGACTTTGATCTTTTATTAACTAGCTCTAACTTTCAAAAACCCAAGAAATAGATTCTTATGACTTCATCGCTCTGCTACTTTGCGGAGAGGCAAATTTGTTAATATGTTATTAAATCTAACAACGAATATATATTCTCATATTCTAATAACAATATCTTAGCTGATTATTAGTGCAATTCACGAGAAATCTGCTTACATTTTGGTAAAACTTGGCAGTGAGCGAATCACATCAACTGGGGGCTCCGAAAACAAATTTGATTCCAGGTTTCTAAAAATCAGAGAAGATATCATGAAATTTCGTCATGAGAAAAAAATGAGACAACCAACGCTAAGAATTATGCTGCATGACCAAAAATTAAAGTATTTAGCGATTAAAAACGTCAACTATATATTGTTGAATGCATTTTGTGCGAGCATTAGAAGGGGCTTAAATTCAATGCTTTATGGTCTAGTCTGATGAGAAATGTTTAAACATGATCTGGTTATATTATCAAGGCATTTGCAAACACAATCTGAGAGTCATAATCTGAGACATAACAATTACAGTTAAGCTACTCCTTGATTCTACCTTCAAATACATAATACAGCAGAAGCTTGAAAAACTGGTTTCAAATTTTTACGCCTTAGGATCATGATCTTTGTTTAGAATCTAGAGAAAATCATAGATTTTGTCTTTCATCTGTTTTTGAACTTTGCAAATTTTTTCAGAATATGAAGCGCGTTAGAATAATCCTGATTAGGATCAACTTTAATGCAAATCCTTTCTCGTAATTACTGCGAGAATCTTGAAAGATCCAGGAATTAAGAACAAAAACTTGAAAGAAATAGAATCGAAATGGCAACCAAATGGTCCTAATTGGTTACAACTCTGAATATTACAACTTACATTTCTTTGACAACTGATAAGTCTTTGAAGACATCTGACGGTAGAGATGACAATTTGTTTTTCTGCAATGTCCTGTTAACAAAGTTATTTGTAATAAGCGAAAGCATGGATTTAGATTTGAATTTTGCAATAATTAACTTTCAACTTGAAGGAAATTGTGACAAACTTGATATTTGTCAACCAGATTTCAAACTGGCTTTTGTCATAATGGTATCTTGATTGGCTGTAAGTTATCCAATCAAATCTATCATTGGTTGAAATACATCCTGACATGTCATGGCTTTTTTCTATTGACTTAGTGGCTGGTCAGCAGCGATTGGTCAAAGTAATGAGCCAATCATATGGAAAATTCATGCTTTCAATAATTTTTTTACCAGAATTGTCAGCGATCATAAAATACATATAACCGTACTTAGGTCATCATAGGAGATAGTAAAATGCAGAACATGAGGCAGTGTATTTCATTAATAAGCTTATTTGTGCATATACAAGCTTGAGACAATCTGGGAAAAAATTTGAATAATCTGATAGTCAAAAATCCAACTTTCACTTTGTTTCAAGTTTTGGACAAAATCCTTGTATTCTTTTGCAAACTGCCAGAATCGCTCAATAGGTATGACCCGATTTGGAACTGGCCAACCCCTTTATACTTTCTGTAATTAATGCATTTTTAAAGATTTTTCCAATCATTCCAAAACCAAAAAAGGGAACCAGCTAGAACATGACAATACGTACAAAGTCTCGACTCGGTGCAGTCCTTGGAAGACTCCAGACGGAAGAATTGAGAGGTGGTTGCTTCCGAGACCCCTGAAACAGAGAGCAAAAAAATTAAAAAGAGTTACCAACCGATGCAAAAAGCCAATTCGTTGAATATTTTCTCAAACTAACAGATTTTCGTTTACAATAGTGTATACTCACAGATAGTAAAGTTTACTGAGGTCTTTGAATGCTCCAGCGGACAAATTTTCTATCATATTGTCTTCCAAATTTCTAGAGAAGATGAAATGCAGAGATAAAATGCGTTATCAAATTTTGGTATCTAGGATTGACTTTATAATGTAGTTTTAAAATAATAGAAAAAGCAACATGTAATTATCGTCTTGACACTTCAAGAAGCTACAAAGTGAATCATTAGAAAAATGAAACGAGTCATTTCAAGTGGTAAGGGAGAGTCTTGCACCCCAAAATCGCAATTGAAATCTCTGTCCAGATTAAGAAACTGACAGCTCTGAATTATTTCCAGCCTGTGCTTCAGACCTCTGACCTGTGACACACCGAAGAAACTAAAAGGCTGTTTGATAAGCATTGCGTTACTTAACCCACATTGGGTGCCATGTAGCAAAAATAGTAGCGATAACCTGAAAAGCACCATGCCCTAACAATGGTAATTGTGATAAGGATACCCATTTTCCCTCCCTGACCTCACAGCTCAAAAAGTCCCCTTGCTAGCTCAAAAGAATTTCCTTTTATATTCAAGCAGGTATAGACTAGATTGCTAAAGCAAGAAATTTATAAGACCTTCAGAACCTGGATTCTTATATTTATTAAAGACTATTATGTACCAAAAATTCAAAACCTTTGATCTAAAAACCTCTTAGGATGAAACAAACCAATTATGATCAGGAAATTGTCACTTTTTTAAAAGCTGACATTAAAAAACAAAAATATTTTTGTAAGAAAGATGGAGAAAATAAAACGTTTGAAAATTAACTAGATAGCTTACAAGTAACTAATTCCTTCGGCTCTTGCAAAAACTCCTGGTCGTAGCACCTTGATACGATTTAAATTCCAATGGCTGAAAAATGCAATAGTTTTGTTAGATCACCAAATTACAAAATCCAAGTTACAAAAACCAAGTTACAAAAACCAAGTTACAAAATTTGATATTAATTTGAATAAAAAAAACTAGTAGCCATGAGCAATAGGGGCTAAGATTTCATGTTCCTTTCAATATGATAAATCTAAGGTATGTTGTCGTGGGTTTTGATTGCCAAAAGAATTTCTTTCGGCATCTGGCTTTGATCAAGAATCAAAATTTAGAAAATGTTTGACTTACACAGTTACGGTCGAAGTACAGTTTTCAAACACTCCCTCTGCAACATCTTCAAGAAGGTTGTTCTCTAGGTAACTGAAACATAAATCAATATAATTTATCATATATATTTTTATATATACCTTGTCAGGTACGATCAACTTTTGCCTGATGACTGCATTAAGCGTTAACAATGAGCTGTAACTTAAAACTGTCTTGTTTTATGCACCAACGCGTTTACAGCTCTGCCAATTCGGCGATAAGCACTATATGGCAGAATGGTAAAACAGTAAGTTCATCATTTTCTCATATATGTATATATAAATACATGATGAATGCATGAATGCAATTTTATACATGATGAAAAGTATGCTAGCAAATTATAGATGAAAGAGAAGTCCTATGGTAGCGGGAATAGACAGACGGTCAGGGAACATAATGTGCAATTATCATATAATGACAAATTGTCAAATGGCAGTATGTCTATGCTGACTTTAGTTATTAGCACAACCGTCAAAATTGCTGATCCAATGATGACAAGAATTCGGTGGTGATTAAGTTGGTTTGGACCCAGCTACTTGTACATTGATTGGCTCAGACTGAGCTACACCATCCCAACCCCCGTCCCTGAAACGTGTTTCTTCAACGGACACACTCCCTAGTTTAGTGACAAGTGAACAGATAGGAAAGCGAAATAAAGACTGTTTCAGAGGCTAAAATCAAACATTGATACTCACAATCTTATCCCTAAACTTGTTCCCGTGTTAGCAAACAATCTCTTCCCAACGGATTGTATCCGATTGTTTGACATAAATCTAAAAAATGAACAACATTAATCTCAAAGTTTCACTTCAATTATATAGAATACCTGCTTAATATTTATGGAAGCGAGAACGAAAAAAGGAAAAATGAACTTTATTCTTACATTTCTTGAAGATTCTTTAAGTTTGCAAATATTCCATCTGGAAGTCTTTGGATTTTATTATTTTCGATGCTCCTGCAAGAATACAAGTTATTTTCCGATAAATCATTACTAAGGGCCTAAGCTCATCAAGATAAGAATGCCTAATAAACATTAAACTACCACTATTTGCAACCTCAAAAAAGATAGATACTAACAAGTAAGAGTAGAAAAACATTCAATGTTAATTCAACTCTAAAAATTCCCTTCCAGAAACACATTTCGTTACGACTGAGTTATTAGTGTATCTGGTATTAAATTTTTAGTTATCGAACAACAGTCTCGAAATCCCAAGAAATTTCAGCTCTTCGTTACACGTTTGTTTATACGAAACTTGGATCAGCACTAAGTACCAAATTTTGCTTAGTTTGGTATCCAGATTTTGGCGTACTAAAATTTGTACTAAAAGTTTCTTAGTTGGTTCCTTATTTCGGGACCTAAAATTGCCTAGTTGTTTTGAAGTTGAGCATTTTTGAAAGAATATACATGCAGACTGTCACGAAAATTCCAATGCAGATCAAAATCCAAAGTATGCCTTTCCAAAGAAAAGAAAAACAAATTGAAAACTTTTGGCCAAATTTTTTAAAAATGGAAATTTTACATGTTTTTTAGTTTTTCTTGAGCCTAGTACTGAAGTTTCTTATAAACCAGTTTATTATCAATAAAAAACGTGTATCTTTTGCCTTGCTTGCTAGTTCAACATGCATTCATTTGGTCCTGTTGAAAAATCACCAAACAATAAAAATTTTGGTATGTCTTTCAGGATTATGGGTTGTTGTGTCTATAGCCGAACAAAGCCCTGTAGATTGCGTATACTATAGATTGCGAACAATTTATACCTAGCGTGGGAGCCACTTAATTAGCTTAAGTATCACGGCAATTGTTGTCACATTTAGCTGAATTTGTGGGCAAAAAACATATGCAGGTAGTTCAGTATTTGATTCAAACAGATTTTCCAGCACTAGCCTTACATCGTCATCTTATGCCTCTCTCCTAAGCATTTTAAGCGAATAAAAAGAGGCTGTCTTGTGCCGCAAGAGGGATATCGTCTTCCCCCAGAAAGCCCCCCCCCCCCACCGCCAAAGCGTGCATGTAACAATACCCCTAATAAAATATCACGGTTAGAAGTACCAGTTTATTAGGCATGGGAAATGCAAAAAATTAGATAATTGTACAATTCTGAAAAGATGAAATCATAAAAAATCTAATATAACAATTTCTGAGCATTTTAACCTGGACAACATAACCCAAAGAGGACTATCACAAACATCAAAATGTACAAAACCATTTAAACATTTTACACATCGCCTTATATACAAGCAGATTAATATAGGCTCTCTCCCCATCAAACCTCTGTAATTTGGGCTTGGTTCTAAAATGTATGAACCAGGCAAAAACCATTTTTATTCATTAGGAAAACACAGCTCTTTTATTTGCTATATCTCGGTCAGTTGTGACACTTTTTGAGACAATTAATCGTTTTCTTTCAGGTTATGCATTCATAGTCAAAATAAAAAAAAGAAATTTTAACATCGCACTCTTGAACCCTATTGAAGGAAAATATAGATGAAGAAAATTTATTTGAAATGGTAAGTTGCTTAGTTTGATAGAAAATAAAAAAGTTGTTTAGATTATCTAAGCCATGTCGTCTATTGCGCTTTGTGAGATTTATCGGATAAGCATCCTCCTTTATCGAGCTTTTTTAGCACTCGTTTTATCAAGATTTGAAAGACTTAAGAAACTTTGTTGCTGTCGACATGTCTTTAAGATAGTGCAAACTTTAGTGGCCCTTAACAACTCCAACAATAACGAGTAGCACGCAAGAAGATTTGTCGATCTTTTTAAGCGTATTACGTTCTACGTTCACCATTCACACCGAGAGTAGGGATATGTGTCTTAATGAAGCTTTTGTGACACTTTGTGGGTCAACACGAATTCTTAAGTCCCCTGCTTGGTATCTTTGATGAGTTAATCCAACTCCGATGTCGAATGTATTAGTAATGTTGTACTCACAATGTCGCTGTATTTGGCCAAAGCGTCGGGAAATTTGATGGCAACCTTATTATATCATTTCCGCGGAACCTCCTGAAACAAAACAAAAAAAAAGATAAGCAGACATGCTGTGAAATTGTTATTTTTGGACAATGCTTTTGTTTCTAACCAGCGATCGAATGAACAGATAATGAAATACGACTGGTAAGGACATGAGAATTCAAAAACTTTTTGTTTTGAAATGTATTAGATATCCGTCTTTAAAGTGATAAGAAAAAAGCACAAAAAGTGGCTTGTTTGCCATCATGACGCAACTTTGAACTTGCTTTACAAAAGATAATCGATAAAGAAAGGAGTACAAGCTGAAATCAACTCATCCCAGCAGGAAAGATAGAACAGCTTTCATGTGATAGAAACACTCCATAAAAACTTAGTCATGTTGTGGTGAATAATCAGAAAAACATAATATCGCGTAAGGATGACTTTATGAATTGTAAAACTTCAGGTTAGTTTTCTACCCTAAAAGTAAGTAGAATGTTAGTGTATTTCAATGGACGGTACAGAGCACAAAACAACTGCTGCCACAACAACCATCTCTAGATGATCGCAATGCATTATGGTCAATGTCGTTTATTGACTGGCAATATGGCTGCAGAATGAGTACAGTCAACTCCGCTTAAAGCCACTCCGCTTAATGTCACACTACCGGTTAAAGGCACATAAAATTTAGACCCAACTTCGCAAAGCTCTATAATATTACTCCGTTTACAGTCACATTTTGCATACTGTCACAAATTTTCAAGCAACTTTTGGTGTGACTATAACAGGAGTCTACTGCGTTGTCGTTTGCAAGGCTTGAAGGTCTCAATTACAACACAAAATCTGGCTTGTTAAAAATATCATATTCATTATCTTAACTGAATACTGGGATTCTCAAGCAGAGGCAGGGTCAATATCGAACGGTAACCAATTACAATAATAGTGATTTATACCCCGTAGGCCTAAACAAACAAATTCGTTTATACTGTAGCAAAAAAACCGTATTCCTGACTGAACATTGTTCCTAAGTTAGGAATATGGTTCAGTCAGGAATATGGTTCAGTCAGGAATACGGGTTTTTATCCTAACTAACGCACAATCTTACTGTTATCAACGCAAACTGCCCTCCCAACTTCACTTCATCGTCATCGCAATGTACACGCCAGCGATTCTGATTGGTCTGAATTGCGTCATTCGTGAATTGCTCCTGTATTCACAATGTATGTTTCGGCGATGGCATTGCTACTAGGTTTAGCAACAAACGTAGGCCAAAACACAAACTAATTCAACGTCTATTTGATGTTGCTGGAATCCAGAGATGAATACCAGTTGAGCTACTCTAGTCTTGGATTTTCACAAACCGCTGTCAGATTGCCTGGGATGTTCACACGAAATTTTCAATATTATATTGAAGTAAAAGAAATGCAGTTGGATTCAATGCCGTCTGCAGCTCCGAATTAAGTATGCTCTAATCCGGAAAACGCTGCTTTCGGATTGATGAATCTTAGCGAAAATGCAGGATGTAGTGGCGACATAACAAGATTTCACAACAATATGTATTTTGTTACGATTTTCATAAATATTTGTGGAATAAATCAACTCTTTCGAAATTATTCGACTTAAGCCAGCAAAATCCATTTACGAAAATCCTACATGCACAAATTTGTGGTTAATATCATTTGGTACAACATCACTAGCTCTTCCGCTACACTTTTATCAAACCTCGGTTTTACTGAAAAAGGTTCGAAGGATCAAGTAACCTTTTGAATAGCTTTGGGAGATTTGTAACACTAACAAAAACTACATCGCTACAGATTTAGGATTTAGCTACGTGAACTTGTTGTTTGTTTCCAAAACATGGCAGTCAAGCAGGGTTCTATCTGAGCACACAAGGCACAGAGCATATCATCCTTGGGCGGCAATCATCTGATCAGGCGTCCTTTTTATATCCATTCAAAAACAACAACTGCCAAAAATGCAGCCACCATGCCATTCGTTGCGCTAAGGGCCCCGTTGTCAGAGAAATCCATCGTTGATTAAAATATAAGAAAATTTTGAATAAAGCAAGGAGATTTGACAAAGCAACGAATTTTGGAATATTCACTTGACAGAACATTGAAAGCCGACGAAAATCGGAGAAATAGCGAACCAAAATTTTGGTCAAAATTTTAACATTAATTCCGGAAATACTTGATAGCTTCAGAATAAGAAACTGATAAAAGTATTCGGATATTTCATCATATTGTATGTAGAAACAAATAAACTGCAACATTCCGTTCTTGTTTAATCGTTCCTGAGGAAACATTATCTTCCTTTGACCGGGATGCAGGAAACGAGGTCAAAAGAAGATGGCTAAGCATTTATAAAAGTAAAACGGACATAGGATAGGATAGCTAGATAAGAACAGATGGGCGTAGCAAAAATGTACCACAAAAATTGTTGATCAAGAGTTGCTGGTATATTTAAAGGCATATGGAGGAATTAAAAAACGAAGGAAGTAAATATACAGGGTTAGGGCTAGGCCACAACGTTGTCAAATGATTTTAAACACTTTATTCAAGCGTTGAGTTTATTGTCCTGCTACTCGCAGAAAATTTTCTGAAGTAAAAGAATACAATACAGTCTACAACTAACAACGCATGATCACATGTTCACGTCAGTAACTACCGATGAGTGTAGAGGCCATGATCTTGTTAAAATGTGTCTTAGCGTTGGAAGACACAGCCTGACAAACATACCACTGTAAGAAGATTTAGGATGTACCAAAGCAGACCACAAAATTTTCTTTAGGAAGATCAAAAATAACGAAAAAGAAAGAACGGTACATCTGATTGGTTCATTGTTTTGATGTATCGGTGTCAGATACCGCTTGATGTAGTTGAAGAGTCCGAGGGAAAAATTGAGCTTTTAAATTCCCTTTTTCTGTCTTAACATTCAACAAGGTATATATGTTAAATGCTATTGACAAAATAACATCTCATACTTTTCATACCATCCCCAATTAGTGCCAATTCAGAGGCCTCATTGGCACTAATTGGGGATGGTTTCGATGTCAGTTTTAATGAGCTAATTAATCAGGACGATTTATGTCACTGTTCATTAGAAAAAGGATAAAACAACACCTATTTTTAAATGGCTCAGTCAAATGCTTTAGTGGTATGATAAAATGATAAACAGAACAATTAGAGCCTAAATTGACAAGAAATAGGATGATTTATATGTGCAACGAAACAAAGATTAGAATATAATCCAAAAACTATATTAATTATAAGTAGGTAAAGGGAAATATTGTTAAATCTATATTTATGTCTTTGTTGTAACATATATATTCTTTCAATTTGTAAATATGATTTTTGTGTTGTGGTAAAAATTGCAAAGTTCCCTTGACAAAATAAGCATCGAAATAAGTGATTACGTCATACGAAAACGACTCCAGGTGGGAAAACCACCAGATAACTCGTGTTCTATTCATTTAAACGTGTATTTTGCACCTTGAAAATATTCACATGAGAAATTAAATTTCTTTTACGGTTTAGTTCGAATTTTTGAAAACCTTGGCTGAAAAAAAGTTATTCGTACATGGAATAATATGATACAATAGAATGGCCTGTTTAATTTTGCAGTGTAAAACCAAGTGTAGTTTACCGAATTGGTAAACCGAATTCTTTGGAAGAAAACTGACAGATAGAAAAAAAATTCTATAATTGTTGATAGAGACAACGGATAGATTTAAGAATTTGAAATTTAGTTTGGCTCATAGAAAAGAAGGATAACCTATTCGTTAGTATTATGTGTGAGACCTTGATTTGAAATTTGAATTATTAGAATTTTGAAATTGCCAGACTTTTATTGAAATTTTGAACGCGTTGACGTAGAAAAACATTGTCCATCTTCGAACTAAAACATTGTTTTTTTCATTACTTCATTAATTCATTAATGGGAAAGGAATTGTTTTGGTATAAAAGCGTATAAGACTCCAGTTTAACAAATTTTGCATTACAATGCGACTTTTCAGTTTAAACTTAAAAATACGATTTCAGTTGATAAACGCCTGAATCGGGCCTAAAATTGCCGTACCAAAACGTGTATGAATCCTATAATATTATCAACAAATAACGAAACTAAATTATTCTAGTAGCAAACTTGTAATGTAAATGGTTGGCGGAAAGAACAGCAAGTTATGTCAATATTTCATCGGCAATTCAAGGTGGTTTCCTTGTCGCCTGTTACTTGACCATTAGCAAATATTGCAGATCACTTAAAAATAAACAGATCGATAAAGGCATTAGGGATAGCGGGTTGATCGCAATTTAATGAAGAAATAAAACAGAATGGTGACTCTTACAGTAATTGGGTATCCCGACTAATGTTGACAGGAAATTCTCGTAAACTTTTGCTTTCGCAGTTGACTGCCACTAGACGATTTGTTGTCCCACAACGGCATATTGATGGACAGGCTTCAGACGTGTTGACAATAATATTGATGAAAAGTAAACACAACAAGACGCGAACATCTTCTTCTTTAGGACATCTCCTTCTACGATCCATGGTTGTTTGTGTGAATAAAAAAGTCTCTTCTAGGTATTCTAGCGACCAGTTTCTGCCCGTCTCCCTCTAGGCTTCTCTAACAATCCCTTCGTGAAATTCAAAATTTGCATAAGAATGTCCGATGCGTGGTTCTGTACATAATAAATGACTCTCGAACGAAAAAGTCGCATTGTTCTTGTGGTTCTAAATTGAATGAGATTTCTTTCAAGTCCCTACGCCCCAATAATGTGAAAATTACAAGTATAATCAAACGCTAATTGGATTCGGGAGACAATGACTAAAGTTTGCTCATACGATAAAAATTCGGAGAATGATTGCAAGTTGTGTTGGTTACATCGGATATGTTGAGATCGGGAATGCCTTGAGCTCTGTTAAGATAGGGCGTGAAATCGAGATGATTTTCCAAGACATTTTTCATCATTTCTTGTTTGCCAAGTAACATTTCGATCACACCAACATTTGTCAGCAAACATGGCTTTCTGATTTGGTCAATAAAAAACAAACAAAATTGGCTTTTAATGAAGTATGAAACCGTTTATAAAATGAAAGGTTAAAGACTTTCAGATTTTCCAAGAGAGTGGTTTTCGAAACTTGCAAGGCATTTGGCATGCAAATAAAGCTAATCTTGCAAAAAGTTTCGGCATTGTACCGTTAAAACACAACAAGTTTCTCTGGGGTTTCTAGAATCCACACGTGTGAATTTACATTGTTCTCCGAAGTTCTACACAGAAAAATTCGTAACAAATTTTCACCGCCTTTCACAAACAAGTTAGCCTAGAAGAATAGTCTTTCAAATTTCTTTGCAAAGTTTAGAAACATCATAAAGCCCGCTAATGTGATATTCTTTGTGTTGCAAATGTTTTTAAAGTTAAAATACTTTGGTTGTGTATGTGTTAACAATTTTCATTGTCTAATAGAATTTTTCCTCTTTCGGTTAAAACTTGCAATATTTTGCTTGCTCGCTTTTTAACGCATTGTCAACATTCTATGTTGTGCTTCTAAATTTCATTAACATTCCTTGATCATCAAATCTTCCATATCACCAGATACAAGGTTAATTATTGACTCAATTTCCCTGCAGTTCAACTTCGTTTATAATTTACGGACATAATTAAACGTTGCATTTAAGGTATCCTACAAGCCTTGCCAAAATATCTGGAACACCTACACAAAATTTTCACGGTTCAGAAGCTGCTCCCCCTCTCACCATTACAATGTTGATTTGTATCAATTCTGCATGATGATCAGTCACAATCTTACTAGGATTTGAAGTATAAACATTTGCAAGGAAGAAATCAACATTGTAATTAAAAAGGGGGAGGGACTGTGAACATGAAAATAGCGTTGATCACTTGAAGAGGTAGTTATGACCTGGGGTTGTCAACTTTTGAACGTGAAAATTGTGGTGTCTAAATTATATTTTGCATTGATGGTAGATATTGTAAAACTGGTGTCAAGATCTCAGGCAACATGATACAGCCTTCTAAGGTTTTGTCTTCTTTAGTTCATAGATATAGAGGATTCATGATTTCACTTAACGATGGTTCTCAAATGCACACAATCCTCATAGATTATTTTCGAAGATTATTCCAAACATATTAGATATACACAAGCAATAATTTTGCAGCTAGAGCAAGGATTTTATAGCTAAGCAATCCCATGGTGCGAGTGACTCATGTTGTGCCTTGGCGAAGGACTAAAAACGCTTGCCGGTTTCAATAGGAATTTTGTCTAACACGCAGCCACGAAAGAGTAAGTTAACAATGTGTCGCATGAATTATTGATTTATTTGAAACTGGGTCAAAGAGACCTGTACACTTCACCTGAATAGCATTAATTGAGACCAAGGACCGAACTGTACTGTCAAATAAAGGGTATTAATTTGTTAAACAAGCATTGTGAGGCGATAGCGTGCATCGGTGAATATACCTGAGCTTACAACACGAAGCTCGATACTCGCTATTGTTGCTGTAAAGTGACAAACAACAGGATTTAAATGTTGAATAAATTGTGTAGAATATCTTAGGATGTTAAGAGCGTGTAGCCAATATCGCAATTTAACACAATTTTAAGTTTGATTGCGTTGTGGCTTTCCGATATCATATGAGCTTTCCGTCACATTTTTGTTCTGAAATGAAAGCAGAAACCTAGAAATGATTCAATCCCATATATATGAGAGATATTGCAAGTCAAAGAAAAGAATCGGCACTCTCTAGTTTCTAGTCTAAACAAAAATAAGCATTTTGGTGTCAGACCGTGTACGAATAATGAGAAATGTATCAGAACAATGCAATGAAAAGAAAGATCAGCCCACGTGCAGGATGCAGTTTTTGGGAAATGCACACGTGGACAGGGTGCTGGTCTATAAGAAATCGAAGAAAGCATTCAATATGATGGTAGAACGTGATAGAACTGAAGATTGTCCGATGAAAGAACTGGAGAAAGCTAGATTTTGACATAGAAGAGACAGGGGAAAACTCTAAAAGAAAAGTATAGGATATGAAAAAGGAGCCTTGAAATGGGCAACACCTTTTGTGGAAGCTACACCAAATGAAATGTTGGAAAAACATGCACAAGAAAAACTGAGTCACTGAAAGAAGCAAAACTGAAATCCGTGTGATTGAAAGTGCACGAAAATCATTGAAAAGAAAACTGACAGAAACTGACCCGTTCCGAAAAACAACGCGCAACCAGCCTAAATGCATGGTATGCCGACCAAGAAGCTTAAGACAAAGAATCAGTGAACATCGATGAAGTGCGAGGAAAAAGACAGATTTCCATATTCCACAAGCAGGTAGAAGAAAAACATGACGGTGAAAGACAGAATATATGTGTACAATTGAAAATTCTTTCGATTTGTGGCAATGATGGGAAGCTGGGACATGAAGACGAGAACGTTTAGACCAAAGGAAGAACGAGCCAAACGAGGGCAGCAACAATTTTTAGAATGAATTATGAACGTGTAGGTGTGCTTCTAATATTGGCTATTAAAAGTAACCTAAATATAATTGGTCGTAAAACATCATAGGATCTCATCAAAACATTGGCTCGAAAAGCCGGTGATCGAAAACATAAAAGCGATTCGAATTCATCATTCGAAAAGCGAGTGTAATGTTCGAATATTGAAAGACATTTTTCATGAAAAATACAACACAGAGAATGTGACTTTTTTTAGAAAAAATGGAAAAGTTAGAAGAAAAAATTCGTAGCAAAAATTCGTGGCTTTGTTATGTTTTCAAAAACTCTAAGGGCTGTCTCCATACAGACTTACTTTGGATATGAAAAGAAGTGAAGTTGGCTTAGAGACTTGAGGAGCATCAAATCTTTAATTGGAAGGAAAAATCTGTACTTGGACTTTTTAAGTTCTTTAATTGCTCTCAAACCCCAATTGAAATTTTTCGTTCTAAAGAATATGATATTACTGCACCATTTTGAAGAGGAAATTGTAACCAGTAGGGTGGTTCCGTTACTTCGCCATCGGGACATTATGTCAGCTTTTGGTAACCTCTTAGCGGTAAGCTTACTGGGAATTATTTTAACCGTAGGCTCAATGGCATGACTCAATGGCAACTCGGACGAATTAATATTTAATGAAGTCGATTGTTCAGTAAAACTCCAAATTTTGTTATGGGCGTCACTTTAAGTGAATTCAAGGTTGCCTGTTTCAAAATCAATTAATTTTACGCTCACGTTGTAGCGGCAATTCAGTATTTTGATCTGTGTCACGAAAATCTTGATTTCGGTCAATAAAACCTCAAAGTTTCCCAAAGATGCATTCTAAGCTAGGCAAGCTATCAAAAAAGACTTTGCATTCGTAATTGTATTTGTTACCACCTAGCTTCTGATGGCAGCTTTTAGGACACCGTGAAGCTATAATTAGCGAGTACATCCGCACGATGTGCTTAATCTTGGAATAATAGAGCTGATGATTCTCTTCGCTCTAAGTGGAAGTTTGGTCATAGCAAGGACTCAGACATCAGCTCCTTGAATCTGAAGTCCGCGACCCTAATCAATGAGCCACCCTCGAACTAAAAATTTGGATTTCTCAGAATATCTAATATTCATCGAGCCGTGTCCATATTCCTCCCTGTTGGTTATTCTTCTCACATTTCTCTGATTGTAGCATCCATGATCTTTGCTATTCGTCGTTTCTTTAATTCTTGCGTTTTCTTAATCTATTATGTATTATTCTAATTATCATTTACTGGGTCTAACTATACTGGGTACAACTTTTGGCAATTGTTTGCAGGAGTCCAGTCAAATGACACTTCCTTAAGATACAAAAATGATGTTGTCTGATATTCTATCGCTCAGGTAACTAAATATAGCCTTTAAAGGAAAATAATCAAACAAGACAAGGGTGTACATAGGCCTCCACCAGTTTCCATAAAAAATTCAAGTCTTTAAAATAACAGAGATTGAATCCATGCACCGTCTCTAAAGCTTCATCTAGCTGACGTCATTGCTCGTCTTGTGATGGTTTACCGAAGAAGGCGGAAAACCAAGACCTCAGCAAACAAAGACAACCGACACTATCTATAAAATTTTGTTTTAAATACACTGGAACGTTATTCATATAGAATCTATTGACACTTGGACAAAAGTCATTAACATAAAGACGGTTAAATACTAACAACAGCCGGTAATACTTACAACTGATGACGTCATATTATTAATAATGCAATGCCTAAATCATCCTAAACCCTTATCTTTCTAAATCAACCAACACAAAATTTTCATCAAAATTAACTTTGTTAAAATATTCATGCTAAAAGGGCTCATTTATAATGAGAGGAATCAAAACTTCTGAAGAAAGATGCAGGGAAAATTCTTGAAAATGGCAAGTATGCTACAGAGAATAGGACAAGAATACATATTTAATATGATAAATATCTAACGTCTCAACGACCTTAAACTAAAACTCAAACATATGGGTGTATGGGCCATTTGTTTCCATTGACAGAACCTGTCTGTTTCCATACGTTCCTAAAACGGAAAATAACAAAAGCTTTGATAGATAGAAATCGACAAATAGACTTATAAAAACCATTATGACGCTACAAATCTTCTTTCGACTTTTGTTATATCAATATTCCAGATAGTATTAAAGCTATAGAGAATAGGAACATAACAGAAGCTTAATCTGTATATAACAAATTGACAAAAGGGATTCATAAAACCTCTATGACGGAATAAATTTTCTTTCGAATTTGCCATATTCATATTCTAGTTGGTATTGAAGCAATAGGGAAATTGTACAAGAAAACCAGCTTGTACTCGAAACTGAAACCCTTTACAAATACAAGGTTTGGTACCTTGATAAAGATCCGGGTCAAAGCACTAAAGAGAGCTTGGTGGCAACAACTTCCATAATGTACGTACGCATATGTCTTTAAAACCATTCGCATACCAAAATTCAAATTTTTGACATTTCTAAAAAAATTAAGATCAGCTGACGTTAAGATTGTGATTTTGAATATGGGAACTGGTTTGTTATCTATGAGGTTGAATGTTCAAAAAACTGCCAAGATGTACACAACTTAGCCCTATTAAGAACTTAGAACTGTCCTGTTCTACTTAGGACGGTCTTATTCTACTTAGAACCGTCTTGTTCTATGTAGAACCATCCTGTTCTATTAAGAACCATCTTGTTCTACCAAGAACCGTCCTCTTCTACTTAGAACTGTCCTCTTCTACTTGGAACCCAAGAACCGTCCTGTTCTTTTGGAACCCAGGAAAAATACTGACAAAGTTTTAACAAGAGATCTTGTGATATACATACCACACTGAACACTTTTCCCGTTACCACCTCCATGTTCTTCAACTAGAAACTAATAAAGTAGATAAATATTAGTCTTAACTCACATTAAAGTGACGTTTTTATCTAGAAAAAAAGACAAATCAAAGAAACAATGTTTCCAGCCTTGACATCGCAAGAGTACAAAACAAGTCAAATCAAGTTGCATCTCTTTCAAAGCACAATAATCGAGGGGCAAATCACTCCAAGAAAATCTCGTACACCTTTCGTGAAAATCCTATTGTTTTATCTGAAAATCCCTAGAAATCCTTCTGTTTTAGGGAAAATCTCGTACGCTATTTGCAAGAGTGAATTGCCTCTCGACAATAATGCACAATAAGTAAGTTATAGTACCTTGATTAATCCGACAAATTCATCATATAAGTGCTGTCCTTCATCCTTTGGGATATTTGAATGATACCTAAAAACAGAACTAGGTTAAAGATAAACTGAATTGGAACTAAAATTTATGTAGATAGAAGGAACATCCATGCATTTAGCATTAATATTTAGGAATTGTAAGTGGCTTTCATCCGCACTGCCCCCAGAAAGCTTTGAGCTAAACTATGTTTACTAGAAATTCAAAAAATTGGCTAAAGAATACATACTGAGTAGCTTTGCCTTTCATTTTACCACCAAGTGTCGCCTGCAAAAAAATTCAATTTTTTCAAACGCCTGATTTCTTTCATTCTTCTGTAATATAGGTGCCACTCGCATTCCTATACAATTAACATAATAAACTTACCTTCAACATTCATACATATTAACAACGTCGCATATTGATGAAAATTAAGCCCCTAGGGGGTTTATTCATTTTTTCAGTCCTAGAGGGAACATACATAATTTATTCATCTTCATCAACATCACCAGGATAAATTGATAGCCCTTGAACATCTTCTAAACAAAATTCGACTGAATACTAAATCCCACAAGTTAGTCTTTACATAGGCCGTATTTAATGCACACAATCTTATCATCATCACACCCATCAAGAGACCCACAAAATGCGCATGATTTCTTTGTTTGACATCAAAGGCTAAAGAAGGGGAACTTAATAGAGAGGGGGGCTTATTTAAAGTTTTTTCTTGATATGGGGGGGCTTAGTAGAGAGGTGGGCTTAATAGAGAGGGGCTTAATAGAGAGGGAGCTTAATAGAGAGGGGGCTTAATATAGAGGGGGCTTAATAGAGAGGGGGGCTTAATATGGGTAAAAATTCTGAACAAGAATGTTTGGTAGTGCAAACTAATTGCTAAAAACTATTTTATTTTATTCAAAGTACAAAAAAAATTTAAATTAATGAAGCAATATAAATTTTATACAAGGCCCAATTTTTTAAATATTTTACAGGAAAGAAACTAGTCCCCCCTCTATGTTTAGCCCCTCAATCAATAAATACTGCAAGTTTTCAAAGATATAATGTTTCATTTACGGTCTTTACATAATCAATGTTGAGCTACGTTTTTTTCAAGTTTATCGTTTAAAAAATATATCAATGCCTTTTGCTTTTAACATTACTTTGAAGAGTCCTGGAACCACAAGTCTTACTTCTAAATATATTGGGCCACTGGGAGTAAACTCCAAGCAGCAACCCTCGCTGGCTGAAAATGTGCGCAAGAAGAATTTTTCTACAAGCTGCAAATTTAATATTGCAATCTCTAGCTGCTGTAAAAGTTGGAGTACATTGCGGAGCGACAATGCTGACGAAATGACGACGAAAGCTCCTCTTCAGTATAGCCTTTTTGAAGGCAAATTTCTATTAGAATGTTTTCCTTTTGCTTGCATTTTTGTTCAATATTTAATTTCTCAGGAGGGCAAATATATCAGCTCAAATGACATTCTTGAGTTGCTGAATAACACGAAGGTCAAAAAATTCAAAATCGAGGTAAAGCAACCTAAATTACGACCATCAGCCTTTGAATTCCACGTGCTTGAAAACTGCAGAACCACCATTTTGATGACGTCATGCAAACTTTAAATAGCAATAACTCGTTATCTGCTGGTCTGATAGAGTTTCTTCTTGAGAACTTTTTGCTCTTATTATAATGCCAAACAAGACGGTCGGAGCGATTTTTCAAAAAAGAGAATTAAAAATTTTGATGACCTGGGGAAATGACGTCATCGAACACGTGATTTCTATTGTGTTACAAAAATGTATCCAAGGCGTAAAATATTCAGCAAGGCTGAAAGTACCCAAATCAAGAGCAAAAAATGTTAGGCACTTTGCATGATTGGTGTTAAAAATTCACTGTCTATTCATATTAACAAGTGTATGTGGTTTTGCCAATAACACCAGTCTGTGTCCACTGAAAGCAGATAGCAATTCATTTTGCAAAGCTTTATGAAAATTTTCAGTGATACTTTAAAGCTTTTGTCTGAGGAGTAATCAGAAAAAACTAAAAGTTTTCATTCAAGCTCACCAACCAACTATTCTTGATCACACATCTTAGTGTCAAACTGTCCATTGCATTACACACAAATAATCTAGCAAGTCATTTGCTGCTTAGATGTTCTTTTATAATCTCTATGTTACCAAAAAGAAAGCTTTGCATTTTTCCATCTTTGAAGAACATTGACAAGAGCTGAATTTTGCTCACAGGGCTATTTCTATAGTAGTTTGATCTTTAACTGAAAGATTCATTGTGTGGCTGCAACAATGAGATGCAAGAGTTTTTGGTTGAACTGCAGCTACTCAAGCTGCTGTGCCACTATTTTTACCAGCATGTTGCTCACTCCCAGACAAAATTGACAACAGCATTAGACCTATGAAAAATCTGGTAAAACATTGAACCATAGCGATATATCCTTTATCCCAGCTACGATGATTTCACGATTTATGTTGCTAACAATAAAAACCCCATGAAAGTATCTTCCGTCTTAGGGTTTTCATTTTAAAAACTAAAGGAAAACTGCTCTAGATATTTGTGACAGCATCACAGCTGCAAAAATTGTTAGCATTAATTTTTTTTAATGTAAAATGTAAAGTGTAAAATGACTAAATTCAATTCCTTGTATTAGCAAAAAGGCAGGCATGCTTCCTGTTGCATGGACCCGGCACTGTATATAAAGATAGCAAGTAACTGAACAATGTGAACTCACCTGTGGGACAATCAACACATCGCCTGGAAGATCTAATACTGAAACATTCTTTTGCCTTGTGTCACAGAAACTTAGTTTCACATTAAGCAAACAAGTGGCTAGAAGAATAAGAAACAAGGCATATCTCAAAAATCAATCTTGCACAAATATAAATGTTTTCATGATTGCAAAAATATGTTTTGGGAACCTATTAAATAAGAGATCAATTTTCTATAAGGTAGCATTGGATTCATCATAATTCTTCTAAAGAGCTCCTGACTCTGCTTTCAGATACTTAATTTCTGCAAGGCTCTTTCTAGGTTTTATCAAAAAGTGCCCAATGATAAAAATATTAGAGAGTGACTGTCACAAGAAAGTTGTGAAGAGTGTTCAGAATAATTGTAGCTGAAATTTCGCCAAATTTTTTCCCCATCACTGATATAAATTCTAAGAATATCTATTTGAGATGCAAGCTCTGAAACTTTAAAAGATACTGGTGATACAAGGAATGTACATATTCCATGAGAAGTAATTAATCAAGAAATAATTTTGTTCAGATATGATGATGCATTACCGGTTTTTTTCACCACATCTTTGGTACAACCTTTGAAGAAACATACATAAATTACAACTCCTCTTTTAATCTGAAAGAAGATTGTCTTTATGTCAGGGAAAGTTTTTAAAGAATAACAAAGCTAATGACATGCTAGTTATTTATTTTTTCACAATAATTTTACAGTTCCATCAGATGAAACTTTATGGTAAAATAAACAAGAAAACAATTAATAAAAACATGTAGTCCTTAAAGATAATTTTTTTTCATTAGATCCATCATTTTACTCCATTTTGTGACACTTCCATTTTCTATACTACATAAAAACAAAAGGGAGTGCTTTTTTTAAAATAAGTGGTATTAGAATTCCTTCTCTATAAGAGGGCACTTTTCACTACCCTTTATACACCCTTTCCTTTAGGAGACAAACAGGGGTAGAAGCTAGAGATATATACCTGAAAAGTGAAAAGAATGGAACTGATCAACTAACAGTGTTTCAGATCAATCTTTATCTTATCAGTAGAGCTCAAAGGCCAGTCTACAGAGTATGGCCTGTGCAAACCCGATATATTTTTGTGCAAAAAACTTGTCACACGCCGGGTATTTTTGGATGTGGCAAAAAAGACGGGCGTGGCTGGGTGTGGTCCCATAGAAAATGTCAGCTGATAAAAACAAGTCAAGTAATACTTGACAAATATACAAATAAAAACTTGGGCTATCTTCAACAGTGTACTTCACATAAATTTTTACGGTGAAATGCAAATTTACAAATTTTAACCACAACAGGGGAAAATAGTCGGTGCACACCAGCACACCAGAAATTTTTGGTGGTGCATATCGGCACGCCAGGCTTTTTGCTCGTGCACACCGGAGATGAATCTGATTACCAATAATTTCAATTCCTTTACTTGTACAGCTTACACTTTACCTCTACAAACTTAGCTTCATCTGTTTCAGTCTTTGGTGTGACCTGCAACCTAGCTTTTAAAGCTTGCTGTATCAAAGTTCTTGCGTATGTTTCCGCCATCTTGTAAACATGCTTTAGAAGACTCTCTCTCGCATTTGGCCTCGTTCGGGCGCTTCTGTTTCAAAATGGAAGGCAACGAAGGCAGTGCTGGAAATGGAAATCCCGAGGATATTACTAACAAAGAAAAGACTGAACCAACTGTTGATACTGCGGAAAATGACCAAGGAAATGCGAAAAGAGATGCCAGCAAAAAGAAAGGTATCTTCTTTGCTATAAATCAACGTAGTGTGTTTAGAACAGGATCTGACTTTTTCATTATTATGCAGACCAGGGCCAAGACTGCAATGCAGAGTATCTACGGCAAATGCACACCTGAGATATTTTTCTAAAAAGTATCTAAGAAAGGGGTGGTATCAGGGATGGCGCTAGGAAAGATCCGATAAAGGGGCTAATGCTTCCGACGGGGGAGGGGGAGGCTAACTATTTTGGTACGAAACAAAGTCTTGAAACACGGGGAAGCAGGTTAAAGCCGCCACCGAACTGTGCCAACACTAATAGCATTGCGTTCCAATAATGTCAAGTAACAAAGAAACAGGAACCGCACATTTTGCCTTTATTTAGTTTACAAGTGTAAATTTGTGGAAGAGTAGAAGTAATCTTATTTGAAGAGTTAGGTGTAACAACTGAATTCATGTGCAGCCTAGTTGACAAATGCCATGGGCAGTGCAAATCAATAAATAAAGTAATTTGTTCAAGGCGGGCGGTTAACATGCGAACTGACATTGAGGTGAGCAATGAATAGCTCGCCTCGCTCCAGTCTGCAGAGTATGGCATGTGCACACCGGATATATTTTTGTGCAAAACCTGTTGCACACCCGTATTTTTGGGTGTGGCAACTAAGATGGGTGTGGCTTGGTGTGGTCCCATAGAAAATGTCAGCTGATAAAAACAAGCACAGTTGTGTATGAAAAATTTGAGATATCATGAATCTTACTTGACAAATATACAAATAAAAACTTGCGCTATCTTCAACAGTATACTTCACACGCATTTTTACGGTGAAATGCAAATTCACAAATTTTAACCACAACAGGGAAAAATAGTCGGTGCACACCAGCACACCAGACATTTTTGGTGGTGCACACCGTCACACCAGGCTTTTTGCTCGTGCACACCGGAGATCTCGTCGAAAAGTGCCATACTCTGCAGACTGGGCCTCGCTTACCCGAGGCGAGGGTGGGGGCGCAAGCAGGCGATCGCCCACCTCAAATAGCCAGGACTGTTCAAAGATGTTTTTGTTATACCCATCCAAGCGACCAATCTGATTAACGATTAGAGGCTTTGTTTAACAGAGCCTCTACAACAATCTTGTAGGGCAGTTGACTTTCGTCTCTTTCTGTCTTCTCTTACTGTTTCAGGCTGGCTCAGTCTGTCTGCTACATCTTCAGCTGTATAACAGAATTCTTGATACTTCTCTCTTGAGCGGAACTCAGCTATCTCTTTCTTCAATGTGCCAATGGACCACATTTCGTCAGTCAGGTCACTTGTTGGTTTCTGCAGTATGTCAGAAGCAATCTTACCTTTCCCAGAATGTGCTTCATCGCAAGCAGGTATCACACACATTTTTGATCAATCTGTAGCTTGAAGCCATTGGCCTCAGTTGTATGGTCAGAATCTCTGTTGTTATCAATGATGTAGGGCTAAGCTGCTCCGACGAGGGGGATGTAGCCCCCTAGCATTCCCCTGGCACCACTCCTGCCTGCACACTGGGTAAAGGATTTGGCATTTTGAGATCTGGCCTTGACATGGGTGTGTAGTATTGCTTATTGCAAATGAAGAAGAATCATGTTTCCTTAATTTTGACATAATCTTGCCTTGGTTTGATAGGTACAAAATAACTATGAATCTTGTCCATTTTTCTCGATATCTTTGTGCATAGTTGTGTAAACTATATACACAATTCAAGCATACATTTTACCAAAGTGCATACTTGCACACTTCAAATTTTGCTTTTGCACGCACTAGATCTCATAGAAAACTGCAGTACTCCGCTGTCTGGGACCAAGGGACTGCAAGAATCAATCAAGTGCTCTTTATCAATATTATTTAATGGTGCACATTTCAAGGGGGGAGGGGAGGCGTCTTCATTACGAATGTTGTCAAAGAGAGCATGGCATCAAGCATGCCAAATCTGCTTCTGAGGTTTTTTCTAAAGATATTAGTCCTTTTTTGAGTAATAAACAATTTTCCTATATGACCACAATTTCCCTGTTTGACGCTGTTTCCTATTTGGCCCTGAGCACTGCCAATGCTGCTATTGTTTTTCTTCTACACGTTGCTTCAGGTGTAGCTCCACCATAGCTTTATAGAAATTGACAACCACTGCTTACTGGCCTGTCCTCAAATAATTGATGTTGTATAGAGCTATGCACTCTTGTTGAAGGGAGAAAATAAAATGCTTTATATATAATTTCAAAAAAGCCCTAGGCTAATATTAGAGGAATGCTTATATGCAAAAGCAACGCAGGAATTGAGGGCTTACATTTTGGGAATACTATTTTGGGAGTTTTAAGACCTTCCAGAGAATCTTTTGTTGATGATGGAATTCTTACTGGAATTAATGATGACCAGTTTATCTTCTATACAAAGTTGACATTGCATTGTTTAGATTTAAACAGTATGAATGTATCTGCTAGATTCAAGTGGTTAATTGTATAATAAGCAATGGAACACTTCATTCCAATGAAAAATATAAATATTGATACAGTCAAAACATTTCAAAGTGCCTTTTTGACATCAACAAAAGACTAGATTTGTTTTTTAACACACCCTTGCTATTTTCAAATCAATAAACTGGAACTTTACAAAAGATACTGAATCAAATTCATCTTCAAGCCATTATTTCTCAAAATTTAGTTTTACTCTACATGCACAAACATCTCCTCTACTTTTAAATGTTGTATAGACCTTAATCAACTGACAAAAGAACTGCTTGCAAGCAGGGACGGCAGGCAGTGGTAATAATGTTAATAGTCTATTACCACTTTTTTCAAATAAAACTCTGATCATGAACTCATATAAGCTGTCAGAATAAAGTTATAAGCACTCACATAAAATTTGGTTACCTACTGAATTTTTATGAATAAGACAAATTTCTATTCTATTGCCAATAATAACCATAATGAGCATATTTATCTGTTATCAATGAGTTTTTTGTCAAATGTTGCGTTGACAGTTTCGCAATTTTATTACTGCCAGCCTTGTGAAACAACCAGGTTAGTGATAACCCATTGATTCAGCTCCTTTGTTGTCGTGAATGAAAACTACATGCTTTGGCTTTGGAGGTAATAGTTCTCAAATTCTCTTAATGTGGCCAGAGACTGCTACGTAATCAGCTGGTATCTTTTAAACATGAAGCGCTTATTAGCAAATGATAGAACTAAACATCACTGGGATGTCCAGAAAGTCTGGATATGAAAAAGAAGGGTAGACTTTGACCGAAAGTCGTGATAAAGAACAGATCCTGTGAATCTGCTTATCAAGCATATTCATGGATGTGTGAAGATGAAGAAAAAATACTTTTTTTGTTGGCCTTGTTTAGTCATTGGTGACTTATCAACAGCAAGTTAGAAACATATCACTTTTATAAACAATATAAATAGATCAAAATATTTCTGTTAGTCCTTTTTGCAGAGCTCAGGATGAGCAATGGTCATGAAAGGGCCTCTCGTCGGCTCTTTTGTTAATCTAATCACAGTTCTATTAACCCGCCTTTTAGTGGCTAAAAGAAAAGGCAATGGGCCGTCCAATTGAAATACATTGCATAAAAGTGGCCTCATCGTGCAGCCCCAGCATTTATTTTGCAATGGATGACAAGGACAGAATTTGTAAAATTGATATTTTGCCTACTACTTATGGCAACATATTAAATATCAAATAGCAATTTAAGGCGACTTTCAATGGAAAACATTCCAAATAAATTTAATTTTTTTCAGATGAAAAAAGTATCACAAATTCACAGATTTCACAGATTTTGTTCAACATGATCAAATTTAGCCCATATTGCTATTTAGCCCAAATTACATGGCTTTAAAGTTCTATTCATTACATTTTTATAATTGTGCTTCTTTTTACAAGAGTTTTTACTTCATCGAAAAAAATGTATTTTTTATTCTTATCCTCTGTCTTTTGATCATTTGCAAAACTGAACGGCCCCTTACATAAAGCATTTCCTTGGTGCCCAGCTTCTTCCCCAGTTTTTAGGAATGGATCATAGAAGCTATTACCAACCCCATAACTTTGTGCACCACCCCTGCTTACAAGCATCTTTTTTGTACAAATTTTGAAACTGTTTTATTAAGGTTTTTTCAATATAAACACAGAAAAAAACACTTTTAGTAGAAAATCTTTAACAATTTTCCTTATGATAAGATACATGATTGAACACTTAAATTCGACTATTTGTGGCAAAAAACTAGAAATCAACATTTAATGCTTTCCATGATGTTGAAAATAACTGCCTTAAAATTTCTTTGAAGTCACAACGCTCTTTGCATTCATTTCCCATTGGTAAGGATTTGAAGATTCTGTTATAGGAAGCCGACCATTTCTAGAAAATGAATTTTTCATTGAACAATTCAATGTTTAAATTGATCCTCAGACTAGTTTGCTCGTAATTGCCTAATAAATGAATTCTGAGCAACAACTTGGATGCTATCTTCACTGCCTGATATTATTGCTTATTTTTTCAGTTGACGTTTTGCTGAAGGCAACAGGAGATGCCCCTATAATGAAAAAGAAAAAATGGGCTGTGGATCAAAACAAACAGGTCTCGTATTTGATAGACTTCATCAAAAAATACATAAAGTGTGATCCATCAGAATCACTAGTAAGTATTAGTTAGTCAAAATTCAGTATCCGTATCAGTTAGTTATTCAAATTTCTTTTTGGTATGATACTTTTACATAGTCACATCAAACTGACAACAGAATTTGCAACTTCTGACGTCACTGTGATGTAGATGTCACCCCTTATTCCAATGTCATTATTTGCTTTCAATATCGCAAATCCCATTTCAATGTCCCCTTTGTTTCTTCAGATATTTCTGAAAAACCTATTAAAAATTACCAAAAACGGTTGTTCAAGAAAACCACGTTTTCAGGGTTTTTCCCCATATTCCTCCTTGGCCAATAGCCCAGATTTTTCATTCTACTATAGCCCTGTGCAGATTCAGCCTTAAATTTACACTTTCCAGTGAAATCCAAGGTGGGTACATTTTTGTTGGTTGTGAATGCTCCACGAAATCAGAACTTTAGCTGCCTCCTCAGAAAAAAATGACAGATATTTCTGAATTTTCTAACAATATGTAGAAACTTGCACCTTGAAATATATAATGACTTACATTTTTGGTCATTACTATCTGATTTCTTAGAATTCATAGTGTCTAAAAGTATTTCAGTGTGTTTCTGCTTTTCTAAAGAAACAAAAGTTATTTATTGGTTTTTTCTTCACTTCCAGTTTATATATGTTAATCAGACATTTGTTCCACCACCTGATCAATTAATCAGCAACCTATATGAGGTAAGCAAATTTATTATAAAGATTCTGTATGCAAAAACTCGTCTTTTGTGAGTATTTTAGTCTCTTCAATTGGCTCCCTTTCAAAGCAAACTGGGTTCTAAATGGGTTGGAACGATATGATCATGAACATAAATTGAAAAAGCTGTTTAGGTAATTGGCTGTTTTCTATTTTATCCAAGCCACTTCAAAGGCAGCAGGTGTTTGACTTCTTACTTTTACAAAACAATGACAATATGATAATGTATAATAGATATTCTATATCATTTAACTATTATAACGCCACTTCTGATATGATTAGGATGTTACTGGTTTTACAAAGCAGATTTCTATGCACAATTTCCAATCTCTCTTGTTTTCAATCAGCCATTTCTGTATGCAATGATCTAATTTTTGCATTGACTTAGGGTTTTCTCAAAGTTATTCCAATGTTTGAATTTTCAGTGCTTTGGGACAGATGGAAAGCTGGTCCTCCATTACTGCAAAACTCAAGCTTGGGGGTAGACACAAAAGTACAGTTAGGTCAATTTATTTATCATTCCCAACATTTTGTTAGTTTCTGACTGAGGATATCAATTAATAACCTTTCGGGTACTTAAACGATAAACAATTGTATATACACATAACGATTACAATTATTAGATGATTCAATAATGCATTTATAAGTATTTTTTATTTCTATCTTCAATGCAGTTACTCTATGTGATTCTTTGTGGCATTTTCAGTCCGAAATTTAGCCTGTTTTTGTTTTTTTAGACATAGAAAGTAAAAACTAAAAAAAATATTTGAAAAAAAGTGTAAAATTCAAATTGGAAAAACGAGAAAAAAGGAGATAACAAGTAATCACTACCACCTGGTTACAGCCTCAAACTCAGACGAGGAATGGTTGTGTGTGCCCCTGGTATGTTTTGAGCAATTAGCTTGAAAATGAGCAGAACATGATAAAAATGCAACTCATCAGCCAGAAACCTACAAGGGACATTTCAGGGCTTTTATTCACACATTGACTTTTTAGATTTTACCTTCTACGCCCATAAAAACAAACGTCTATCTTAATAACGTAGTTTTAAATTCTGTACTTCTATGGTTTGATTCAAAGAAAACTGACAAGAACGAATGTTGAGTCGATAGGGGTTAAGTGTAGGGCAGCCATGGAGAACCAAATCTTCAAAATTTTATTCAAACTGTTATCCTTTTGCCAATTAGAAATTAGATTACTGTAGTTTTTTAGGGAAAAATGCTGTGCTAAAATTTATGGAAGGCGACGTATGAAAGTTGCAATATGGAGTAGGTAAATGATAATTAGATCGCCATATCAAATGCAAGGATTGGAAGGTTACACTCATTTTTTATAAGAAACTCGCTATAAGAAACGAGTACTGGGCAATCTGAAAAATTAAGTACTCGATGCAAAAAGTTACAGAACTCAGTAATTTTGTGAAATTCTATCATCGTGATTGGCTGGTTGACATAAACGTTGAGACTGAAAATACACTTCCCTCATCTAAGTGCAGTATTAAAATGGAAGCGAATCTCTTTACTGAAATGTCATGAACATTTGAAAACAGAAACATTTACGATTTCCAGCGACGAAAATCCTTCAAACAAATTTCTGTTGGGAAACTATTTATCGTGAAAAATTGAAAATTGGATGCCAATGTTGAAAATAATGACCGTCAAGTTTAAGAAACTCTTAAGAAACAACGAGTATTGAAATTTCTACAGCGTTAAGAAACTTGGATACTCAACTTCGACCTTTTTATATATAAAAAAATGAGTGTGTTCTTAATTGAATATAAGATGAAGAATGCCACCATCTAAGCACTAAAAGCAACTTGAAAAAAATATTCTTTCTGCATTCTTCACTCCTCTTTGAAGCTAAGATTCTTTTCTTTTCTCGGGGGAATTTTCCCAAAAACAGCCATGCCTTGTAGACAATGATTTAAAATTGTGGATTGCAATGAAAATCAAGATACAATACTAGCACAACTCCTTGAACACTTAGTTCAATTTCAAATTCGAATTCAGCCATCCTATTTTCCTCTTCAAGCGATGTTGGCTTACTCCAAAATGACGGAGAAAGTTACGAAGCTGGCTTGAGTATGATATTTTGTTTAATCATAAACGGTCCTCTTGGGAGAATGGGTAGCGAAATTGGTAGTGATCGGGGAAAGTGAAGGAGATAGTTAGTAACAATTTGAAGCTGATGGATGTAGGCCGTGCTGTGCCATATTGGAGTACCAGTATTTGAGCATTAACCTGATGAATACCCAGGGCCGCCGGGAGGTTTTGGGGGATCTTGGGCAAAACTGAAGACGAAGATCACATCCTTTAGATTAGCTTGAAATACATTTCTGAATATTTTTTGCTGCAGTGGTTTAACTGTTAAGGCATGTTTTTGCTATGATTGATTCGTTCCACTCTTAACATCTAATTCATTACTTTATGTGGCCCCCTTGACTTCGGGGCCTTCGGGCAATTCATACCACCCCCCTCTCGGCAGCCCAGAAATATCTACTGAACAGGATACCTTTTCCATCCCAATATAACAGATGTAAATTGTAGTTTGCAATCTTGCACACATATTCGATATACCTTGTCAGCAGTGTCGAGAATTTTAGGGATAGGGGACAAATGTCTGGAAAATTTAATATTTTGGGATAATAGTTGCAGAAGAAAGCAGGCTATAGCAACTTTTTCGGAAAAATTCCCCCCACCACATAGATCGATTTCAGCCACTACTTGGTAATCGTCAATTGATTTAATATTAATGCAATTTCGAGAATAGATATATTAGAAGACCCGATATTCATAAGAATTCTTGTTTGTCTGATTGCTTAATAGTAGTAACTTTCAAAAATTCTTACGGGAAATATTCCTGAACTCAGTAAACAAAAATTCTTGAGAAGTTTGAGAGAAGACGTTGAAATGGAGCCATCTGCTTGATTAAGCAAACTTAACTGTTTTATTTTGGATAGATTGGCGTGTTGACTGGAGAATTTAATTTTTATGCATTTGGAGCCAGGAGAATCATAACATTTATTTTACATTTCCTTTCCCATTAACGCTATCAAATAATAAGCAAAGATCAAGATATATTGAATGCAATTCATCAGTAAAAGCTTGAATTGTTCAATCCGGAGAGAAAAATTTCAACTAATTCCTGTTCCTTTTTATTGTAACTTGTACGAGAATATTGAATGCAGGCATAAATGTATGCTTAATTGCTTTCTTGAAGTAAGGAAATATTTGCTGGGGATGTAATTAAAATGTTCTTGTTTTGATGGCCAGTTTAAATGCAAAGTCTTCTGTTTAACAGCGTGATAATTTCCCATTCTTTATGTTTTTATGATTTGAGATTTCTGGTACAAAACTTTTAAGACTGAATAGGAGCGAAAACAATTTATTTTCCTAGATTCGTTTTTTCCTATTTTCTTTTGAAATAGAACAAAACATTAGTTTTCAAACTGTTGTAAGAACTAAAACTTTGAGATAAGTGCTCTGCATTATAGGTCAGCCACAAAAATATCATTTTTGTGGAGCATGTGACACAGGAATCGTTTCCCTCTGCTTCGCAGCTTCTGAAGCATTTAGCTGTTGGAGTTTGTTTTTATTCAAGATCTTGATGACCTATGTTGAATTGGGGACAGGGAAGGTGAAATTACGGAAATATGTTGAAAACATTGAGTAGAAGTGATTAATTGCAGTTTTCTGTTAATTTTCCATGGAATTATTTATTTTATCGATATTTGTATTTCTTGAAGCGCTGTTTTAAAAAAACTCGCCTTTAAGGTCCTGTGAAAACAGCAGGATAAGAGAAAATTGATATCTTTATATATATTAGAAGGCCTTAAGACTTTTAACTGCATTTTACGGTCAATTACAACGTGTTTGCTAGATTTGAACATTGTTTGTTTCGCCCATTATATTTTTTCATTTTTCATTGCTACAGTTCCATTGATTTTTTTCCTGCAACTTGAAAACATTTTCTCCGTATAATGAAATCTAAGACCCTTTTTAATTTGCTGCCTGCTTATTTTAGGTTTTTTGAAAAGCATCTGATTTACAAACATAAATCGAACTAAAATCGAACTAAGCCCTCGCAAACAAATAGTTTTATTTGTGACTATATTGGTGTGTCACGGTTCATTCTCTTTTTCAATATACGTTTTCCTTTTTGTAACTTATAAGTTTATTCTTGTAAAGGGCCTCTACTGCAGTTTACATTGTAAATTTATACATGTGTTAGTATGTTGTGTTCCTCACACAACAGCCGGTACTAGTCAGCTTATGCGGCAACTCTAGAACAGGTAGTCATTTAACAGTAATCTTTGCATATATTTCTATCGATTTATGGTAAAGGAGCCCCTATGCAGATCTGTAATGTTTTCTTCCCTGAAATGAGATTCGAAAACAAATCATCGAAACCAAAGTTTCAACTAACAAATGGCTGTTTCGTCTTATAAGAGCATAGTATTCTTATATGAACTTTTTTGGTTCTAAATGCTATAGGTTTGTTACAGAAAGTTCATTTTAGAATTGGAATGGATATAGTATATGTATTATGCATAAAGTTTATTGTTGACATATTAATTGCTAAGTTTATTGTCTCTGCTAAGGACGAGAAATTCTTGGCTTGTCTTCTACTGGGAATGCAAAGGTCACATGTTGTCTGGTATTGTGAGGTGTCACCTATGGGAACGCTTAAAAAACTGGGGAAATTGTCAAAATGATTTTCAAATAGAAGTTTAACTTAAAAATCGTATAAGATTACAAATTTTGAATGGAAATGACTTTTTATACCTTCAAGGTTTTGAGTAGATTGGTTGTGCGTTGTTTTAATGGCAAGACACAGTAGTTTGGTTGACCCCTTGTTCTAGTGCACCGAGTAAAGCTGTTTGAGGATATGAGTTTCATAGAATAAACCGCAACATTGTAAGGATAAACAAATCACAAACGATCAAAGCGATGGGCAGCTCTGATTCGATGCTAGGTTAGTTGTCTTGCTATCGCTGACCCAAGGAAAGGAGGTGGCATGCCGTGCTCCTGTTGCGACCGAAAGAACGTATAAAACAGAATCATCCCGATTTCTGGCTTTGCTTGTCAGCGTTGCAGTCGTTAAATGCCGGACGTTTGAACAGGTTGCCTGTGAGCATTTCTTTGATGTTGTGCTGTGTCTCATCGTTTGAAAAAAGCAATGGCATTGGACACGACTGCTCTGACAATCGCCACCACGCTCTCTGGTTTGACTACCAATAATTCAACTTTCTTTTTCAACAACAGCGATGTCAATATTGGCAAATCAAAAAGATGGAACCATACGCATGAAATGTGCATCCCTCTTGCCATCCACCAATTTCCAAAGGATATCATTGGGCAAGAGAACCGTCAGAGAGGCGGCGTGTTGATACACCTTTTTGCCGCCTTATACATTTTCGGAAGTCTTGCTTACCTATGTGATTGCTACTTTGTCCCTGCACTGGAAGTCTTGACTGATCGTCTTAAGATACAGCCTGAGGTTGCTGGTGCAACGTTTATGGCCATTGGAAGCTCTTCTCCGGAACTTTTTACTTCTCTTATTGGGGTATACGTAGCCGAGGACGATGTTGGGGTTGGGACAATAATAGGCTCGGCGGTGTTCAATATTCTGTTTGTCATTGGCTGTTGTATTATCGTTTCGCCAAATGTTCTGTGCATTGAAGTCTATCCAATCGTCCGTGATGCTGCTTTCTACACGCTTTCCCTCATCCCATTGGCTGCTATTTGCATGGACGGTGAAGTCGATTGGTACGATGCAGTTTCTCTTGTCCTCCTTTATGGCTTGTATATCTTCATGATGTACCACAGCGTCGCTTTGGAGAAGTTGTTCTACAATATCTTCCCAATGGCGAAGCCTGAAGAAAAACCGAAGGAAACAACGCCTTTTTTGCATAACAATGGTGAGCAGAAACTCGATGCAGCCCAAGCCAAAGCAATTGAGGCAGGAAACGGGCATGTTCACAAGGACAGTAGCAATGGAGATGTTAAATTTCTTGTTAATGGTGAACATTTGGAAATAAAAGTTACTGACGCATCATGCGAAGAGTACCAACATGATGATGATGGATCTTTCTTCGATGATTTGTATCCTCCATCTGGTAAAATGAAGAAAGCAATGTGGTTGATGGGTTTCCCGATCATTTTCTTGTTTTGGCTGACTATTCCAGATGCAAGCAAACCAAGATGGCGCCGTTGGTTCCCAATGACCTTCCTTGTCTCCCTTGTGTACATCGCCTCGTTCTCCTACGTGCTAGTCTACATGGTCACAATCATCGGCTACACATTTGGTGTTCCAGATATCGTTATGGGCTTGGTATTTATTGCCTGCGGTGCAAGCGTTCCTGATGCCCTTGCAAGCATCATCGTCGCCAGGCATGGTCAAGGCAGGATGTCAATCTCAAATTGCATCGGCAGCAACGTTTTCGACATTCTGCTAGGCCTAGGGTTGCCATGGATGATGAGGACCCTTGTCACCCACTATGGCCATGCAGTTCCAATAATGAGCGGCAGCATTAAGTTTACAGTGTTCATTCTGATTGGCAGCGTTGTTGCAATGCTGTTCACGTTTTGGATCAGTCGATGGAAACTGCGCTGGCCCGCCGGCCTAATGCTGATTGTGACCTACCTTGGCTTTATAAGTATATCTTGTTTGTTTGAAATGAATGTTTTTGGGCGCTATAATCTGCCTCAGTGTGAGTAGCCTGCAACAAAAATTGCTTAGCTATCTTGGGACTTCTCTGCCTTCATTGTTAGATCTACCATCATGCGTGAAAGTCTTTGAGGATATATTTACTTATTGCCTGCCCAAGTATTTCTAGTTTTTCTGTCTTTACAGTCCATATAAGCACCTTCTCTGATATTGAAAGCCCATTCATTTATAATTAAAAAAAACCCGCCATTATACTTCCATTTAAGAATTCCCTAGGTCTTTCAAGAGAATCTCTCCTTGCTTATGATGAATTAAAAATTTGCCTTAAGCTTTCATATTTTTTGTTGTTTATAATAGAGAACTGAGTTGTTTGCAATCTTTTATTGTAATTTAATTTCTAACTTTTAGCAAGTTTAAAGTAATAGAGTACAATTAAACATTTTTTCTCGTTTTGCGTCAATTTCCACTCTATTTCATACTACATTCCTTTTTTACGTCATAACTATTGTCCAGTCCCCTCAACCTGTTAGCCACTTTGAAATTTTATATCTGGAACTGTGTGATTTTTTCAATTCAACCGATAGCTGCAAAGGATAAAAATTTCAACCGATAAAAATTTGCCTTATATATAGGGAATAGGTATTACTTCACTTGGTGCAGGCTTATACAATCCACCTGATTCAATTTCCTATTACTGCTAATATCTTTTTCACAACAAATGTATATTCGAGTACGTTGAGTTCATTTAAGCTAAGATGTCAAATCCAAAAATTCAGTCTCTACCTAACACAATGTGCGATTATTCTTCAGTTCTTTTTCTTGAATTTACAAATTTACGATTTGTTTGTTATCACATTTGATTGGTTGTTCGTTACCTGAATCAACAAGCAGAAGCACATCGAGAAGAAAGTTCCAAATAAATTTTTGAATAATCGCATATCTGTTAGAGCTGATGCTTGATTGCAGTATTTGTTTGCTATGTAATTATTTCATTGTTTAATAGTTTATTGATTTTAGGATTAATAAATAATAGGCTTAGCTGCTTTACTTGTTAACATGTGTTGCAACCCAAAACAAAAATCTTTTAGATATTTTCTTGTCTCATGACCTCTACTTTTTATTAAAAAAGGTCTTTAAAGATTTGCAAATTTAAAAAAGGTCTTTAAAGATTTGCAAATTCGCAGAGTCTGATGATGTTGGCCACATACCGGTAAAAATAAATTGAAATACTGGCCGACTTCTAGTGACGACGGTATTTGTCGTAAAGACAACTTCAGCAATCGTGGCCTCTGTTTTATCATTTTTATATGAGTTCGGGTTTTTGGATCTTTTCTCAGATATCTTGCCGCGCTTTGCTCCCCTATAGGCCAAATCCTGCCCCCCCCCCCTAAACAGTTAGCTTTGGTCTATTTACTGCACAATGCCCTTTCTGTGTCATTCTTAGTTGTAAACAGGAGCATAGCCAGGATGGTAAGATTTGGGGGCAAAGACGAGTTAAGCGAGGGAAAAATGGGGGCCTACACGCTTTGGAAGGTTAGAGAACGCCCTTAGTATTTTGTTGTTGGTGGCGTCCGTCCCCTCTTCTTTCCCCACATTACACTACTGGTTGTAAATGCGTGTGAAAAAGCTTACTTACCGTAATTTCCCTGATTGTCGCAGAGAGAAATACGGATAGATATCTTTGCATTCAATCTTAACTATCCTCCGAAGAAACGATATTTTTTCAACAAATTTAATTTAAAGTTCTTTTCAAACAAAGCCCCATCGGTTAAAAAATTTGATGCTTAATAAGAAAGTAAAGGCCATCATTTTATGGATTTATATTTACAATAATCATAGAACTAAGTATAATAGCGCATCTATTTAGCAGCTGTGCTACCAGGGAGTTGCGTTTTAAACTGATTTCAGCTTGTAAGATAGTATCTTCATTGGATCAAAAACAAGGGCAACCCCTTAGTGGCACATTTTGGACATATTCTGACAATAGATTTTGTTCTGTGCCCCAAATTAGGTCTTATCAGATTTTCTCAAGGGAGTAAATTAGGCTTTAAGTTGGAAAAATCGCTTAGTACACCCCCCCCCCCCCCACCCTCCGGATTCTATGAATCTTGCAATGGAAAGTTCGATAACAAGCAATAGGTAGGAACAATCCAAGATAAATTTAACTAATTCGAAAAGCAAAATTTGAAAATAAAGCCCAGCACAGATTTTTCGATTCTGTTTTAGGGTTGTTGCAAAAGTGATATCTTTCGTGGAATTTCTACATAACTTTTGCTTATTAAAAATTTTGGTTATATTATTTTAAAAGTTGCTACACCATTGTTTGACCTGTAGCCTGTGGAGTGTTGGGAATAAAATATTCACGGTTGGCAAGTTTAACATTAAATTCTAGAAATATTTGTTAATTTATTTACAAACAATGAAAGCCATGTGGAATGGAAGTGGGTTTGTGATTTTTGGACTTTAATAGGAAACTCGTCATTTATAACCACCATAAATCGATGCGGGTTTCGTTTGCACCAATCATATCGTTTCCTTGACATCATATGGAGAACAAAAGGTCTAGCAACGACAACAACTAATTGATATGAGTATACAGGAAATGAAGTAGAAAAGATGGCAGCAATTTTCTGTGGAAAATTATCAATTCGATCACCTGCCCTTGTCGGAGGAAAAGAGGCCAGTTACTGAAAATTTGCGAGCGCATAGGCCCATTTAGACTCTCAGTAATTCACAGTTGTTGGTTTACGAAAGTATTTGGTCAACTTTTGCTGAGTTCGTCATGGGAAATTGTTGCATCTCGCCGAACAACCAGAAACAAATTGTCAGACGGCCTAAAGATACAAACGGTAAAGTGAGCGGAAAGGACAAACACTCTCCAGTAACATGCATAGCTGCAAATAAAACCGCGACAGAAAATGAGAAAAAGAAACACCTTGTTGAAAATGGTAGCTCGTTACTCAACGAAAGTAAGTTTTCTAGTCCAGCTGCTGTGAAGTCGGGAAACCCCCCGCAAGACAGAGATTCGAGTCGTTCCTCACAAAAATCGGACTTTAACGAGCAAAATATCGAGACATTATTTGCTAAATATAAGGATAAAAACGAAGAAAATATATTAGCTGCTGGTACAGAAAGCCTTTGCCAAGATTTAAAACTTGACCCTACTGAATTTCGTGTTCTTTTACTGGCGTGGAAGTGTAATGTTTCCCAGATGTGTCGTTTCACAAGACTGGAATTTACGCACGGATGTAGGATTTTAGGTTGTGATTCAATCCGTACAATGCAATTAAAACTGTCTGTTGTAGAACAAGAAGTTGACGACAAAGAACTATTTCGCGATCTCTATCGTTTCACTTATGGCTTTGGCCTAGATGTAGAGGATGGTCAAAGAACTTTGCCAACCCAAGTTGCCATCGATCTATGGAAGCTTGTGTTTACTATAAAGAGACCTCGATTTTTAGATGAATGGTTTGAATTTTTGGAGAAGAAACAAGTAAAAGGAATATCCAGAGATACATGGAACATGTTTCTCTACTTGACAGAAACAATGAAATCAGATTTCAGTAACTATGATGATTCTGAGGCTTGGCCCAGTCTTTTTGACGAATTCGTAGATGAACGCAATCAGCCTGTAGAAAATGAGCAGAAAGAGTCAGATAGTGCTTTTTGATTTAGATGATTTTGAATTTTTTGGAGCTATGGCTTTTAGAGAGAATTTGATATTAGTTAAGTTAAGGGGCAATCCACCATTAGATTGAATTTGTTATATTGTTGTAAGATGAGCTAAGCATAGGAAATTTGATATCACCAATTTGCCATTTCAATCTTAGGGTATTTCTAGTATTTCAAACATTTATTGAAAATCAAACTGGCTTTGGGTTGTTCTGAATATTTCATATTCAGCTTGTTGCTACCCTACATCAAGTGGGAAACCTCTAAAATTAGAAAAATTTCCAGTCCTTTATCTTCATCTGTTATATATCTTGCAGGGCCCTGTCAAACTCCAAAGGTTTTGGAGCTTCAGGTGTATATGGGAAAATTGAGGAAAAGTGATGATGTAACAATTAGTTTGGTTGTTCAAGACGTTGTTTAACACAAAGCTACAATAATCCTAAAAAACTCTTAGTATGTGATTGCCTTGCGATTGCTGCTCTGCCAAAATAATTGATTTAGTATGACTAAGCATAGTGATTATGTTTTTCTGGTGAATTAGAGAATCAGACCCATAAATTATGAACAAAAGTGCTTGAAATTCCTTCACCTTGCTTGCAAGAAAGAGAACATATCAACAGAAAACTAATTAACAGTTTCTAAAAGAATTTTCCATTGTTTCTGTTGTTTGAATATCAGTTTTTACACATTTTAAACATATTAGCTGTCATAAGATAATTTTAGAGTAATTAGTTGTATATTTGGAGTTATTTAGTTCTCAGGGTAGCATTAAATGGCATTGACTAGATTCTGGGTTAATGATGAAGTGCAACAAGACATTTATATGTAAACAAAGATGTTTAATAGAGATATAGATTTTCCTATCAAACCAGACCTCAAGTAAAAAGCACTTTGATAACTGTAAATAGGGACAGATTTTGTAATCCAAGGTGTTGTATTTTACTTGAAACTTTAAATGACCATTGCCAAAGAATTCAATGAAATGCAATTGACTTTGCCTCAATCAGAATTATGACCAGTCCTCCTGTGATTTATGATTAATTCATTCAAATAGAAAAGTGATATCAAACTCTTTATAACAGCATACACAATGCATTTGGTATGAGTTTGATCAAGTAAAAATTGAGTAATAGATATTTGCAAATTTCATAGCTTATTTGTAGTTATTTCCAGAGTAAGTATTGTGTTATTTGTTGCTTCAATTCCATATCCAAAGTAATGTATTTCCAAGATGTGTCTGTGTGTTTCTATTTTATATCTGCCTTTAAATCAAGTTGAATCACTATATATTCTTCTGGCATTCCCATGTTTTGAATTGGCCTTTTCCAAGCAGAACAGACAATGAGATTGATAAGGTATATTAATGTTTGAAGATGCATAATTATAAGCATAGACACATAGACACCTAAGAAAGATCCTAGGACTTAACTGGCAAAGAAATATTACCAACAACGAGCTCTATGCCAGAACAAAATGTGAACCATGGAGTGAAATAATAAGAGAAAGGAGACCAACATGGCTAGGACATCTCATGCGCTTGCACCCAGAAACACCAGCAAGGAAAACTCTTAAAGAATATCTCAGGAGGGTAAAACGGCCACAGACGACCTGGATGCAGATAGTAAGGCAAGATTTGGCCAGCATCGGAATTAAACTGGATCTCTCAAAAGAAGCACAAACATTGAATAGATTATCTGAACTGACAGAGGACAGAAAGAACTGGTGTGGCATTGTGAGAGGCGTCATGCAGTATTAACTCTTGTGACGTCTTAGTAGTAGTAGTAATTATAAGCAAAAATGAATGTTCTTGCTTCTTCATTTTGCCTCACCTTGACTATCATCCCAGTGTTTGAACAATTTTCTAATAAAAATAGCTTTGAAAAAAGCAAACATGTGCTTTTTTCAAATCTCTTTTTAATTTTTGTACCACCAAAAAATTGTTTGCAATTTCCCCTGGAATAAGATGAAGTCTGAAAATCAACCACATGTCAGATTTTTATCATGCAATGAAGAAACCACCAATAACCATTGTATTAAAAAAATTCAAGTTTAACATCCACAAAATGTCACCAAAGCTAGAATACCAACTCCTAACTCTTGAATAATTTCCCTATGTTTTGAGATGCTCTCTGATATAATCTTTTATAAAACATGCTCCCCAAATTTTTATTTTTGCAATCGGATCCCCTTCCATGGCCCAATTCTGTAATGATTGAGGCTTAAATATTAAAACAGATATACATTGTTTGTCAAAACAACAGGCTGATCAGCTTTTTATTCTAATCCCATTAACAAACATGTTTAAAGTACCATAATCTTATTTTCTGATTAAGAAACTTTCAAGGTCATATTCGCTTTTGTGTTTCTTAACAGGCCCCTGTATTTTGAATGCATCTTATTTCAGTTTTATGAATACACCCAAAATCACAATACTCTTTAACTAGTGCCTCATAAAGCTTTTATTTAATTATATGTAAGGTAAAAAACTTTTCTCTTATTTGTGTCTCATACTTATCGCGTTCTACAATCACGCTTGGTTTTTATATAGTCAATATGGGGCAAGTTTGTGTGCACGAATTAACCATATTTAGATTAAATTTTGTTTCAGTCAATATCTAGTTTCTTTATGGACCATTTTTTTTTCGTCGATCAAAACATGAGAACAAATAAGACCAAAAGGGTGCATAAATTCTGAATTGTGCAATTGTTTTTACCACAAGATTGTCTTATCTGTCATGCTTATTGCTTTTGGCATTACGATTTTCTTCAAAATGCTTTGATTATAAGCACAGTTCTAATGCTATGTTATGGAAAGAAAAAAAGGGATCTGGATCTGTTTAAAAAATGAAATATCGGTCACCTTTTCACTTTCAGGGCTATTAGAAGCGGTTGTAGGGCTATAGTTTTCTACTGCGCTGCGCAGGAGATTCAGACACCAGAGGACAGGAATTGAAGAATATCCTCATTTAGTTGTTTCAAGAAGTTACACGTGTTTCGCTGCAAAGCTTCACAGTAATGGAAATTCCAGTCATTCAGATTGATGTGTGAGAAGGAAGAACCGCAGGATAGGCTGTACGCCGGATTCTGTGAATCTTGCAATGAGATTTTAAAATGAAAGATGTACAGGAACAAAGCAATACGACGACGAGAATCCAATGTCACGAAATAAAATTTTCAAAATAAATTAAATTTAAAGAGTATACTAATATTTCGCCCCGGCATACAGGGTTTCATTAGAGTAAAATCAGATCGATCCTTTTTTTGTACAATTATTTGAAATAGATCACTTCAGTGGGATGATCGCCGGTAATTGAGATTTGGATCATGTCAAATTGAGTAAAAAAAGTGTTTTTTGCTTCTCAGAGGGCGTGTCTCAAGAATTCTTCCGGGGAGTGGTATCCTATTTGGTTTTCTTAGCTGCCATCAAAAGTAACACCTTATTTGCCGTAGCATGTTGAGGGAAGCACGCCAGTTTTTGTCGGATCATACGAGTTGGTTAAAAGGACTGTACAAAGAAGAAACATGCAGCAAAGGCTGTCACACAGTCAAAGCGGTGGAAACTCTATCAGGGCAAGCGCCACCGATTTTAAAGTGGGGGGCCAAAAAAGGGGGTAGTAACTAAAGGTTGCAAGAAAAGTGGGGGCCATGGCTTCCCCGGTCCCCCCTGTGCCTATGGCCCTGTCTGTGTGTTGAATTCAAGTTTAACTGCCATCACAAATCTCTCTATTACAGAGGTACTTTGCAACTGGCTAGCCATTTATCACAAAGTGAATTTTATACATTCCTAGCAATAAAAAATAATAAAATTTTCATCCTTCGCTAATGGTAGCCTTGAAGTCTGAGTTGTTTTTAAAGTGTCGTCATAACTAAAAAATTCTTGATCTATTTACAATTTACAAATGATCTAGAAAATATAAAAACGTTTACTACACAAAATCTTATTACAATTACGATGAATTTATTACAAAACCGTAAATCCTCGAATCAGTCAATCCTCTTATATGCAAAAATGAATTTTTGGGTGGGGGCTCATTTGGGGGGGGGGGTTATTAGAGGGTGGAGCTTATTTCAACGTTTAGTAATTTCCTCAAAGCGGCGGAATTCTTGTTGACCAATTGAATGAAAAATATAAACATGAGCATTTTGAGCTTCTAATTACAACAACTGATGTCATTAAAAGAGTCACAAAGTGCTGTGGGAAGATCTAACAAATATTATAATTGTTTATCATCACAACAAAAGTCCCTTTTTTGCTTTTTGGTCTCCAGTTAAAGGAAGTAACACTGTATGCTATTGTCCTGGGGGGGCTTTTTTGAAATAAGATATTATTCTGCAATTATGCGATACTTTTTCGTGAAAAATTGGATGCTATTGTGAGACTCGTAACATTTGAACATTTGGCAAGGGCGCCGGAGCCACGGGGGCAGCGGGAGCGCCCTTTTCAAGAAATTGATTTCCGAGCAATATGGATTCATATTAGAATTTTAAATGCCATGAAATCCAGGTTTAAAGTGTTTCTTGTTACCTATATACAGGTCAAGATTTCCCATTTTGATGAAAACTTAAAATCGATTTGCAAGGCAATTTGACCAAAAACATTCTCGTTGATCATAGCCTGCGTCACAGACTAGTTGATCACTTCTTTCAAACCTTCATCATCATGCTGAAGACACAGTTTGCCACTAACGCGATATATCAGCCATAGGATGTCTTAATTTACTGAATGATGTCTTAATTTCAAACAAAGACGTAGGAACCGTAGGGCACAGGCAGTGGCGTACCCAAGGGGGGAGAATAGGGGGGTCCGGACCCCCCTCCACTTTTCTAAAATAGATCCTCGAGATTTGTCCAAAAATGATGTAAAACTCATTGGGGGGGGTGTAGTATACTGTATGCTTGTGTCAATAACAATTGTAAAATACTTCGCTATTTACCGTAGCTAACATAAATAAAAAAATGGGGGGAAATTTTGCAAAAAGGCGTTTCCCCGCATTTGCGAGTGTCTAAAGGGCGTGGTCCAAAAAAGTGCAACCTGAAATTTGAAAAGCAAGTTTTTGAAGCATTTTTGAAGCCGATATGTCTCTCTTCCAGAAGGAAAAATAATAAAATGATGTGATTTCTTCTTATCTCAAGCGAGGGAGAAATCACTCTTGAAAATGGTGTACGAGATTGATACTCACTAGTGATTATTTTGTGATTAAATCAATTTTGTGTGTGATTAATTTAGTTTTTAGTGATAGAAGCGATTAATTTTCTTTATTAATTTTTGATTTTCTAGAAACTGAATTATAGATTCAAAAATGCTTTCAAATAATTTCATGATCAATAAACATCGTCAACGATATGCTGTTGAAAAAGAAAAATTAGCAGTTCAGCTCAGGGGTGGATCCAGAAAAATTTTGATCGTTGCATCATTTTGACAGCTGTTGATCACCTTGAATGGGACATTAAGACAAATGCATGTGCTCTTGGGCCGTCAACTTTCGTCATAAGAATTTGAATTTGCATCAAAAGAACTGTCTTTCCTGAACATTAACATTAGCAACATGGAAGGAAATAGCCTGGAATGAAAGACAGTGAACAGTTGTTCTTGTGAAAGACATTAAGACAAATGCATGTGTTCTATTGTGTGGGTCATCTACTTTCGTCATGAGATTCTGAATATGAATCAAAAAAAAGCTATCTTTCCTGAACAGTAGCATTATCAATATGAATCCAAATAGCCTGGAATGAAAAATAACAGTGTACAGTTGTTGAACACCTTGTGAAAGACATAGAGACAAATGTATGTGCTCGGTTCTCTGCCCTCGCAAGTGATGTCGTTATTGGGAAATTAAACTGTCATTCCTGAAACTTTCACCGATAGAAAAAATTACAAGTTCCAGAAATATGGAACTTGATTATCAAACTTTATCTGTGAAAGTTACCAGAATCTGACATAAATCATTCCCTATAAATGTAACAGTTTCAACTGCAAAATCCGGAACTGTCTGGATTCGCCCCTGCAGCAATGAGTGTAAAAAAGCTTCTATCAGGCGTGGTTTTCGATCAGATCACCTTCAGTGGCATTTGGGCAACAAAAACAGCAATGGTTGTTTCAGTGACCCCGGCATCATAACGAGGCCTTTATTTTTGCTCCATTGCAAGGAACTTATTAAAGCTTGTTGTTCTCGAGCGTGTGTTTGCAGATTTTCTAACTTGTTCGTGAAAAGATTGAAAAAGTGTGAGAGGGAAATTCTAAACATTGAATTTTTCAATAACATATGCGGATAAAACAAGTGGGCAAGGATTCTAATATTTGTTTTAAGTAATTTTTGTGATTAATGCTATACTTTGTGATTAATTGGGTTTTTTATTTATGTGATTAAAGTGTGATTTTTCTGGCCATCACCTTCCACCAGGCTTCGCCACTAGCTAAACGAAGATTCCCGATTTGTTTTAGTAGCAAACTTTGAGACCCTAAGAAGCCCTTTCTGCGGTACCTGCCCCCGCCACAACCGGCGCCTCTGCCATTTCTGGGGCGAGGCCGTCATTTTTACATTTTTTCGAAAATCTGAGGCTGGATTGTTCTTAATTTGTTCTTAAATTAAAAGGGTGTAAGCAGTGCTATTGCTAGATTTTTCGCTCTAATGGGGTGTTCAGGCCTCATTTGCCAACAGAGTGAGTGAGACAGCCCCTTAAGTTGCTGACAAATTATGAATATTCACCGAAAAAGCACCCACACATCGCTAAAAATCCTCGATTTTGAGAAAAAACGTTGTTTAAAATTGCATTTTGCAGAAGCTCAGCCTCAGCTTGTTCTTAATTTGTTCTTAACTTTTGACCAGTTTTGAGGCTCGTGTTCTTATAAAATTGTTCTTAGAAAAAAGAGTGTAGTTGACTATGCCTTTCGTGTCTACACGTATAATTTCCTGGGTAGTTCAAGCCAAAATCAATAGTTCACCTGGAGCATCACAGCTGCTACCAGTTATTATTTTTACTGCTATGATTAGGAGCCTCTGCAATCTATTGATCTATTGATTAATGCCACAGGATCCCAGAAACAGAAACAGCAGGACCATAAGGCAGGACCCAGGACCCAGGTTTCGGCAGAAAGATCTTCTTCATTTAGTGCCCATTTACTGTATTTTACAACATTTACAACTTCAAATTCACTATAACGTGTCATTAAACTGAAATAACATGGTAGAAACTTCTCTTTTTGATAGTTAGCAATGGTGTCGGTCTTGGTATCAAGGTTTTGAAAACCTTTACTTACAGAATCTATTAGACGAGCCAAGCTTTTAGCACTCAAGTTTATTACAAATAAGTTCATGATTTACTCTATCAAGTGCATTAACAAATCAACGAGAACACTAAAATATATTGTATTCTTTGCTACCTAGCTTTCGAAGGTAGTTTTAGGACACCGAAAAGCTATGCTTATCGAGCAGTGTCCTGGTCACTCCTCTCGATGTGACCACGCCTCGTGATTCCTACACCTGGAATTACAGAGCGCTGGTGACTCTGCTCACTCTGGGGAAAAGTTTGGTCGTGTCAGGGACTCGAACCACGAACCAAGGCCCTTGGGTCTATAGTCATCGACCCTAACCTCTGAGCCATTCTCACACCGCAAAATATATCACCATTATAATTTAGCAATCAGTTTAGGGAGTTGATGGTCCTGAGACCTATAACGCCCTGCTTAAATCCTTACATTTCATCTCACTTGGAATTTAATGCATTCCACTTAGCCCGTATTGACGATGCTTTTAAAGGATTGAGGCACTGAATGGAAATTGAAATAATCCTTACGTTTCTACCTACAATTCTCAAGTGTCGTGTGGGGTTCACATATTACCCTTATAGCTATTCAAACAAAAACGTATAGGGCTGTTGTCAGTTGTTGATGATAAGCAAATAAATAGATTAAGGTTTATATGATTGACTTGCTTTTTAATTAGAAGCTTAGCAAATATCAATTTTAAAATGTTTTTATGTCGTCCCAGTCAGCACAGCAGCTCAGGAACACTTGAGCTGCACTGGAGCATCGCATGTTTCTTTTTAGGCAGGCAAAAAGACAGGCAAAAAGAGTGATGTGGAGGGTTTTCAGTATTTCAGATTTGTCAAATTTCACAATTTTGTAGAGATTTGTTTACTTCCAATGGGCATATTTACACTGGAGCTCTCATGACCAGAAGGAGAGGCCTTTATTGTAGATTATATTATACATTGACTTAAACACTACAACGTATTCATTACCGGTAAAAATGTTGCAAGACTTTTAAAATTTGTTTAGAACTTTTTCCGTTTGCACCCCAAGCGTAGCATACATAGCGGTTTCCATCTTTTAAGATAAGCTCTTTGGATTATCCGTTTTAAAATTCAGCTCAGTTCAGTCTAATAACCATTTAGTTTAACCTTTTATCCGTCATTGGATGATGTGTGGAGATAATGAGTTTGGGGTGTCCCCCCCCCTAGAAAATCACTTTGGGGTGCTACCTTTACTGTCGCTATATCTGGAAACCATGCTTGGCATTTTGAGCATGAGAATTTAAATTAATATGTGGAAGTAAAGGTCAGCACCAGAGAAAAAGATAGTTGAAATAAATTGGACAAATACATGAAATGACATGAATGGGGCCAGTTTGAGTCGCTTCTATATCATTGGATCCGATTCCAGCATTACTATTTAGCCTCGTTTTCGTAGATAGCTGCGTGCGTCGAAAGGGATCGTCATGATATGGTAGTATTCAAAAACGTTTGAGCTTAGCCAATTTTAAGTGAAGTGAGTTCGTAACGAATCGGTACATCTCTGCCGTCAAGCTCCTCTTGACAAAACCCCAAATTTGCATTTAATGTTATTTATTATACCTAATTCATTCACGGAAAATCTATGTTCATGAAAACGTTAAATGATGTCTGCAATTTTGCTAAATATGAAATGCGTATACGGTTGCTGGAAGAAATCTGAACAAAGATATCTGCAATTTCTTATGTCTACCCATCGACGTCATGTCTGTGATGCCTGCTTTAATATTTTTTTTCTAATAATGAGGCACCGTGTTTGATTTGCTTCCATGGGACAATTCGTTGCTACTTGCAATAAGATTAGCTTTTAGTGCTTTTAGTGCTACAATTGATGCTCTCCTTCTCAAAACTGATAAAATGTGTACCGCAAGGGCTGTAATTTTGTCCGTGAGTATTTCTAACGTCCTTATGGAAACTTAAACTGGCTCAAGGTCGAACCCTCTGGATCTACGAAAGAGAATATGTGGAAGAAAAGAAAGCAAGGAGATCCTAGATCATGCTTCCGCTTTTGATGCTTAATATTGATTCAGTTACAGCATGGCCTATTAGAAGGGGAAATTAGCTGCGGGGACAAAAATTAAGAAGGGGACAAACAATAACCTATTGCTGAAAATAACGAAAAGTCACTGGGGCTGTGGAAGCAATTGCCCTTCTAGTTAGTTGGTTAAAAAAGGCCCTGAGTTGCAGCCCACATGATTTGCCCCAAGCAAAGAGTGACTAACATGGGCTCAATCCTGATATACTGACACGTTTAAAAGACGATTCATGGTAAAACCTGTTTTTGATTGACATCATAAACCCAACCCTCGCAACTGAATAAATAAAACTGCCATTTAACCTAGTCTGTATCCAGGTGTTGCAACTTGTATGTTTGCTTTGGCAATTAATATTGGAATCATAAACTTTCTGATCTCCAACGTGCACCTGCTCTGCCACGATGCTCCTGTACAAACTGGTTCTATTGCTGGGAATTTTGTCGTTGGCCTCATGTCGAAGGAATCGTTACAGACGGTATAGATTCAGGAAGTATTTCAATAGACGATCGTGTGGGTCATATCCTTCAGCAATAACCGAAAGGTAACTGTATCTTACTATTCTTTAGTCTTAACACTCAGTTTTCAAGGAAAATTTCATTACTGCTTCAAACTATTTAAAAACGCTGCTTTTTCAGATATTTCGGAGGGAATAATGCGGTTAGTCTACTACCATAAAATACCTATAAAAATAGCAAATTATGTTGAATTCACAACATGTTCTGATCAGAGCAAGTTCGTAATTAATCGCTGTTTTCTCCTCACCAAACAATTGAAGAATCATTGAAGAAACTTTCTCAAGAAAAAGTCCCAATTCTCTTTATGATTAATGAAGCTTAGGAAATTGGAGATTTCTTATTTTTTATAATGAAGCCATAAGTTTATCTCGCTTCAGATTCACGAGAATATCTCTACAGTTTTCTATTACTTCACGAATATTGAATTTGGAAGCATTTTTAAGGGAAGGGTCTCTGACGAGAAGGAAAGGAGTCTCTTGGCTTATGTATGACGTGCAAGGACAAAGTATTTGCGATGAACGGCTACTTTTTGCTAGTTAGTTATTTAGTTAGTTAGTTAGTTAGTTAGATAACACTTTTCACCAGAAAGCATATGGGTAATTCTATTAAGCTTTAAGGCAGATATTTACATAAAGCTTTAGGCCGAAATCCATTGGCAAAATTCATTCAAAAAATTCAATGACATTTTTAGTAGCACATAAAATCTGATTTGTTTTGTTAGCACGAGAGAAATGTGTCAATCCAAGATCCGATTGGTCATAATTATTAAAGAAACTTTCAAATATTGCCTCGGATCTTTCTTATCGATGTTGTGAATATTTTAAATGCTTTTTCTGGCCACCCTTAGAATGTCATATCTCAAATTTTTCTCCCAGCCAACCATGGTGGCAGTCCTCCTCCTCCCTCCAAGGTATCAACCCTCTCCGTGTTCAAATTGGAAGATTGCGTGACGAAAAGAGCCCCCTTGTTAAACTTTTCCGACTACATCCTTGGCCATTGGAAGAATACTAAGTACGCCGTTTCTTTTATGCGGTTTCGACCAAAGCCCAAAGATATGATATCTAGCAACTTGGGATTCATAAGACGTCATCAATATGGCGGATCACAAGTGTAACACGAGTCGAGTTCAGCTTTTTTGGGTACAATCCGTGTTGTGGTTTTATAACTTGTAACCCATAATGGCTTTTACTGCCTGTTTGAACTCAGCCTGGGCTGAATATTCTCATGTCAACCATCTTTTAACAAATGTTCTTATAATTGGGTACTAGAGAGTTTGGTCTTAAACAGGCACCGCGGAGCGTTGAGGAAAGTGGGGGGTCTAAAAAAGTGGGTGAGGGGGGGTGTAAAACTGTATAAAAAGAGGCTTTACCGGTATTTTATTACTTTATATTTGACATTTTTTGCAAAAAGCGGAGGGACTAAAGCCCCCCAGCCCTCCTGCTCCCCGAAATTCGAGATATTTGCGTACCCCGAAAACTTGGGAAAACGGAACTACTTATCCTATGCAAAGACATCCATGGATAGAGTTGTCAAGTGTGATGTCACAAAATACTTTTTTTAGAATTTTCGAATTTTTACCGCATAACATAAAATAAAACCATAAAATACTCTCATATACGCCAAATCAGTTAGATTTGTCAAAAATCGGGTGAGCTTTGGTCAAGAGAAGATTTGGAGTTTGCTAACAGATTACTGTTAACGGATGAGACCAAATTACAGAGGTTTGATGGGGCCAGAGCTTGATGCTCTTTCAAGTTATGAGAACAAGTTTTAAAAATCCTAGATACATAGATTTGTTGAGTTTCATCACTTGACAACTCTATTCCTAGACAGCTTTGATAAACGTAGTCATGTTGTTTTTATAGCGAATTGAAAGCCTTGGGTGAGCAGATATGGAGAGAAGATACAAACAGAGTGCAGCATGGGATAGGATTCAGACTGGACATGCAAACAAACGCTGGCTACAATGGTGTTGACTATGCATCTAGGCCGCTTTTCAAATTCGTTAATCAGTCGGTACTGCAAAAACCGTCTGTCAGAGGTAGCCATTTCCAAATTCCATGAACAGATACATTTTTCGAAAGTATTTCAAAATTTGGTGGCAGAAAATATATGAATGGCCACCGCAGAGCAACTTCCCTTATTAAACTTTTTGGAACATCTACGCAAAACCTTCACTGCTTGCGAAAGTTGTCCCACCCTCCCCCCTCCTTTTAAAGTACCGACTAATATCAATATTGCATGATTGTCAGAAGAATTCCAACTTGGATTTGATCCATAAACACTTTCTAGGAAGGCTTAAACATTGTACGAAAGGAGGCAGGCAGGAGGCCTTGGGGGCTATAGCTCCCCACTTTAATATCTTTTTTCAAGAGAAGAAACAAAGACAAATACGCTCTTTGCAAACACAGGTAAACAGAACACCAAGATATATACACACGCGAGGAAGGGCCTCGATAACGATTAACTAGTGTCTTGGACACTAGCCAAATACGAGTTATATTTCATGGCCTACTTTTTGCCAAAAACGTTCATTATTAAGAAATTCACCATCAATATATCAAATTCAGCTTACTTAACTTTTTCTGACATCCCTGACAACTCTGATATCAGATTCAAAAGAAGAATTTATCAATTCCAGCACTGTTCATTGAACCATTCTTATTGAAAGTCGTACACCTTTTGATAGTCAGAGCAAACTTGTTAGATTTTTCAATTTTTTAGCCATGGTTGCCCTGTTTGATAACTACAAAAGAGCAATTGGATCATCAGAATATGTCAGTAGTGGGGAGAGAAGTGAAAACTGGAACTTCCTTAATACTGTGACAAGCACTAGGCCTATGGAGCTCGTATACCAGTTCTTGCTAAGGAAAAAGGTCGTGTGCTCATTGAAAGACTTCAAGAACAGTCTTTACAATATTTGGTTCAATCTGTACGCAAGAAGAAGCAGCAAAAAACGATATACAAGGTGATATGCTTGTATGTGAAGTAGCCTTGAAAACCTTGTTTTTCTCCGCTCATCTCCCCAGCAAGCAAATATCTTAATGCGCGAGGCAACCTTCCGTTCCGTAGTCAAAGAGCATGCATGCTTAATAACGACTTTGTTCCATGCGCATGCTCCTTGACTGCAGGACGAAGGGTTGCCTAACTCATTAAATTACTTTCTCTTTATTCTCCTTCCAACAATTGCAGAGAAGTAATATCAGTATAATAAGGGCTGAGTCAACCTTTCCACTGAAAGCAGTTGATTTTGCACTTTAGCTTAAAACAATCCTGTAAACGTTAAAGTCTGTTCCATTATACTGCACTGTATCAGACACCCCTATATCGTAATTCGTCTATTGCAGGGCCTCCGATGAGCGGGTGGGGCTGGGGGCATGGCTTCCCCACTTTTCTGCAAACCAAAGAGCTTTTTCCAAATCTTTTGCTATGGGAGATAAATGTTCACTTGGTTTTTCCATTTTCTACCTTGTGCCAGAGCCCATGTATTGAAAAGTTCCACCTCCCGTACCACCCTCTATCTCTGAAGGTTTCATGACAGAATCCTGAAGCATTTAGTAATGGTGGACCTACAATCACATCGCTATCGTTTCTCTGATTATTCCTTGTTTAGAATTATACAAAAAAAGAAAAACACCCCCCTCCACCCTGTTTGCTAGAAACACCCCTTCTACCAAATCCTGTTTGTTAGCAAGTGGAGCATTAAAGAAATACCTTCGTCACAAATAATGTCTAAGTAAGCAGGTGGCAGGTAATAGTAATCTAATTTCGGAATTGCCAACCAGCAAGTTATCATACAGCCACTGTAGTTTTTATACTTGGCAAGTTAAGTGTGCCTCTGATGTTAGATTTTTCAATGAATATAAAAGTAACCTTTTCATGAAAGAGTCGGTAAAGTTTCTGTTCTCAAATAAGATGGGGCCAGGGGGTGAGGGCGGCTAGGCTGCAATCCCAGAGAGTTGCGTAAAAATCGTCAAGGTAGCGCAAAGCAGGCAAAATTAACTTATGATTTTCGTCGCTCGTACGCTTTAGCCAATATCTCTGATTAATTTTTTGATTAAGGCTTTATGATTAAGCGGGTTATTTGCACATTTTTTTGCAATTCCGTTGCATATCTGAATTATACCTGCCTTTGATATGTTACTTCTCCATAGGGGAATCTAAATAAACTCTACTAGAACACGTCAACCGTCCCAGACCCCTTGATTTATATGTAGATTTTTCTCTTGGTAGTGGCTTGGATTCGTCTGGATTTGAGCATGTGTTTGTTGGTGAAACTGACTCATCCAAAGTACTCGGACTTCACAATTGGATTCAGTTTTATTTGCAAGAGAAGAATCGTAATATAGACTACAAGGGCTACAAGGGTTACATCAAGGTACTTCATATCAAAACAGTTTTAAATATCGTCCTGTTTTTACACATGTGTACACATGTATTGTTTTACATGTACATATTCAAGAGTTGTTTTTACCTAGATTGTTCAGAAAGATAGAGTAACTGCGAGGGTCTGGAGAGCTAAAATTAACAAGCTCAACTGATGACACATTAAGAAAATTTAATTTAACAATTTTACTATGCATGAAAGTCCTCAACTGAACATTAAAAGTTGCTACTACAATAAGCCTAGACGTGCCCGTATATGTAGCACGTTTCTTGGTTGAAGCAACGAATCAGTCTAAGCCAATCAACGTACAAGTACGTAGCGTGGTCTCAACCAATCGAATCAGAGAGCTGTTGAATCCATGTCAGCATTTGATCAGCAGCTTTTGCAATCATACAAGCAACTGCAGTTTATATTTTCACTTTGCCCTTAATTTGTTTATTTTGATTGCAGCAAAGCTCAGTCTTCACATGCCAGTTTTCATGGTATGGGTTACTGAAATCGATTGGCGGTGCATTCGTTGGAACGTCACCAGAATTTGACTTTGCCATCTACAGCTTGACATTCATGTCAAAAGTGAGAAATCCCATATATACATTTGGAGGTGACCGAGTTCGTGTTAAATGTTATGGCATTGCAGGAGGAAAAATTGGGACATGCTACCCAATTTTGCTGTAGAGACTGGTGCAAATGCAGAAACAGCAAATGTGATGCAGATTAAGACGTATTTTAATTTGTGTTGATAGAAAAAGTTATAAATCATTTGACGATTATTGTCGTTTTTATCTCTTTATGCAGTTCTGCTAGTATCACAGGAGATAAAAAAATCTACATTTTCTAAACTAGAATTAGAGAAAAGGTTTTTTTACCCAACGAGTATCTAAGAGTGATCTTATCGTGTAAACAGCCAAAGGAAGGATTTTCAGATTTTTAATTTTTAATTGTTACTCACCTGCCTATCTTCCGAGGGCTGTTTTTAGGACACTGAGAAATTTTGCTTAGTATCTCCTCCTCTCAATATTACTATACGTCATGATTCCTTCGCCTCGAATCCTCACTGTAAGTGAAAGTTTGGTAATGCCACTGACGCGATCTACATGCTCTTTGATCTGTAGTTTACGATCCTAACCACTAAACCATCCCCAGCCGTCTAGAATGAACTGCAAAGTTCTTCATCATATTCAAAGCTGAAGCTCTCAGTTTCTTTATGCAAATATTACGTTTTAAAATTTAAGGCCCTTGCAATGTCTTTTTCTTCGTGAATTATTTTCATTCCATGTCAGATGGCCACACTCATCGTACCAATATCCTTGGTCCTATCAAAGTTTCCCTCAAGTTTGGTAACGTTTATATTACCCAAGAGTCTTATCTTCAAGTATATCATCGCTCTTGTCATCCCAAATTATTTGACAGACTTTTTGTGATGAATATCAGGTTGATGCTTTTTCAAAGTATATGAATAAGTCAATAAATGCGTTCGATAAGCGAAGAGAGCAGACATCATTTAAGTTATTTGTACGCTTGTTATGCATAATGCAAAGATTATGAAGTTTACAATGAAGATACCCGAGTTAGAGTTACAATTATACAGATTACCGTTAGAAGATAAGGTTTTCTCAGTATTGCAGCTGAGTCCATTAATTAACAAAGATAAAAAATGCTGTATCACTTCAAAAGCTAAATTTGCCTCAGGAGAAAATTTCAGACTACGAATTGTCACTGAAACTTGCTTCCAATTGTACGCTAGGAATGACCCTTTTTAGACCAGAGGGTGGAAGGGGAGCATCACCACCCGAACGGAGAATTTATGAGACCAATCTATTCTGGTTCAGTTTTTTGCGTAGATTTCGAATTTGGGTGTTGATCAACGGTTTAAGGGGGCTTTCCCGAGATATGGGGGTCTAAAGACAAATTTTGGGGTTAATTGCTACAAATTTGGTTTCCTCAATAAATTTCAATAAGATAAAGATAGATATGTTCTTTGACTATATCTATGATTGTTGGCTGATATTTGAAAGTGTTTTTCTATATTTAGAATTTAGGGGGTTAAGGGAGGTGTAAAAAATTAAATTTTTTCCAAAAGAAAACATTACTGTTACAATATATTTGAATACTATCAAGTCTACCCAAAAAATTATTCATCTTCATCCTTATCCTCAGACATATCAATGCCTCTTCTTAAGTCTTCCACTTCTACAAGATCGTCAGCCTCCACTAGTAGTTTCGAACATCCTCTGGATTTTGCGAAAGAAATTCATTAAACAGAATTAGAAAAGTCACCTTTCCACACGTGGTGTACTTGAGCCTTCGTGCTCTATCATTGGTAAAGAGGCTTGTCTGCACATATGTGCAATGTAATTTGCAACGCTTGATGTATCTTAAAAGGCTGTTTTTGCATGGTGGCTGCAAAGAGAAGTCTGTGATTTTTGACCCCTTGAAAAATCTTTCCAAAAATTTTTCCGTTGAATATCATGAACAGACGATAAACTCTTTTCTCCAAACAACGCACACGTAAACCTTTCAATACCCCCAATTACATAATTTATAGGATTACTTGATGCCCCTAGCTTTGCGAAAGTTGTAACGAATGCTTTTGTGCCTTGCATAAGCTTCCAACTTTTTCTAAAAAATACCTACCTACCTACCTCCCTTTCTACCTTCCTCCCTATCTACTTACCTACCTACCTCCCTATCTCCCTTTCTACCTACCTACTTACCTAGCTACATACCCACCTATCTATTCATCTACCTACATGCGTTCCCGGACATCGAGCAGCCCCACTTCATGTACACACTCTTCGTACATGAAAATAACGAAATATAGTCATTTCCACTAAATGCATGCAAGCCAAGCGGGGCTTCTTTTTGACAAGCAGCTAGAGCGAAGATTTTTCTATTTTTACCTGTCCCACTATCAATAAATATTTAGAAATGAGGTTCCTGCCTAGCAAGCAAGATAACAAGGATGTTAATATAATATATATCGAATGGTGGCAACCAAATCAACAACAAAGCAAATTGCCTATCTCCTCTTTTCTGTCCTTCATAAGGCTGGTAACTGTGGTATTTTTATGTGCCTCATACTTCTAAGTACCTGAGCTTCACGAGACAGCGAGGAAGGGGATACTATCACCGAACTCGGCTTCTAACCCCTTTTTAACTTAGTCTGCTGTTCTCGTTAATGAAACAATACATTCCAGTTAAAGTCTTCATTGCGACGGATCGGTTCATGATTTGTTATATATGAACACACAGGAAAGAGTCAGCTTACACTGTTCTTCGCTTGTTTCAAGTACTTCGTTAGTGGGATCGTGGACAGCTGTAGCAGTAAGGGTAGTCGACTTCATACTACAAAATACTGTGTACTTATTATACCAGGAAAGCTTTACCCTCTCTTAATGCTGGAGCTTTTTGCAGAGTTCGGCATGATGAAAGTTTATATAAGTTTCAATAATTGCTTCTTCCCCTTATTAACATTGATAGGCCCTTGTTATTAGGCGCTTGCTTTCGTCACTGTTTTCATTTTTAAGGAGATGCCTTTTTGCTTACTTTCTTCCCCTTTTGCGTTTTGTTTGCAAAGACAGATACGGCCTTCGTAAAGTTCAGGTAACACTGGCGATATCGTTAAAGGACAAAGGACCTGATCTTCAATGACTAAATGAGTGTAATGAACAGCTCATCTTCTTTTTCTGTGTGCCATATATTCTAACTACTTTCATAGTTTACTCTTGCTTTAATCACAGAACATTGAAAATGATAATGAATTTGTAAGCAATGAAATTGCAGTTTTTGGGTCATTTGAAAAAAAATCCAAACCTCTACACTTTTACACCCTCAATGGTCTTCAATGTTGACAGGTAATTATCGTTTAAGGCTGTGAAGCACATACAAGTTACATTCCTAGGTTATGACAAAAAACCATGTGTTAAAGTACTTCTCATAAAGATTTGCTTTTGGGCCTCATTTCCTTTCTGATCCATAGCAATAAAGCTGTAGTTATAAGAAAATCTCCATATCAGTCATTACACATGTCTGAGAAAGCCACATTCCTGGTGAGTACAAACAGCCATTTCCCTATGTGATCATGCTACAGTACTCCATTCAGTTGCGAAAAATCAGTTTTTCGTGGAATTTACAGTATTTTGTACTCCTGTTTCGTTTTCTATGGCCCCCTCACTTCCAAATGGGAGTCAAAAAGCATAGATATCATCAAAAAACTGACCTGTCTATATTTTATTGACATTTATATAAGCCCTAAAATCGGACTTTAGACCCCCTATATCTCTGAAAAGCCCCCTAAAACGGGGGATCAACACCCAAATTCGGAATCTACACGAAAAACTGATCCAGAATAGATTGGTCTCATAAATTCTCCGCTCGGGTGGTGGTGGTCCCCTTCCACCCTCTGGGCTATTTGTACTTAAAGTGGAGTCTTGCAAAAAATTAAAATTTAATGGCAAAAAAATTGCAATAAAGCAAATCCAGAAAAATGTTTGACAATATTTTTTAGGTATAAATTTCATTTACACGTTTTCAGTTGGTGTAAAAACAGATTTTTTTATTGTTTCAATACTGTGGACGAATTCCCACCGGGAAAGTAAGTCAACTATATAAAATTGTTATCATTCATGGCCGCTCAGCGGTAAATTACTAAATATATGCGAAGCCAGCGGATCATAGATTCTTTGGTTCAGAATGGACATGGTTTGCTTCCTCTAATAATTCAAAAAGTACGTTTTCAAAAGAACTGAACTCCTTTTAAAAAATGTTATCAAATTTTTAAACGAAACAAGATTCCTCAAGCAATTAACAAGCTCAATAATGATATTTAGAGGTAACACCATTAAAAACATAAAGTGACCGTCATATAATGTCTGATGTTCATTTGCTTGACAAATCTTACAGAGACAAAACCGCATAAACTGAAACTATTTTGGCTTTGTCTGCACAGATACTTTAAAATCAAGACGAGTCAAAATGGTGCACGGAAATGATGCATTTTCAAATCGCTTATTATCAAGATCGTCTTATCATGAAGGTGGTTTCAAGTTTTTCCGTTTTTTGGCTACAGATTTATCGTTTTCGTGTAGGCGGGAGGTGAAAACGTAAAGAAATGAAAGTGCTTTCATTGACAATGTCGTGTAGACGGAGCTTCAACAACCAAAACTTTTTTATCTAGATCTTTAGTTGATTCTAGACCAGTTTTTATCTAGATCATCAGTTAAATTCTTAAATCTCTTCATTTTTCTTTGTTGATGCTGAAAGGTTCAAGGCAAGATGTCTCTGAAATTTACCATCTTTCGTCTCATACTTAATGACAGATGCTGCACTAAAAATGCTGTTTTTCTTTCAATGTAGCAAGCAGTCATAGAAGAATTGTGAAAAGCTATTCAAAACCTATCACCTTTACGGGTTTATGGTGATTCATGTTAATCAATCTAATTCTTATATATTCAGAGCATACCTGCAAAGACAATCTTCATTGTCATCTGACCTAGCGATTCGAAATACTGCGCATGCCCAATGTGAGGCAGCTGAAAGTTCCCTGTTCCTGCAGCTAATAAATTATTAACAAAAATTGTGAGCATTTCCAACCTGCTTTGAAACTTATCAGCAAAGCTTTGCGATGAAAATATTGAGTAATTAAAGTAGCCACCGAACTATCAGGGATGGTTCGATACCTGAAAGACTGTTGTGGCTTCTTCCATCTCCGTTATGCCGCCATCACGATTGCTGTATTACAAATAGTATGTATGAATACTTCTTTTATCTGTAACAAGGCCTAAATTTGCTCATATACAATGACATAAATAGCGTCAGGAATGCAATTTTCTTCTTTTCAATTAACTGTAGCGATATGGTGAATTTGCTTATATTCACAAGTAGTATGTTTATTAATAAATCGTTAAAATACTGTGTAGGTGCTCAACAACGAATACAAATTTTCCATAAATAAGAAATATCTCAGTCAAAACATGGCTTAATCAGACTTAGGAATGAACAGACCCATGGCTAAAGCATTCTTGAAAACTTTTTATCAGGACATCGATATTGAATTTGATTTTGATGTCCAACAGGTTTTTAAAGATTCATTGAATGACTGTATAAACATGTCGCTTGAATACCTTTGGATTTTGTTATAACATTTAGCCACAAAAAAAGCTAAAAAAAAACAATGATATAGGATTAGCAACTTGACATCTTTAGCTATTGAGATTGATAATCGTTTTTGGCTGAGAGTTTTTGTACTGAGAGCTTAAGTTATCTATAACAATTGTTTGAACAAAAAATTTTAGGGCTAGGCTTCAGAAAAAATTTTTTAGGCCAACGTTATAAAACTTGGATCCTGAGAGCATTGGTTATGATCTGTGGAGGTCACTGCATTTTCCAAAAGGAGACAGATAGTTAAGATAATTAAAATTCGAGCAAACTTTTTGTCTTTTCGTAAAATAGAAACTGATCAACTATTCATCTTGCAGTTTTGAATTATATGGCGGAATTATTGAAATAAAAATGTTTTTAGATAGAAAATCTGACTGCAAGATTTTAAAAACTTGAATTTATTTGATAATGATAATCTTAAAAGTATACGTGTACGGTGCTTTCTCCTTTTGCTCTTTGTTCAGAAACATTTTCTCGACACCATAATCACCATGGTTGTAAGGTTAACAGTAGGTATATTTAAAGACATAAATTTTCGCAATGATTATAGAATGCATTGGCGAAAAAGGAATCAATTTTATCCTTATCATAGTTTATCAAAGCTATAAGCACACTTGGACATCAGCCAGTGCTTTAAGTCTCTACCGGGCTGTTTCTGGGGCTGTGTTGTAGGTTTGCAGTTTCACGGCCGCAGCCATATTTCCGCCTGCCGCTTACGGATTTTTCGATTTTTTCCGATACATGCCTACGGTGTTTTCAGTTAATGCAGCTTGATGGTAAAAAACATTTTATTGACTATAACTTTCGTTTCCATACCAATCTTCCTTTCCTAAGTTCCCTTATAAGTTTCCATAATTGTAAGGTTAAGGTTACGGTAAACGTTTTCTGGGTGAAAATATCCATTTTTCGATTTTTTCACATTTAAGTAGCCGAACTTTCAAGGCACACAACGATACCATGTTTGAAACTAATAGAAATTTTGAAAATGGAAAAAATTACATGTAAACGAAGGTTTCCATAATTTCTTTATCAGAACTTTTAGTTGAGACCTGAAAATCTCTTGACCTGAAAAGCCGATTATCGTTGCTTTGCGGTTGTGGTCGCATGTCTAATTTACAATATCGCATGGCACATCCATGTATCCAATGTACGGCCGTGTTTATTTAAACAGGCTTATTGATCTTAAAGCTTCAAGTGACTTGACCCGGATTACACTGTGGTTTACGAGTGTACCTTGCAAGTATGATCAGTAAAATCCTGTTTTCTCCGGACTTACAATTCGTCTATATACAGGTACCAAAAAGCTATTTTGAACCCAATGAACCAATCGAATGGCTCAAAACTTTGCCCACGGCCAGGAAAGATGTCGGGTAAGCAAAGTGTCTTTAAATTTTTGTATTTGCTCTGGTCCGTCTTTTATAGCCAAATACAGCTGTGAGAGGGAAGAAAAATTGTTTGCCAATTTTTTACATGGTATAGTTTCAAGTGGAGGAGGAATTTAAAAAATCTGAGACAGACTTTGGTAGCTAAGGTCTGGTTCAAACGTCGCGCTTCTCATGTGCCGAACCTAACTCGAGAATTAAGTACATGAGGGGCGCGACGTTTGAATCAATTTGGTACGGCAGATTTAGTTAGGAGTGGCAGACTAGTTTGGATCGGCAGAGCTTGCCGAGCTGCACGACTCCAGCACGGCACGGTTTCAAGCGTCGAACTTGTCATGTACCGAACTCAATGCATAATTATATTTAATTTATTTTCCTTCACAGAATCTATTTCTTTCTTGGAGGGCGCATGCGTTTCAAACAAATATTTGAGATTGTGCGCCTTAACCAAGATACTTTATGTAACAATCCTAAAACCCATTTGGCGCGACATGATTAAGTTCGACGTTTGAAACGGGAGTCGCGCTAAACATGCTCAAGTGTCGCTCCAAACAGAGTTGGGTTTAGCACATGAGAAGTGCGACGTTTGAACCAGGCCTAAGGATCTGAGCTTTCTGCTGATATAAGTCAGATTTTGTTACCTCAAACGCAAGGGTACAAAATAGCTTTTGAAGGTGGTACACTCATTTAGCAATAAGTTTGCCTGGAAAGTATCATTTTACAATCTTTGCTAATTATTCTGATAGGGTTGGAATCGCCACATTCTTGGGAATCGAATGATGTATAGTTTAGTCTGATTCAATTAATAGTTTTGCTTTAAGGGAGAGAAAACGAAATATCGTGTCAAAAACGTTTACCGTAACCTTATGCTAGGTAAGTTTAAAAGCGAAATTTTGGCAACTAAGCTTGCTATATATTCCCCTGCTGCCCCAGATGCTTTTCGATATCAGGGGCGGATCTAGAAATTATTCTGAGGGGTTCTAAAACGTAAGGCTTGGTAACCCAGGGTGTTGCTATGCACAAACTCCGTACCCCTGCTAATAAGCCATAATGAAATGGAAGTCTTCCATAAACTAAAAAGCCTGGATGCCTTGATTTATATAGTAATTTTTGGTTTCAGCTTTTATGCCAATTGAACGCAATTTGCAGCTCGCCCCTCTTATATTCACTTAGGGTACAAAAGTATAGAAACTGTAGTCAAATATGATATGATGGCCCGCAGTGGCAAAAGGCCCGAGCCCACAAATTTTCAAAGCAAAATTTAATTTTTGACTCTTTGCAGCCATTTATTAGAACTTGATCAGCTTGACCAAAAAAATAACGTGGCTGGTGGAATGAAGCCCTTGAAGTGCAGTGCAAAAGTTGAACACAGGGATTCAAACACAGCATGCATCGACATATGAAGCCAAACCAAACAAAGAAGGCCCTGAACGTTTCGCTATGGGCCTGGCGTTTTGAGTATTTTTATGTTTTTGAAATTCTTAGAGAAAAAAGTATTCGCAGGAATATAAGTAGGTATAAAAAGGAAACCCCTTTTGGTCAATAATAGTAAGGGCAAGTTTTTGAGATGTTTTTTATGTAGTTCTTGAATGATTAAAAAAAGAATAACAAGGGCTCGGGCAAGCTTTATCCTCTGAATATAAATCATACCTCATGGTCTATGAATAAGACGTGAAACACGGAGTTGAAACTTGAAACCGTTCTGTTATATAAACCACAGCGTTTACAAGTTCTGCCGTTACAGCATCGAGAATCAGGTAAAGATCGTCAAAAGATCCACGAAAACATATTGCAAATTTGCGCCTAAGCATTCGTCGCGTGCTGTATCATAATTCAACTCCCCCTGGTCAACCTCAACTCCCCCTGGTCAACCTCAACTCCCCCTGGTCAACCTCAACTCCCCCTGGTCATAAAACCACTTATACATTTGACTGTAGATTGAAGCGAAGAAACTCCCCCTGGTTTGGTCGGTATTCTTTGATGTTTTGGATTTTTGAAATCCATGGGTTCTCGCGCCAAAGTTTAGAACCCCTCGACCTGGCAACGTGATTGGCTAGATTAACTTCCACGGGTGCAGAAACTCGTATAATTTACAGGCCACGGGTTCCTTAAGTGGCTGGATATAAGAGGAGACAATGCTTTCCGAGTCTGTAGAATGCTATACAGGACAACCAGGGGGAGTTTCAAAATACTTCAATGCATGGACTGAAATAACGATGTTGAACAGTTGTGAGACGGGGCATTGAAGCGGATATAACAATTTCAGGAGATGTGCATACTTCCCGGTATTATTTAAATGGTTTAAATAATAATAAACAAGATTGCGGTAGAATAAGCTTTAATCCCCAAAATGTTTTTTCTCAAATCTGAGGGGTGCTCGAGCCCCCTTCGCACCCCACTGGATCCGCCCCTGGATATATTCGGCAGATTCCAGCCTATGAGGGTTAGGCGGCTAACGTTTGGAAGTTAAGTGAAGGAAGCTTCTTCGATTAAAGTCGCGTCAAAGTTGGACGGCAGATATTTATGGTGTAGACAATTTTTAGAGCTGCAATCACGGTTTTATGGTAATTTTAACTTCGGCTTTTTGTCCCTTATAACAGGCACTCTATAATACCCAATGCCATCTGCTAAAGATGAATCCAATTACTCCTTTTATTTTTACAGGCATTTTCTATTTACTTCATTCACGATGGAGTGACACATGTAAGAAGCGCCAGTCGCCATCATGAAAGCCAGAACACTTCACATGGAAATGCAACTTTGGAAAAAAATCCAAAATTTTCACCAGGAAAGCATGAGAAGGACCTCGAGAGCAACAAGACTGCCAACGTAACAGTGGCACTGGTTGGTTCTTTAAACATTCTTGTCTCGCTGGCCTTACTTATCTGTGGGATTATTAATAAGCCAATACTGAGAGGTTTGCTGGCTTTATGGATAAGCTGGGCTGTTGCTGTGATTATTCTAGACTTTGCTATTATAATATTCTACATGACAATTGCTCACTCTTTTCTTGATGGCCTACGTGTTTTTGTTATTTACGGTGTTGGCGTGCTGCTTGAGGTTTTATGCATCTGGGTAGTTGCTTCGTATTACAAGTACTTGGGTATTCTGGCAGCCGGGCCTGCGCAGGGGTATCGCATTGTCTTCAATTCTCGTGGAGCAGAGCCCCAACCAATGTACAACAATTCGCAGCAGCAACAGTCAAGCGTGATAGCCTCGGAGCCACCATCATATGCAACCTCGGTCCACTCTACATCTTCGATAGAGCTGACAGATGTTTCCAATGGCAACACAGAAAGAAAAGTAGCCTTGTAGAAGCATTTCTCAGAGTTTATGGTGTCGTTAACAAAGATTGATAGGTAATTGAAAACAACGATTGATAACAAAGAACTGATCAAGCACTTATCACGGCTAATTGAAGCTTAATTTGTTATGAACTTTATAAATTAAGATGTTGTCGGTACACCTAGATATACCGACCATTAGGGGTATGGTCCGTATGCTAAACGACTTTTCTGTTAATTTCTAAACGACTAAGCGATTTCTGCATGCAACAACCCCTAAACTTAAAGGCTCTCGCACAACTGGCATGTTTAGCGGCAGCTTTCTTGAGAAATTGATATTAGGCCGGTTTTGAAAGTAAAGTCGCAAAGCATGCCGGTTGCGCAAGAGCCCTTAACTTCTTTCCTCAAAGTAAATCAGTCTAACGCCGCTGTACACTTACCTTTGATGGCCTTTTCCTAATTAAAAAAAGGAATCTTACTTTGCCTTTTCCAATTAGAGCCTTACGATGTGCAGTTTTTATCATTGCAAATCATATATATTTTACGTCAGTGGCGCAGACAGAAGGGCGTGAGAGGGGGCGAAAGCCCCACTCTAAAGCAAAGTGCTATTTTCTCGAAAAACCTCTGATCTTGTCGGAATTATATCTTAGTGTTCTACATCTTGAGAGGAAAGTTTTTAAGCTGAATATAACATAAGTAAGTTTGAATATATGCAAAGACTTTTATATTTTAGTTCTGACATCGTTATTTCATGTACTCAATAGAAATACTCAAAGATAGAAAATCTAAGTTTCTAGCCCTCGCTATAAATTGTTCTATCTACGCCACTTCTTTACGTAATACAGAACCTACAGTTACACCGGCTACCAACTACGCTAAATATGTCATTCCTCGTACATATTGTATGTTACTGTTATTTATTAATATTTATTTTGTTTATAGATTTAATTTTACTCTTTCCAAATGTTAAACAAAAGTCCTGAAATAAGTCGCAGATGTTTTGTGGAAGAGTTTAGTTTGAAGTTTTTGGTTGAAATCCTCTTATCCAAACGCTAGATAGCAGGCTTGGCTGCTTGAAATAATAAACATTAGACTGGCTGAAACATTCAGTGATGTTTAACAAGATTATGTTATAACGCTTTTTATTGCTTATTCTAAACATATTGTGTTGGTTTGTATATATTAATATATCTATATGAACGTGTAAATTTTTTATAACCTTTTATTTACATGCTAGGGTTATTCTGAACATTAAGGGACAAAATTTCAACCTGGCTTGTTATCTTAGTCGTGAGCTTCTTGGGATGGGGAGGTTTTCAAGTCGTGCCTAACAAGAGTGTTGTTGCTGTTGCTAATGCTGTTGTTGTTTGTGATGTTTTTTCTTGAATGCTGTAGTGCCGTTATTTTTCTGCTTTTGCTGCCTTTCTTGGACTCAAAGCACCTATAGTACTGCTGTGGTCCTTAATCTTCTTTTAATTTTCTATACACAAGGGATACTCAACTGAAGGATGTTTTGACAGTGCCGATCTGCAATGATTTGATTCAGCGAGTACTTAATTCAACGCATGCAACTCTGATATTATCTCAGAGCTTTAATGCTTGTGCATATATAAAATGTGCAAACGAATATTAGGATGGATCTTGGACTTAGATGGATCATCTTTGGTTGAATTACCCTTCGCTACAATAAACATGTTTTCTTGCAGAAAGCCCTCATACATGGATATTGGGCAGTGGCGGCTCTTGCTAATGGGCATCTGGGGCAATGCCCCCTCAAGAAGATTCAAAGGAAATCTATGATATTCATATTTAATTTTGAAGATAGTGTCTTACTGTGGTTAATTATATAAGTTTGTATCTCTTCTAGAAAAAGCTCCTTGCTATCCCGTCTCGTCCTTAGCCTCGCTTCTGGCCCGCTAGTGCCTTGAGCGATGATGTCATTTTACGGGCAAAGTTTTTTTTGCCCCTAGCCGACATGCGCACAAGCTAATTTTCGACCTCGAGCATTGCGAAACGCGGCCTGTGATTGGCTTATTTGGAGGAATTCGGGGCAAGAAAAATTTTGGCCATAAAATGACATCATCGCTAAACAACAACCACATCTATATATGCTTTTTCTTCTGCGCTCCATGACGATCAACATCGAACCATGAATACAGTGAAAAATTTGCAAACTCGACCTTGATGGTCTGCCCTCCCAACTGTGAAAGTCACGAGCCGCCACTGATATTGGGGCAAGAAATCCGCAATGGCTATCGTCCTATTTTTGACATTCCACGCATCTGTTAGGTATGACGAAAAGCAGTGAAAGAATTCGCTCCATCTGGCTTCCAAAGCAAAAGTACATAAGACTTTGCGTACAAAATAGTTATCAAAAACCTTTATCTAAATCTGAAGTCAAAAGATGAAGTTAAAAGAATTGCTCTTCAAAGCAAATCTGTATGTAGGGTTAGTACTCTTTGGTATAACCACTGAACCGAAATCTTTCCCCCTTTCTTTTCCTTTCCTAATTTGGAGACTTTTCTGTTGTCCTTTCCTTCCAAAGACACTTCTCGATGAGGCAACAACAACAACCTCGTAAGCATGAATTCACTTCAATTATAATTTCTGAAACATCACGGGATATTTTTCCAAACAACATTTCTCGTGATTGATATGTAGGGATCTAAAAGGCTTGAAAAAAGGGAAAAGTTTTCCGACAGCCCGGAAGCAAGGGATAGTTCGAAGTCATCATCTGATAACTCGACAAAAAGGAGCTAGGATCATCAATTTCGACCGAGGTTTGACAAGACCAACGCAGATGGCGCTTCTAAGAAAGGTTGCCAGAACCGCTGCCAGAAATTGCAGTCCAAGAAAGAGTTTTGTCCGCAGGAATCTATCAACAGAAGAGGAGAAAAAGAATGGTAAATAAACTTACGAAAACTTCATTCTGTTTCGTTTTAAACATTTATTAGACGTCTCTCCCACTGTCTCTCTGTGCTTCCCCTCTCTCTTTGTTGTTAAATACTTTTGTTATTGGATGTAAATGGCTCTGAAAAAAATATTTTGAAAATTTTCATAGAATTATTGGTTTATATTTTAGCTTTGCTTTGACTTCATCATGGTCTATTTTTGAAAATATAAGGTTTATTGAAATTTTTGTGTTTCATATGACAGTGAAATGAAATAGGTGCAAAGGTTTGTCATACCATGCTTTGTTTTTGTACGCTGATTTACCAGCTTGTTGTGTAAAAAGTAATAATGTTCCTAATTAAAGCCCACTTAAATTCTTGGACTGTCTAACAGGTAGGTTTTAGAGGTGAGTTACTTATTCCATTTGGCCAAGCAAACAGGGTTCAGAAATTAGAATGTAAACCCAATTTAATCCCATTACTACAATTTAATCCCGTTAAGTCATACCCTTTAACTTAGACTTGTTTTATTTCATTTGGTTTTTTGTAGAAATGTTTGTTGCTGGTTTTGAATATAATTAACCTGAACATGATGTTTTAACTAAGTCAGACTGTTGAAATCCTGTTGGATTTCTCTACCTCATTCAAACTGACAGTCATACCATGTTTAAGTCAGACATTCTATAAATCAGCTTATTTCCTTACTCCCCCTCTGAAGTCAAGAGTAGCCAACATTTTCATTAGCTATGCAAATTGTATTATTTAATAGAGGATTCATGTATATGATGCATCCACCATTAATTGTTTATCAATTATAATCTATCCGTCATATCATCATCAAACAATTGTCTTCAATCAGTTACCATCAATCATACAAATCATCATCATTGATCAATCATTGTGATCATCAATCAAACCAATCACCAACAATCAGTTATGGCTATCAAGTTGCCATCATTACCAATGAAGACAAGTATTTGGATGGAATGCATGATCTCTTAGTTAGAAAGAAAGAAGTGGCTAACAACACACCACATCCACCATTGCACCTGCAGTGGCTCCAGATGAAAAGGCGATAGTACAAGTTTAGGGTTGGGTCTTGATTTTAGTTTGGACATGTAATTGTTATTTATTGTTTAAAATTAAATCTAGAGCGTTTGTGTGCCATAATGTAATGCTCTGTTTTGTGTCTTGTCGCTTATAAGATTTACTTACTTGCTAAAGAAAGGGTGTTGAATATATTATAAATTAGTTATCAATAGGATATTATCTTTTTGGTATTTATCATAATCAGAAGAAGCTGTTGAAAGATTGTTTGTCAAATATGTATTACAAAAGATGGTTTGATATTTTTCAATAGATGAGCTAAAGGGCCTCAAAAGGCCATGATCATTGAATATTATACTATTTCGTTAGTAAGGGGTTTACCATTTATATAAAACTTTATCCTGCATAGTGTGGCTGTAGATAAATGGAGAAAGTACAACTTCAGAGTGAACTCTTGCATTTTTGTTTGTTTGTGAGCCCAATAATTTTGTCTTGTTCTGCAATATGCTATAACCTTGCCAGCTCTGACAGAGCCCTTCCAGCATTTGCAATGATTGGGAACACTAGGACTATGCTCTTCCCCAATTAGAAGATGATATCCATGTCAATTTGCAGGGACACAAACTGATGGATATTTTTGGGAGGGTGAGGACTGTCATATTGTAATTTTTGTACTAAAATGCCACAAGGCCTTTTTTCCAGAACCTTATCATATAAGGAAAAGTTTTTCCAAGTCTGAATTAATAAATTTCTTGCCATAAGTGTTTTGTGATACAATTCGCTGTTATTAATAAGCATTGAAATCAGAACTTAGATTTTCTGTTTCCTCTCAAATTTTCTGACTAATTCAAAGAATGTTCAAAGGTTGGGGGGGGGGAGGGGGGGAGGTGTGACACATTGACTGTCCTGGTAATATTTGGTGTGCAATCACATGCGCATGCCTTCACACACACATTAAAACACCTGAGACTTGCTTTCTATTGCACATGCAGTTCCACGTTTTGCATTACTTTTCTTTTTCTCTTTTGTTTCTTTCAATTTCTTGTTTGTTTTCTCTAATTTTAGATTTATTTTGTGTGTGTTATCTTGATAGAATTTTTGGGGACATAATAACTCTTTAAGGCTGTGTTTCCACTACTCTGTTTTTGTATGTCTCCGTTATGTCCTTCCATTTCTTGTATTTTTCTGAAAGTATTATGTCGGGCATGTTCAAAACATAAAAATTCGTTTTGTTTCCTTTACTTTATTTTTTATCCGTTCTCATATCGTTTGTTCGAGCTCTTTTTGAAACTGAGATAGAATGACTCCATATTCAAATGATTCCTTTTCCACTGACTCTACTTTGAACAGTGTTTTTGAATCACTTTGGTTTGGTATCAAATGACTCAATCTTTGAGTGTATTAATGGAACTAAGAATCTAAAATGGATTCATTTGAATCTGTTCTTACACAGAAACAGAGTAATGGCAACAGGGCCTAAAAACTTGAATCCTTTTTGTTGAGTTATTTTGTTTTGAAGCAACTTCCTCTAAAATCCCGTAGAACTATTTGGTTTTTTGAAAACCTTATCTGCTTTTTCAAATATATACATATTTGCATAATATATGACATTTAAAAGGCTATCAGATGTTCATAAAAATCATAAGTTCTCCATTTGATTGATTGCACGCCATCACGCGCTGACAAATTTCATATTACCAGGACTGCATTGATATCTCTACACAAATTTTTCCCATACTGATTGATTGCTGTTGCTACCCTGGTGTTCTTCTAGTCCTTGGCCTATTTGCAGGCATCTTAATTATGACTTGCATAGACAAGTTAATTGTTTTTCTTCCTTCTAAGTCTGAATTTATTTTGTGTACTTTAATTGAATTTCAGGAAAGCTTGTTCTTGGTTGTGGGAGCAATGTGGTTGATCAATTTTTCAAGGTGCAAGGTATCTAATGTTTTCTACCTGTTTGCTTATAACTAAAAGATATAAAAAACATTTTAAAAACTTTTCTTAACAAAACATTAGAATAATCTCTCAAAATTGCTTTCTTAAAATATTACAATGTTAAAAAGGATTTTAGTACTTTATATCTAAGACAATCTTTGAAAAATTATACACTTTGATAATTTTGCCTTGCTGTTTAACAGTTATATGCCTTGCTGTTTTTGTTTTAGCTCTCCCAAAAGTTGGAGAAAAAGGATTTTTCCAAAGGTACATATATATAATTATTGTTTTGTTAATGGTTTATTTTCCTAACACATTTTTTACTGTAAATCTACAAGTAGAATTAAAATGCAGCTATACTGGAATATGAGAAGCAAGGTTTGATTCTTCGATGTTAGAGGGAATTGAGTTTAGGTATAGTTAATTAGATTTATGAAATTTTTTAGAAATATAGAACAAGACAAATTTTGCACAAGAAAATTTAATAGAGAGAAAATGGAATTTGCTATTTAAAGAATATTTTTATTGTCAATATTTTCAGTGTTTTGCTTGGATTTCACATTTTGTTGTTGTTAAGATAGCAAAGATTGTAAGATTAAACATGATTTAGGAATTAAAATATCTTTGTCTATGTTGAATGCATTTTCAAATTTTGCAGCCCAACTCATATCAAGGAAAAGAGCATAGTCGGTGGAGTGACTCTCAATCACTTGTCTTGGGCATCTTTACTTGGAGGTAAGCTGTGTTTAATTGTGTAGCAAGCTTCCCACAGACTAGACTGAAATGGCAGGGTTAACTTCATAATACTGTGATTTGCAAAGCCTTTCCCTTCACCAGTGGCAGACACCTATGGAGGACAATGGTCTTTTGTTCTAAAAGAATGGAATAATGTGAAATCATATTATTAAAACAAAGGGATTGCCCCCAATATTTTGACCATGGATACATTATAAACGTTGTAGCCACACAGATTATCTTTCATCTGTTCTGGCTTCATTACCACTGACTTTTTGATCATTTCTACTTGATTATCTTCAACTTTCCTAACCTTACTTGCTTAAATTTTCTTCTTCGTCCCATCATAGTATTGTTACTTTAGTTGAATCTTGTGATAGTCACAAAATTTTTCAGACAAGCCTAATTTGTTCCAATAAACATACCAGGAATTCATATGATTTTTAAAAATTCAGTGTAGTGTTTGATTAAGGGAGTGGTTTATTGCAAAAATTCATATTATAAGCATGTTGTTGAAGGAAAAATATTTATGAAACAACATTCTGTAAACCGTTCCAATGATTTAGTGCTCACACTATTATGTTGAATTTTCTGAATTTCAACAGAAACATGAATTGTCTTGTAACCAGAGAGGAGAAAAAGTCTTCGAGTAGCACCTAACATGTAATGATACTCTATTCTGTTGAAAGATACAGGGAGATGCAGAAAAGGAGACTAACTAAAACAGTTTGGCTTGAAATATATGTACAGTAAAAACTAAAGAAAGATATGTTTTCAAAAGCACTCATTTTTATATCTTATTGTCACATTTAAATAAACAATGAACCTGTCAGTTTTAGTATATGTGCCCCTTTTTGCTATTTCTGGCATTTTCTAACATTTCACTGCTTCTATTAGAAGGAGGGGCTTATTATGTTTGTATAGAAAGGAAAGATGTTTATTTTAGACTCTGTGCTTGTTAGAGGGATTATGGTATCTTGAAGTACATCCAACATATTAAATATCCCTTCTCTTTCCCTTGTATTTGCTATTCTTATCAAATCTTTCCAATTTTGCTTTACCTGATACCTGTAATCTAATTGTGTTTATTTTTAGGCAGTTTGTTTTGTAAGTATTGTTTTTAAGTATGTTTGTTTTTCCCTGTCATCTATCAGGAGATTTGTTTTGTCATTTGGGAAACAAGTTCAAGATTAATATGTACTCCCTTTGGACCTATAGCTCAGCTTGATTGGATTGTTTTCAGTTTATTTCAATGACCAATGATGTTCACATTAAATGTTTTGTATTTGTAGTCCCAACGGGTTTGCTTGCCCTGCAAGGTGCAGATGTGCCTGGTCGTTTGATAAGAAACAAAATGAATCAATTGCATATCAGTAAAGATTTTATTCAAGGTAAGATGAGTTTAAAAAACCGTTTGATACCCCAACCAAAATAGTTTCACTAATATTTTGAATGTCAAAAAAGACACTTTAATCTTTTTTCGAATGCTATGCATCTCTATCGCTTGATACAATTTTTAGCTTTCGTTTTGTTTTGTATTACAATCTGTTTGTTTATACTTTTGTTGAATCATATATCAAACGATGTTAAGCAATAGTATAAAACGTTTTGACGTCAGATACAATGTGGTCAGGTCATGTTGACGTCGGAAACGATGAATGAGGACGTCCGATTTGTTGACGTCTGATACAACTATGTCAGATACCACGACACCAGTCATTATGACGTCGGAAACGATGAAGTCGGACAGGATGACGTCCGATTTGTTAATATCTGATACAACTATGTCAGACACCACGACACCAGTCATTATGACGTCGGAAACGATAACATCAGACACGTCCACCTCATACACGATTATATCAGACACCATGACGTCTGATACAACGACTTTTGGCGAGTCTACCTCTAGCATGATGACGTCACTATAGAATTGCATTTCAAAACCTTTCTTCGACCCCACATTTCTTTTTCACTGCCTAAAATATTGAAATATGATTTTTTAATGCTTTTTTTGCTAGTGAGCGACACGTACACAACAGCCCAGTCATACGTTTTCATTCAACAAGATGGCGAGCGCTCAATCATAATGGCTTCAGGTGCTACTAGTATTATTAAGAAGCACACTGTCGAGGAGTTCTTCGGTAAGTACCCACCGAATATTAGTTGAGGTATATAATCCGCAATCATATATTTAAAACCGAAACAGAGAAAAAGTTTACAGTTTATGCTGACTTGTCTACATATCTTTGCATTTCCGGTTATCGTTTTATTCTGCTTTATAGTGAGGTCAATTTCACCTCTTTGTAATTAGGTTTTGCATTTAAGCACTGTTTAACACTTTACGTTTTCTTACACTAAAATGACAGAAGTCCATTCTTTGTAAGAAAAAAGAGTGCTTTGAAGTCATTCAGTAATTCTCTTAAAGAAGCAAAGCCTGTCGAGGAGAAGGCAAGAGGATTTCCGTTTAAACCTTTAAAAAGTTGGGCATGCCTACCTGCTTGACATTAAAGAACTCGAGTACAAAATTGTTTGTAATCAGTATGTGCGTTGAATTGCTTCCCCGTCATACATGTACCTATGGCCCTGTCTGTCGTGACCTATCCCAACCAAGTGTCTTCTCATGAATCACTGTAAGTTTATGAGGACAGTCTATATTTTATAACAATTTTTCATAACAATTTGCTACAAGTGTATTTGGAAACCCCATAGATGAAGCTGTGCGCAAAAATGCGCTGATGATCACATCAGAAATTTCACAGGTCCCACTGTCTGGTGTTATTGCCTTGCTGAAAATTGCAAAGTGAGTTATTGCTCTTTTTAGACGAAAAATAACCCTTTTCAGATCTCAATCATTTCAACAAGATAAGATATCATTTTAGGTTGCTTTCATCTTCTCTAAATTCAAGAACTTGTACCTGTTCTCTTTAGTTGAAATATTCGTGTCCCTGAAAATGTTTGGATTCACCCATCACAAAAAATAACGGAAATTTTTTAGCTCTCCCGAATAAAGGATGATATCTATCCGCCATACTTCTCAATGTAGTTGCAAGAGTATCGATAATTAGCCACATGTGGTTTAGGAACTTAAAAAATAGTCACACCATATCATTTAGCTTTGTAAATATACCTTGAATTTTGAAATGAAATTTCTTTTTTGCAGGGAAATTGGTATACCGAGTATTTTGGACTTGGATGTTTCTCCTTCGGTAGTTACAAATTTTTCAAAACTATTTACTTGAATTTTACAAAATGAGACTCTTTCTTCGATTTTCGATGATTTCTTTTCTCAAAGTTTTACCATTTGAATAGAGTTCTCTTTTGTTTCTAGGTTGCAATAAATGAAGCTAAGCTGGGTACTCTCGAAGAGCTGAAAAAGTAATTCTTTCCGTTTACTGTCAGCGTCTTTGTTTGCAAGATCTTGTCATTTGCCTTTCAATATTTCTTTAGGAAGCTATTTATATTTCTGGCAGGGGGACTTTAGCGACAAACGCTCAAAAAACCATCGTTCTTATTCTAAACAACTGCTAACGAAGTATGTACAGGACTGTCGATAGAAAAGTAGAAGATAAAAGAAAGGGTTTCAGAGCATTCAATTAATGGAAATCTTTATTCCCCATAAGGAAACCTATGTCCCAAAATTTTATCTTTCTACTTTACTACTTAAGTTGGTAAAATGTTCATAGAAAGTAGATGCTCTTATAATTTTCAATTTTGAACATAAATGTGCTTTTGAATTGTTCTTAAACGACGAAGTGGGTAAATTTTATTCAGGGGAAAAGAAAGGAAATGCAATATGGTTTTGCACATTCAGAATATTCAATCATCTTTTGTTTTTGTATTACTGTGAGTCAAAGTTTTAAATTTGAAGAATACTCAATAAGATAGTTTTGATGACGTTTGAGCCTTGCTGTCGACAATAGCTCATTCTATGACTCTAGCAGTGTTTAGTCTGAATATTTTGATATGTATATTTTGATATGTTATTAAGGTATGTGTATTTCAGTAAAGAATTCTTCAATGTTTAAGGTTTTGAATACTTGGGATTTTCTCCCCTGCATGAAACAGGTTTTGTTATATACCAAAACGTGAAGGTAGTTTTCAAAGTTCTGTTTTCCATTGTAGGTGTGTGATGATGGCTGATATTCTAAAACCAGCGAAACATGCTGCTGCTGAAATGCTGGCTATTTTGAAACCCGATCTGAATAAGTATGTCCATTCATGTACTGAATTCTATAGATCTAAAGATACTTCGAAACAAATAGTTCTGTTTTCAAATCATGGCCTACGACATGAATTTGAAAGTGAGGGGGGGGCAAGGCTAGAAAGACTGGGGCAAGGCTTCTTACCCCTTTTACTGCAGCGTTTAAACTATTTGCTTTGCAAAAAAGTGGGGGAAGGGGGCATAGTTCCCCTGATGGCGTGGGCCCTGATTGTAAGTAAATGCATATCATTTTCTTCTCTCTCACTGTCAGATGTTTGAGTTTGTCTTTCATCTATATCTCATTATCTTTTTCTTTTTTGCTTCTTTTATTTCTCTTCTTTTTCTTCTTCTTCTTTATCATATCTTTCATCGTCTTCTTCCTATACTTCTTCTCTCCTTCTTCTTCCTTTTCTTCATTTTCTTCTTCTCCTCTCCTTTTTCTTCTTCCCATTTTTTTCCTTGTCATTATCTTCTTCTTCCTCCTCTTCCTATTCTTACTGTTCTTCCTTTTCTTCCCGTTCTTCATCTTCTTCCCGTTCTTCCTCGTCTTCCTGTGCTTCCTTTTCTTCCCGTTCTTCCTATTCTACCCGTTCTTCCTGTTCTTCCTCTTCTTCCCGTTCTTCCTCTTCTTCCCGTTCTTCTTCTTCTACCCGTTCTTCCTCTTCTTCCTGTTCTTCCTTTTTTTCCTGTGCTTCCTTTACTTCCTGTGCTTCCTTTTCTTCCTGTGCTCCCTTTTCTTACTGTGCTTCCTCTTCTTCCTCTTCTTCCACTTCCACTTCCTCTTCCACTTCCTCTTCCACTTCCTCTTCCACTTCCTCTTCCACTTCCTCTTCCTCTTCCACTTCTTTATTTCAATCCCTGTAATATATTCCCTATTTTTCTTCTTCTCTTTTTCGCCTTTCCTCCCTGTTTTTTCGTCCCCCCCCTTTCTTATTATGTCATTGAAAACATGTCAGTTACCCAATTATGTATACCATTTATGATTCCAATCTTGAACATAAAGCAACCAATATCGAGTCAACCGATCAATGGCCGTTTTTGATCGATCGATTACGTGTAGGGTACGTAACAATTTTTTGCCGAATAAATTTGTACACAGTGTTTGCTTTCTAATGAAACAGATATGAATTGAAAGAAATAAATTATACCTTCTTTGCATTCGAAATCCTTGTACAAAGTGATTAAAAATACAAGCAGATTCAGTTTATGTTAAGCATCTATTCAGTATAGTCAATCGTCAAATAAACAATCATTTTATCTCCAGGATTGACAGTTTAAGCGGTGCTGACGTCGCAAAGTATCTGAGAGAAAGCTGCGATTCAACATTACTAGCCATGACCAATGGCTCCCAGTCATCAGTATTAACCAGTGAAAATCACGTGAGTCATCCCCTCTTTTTTCGCTAATGACCCTTAAAATCAAATTCCTTTTCGTAGATTTACGAGAATTTTTTGCTATCCTTTCTGCATCAAAACTCATAAATAACTTATTGGTAAATTTCTTTGAGAAGAAAGTTAAAGTAAGCTTTTTTTCGAATTCCATCTATATGATTTAGAATAATGCCTGCTTCTCACATGTTTCCAAGAACATTATCTTTACAGAATGAAGCAAAGTTTCACCCCCCTCTCGGGGCGCTTCTATTCTGTGCCATACTGTAGACAGGCATAAATCGGCATAAATTAGGCATAAATCTGCAAATTTATTTTAAGAACAACAAACCTGTAAATTTAGAAACCAGTAGTTTTTGTCGCGAAATTAAGGTATGTCCAACACCTAATGTCTTGAAATAGAACGTCGCCTAGAGATGTGAATTTTCATCATGATTATAGGTTATCTTTAAAAATACTGGCCAAGCATCCCTGTGGCTATATATCTCTAATTCTGCTTCGTGCGTGTTCCTTAGTACCAACCAATCAAATCGATTTTGCATTCCGTTCATCAATTCAGCCTTTCAGATTTGAGGTTGAATTCCCTTCCTTGAATCAGCCAATCAAAATTGGTTTAACATTTTCTTCCTCGAATCAGCCAATCAAAATCGAATGTATTCCCTTCTTCAAATTAGCCTATTCAAACCATATTTTGCATTCATTTTTTTCAGACAGTAGAAGTTCCGACGGAAAAGCTTAAAACAGTCGTTGATGCAACAGGGGCTGGGGACGCTTTTCTGGGCGGTCTGATAACTGGTAATGTTGTCTCTTACATATGTTGTCTTGTCCTTAAAATTTCTACTTCTTCGTTGCAAGGTTCAAATCGACTTTTCAAAAGTACGCTATCATAAAAATTATGACTCATGTTGCTATTTTGCGTCTCTCTTAAAGAAAATTCTCTTCGTGTCATGTTATTATTGATTTGTGAATTTTCACTCCTGAAGAAGAGCTTCCCATGAAAGATGAGATTTCATTCGTAAATCAAAGTTCTTTTGTCGTGAAACTCACTTTTCTTGCTCTATCGTACTCTGTAAATTACAATCACAATATATAGTGTTGTTTTGTTTTTTTGTTCGAAATGAACGTTGTGTAGGAGCTCAGGATCTGAAAGGTAGTGTTACTATATTTTAAATTTGTTTCCACACAGGCCTTCATTTCCATGGAATTCCAAAATCCGAAGATGACATGAGGTGAATATTAACCGTTTATAATGCTTGCTATCAGAGATAAGTGTTATCCACCCCATTGGCGTAGCAAGGGGCAAGGCCGCAGCCCCCAATAGCTAAATAGTTGATATCTGAGAAAACAAATGGATAGATTAGCAAGTTTATCAAAAGGGACATTTTCTAGCATCTCTAAAGCATGGTCTCAAAACTGTTCAAAAAAGTCTAGCCCACTCGTTTTTGACCTCCATTCTCGACATTTTCTCAAAATGTTCTTTAAGATATCTTAAGCTTCTTGTTGAATAGGATTGTCTTGATACCTATTATTTCATATCACGGTAATTTCCACCAATGCTTTGTAGTTAAGGTTTGTCCAAACTTCCTTATTATTCTAAAAATTGTTTTTTCTTATAATAAGAAACCTATGCAATAGGGGGTCAAGGTATAGGCTTCGTTATGTTAGGGGAGAAAAGCCAGCATTTGTCTGAAAGACCGTTAACTTTTCAAAGCTTTACATCTTATGCACTATGCAGTTGAAGTCAAAGTTGTTATTACCACAACTCCAAACATATTCTGTGGTCGGAACATTTATTGATCTTAATGGAATTAGCTTGTATAGAATCGAAAGACGAAGATAATGTAGAGAAAAGGGTGTCACGAGAAGAGTGAGAACGCAACTTGTGATATATAATAGTTTTGATTAAATGCGTTGAAATGCCATTAGATGTTAATTTTGCCTTCACCCTATTGCGCATGTCTATATGATGCACTTTCTGATTGGTTCAAACAAATGGATAGAAAGATGGCCATAAACGGTAGGAATTAACACTCTTCTTTTGAACAAGGTTATAGTAGACTTTTTTTGCTGTTACTACTGATCTTTGGGGCCATTTGGTGTAGCGTTTTATTGCATCGTAACATCCGCTGCGCAGGTGGCCTTGCCTGTTCCTATGCTCTCTGCTAATCAATTGGTGAAATCCCGACTTTGTATCGCTTCTCTTTCAGGCTTATAGGAGCTCTGGCTAACAAAACAGGTGCTGCGTGTTGCAAAGTCCTCGGTGGGTTGCCAAGCGACCAGTCAAGGTGAGTAAGAGGCTAGCATATTCAAATTCAAATTCAAATTCAAATTTCTTTTCATTAAGCAACATTTTTACAGCATGTTTATTAAAAATATATTTACTTATTGTCTTAAACATAAAGAGGAATTAAAGAATTATAAAGAGAATGTCCGTGAGAGTTGCCTAGGACAATGAGATAAACCTGAAAGTTTATCGAGCCCAGTGCCCTATTACATACGCTTGTGATATACAGTAATATTATACAATCTGAATTTCAAAACCTTTCTGCTCTTATAGCTTAACTGTTATAGTTTTATCCTCTGTTAAATTCTTTTTGATCTATAAAACGGAAGTAAATAAATTGCTGCATGTTTCCATTGTTAACTTTCCCTTATGTTTTTAACATTATTGCTATTTGTTGAGACGGATATTAGTCACATATGATGAACTACTCTTCTTCGCCACCCCTCTCCCCCCTCCCTCCCCCCCCCTGAGTCATTGGGCCTACGCTTCATTTACAGATATCTAAAACAATGTTTTGTTGACCATCACTCATGTTATAAAAAATAAACCTGTTTTTGGTTAATGCTCTGAAGATGCTAGAAATAAACATTCGATGTTGTTAAGCTTGCCTGTCCTTGTAACAGAAAAAAGCATCAATTGTAATAACAGGGCCAGATTTGGTTAACCATTTTTTGAAAAAGGTTCCAAGGCTTTGATTCCCATGTGCCATTCTGTCAAACCTGTTGCCAGTTGCAAGTTGCCAGCTATTATTTTAGTTAGGAACTCACAAATATATATTAAATCGTTTTCCTTTACTTTATTCTTTAACTACAGATGATTTATGTTAAGTCGGACCTTCAAAGAGAGGGGGGGGGGAGGTGATGAAATGATCCAATTAAGTGAAAGTCCAAATCATCCTGTCTTTGACTGGAACAAGGCAGGAAAATCCAACGGGAAATGGAAATGAGTCCGACTTTGTGAGAGTCCGAACCATCCGATGTACGACTAAACGGGATTCCACTGTATATTGATGTTCTATGTACACTTTGCAGGGAAGTTCTAAAAGAGGAAATACTCAAATACAAGGGTGCATTTGGTGACAACGAGAGCATCGAGGTTGCAGCTTACAATCCTTGTCCAGACTTTGAAAACAGTGTAAATGCTGATTTCGAGGCTGCTCAGGGCGTTGTTGATTTAATGGACTTTAGAACCGTGGAAAAATTCATCGATTATTTAGAAAATTGCAAAGGAAATGTATTGATCTCTGGAATAGGTGAGACCGGTTATCCTATTTAAGACTAACTTTTTGGCCTGTGTATATGTTTTATTGTTTGTTATATATTTTCTGAGATCTATTTTGAAGTTCTCAAAGCCGTTATAGTACCTCCATTGTAAAACCAGACACTTCCAACTTTCAGCTACGAGTTCCATGCTTTCTGTAATCATCAGAAATCATTCTGAAACCTATAGGTTAGAAATTTTTCCCTGTTTGCTTTGTTTCGCCATTACCTTATCATATTCTGGTTTCGAGAATCGCTTCTAAAATCATCAGGATTAAATATCCCCTCTAAACACATCGCGAACAGGACTAAATATGCCACACCCAAGTCCCACCCACTTCTGTCCATGGTGAAGAACCCCTCTATCAAACAAACCGTTTTCGTGTGAAAAGTTTAGCATTTTTCTACATTTTAATCTTATTGAATTTTGAGCATTGTTTGTATATGATTCACAATTCGCAGGTAAATCAGCCATAGTTGCTCAGCGTATGGCAGCCTCGTTGGCATCCACGGGGACTCCGGCTCATTTCGTTCATGCTACTGAGTGGGCGCATGGTGATCTAGGTGTGTTTTTCTTACAGTTCACTATTCCTGCAGTCAATTGTTTATACTTGTACGCCGTATGACATGGCCACGATTCAATAAAACTGAACATTTCAAGGCGTGAATTAGATTATCAGAAGCCCATTTCATATCTATTCTTAATTGAAAAACCAGTAAAATTTCTCGTCTTTCTCCACAACATTGCCAATCAAATGTCAAGCAAGGGAGATCTGTTCTGTACCGGGCGGGCACAGCTCTTTAGATTTTTTGTAAACCGCTGTTTACAGCCGCCTTTAGTTCTTGTCTGTCTACAAAACACCAGCTAGCACTCTTCAGGCGGCTGTCAGCCGCTAACTTTAGCATTCTACTTTTGCATCTCCTTCACGTAGTTTTTTTGACTACCCCTTCCCCATTTTGAACACTCAATTTCAAGAACTTTAAAACTTAGGAGTTTTAAAAATCACCCAGGCAAAAACTCTGAAGATCGGTAGAATGTTTAACAATGGATCAATCGCATCTACAGCAAGAGAGAATTCTAGTTCATCCATTTATGATACTAAACTATCCTATGCCTTGTTCGGCTTTGGAAAACTTGATATTACAAAATGGCAAAGATGTTCACAACGCTTCTCGTCGTTCAGTGAAAGCACGTTGGTTGAGGCTTCAGGCTTATTATCAAAATTAGAGCACAATTCTGTCCTAAAAGACTTGAATAGTTTTGCTAGATTGAAAATGCTCACATTATTTCTGCTGAGTTCCTATATGTTCATAGTAGCTAATACAAGAACACTCATACATTTGAATGAACGGTCTATCCCGATTTTATGCTTGAAAGCATCCCAAATGAAAAGAACACTGTTTGGTCATGATTGCAATACATTGAAGAGATTCAACCCCTGTATCTTTTATTTTAGGAAAAATCCGAAAAGGAGACGTCGTTGTGTTCTTTTCACACAGTGGCAACACCGAAGAAGTGAACTACGCAGCTGAGCTGGTGCAGAAACACCAAGTTCCATTATTGAGCATTGTCGGATCGAAAGATTCATCGTTAGCACATATGAGTGACGCAATCATTGACTATGTTGTTGGAAAGGATCTCCTTGAGCCGCTGGGAGGAGCGCCAACTTCTAGCATAATAATGCAGGTATTTTCTAGTTCTCTACGTTATGGAGATATTTTTTAATCCTTAGCCCTACGCTTTCTGTTCTCAAACTCAACTCAACTCCTACGCGTGAATACGCGGGTAGAACCGCGCCTTTGTTTGTAGCGTACTCTCCCATGCATGAATTCGCGGGTTTATCCCACTGGTTGACCATCCGGCATAATGCCATCCGCGTGTGGTCCCATTAAATTTTTATTCCACGGTTATACCACCATTCTCACTCAAAGGGACTAGGATTTAATTGTGAGAGATACAGGAGGGTATGGTGTCCCTGCCCCAAGTGGAGAGTTCCTAGTAGTATATAAAGGATTTATTGTAAATTTTGATTTTATTTTATTTAATTTTATATAATTCAGCATTATTTGCTGGATAGAGGTTTCAAAAATTTTATCTTTGATGGCCATGAATGAATTTCAAGCTATCCCCTCATAACTGAATTATCAATATGCCCCGTGCGTTCTGTCTGGCTGTCTGGTCGGGCTGGTTGCCCTCTGACTCTGTCTCTCAGGTTTTTCCTATCTCCCATTAGCGCTTGAAGATCTGTAGGCTCGTAGTTTGCGTCATGTGCAATTTTCTGGATGTAGGTTGCTCTGGGTCGTCCTACACTGTGCTTAGGTGTCCATAGCAGTACAAGTTCTTCCGTGGTCCTCTTATAATGCTTAGCAATCTTTCCGCTCTTCTTACGGTGTTCCTCTTACAGGTCTGTTTCCACGACATTTTCAGGGCAGGACTAGTCATATTTTAACAGTTCATTTGATAAACGAGAATTTCAGATTATGTGTCAATTTGGTCGTGGATAAAAGCACGTAGCTTATCTTAGGAATATTATTCAGTTTACCGTGATTTTGAGAATGTTATTTCATGTTTTGTAGGAAATGATGGTGAATGGTATCGTTTATGAGTTGATCAGGCGAAGGAACTTCACGAAGGACCAGTTTTTATGGAACCACCCTGGTGGGTCATTGGGCAGAAAACTGTCAAAGAAACTTGGCTACAATATCAGATTTGTGTAAATATAGATTTCTTGAAATTCAATGCATGACACTCAATAATTGAGGTAAATGTTTTTATTTTCATCCATTTTCAAGATTGTCTTTATACCTAATCACCGACGGATAAGTAGGCTGGTAACGAGTGGCGGATGTTACGTCAGAAGGTCCAAAGAAAAGTGTAAGATTAAATATTTTGTCTTAAGTGATATAAGTGATAAAATCTTTTGAATTGAAATACTACATCACGATTGCCCATTAATTAAATGACAGTATTTTGTGCTTTCTTTTACATCCAGCCGAGCAATCATCCCCAACCCCCCTTCCCCCCTCCCCTTCTACGATGCTACATCGTTTTTGAATATAATTAATGTCTTTTGTATATTGAATGACTTAACAATATTTTAAATTTCAAATATCGAAAAGCTTTTGTACCGATTAAAAACCAATGTTAGGAATACATGATTTATTGTTTGAACCGATCGATGTTGAATCAAATGCTGGTATTGTAATATTGTAAAATTTTCTAGGTATTAAAAAAATTGTGAGGCAAAGTTCTTGCCATCCTCTTCAAGCGTTCTGTTAAACAGTTTTCTTATTTTTAGCATTGACTGTTCTGCTCCTTTTTACTTTTTTCAAAAATGTTCAGTTTGGGAAAGTTAGGAAGTCACCATCATGCTAGTGAGGAACGTCGTAAAGACTATACATTAATTAAACACATTGTACAAAAGAGTGACTTGTGACTTCTAAATCTAGGTTAAGCGACTTTCACTTTTGCTAGTGTATATCAACAAAAATTATTCTTGAACTCAAGAATGTTGGGAAAAAGCGATTCCGCATCAAATTAAATTTATTAAGATAGGGGCCTCACCATCTTTCTCGGCAACCTCTATTCGTCGTTTTCCTCAAAGCCAATGACATTGCCGTCCTCTTAGTTCGAGTAATGAATACTCATATCTGTGACGTTTGAAGCAGTTCAAAATTGAAAAGGTTTCTGTGTCTACAAAAGTTGATACTTTTCCAAAGTTTTTAAGAACAACACAGCTAAGATAATGGGCACTTTTCAAAATTTTGGGGCTTCCGGTTCCCCCAGATTCTGATTTCCTTGCTTCATATATTTCACGGACATGGCCATCTGTCTGGGACGTCTAAAAAGATTCTTTATACACGCCTTTTCCAGAATCACATCTTTGATATGCCTACCCTTGCCCTTCGTCACAATTTTATCGATCCTCAGTTGCTGGAAGGTATCCTTGTACAAGCAAGATCTTCTTTCTTAATACGAAAAACAGTAACGACATAACAACGCATTGTCCATCATTGAATATGTTTCCACACAATAAATTAAAGTCGTTGCTCTTTTAGCTTTGTTATTCAAGTTATTGCCTTGGAAAACACATATGATCTCAAATATACAAGAAACTTTTTCTACGAATAAAGAATTTGATAAATTGCATAAGAGTCCAACTATCGTAATTTTATTGATTTATTATTTAGATTCAGTGTAATGTTGAGCAGTTTGTTTCTACATATTGCAATTTCTTATTGTTATTAAGTCATCAATTCTTGAGTCTTTCTAAATGTCTACAGGACTTTGGTAAGAGAGCCTGACATGGAATTTTAGGCTCTCAACTAACTGAGTCTATCAAAATTTGTTGTTCTTTAATACGTAATTTGCTTCTCAATGTACTCTCTCTCTCTCCCAGTTTTCTTTGTCATCTGAGCGGCTTAGAACTGTTTCTTTTTACTTCTAAGAGCAGTGGTTCTCGTTAATTGGTTGTTCTGTCAGTTGTTTTTCCCCTGTTTTATGTGATATGAATGCTTCACGTGATTGCTCCAAGTTGAACCTTCTAGTTGAGAAGCTCATTCTTTTATGCAGTATAGACCCATTTCAAATTTATTGGTTCCTCTCAAGTTTCCACTAATTCTGCTTCTTTCATGTTTTCCTGCAGCCGCTTCCCCTAAACCCCAGAGGATCGCTATTACTCTAATGTCACAAAGAGCTTTGAGACCGTGTAAAGTATATATGCATTGACAATTTCAATATTAGTTTCAGTGTTTCAATATTTTTATTCATTAATCCATTTCGTTGAGTGCACAAAGAAAGTAATTATGTCGTTCCACTCATCAGTAGCTTTTTATGTCACCGAAATTCACCGTTTTCCCAGATGGAAATACATCGAGGTTCTTTAATAGCTTCTTTCACGAGTGCTTACTTCTTCAAAACATTCTTCTGCGAAGCTTCGTATTACCACAACTCCCCCTCGCACTGTCACCTTTTTATTCAGGATAGACACCCAGGGGGTATCGCTCATTATTCCCACAAAAGACCTTGCCCACTTAAACCAACAGTTATTCTAGAAAGAAGATTTTTCTTCCTAAAATCCTTTCCACATTTTGATCTACACCACATTTTAGCAGTGTACCTTCGCTTTATTACGCCGTCTTCATAAAATTTTCTCTGACTTTGGAAAGTAGGCAGTAACATTTTTCGATGCTCGACTGTTTTGAGGGAACAGGAAAGATGTAACATCTGCCTGTTAATTACTTTGTACCTGATCTACTGAGATGTAGCTACTTTTAATTGCGATTTTTGTGGCTACAAACGGGCATTGGTCCCTCACGTGCAACAATACAATGGCAAAAATGTTTTGCCCTAACAAATAACACTAAGTGAACTTTTTACCTGGCGAATGTTTTCACTTTGTTGCTGGTATTTGTTACCGGAAAAAAATCTAAATTTAGTTACTTGATAGACAGGGGTCTGCACTGTGGGAAAACGTACTGTCTGATGAAACAGCATGGAACAGAGATGACTTGATTCCAGCTAGAGAATCCGTCATTTAGTCGTTTAAAGTCTGTAGCAAAATCCTTTGTAGATCCTGACTGGCCATAATTAGTTTTGTTTTCTTGAAGACTGCAATTTAAGACCCCGTTTGCACGATCGAGCCAAGCCGGGATTGATTCCAAATCGGTACGGATCAGCCTTTCGTTTACACGGGAACGTTCGGGATGGATTCTCTGTGCGTGCTAATTTGGTTCCGATCCAGTTGGGGATCGATCCCATCTCGTGTAAACGTCCAAATAGGTGGGATCGATCACACATTGGCACGGATTGGAAACGGGGCTAATGAACTCGCCAGTTTGAGGTGCTTTGAGCACGGTGCTTCGACCTTTGGTCAGGTCTTGCGCGCCGTTTTCGCCCACAAGATGAAAAATACGAAAAAGAAAGGGATAGTTTTCGCGAGTTTTTGATAAATTTAGCGAACATGCTCCAATCTGTAATGTTTTTACTCCAGCGTGATATTAAGGAGTAGTGCACTTTTTATTCATCGCTCGAAATAAACATTTTGTTGCTACCTTTCAAATTTGAAGCCATTTTCCTCTTAGCCTTCCTATAAATTTGGCGGTATTTTCTTTGTGTTGTTGATGGAATAAGCAATACGCATGAGCATTCCTTTTAAAAGGGCCTAGAAAACAGTGTCGTCCGATCTGGGATCGATCCGGTCGATCCCGTGTAAACAAAGTTTATTTTGGGATCGATCGCGTGTAAACGTCTGCAAAATTTTCATCTTTCCCATTATGCCCGTGTAGACAGGGTCTAACTGTTATCCTGTGCCATCAGGGCGGAATTTATATTTGTATAGCATTCAAATTCAAATTTTGTGACAAATATCAGAATCACAAAATTGTACAGTTCCAAAAATACGAAAACAAACAAAAATTGCTATATTACAAAAAATTAAGAAAACAACAATAACAACAACAACAAGAAGAATAAGAATTACATTCAGTGAGTGCAACACATGTTTCGAAGAAATGGCTACCAGAATAAAGCATCCGGAGTCTAATATTCCGAAAACAAAATGTTTGATGCTGATGCAAGAATTATGCATTTACTTTCTATCCTTTACTCTATATTTAATGACTTTGCCTCAAAATGAAACTACAAAAAAAAGGCGAAGTAAGCGAGTAATCACCATCTTTCTTGTTTTATCTATGCAGTTCCTTCCAGGCAAAACATTTACTTTTCAGCTAATACAACAATACAATTGTCGGTTCTCCGCGAACCCAAATAATCGACGAGGCACAGCACAGTCTTTCTCAAGTACTGTCTGTCCGAAGCGTACAGCGACAAGGCCCAGCGCAGTCTTTTGCAAGCACTGCCTGTCCTGTATAAAGCCCCGGCAAAACGACTGGACATTTGCACTGGTCAAGCACCGGACATTTCTTACTTGTTCAGAGAATGGACACCAAGAAAATATTTGTGGTGGCAAAACGACTGAAAATCGTCCAGTGAATTTTTTCCCTGTTGAAGAATGCGCGCGAGAAAACTGGCAACAGGGCGTCTCTTTACTTTTGAAAATACACTTTTTATAGCCCTAACCACGTCATCGTATGAAATAGAGTGTATTATCAAAGAATTGCTAGGACTGCTAGGTTCATCACAATCACCGTACTCCCGCTCTCTGCCATGGCTTTCATTATCGGAACTGAAGCTAATCTCTTTAGAAGACTCGTCGTTACTAATGAAATGCCTTTTTCTGCTTTTCTTTGAATTGAACGTTAATGTTGATTTCATTTCTTTTGCGGGGTTTACTAGGATTGTTTGTCGAAGATTTGAAAATGGGAAATAAATTGACGCCAAATCCAATCTATTACATCAATTGCGCGTACGCGAACTGGACAATGTTCAGTAGAGTGGCAAAACGACTGAACATTTCTCTACAACATCTACGAACAAAATAATTTTAATCCTGTCCACTGAACATTTTTGACTGCCTCCAAAATCGACTGAACAACACTCAACATTGCTGAAGAAGACTGGACAAGATGGCAAAACGACGCAACATTTACGCTGGACATTTGCCCAGTGCAAGTTCAGTGAAAATGTCCAGTCGTTTTGCCCGGGCTTCAAAGAAAATAAAAATGTTATGAAGCCAAGAGATCAAACTATGGTTTCTGTGAATTTTAAAAACCAAATCGAAAGAATGTGTGTATATCATGCATGCGAGTTGTGTGAATTATCAAGATGCAGAAGAGAAGTATCTGCAAAGATACCACAAACAGGGGCGTAAGTAGGCCAATAAGTTTGGGGGGGGGGGGGTGAACAGGGTTTCTGCCCTGCAAAGTTGAGTGGTGCCCTGCAGACCTCGAAGCAAAGCTATGTCTATAGGATGCTAATGAAAGCTTTACCAATGTACATTTTTCTTTACCAAGGATAAATTTATAAGCAATAAAAACAAATTTGAAACTTAATTGCCTATGAAATATTTATTTATCGACGTGAGCTTAATTTTAATTTAAAATTTGATTTTGCTTTGCTTTGCAATAAAACTTACATCTCACGGGGGGGGGGGAGGGGCGTATGCTTTTGGCTACATGATAGGGACGATGCCACAAAATTGAACATGGCGGCAAAGTACAAAGTTTAGCGAAGTAGGAGGACCCACCATGGTTGGGTCCGATGGAAAAGAAAGTTTTTGAAATTCTACCTTGTAGAAGGGCTAAAAAAGCATCTCCAAGGCTAAAATTTAGCAAAATACTATACTGCTTAGGAAGAACAATTCGAAGCTTCTCAGAAAAACCGATTATTGTTTATTGTGAAAAATCGAGGAGGGGAGGTGCCATGCTAAAACTCTAGTGACAGAAGTTGGGGAATGAAAGAAAATGTGACCTTTCTTTTCTGATTGCACATCGATGTAAATATGTTAGTAAATAAACCAAACAAAATCGGTATCTAAACAGTTTGTTCTCCTTTTCTCATACACTATTTAAAAAGTAAAAGAAAAAAACGATAAAAAACTCTTATTTTGAAAAGAGCGGGGAATTTACAACTCAAACTGATGTGTGTTACCTCAACCTTGCACTAAACCTATGCATCAATCATCGTTGCATTTACCGAATGCAACGTCAGGGAGGGAAGATCATTGCAAATGTGATATATCTATTTCAAAATCCTTAAACGGGCTTTTTACAATCTTCAGAGGTGGCGTTCCTGCGCTGCAAAGAATTCTTCATTATGCCCTGCGAAATGGACTATTTTTTAGATTGGGGGGTGTCACACCCCCACACCCCCCGGGAGTTTTGCCCCTGACCACAAATAGAGATCAAGCGTAACAATGTGCACTTTTCATCGCGCAATGGAAACAAGGCTTTAACTCGCACAATTTTTCGAAAAGGGGCGCACCTTTTAGGGATGCTCTTGGTGCCACCCCTTTCCTGACGTCCCCAAATGTGAATAGAGAAGGGAGGGAAAGAGGCAGGACAGCTTAGTCCCAATTATTCCCCTTTCTGTGTGCCCCGCACTGATGTTGCGTGTGTACGCATCATAGGCGTAGACTTGCATTTTTTCAGGGGGGGGGCTCAAAAAATTGATGACAATTCCTAATGGCAGCGGCTGATGTCACAGGATAGAAAGTGGATTAGCTAAAGGCTTAAAGGTGATTTTTCCGTGCATTTTTCATTATCGAGGAAGAAGAAACACAGAAATGAAATGATTGAAAGTTTATTTTTAAATCATAATCAGTTTCTTTAGGTTGAGTGAGGTCATGAGTTCTATTTAGGCACCCAAAATGTACTCTTTCTCGCGGCATTTCTTGATATGAAGGTGTTAACAAGTTCATCAATTGACAAATCTCATCACAAATTTGTCCATAGCTATTATCACGTCAGCAAAGATCGCACGTTGCTTTCCTCTGATGCTTCCAGCCTCTCTGAAGGATTGGCCTCGAGTTGGATCTGACCTTATGTTCACAATAATTTCATACTTCATTTTGCTGTAAACACAATTATCTCATGCAACAAATCTTATGCGTGAAACCAATAATATAACAAACTAATCTAAAAATTGGTAAAGCACTTACTTATTTTCCAGGGGGGGTCAGCCCCCCCTCGCTTTTTGTCAGGAGGGCCTGAAGCCCCAGGCCCCCCCTCCCCTAAGTTTACGCCTATGGTACGTATGTTATAAACCAGAACCAAGTTGGTCTGGCTCTTTAACAGACAAGTAGGACAGCGGAAAAGGACATCAACGTCAACTGCTAAACATCAAACACGAAGCAGTGACTGTCGCGTGTTTTCATGTTGTCGTCACTAAAATTTCATCGCCAGTTACAGAATCCATGCTACAGCTGATTTTCAAGCTCTTTGCTAATACTTTGTGAAGAATGTGAAATGTTGTTATCAACTCTTGTGATTATATTTGTAACTACATTTGTTTTTGCAGTTGCTGGTAAGTTACCTTTGATGTCACATTGAAATTTTCGTCTTAAGATGCGAGTGAAGACTTTGGAATTATTGCGGAAGTACCTCTGCTGAATGGCCTAAGCGTTAGTGTTTGAACTGACAAGGAACCTAGCGATGGCAGATAACATCTTTATATATTCGTTTTTGAGTTTTCAGCGTTAAAATTTATCACTTTCAATCAATTTCCAAATTTTTTGTTATGGCTGTTAAATTTTCCCTTGCCCTCTCCTACTTTTCATATCCTGTTTCGGAGCCCACGGTTGGACCACAAAAGAAAACCACGTTATAGTTTAATGTAGCTTACGTATTTTTTTCAAGGGCAAATTAAAACATCACCCCCCTCTCTTCCTGGGGACAATGTTGGTTTTCCCAAACCGGCGCGAGAAATAGGAAATTGGTTAGGCTTAATCATGATATTATCCTAAACATTCAATATTGTTCTGGGGGGTAATTGGAGCCCCTTGGCGCCGCCACTGTCTGGGGGAAGGTGGAAGTAGTAATACTTTGGGAGGAAATGAAAAATGGTATGCAATTTCAACGAGTTAAATCTTATGAACGAATATAGCTATTTAGGCCCTAGATTTTTTCCTAATTATTGGAAGGGCCTCACTGGTTTAAATATATCAATCACCTTGCATTGCACAAAGACATCAGCAGTTTCGCACAGAACAGAATAGATGTGCGAAGTGTTCATCTGAAAACCATGACATTTTTTGGCAGCGTTGCAGTAAGCTTTATTGCAAAAGCAGGAGTGGCTACGGTTAGCTATGGGTCATGCATTCAAAATTTCATCCAAATCAGAATATTGTTTTTTAAAAAGAAAGTGTTGCCATTGTAATAAAGCATCCTAAATTTTGAAATGGAAAGAGTGAGAAAGAGTTAAACATTTAACGTCGAAAACGACAGTAATCTATAACTCGAGGCTAAAAAATGTTAAAACTTCCCTTCACCTAACTGATATTGTTAAAAAATATTTGTTTGCCAGACCCTTTGTGTCTCCCTAGTGTTTTAAAAGACGTTGTCCAAAATATTACACCACCTTGACCAAAAATTAAATCATTAAAACAAGAATGGGCTTTTCTTTTGTTTGAAGAAGAGAAGATTTCCTTCATGTTCGATTTTTGGAAGCTTGTTAAGACTCAAAACACTTGAGGTGCTGACAAAATGGTACGACACGTTGACTTACGCCATGTCTCGTAACAGCGCTGTTTCGTAGATGTTCTTTAGCAAAACATCTGCAATTTTGATTTCTTTATGTCCTTCTTTCAAGTTATGAACTTGAAGGTGCTGTTCTTTCAATAATTTGTATTAATTATTGATTGCTTTTTATTTGCTCTGCAATGCATCTAATCTTGAACAAATTTTCCTTTTTGTGCAGATGGTGCTGTGCAAAAAATTGAATTCACGGAGGAGCCCAAGAGTCTAGTGGCTTTAGAAAACGAAAACGCCATCTTTCGATGCTCCGCAGTCACAGTTCCTCCCCAGCGGATCAACTACATGTGGAAGAAGAATGATATTTACATGGATATCAGCAAGATGCCAAGAGCTGAGATTACGTCATCAGGCAGTCTCGTGATCAGTTCAGTAAAACGCTCGGATTTTGGCTCCTATAGATGCATTGCACAGTGTACTGATGGGGCGCTCATTAGCCAGCAAGCAAAACTGGAAAAACCTGGTACCACAGTCACAATTCTCTCCACTTGTGAATTGCTCATAACTAAAAATAACCCAACCACAACCAGCCTTGTGTTCTTCTCCTGACTACTTTTCAACCTGAAATCGTACGTTTTCAACCAAGTAAATACTGACTTGGAAGAGAGGCCATCTTTAAAATGTATTGTCCGTTTTCGAACAAGCTGTTTTAACAATACAACTTGGTATCTGTTTGGAAAATTGAAACCCCTGTGCAGATTTGTCCTCTGTCTCACATCATATGTTTTATTACCCACTATCCTGTTTGGTGTTGATGCAACAAAAGATAAATTGTGTTTTTAGTAACATTGATATATTTCTTTTAGAATTGTCAATGGCTGCAACGCAATCGACAGTTCAAGTGAAGGAAGGTGGCTATCACATTTATGATCCACATTTGAAAATAAACACACCAGTCACAGTTTCATGGCTGCTGTGCAGCAAGTCAACAACTACTTGCAAATCTCCTGATCCAAGCTCTACGTACGTAACCTCCAATGGAAGTCTTTTGATGAGCCCTATAATGGCGGCTGACGATACATACTACGGGAAGCTAGAGATAAGGGGCAAATATACCGGTACCAGACAGGTTGTTTTCGGTCCTATCAATATAATTGGTACGTATTTTGCTTCCTCCATTTTCACAATTGAGGCTTTCGTTTCCTTGTAAGTTGCTGACCAAATATCGTTCTCTCAGGTAGACTATAAACATTTGGGAGAGGGGTGATTATTGAGTTACTTGCCCATTAAGAACCCCACGCAGTTTATCCGGGCCTACCTCCTTTAATAGTTTGAGCGTTTTTTTTAATTTTTAAGTGGAAAATTGAGGTATCCCACCCGGCCTTTGTAGTTGTTTCCGTTTATTAGAAAGTGTTCTAGTAAGTGTTTAATGTACCCGCCGTTTATATCGAGATAGTTTGAAAGTGGCTACCGTATTTTCTTAAATAGAAGCCTTGGCATATCTTGGATACAAAACTATGCTTTCCTTTTGTGAAAGTCCAGAATACTTTTGTTATTTTTTTCTATGCAATATCGCTTACCTATAGGTATCAGATTTCAAGACTGAGAGTGCTAATAGAAATGCGGCTTCTATTCGAGGGCGGCTTCTTCTCTTATTTTTCCATAAAAATATGCGGCTTTTATTTGAGAGCGGCTTCTATTCGAGCGCGGCTTCTATTCGAGCGCGGCTTTTTCTCTTATTTTTCCATAAAAATCTGCGGCTTTTATTCGAGCGCGGCTTCTATTGAGCGCGGCTTCTATTCGAGCGTGGCTTCTGTTTGATAAATACGGTATAGTATAGAGGATGTATTCTGCCTTTTCTGGACCATGGCTTACACACTTTCCAGTGCAATGCTTGTTTCTGTTAAAGAAGTTTGCTTGTTTCACAGAATATTTACCGAATCACTGGAAATATAAATGTCCAGAAGCTACTTTAAATTTTCTACCTACAACAACAAACTTCACAGTACCTGAAGGTGGAAATGTCATAATGGATTGTCTAGCTGTGTTAAAAAGATGCGCGTATGTTTCATATCTTAGCTAGCTTTGATTTAGGAACACGAGGATTTTTTTCAAATCTCTTTTTGGTAAGGAATGGGTTGTAAAAAAGACTACTTGAATTTCTATATGCATCTTCTCAGCTTCTGCAATTTTTTGCTATAACTCATTTGCATGTCAAATTTTTTCTGAGTTCTTCTGAATGTTGCTTATTTTGATTTGTATGTTGTTAATAGCTGTTTCGTTTATTTATAAGTGTCGGGATGAATTTCTGTCTTAACCGCATATGTCAGCTTTGAATCTCTGAAGCAGAAAAATAGAATGTTTTGCTCAGTCTACCAAAATATATTTTTTAGTATATATAATTATGTGCTTCTACTTATTTGAATTCTCAAATATTTCTTTTTGTTTCACATTTTGCCGGAATTTCATACATACTCTTTTGGACTAGAAAAGTTACAATGTTGTTTGTAATTAGCACATACTTGAAATATACCATCTAGGTAATTCAATCTTTATTATATTTCATGTACGTTGCAACTATGTGGGAAATAATGTTATCTATTGTCTTTAATACAAAATACGGCACTCGCTTTGTAGAAATACATTAGTTTTCCATTGGGAAGACAAGGCTGGAAGGAGGCGAAGTGAAACGAGGCAGCTTAAGCTAAGCAACGTAACGAAACAAGACGAGGGGACCTACACTTGTGTTGTTGATACCAGTGGAGATCCCAAAGCATATTTTTTCCTGAAAGTGGTTGGTGCGTAGAATCTCTTTGTTTCCAAAAATCTCTTCAGGATGAAACTGTAGATCGACACTTTTTCAAGGAAACTGTTCTAGATGAAATGTCCTCTAAGCGAAGTCTTTGACCAGGGAACCGAAGCATAGTAATGACATCTTGCGAGCATGTTAAATGCAGAAGATACTTCTGTTCTTCGTGTACCTCAAAAGAAATTTCCAGCGATGTATCATTCAAGCAAATATTTTTTTTCTACTACAATTTTTATTATACGTAAAACATTAAGGAAGAGATCTGAACCTGGGAAAAGGTAGTGCTAAGATATCCAGAGGCGTCTCCCTTCATTGATTCCTTTGTTTATTACATTACACTCTACATTACATTACATTACATTACATTATATTACATTACATTACATTACATTACATTACATTACATTACATTACATTACATTACCTTACATTACATTACATTACATTACATTACATTACATTACATTGCATTGCGTTACGTTACGTTACGTTACGTTACGTTACATTACATTACATTACATTACATTGCATTGCGTTACGTTACGTTACATTACATTACATTACATTACATTACATTGCATTGCATTACGTTACGTTACATTACATTACATTACATTACATTACATTACATTACATTACATTACATTACCTTACATTACATTACATTACATAACATAACATAACATTACATTACATTACATTACTTTACATTACATTACATTACATGACATTACATTACATTACATTACATTCCATTGCATTGCATTACATTACATTACATTACATTACATTACATTACATTACATAACATAACATAACATTACATTACATTACATTACATTACATTACATTACATTACATTACATTACATTACATTACATTACATTACATTACATTACATTACATTACATTACATAACATAACATTACATCATATTACAGTATCCCTCCCGTACTGTCAGATATGGACAAATTGTAGAGTAAAATAATTTCCCTTCCTAATTCTTTTAGTGTATTGTACTATATATAGAATCGGTCCATGGACTGTGTTTTGCTTCTCTTTCGACAGGAAAGCCGAAAATTGTCAATCCACCCCCTGAGATCTTCACTCTTGGCTCAGATGGTCTTGTAACATCAGGTGATGTGGAAAATGCAGATTTGGTTGAATGGTACACTAATGCGGAGCGAATACTCGAAGATACAACAATCTATCAAGTTAGACGGGATAATAGGCTTTTGATAAAGCACCACAGCCGCGCTTTCGAAGGCATTTACCAAATTGTTTATCGCAACCAAGCGGGCGCTCTGACAAGGACTGTCAAAGTGGTCGTATCATACGGTATAGCAAATATAATATTTTGCATGGATTTTGCGGGACTTAATCCGGGGGTGGCAGAACACACGCAGGCCTATAGACAATAAAGCCGCACCATTGATATTACCAAACTATGGTTTCTTCTAGCGTTAATAACTTAGCAAGGTGGATATTTCTAGCCAATTTTCATCTAGGTGGTCAGGTTCATTCATTGCAGCCATCCAACTCAAACTCCTATCTGCTCTTCCTTGTCCTCTAACTACTTCTTAACAACACTAAAGCCAAGTAAAAGGGAATATTGGATCTTTTTACAAGGGTGGTGGACAAAATTACCTGATACTTAGAGAAAGAAAAGGTCAAATGATACTTCAAATTTCTGTTAACTAGACTCCCCTGTCACTTGGACACTGCATTCCTAGCAAAGTGTCTCTGAAATTTCTCTATTTAACTACTTTTTTTCAAGAAGGTCATCTTTTACTTTCAAGGTGCTTGCGGGGAAAGATTAAATAAGAATGAGGGAGAAATTTCGTTTGCTTATCCGAAAGATCTTCAAACAAGCAGTATACAGTGCTTTTGGATTATTCAGTCGTCTTCACCATCTCCGCTGCAATTTTACTTTGCGAACTTCATCTTCCATGGCAGATGCGACACAACATTCGCTTTTATTTACAATGGAACAGTGAAGATGACTGTCGCCACTGGCATGCATTTCTGTTCCAATACACCTCCAAAAGGACTGGTATCGACTCATGGTCCGTATGTTACTGTTTTTGTGCAAGGACAAAAGACGGACCTTGACAAGGGAAGCTTCAAACTTCTTTATGGCCCAAATATAACAGGTAATAGAAAGTACAGAGATCTATGAGTAGGCATTCGCAGCTTATCTTATCTTAGTTTATTTTGTAAAAGGCAAAAGAGACTTCCTTTTTGCGCACAGCTTCAGGAATTAAGTAATCTAAAACGAAGCTGTACAACGCAAGCATTTAAATTCAACTTGTTCGCCCTAGTGCCAACAACTGTACCTTCAACGACATCGAAATCAAGCAGAGCGCCAAGTACGACAGCATCAACAGCAAGTACCAAAATAGCAACAACCACAGTTACTAAGAAAACAAAGCCTAATTCACAGGGAACCATAACCAATGTAATTTCAACCACTCGGACGAGCATCATAACGGCAACAAGCAAAGTGCGAAAGACGAAGAAACCTAAAACAACAAGAACAGAGGCTATAAGTACGGAATACAAGAAATGGTCCACCAGCAACACGAATGCAACTACGGTTAAACCGAAAAAACACAGAAGAAATAGAAGTATGTTTTCGCATTTTTATGTTAAATCTTCATATAATTTGTCCTTACGCCCTCAGAAGTGATCGTTTTTGTTCGTTTCCAGGACAGGCCCACCAAGAGAGGGGGCAAAGGGACAATTGTTCTCGGCTCCGTAAACAAGAGGGGCCCACTTGTAATTAAACTGTCTCTGGTTAAAGCGTGACCCTCAATAATATGATGATTTTTAGAAAAACAAATCAAATCTGTACTGAATAATTCAACAATGCTTTATGAATATAAATTAAAAGGAAATAAAGAAAGTTCTATGCATTTTAAATTTAAATCTTTGGGTAGAAATAAGGGACCAAAGCACCGGGCGTGTCCCTGAGGTAGACGTGGCTCTCGGCGGCCATGAATTCCAAGCTTTAAAATTCTTCGCTTGGTGATTTTTCTTACTTAAAACTCTTTGCGTGAAGATTCTCCAAAGAGTTCTATCAAATTTTTGTGTGGTTCTTCACAAATCAATTATTTTTTTTGACTGCCTTGGCATTTTTTCAAAAGATTCTTTCAATGTTGCTCTCTTTTCTTTCAAAATTGGATGGCTTTTACAGGGACTACGTCACGAATTTGAAAGTTGGGGGAGCAAGGCTAGCAAAAGTAGGGGGCCGAGGCTTTTTCCCCTTTTACTGCAGCTTTAAAACTTTTTTCTTCGTAAAAAAGTAGAGGGACAATGGCCCCTCCGCTCTCCCCCGATGGCGTGGGTCCTGTTTTAATTATTCTTGTAACGTTTATTTATCATTGGCTGCCTTCATTGATAGTTGATTCTGTACAAATATAAATTTTAACTACATTCCAAAAAAATTTTGCAATACACCATCAAAGACCGCCTTGGCCCTGTCAATCAAAAAATTGTTAATGATTTTCTAATGATTTTGATGAATTGCAATTTATAATTTTGTTATAAAATTTATTGTTCTACTGTTTAATATTTAACGACTAAGTATTAATAGCAATGTTTATTCTTAATTAGGCACATCCGATGACGTCACAGTTGCAGTTGCAGTTTCTGTTACTGTTGTCATCCTCATTGTTATTCTTATAATTGTTTTTATATTATACAGGTATGTAAAATATTAATTTCAGAATTTACAGTAAAAACAGTAAAAACATATTCTATATACCTTCGCAGATTTGAGAAGTTATTAAGGTCATAGGGCAAGTTTGTGGGTCATTGAACAGGCCAAAGGTGAAAGGTGGGCATACAAAAGTAAAATTATTATATTATCAAGTAGCTGAGTTAGTTTTTCTTATTAGTCATAGTCCATTCAGCCAATTTAATTTAGTTACTGGCTTTGAAGCTTAAACTTTTCAAAATAGTACGAAAACATGCATAATTTCAAGTAAAGTTCCACTCGAAGTAACCACTTTGTAACAATTTGCTAAATCATCTTGATATCAAGTCATTTCAGCATATATTGTTATCAAAGTAGTGTATGCTTTGAGTTTGGAATAGAAAATTGAAACAATTTTGCAGGACTATTTGCAGACTTTTCAGCAAATGGCAAACGTTATAGAAACTGCTTGTATATGATTCGGTTAATCTTTAGAAAACAAAAATCACAGAGAAATATCAGCAAGGGATCGTTCTTCGCCAACAAAAAAACATGTGCTAATGGAAGAAGCAACGTTTCAAAAGATGGAAGATCGCAAGAAACTTGTTTTACACTTCGAGGTAAATGCTTAAAGACTTAGAAAAAACAGATAAGAGAATCTCGTGAACATGAGAAAATGTTATGGTGTCTATCGAAATGAAAAACGTATTCATTTATTTTAAGGCAATTATTAATCTTTTCAATAGAAAGTTCAATACGCATTGCAACCTAGAACAGTCCTATCCTAGGCACCGAAGCGGGTATAGCTTTTGTCTATTCGGCTTTGAGCATTTTATGACAGATTGGTAAAAAGTAGTTTTCTTAGATGGTGAGATGTATAGAAAGGGTATAAGTCAATGCTTGATGCGTCGATAGGTATTTATCAGTGATGCCTCATCCAGAAGTTGTTTTTTCAAAATACGAATTGTCAAATTTGAATACTGGATAGTACTATCATTTTCTTATATGCTTCTAGTATGCTTGTTTAGAAATAATTTAAAACAAAAGTGCTTACTAGGTGCAAAAATACCCTCTTACTGTTCGATTGCAGGAAATTCCGATGGCGGCTCTACCCGTAAACCTTTCCCAGACGTGATTCCACGTTTTGACACAAAAACAAACTCACGTTATGCTTCCTACAATCAAAACACGAGTGAAGACAATTATACAGCACTTGGAGCAGAAACTGCAACAGATAACCAAACCTACTCATCGCTGCAGTTTGAACGCGACCAAAGCGAAGACAGTCTATCTCAAGGGCACCCATATGCTGTTATTGTCCCTGAGGAGGAACAATACATGCCAGTAGCAAATTGCGACAGTATTTCTGGGAATGTAATTGAAAACCAATCCGTCTGTAGTACGATGCAGCCAGTCTACCAAGAGCTGCAAAAAGAACACGATTCGCCGTCTAATAATCAGGGATATCATCCTTCTTGTGTCGTGGCTAACCATGCTGCATTCATAAACTCACAGCCTCATTTGTATGAAGGGGCTCCTCAACAGCCTCTTTACCATGTCCTGGAAGACAAATCCGTGGCTAACCCCGGTTTAAAAGGAAATGTACAGATTGGACAAGAGTATTTGCAACCGCAAGCTTCAATTAAACCACCACGTGTCTCGCCTAAGCCGCGTGCCCGGAAGACCGTAAGCGAGGGACATAATAACCGGAATGCAGAATATGCCACATCGCATTACATTCAACCAAATCCTGTGAATGAAACTTTTAAAAAGAGTTATAGCCAGTCTCAGCGCTATCAGAAACCGAATATTGATTCAGTTGTTTCCGATTCCGCGATTTATATGACGGCGTGCGAAGGAGTGAATGGAGAGGACCGAGCCGCAGAGAATGACGCCACGGCAATGAAATATCAACCAATCACATCAGACGATGCTGCATATTTGGCAATAATGAATGGAAATTAGACAGACTGACATTGGAACATAATGGAGAAAACATTTCTCAAAATCTGTGATATCGTAAAGATTCTCTTTATTTGTTGAAAAATTTTCACATGGCGTATTAACTGTTCGAAACGCATGCCCAATCATGTTCCTGCAATTAAGGCAGCCTTTCAACTAGCCTGGGTTAAAACATATCTGGGTTAAAAGTTATCCGTTTTTAAAGTGAGTCAATGGAAACGGCATTTTTTTCGACCCGTTTTAATTCGGAAACGCCATTTTTCTTCGATCGTTCCCACTAAGCCGGGTTAAAATGTATCCAGGGTGAAAAGTTGTAAGAGAAATCAGTATTTGCATCAAAAACCCTTCAATTTCTATCATTGTAGGCCAATGGAAGCAACATTGACATCCAGGACAGGATTTTGTTTTTTTTATTTTTGGCGGCATCTCAATTTTCAAACGTTGCTGTTGTTGCAAGTGGGTCAGAAGTTATCCGGGTTTCGGCGTTTCCATTAACTCGCAGGTGGGTAAAAATACCCGGGTAAAAACTGACCCACTCTGAGACCCGTTTTCAAACTTATCCGCTTTTCAAGTGGGTTGGTGGAACCGGGACGCAGAAACGGATAACTTTTAACCCGGATATGTTTTAACCCAGGCTAGTGGAAAGGCTGCCTAAAATTGCGTTCAACATATTTGCATGGAAGTAAATTGCTTGTTGCTGTTTCTATAATTCTTTGTAATACGAAATATTAGGTATTCTGGATTATGAATATCAGTGACTTTGTAGAAAAAAAAGGCCTATTTGGCTGGCTCGTGTTTGCTCGGCTTCTATCAGGTTGAATATAACGATTCCAGCCAATAATAGCTTTCCTTTTAGCTGAATTATTCACATTCTTGAAAATATGATTTGGTTGGTTTCTGCTTCTTCTATACAGCCCAGTTTGCTAAAAAGGTCTTTGTGTCCTTTACTACTAATACCAGCATGTTAGGGAAGAATTTCTTGGAAGAGGAGGGGGATTTTCTTAGAACCACACCCTTCGCAGGAAACGTATCTCTTGTTAAAAATGTTTTAGTTGTTTTTTTATCTGAAAGACCGAGGTGGGTGCTCAATTTGGGGGAAAATTTTGTTTCTAATGCTGGAAGGGATATGCTAAATCATGCGATTCTGATATCGGGCAGCATTTACCGGAAAACCCAGATTGTGCAAAAAACTATAATGGCGACAGGTTTTGGATAATTGGTAGAGCCAGATTGTCGTTCTATCTAGCATTTTTAGAATCTATCTACTTAAAAATGACAACCCTTCCATCGAAATCTACCCGAGAGCCCTGCTTGTGTCTTTACGACAATTCTAAAAAATATAATTTAATTATGTCAAATTATTTATAATATTTGGTATGGATAAACGATCATAAAATATTTGATGGTAATGCTTTAGTATACTCAAATGTTTGCTTTTTTCAAAGCCATTTTATAAACGATCATGTTGGTATATATAATAATGAAATAATTTTAGTAACAAGTTTGTTCTTATTGATCTTTCAACACAGCAGTTAAAAATAAAAGATTTTTTTCTTTATAAGGACGCATAATCTAATATAAAAGTATTTTTGTCACAGACATGTAGTTTTAGTCACAGAATCGTTGTTCGTAGCAAATGATTTCTGGCTTTGTGACACTGGCAAGTGAAAAGGGTATCGATCACCATGAATAACTTTTAGGGAACAAAGAATGGTGTTAGAAAAGCTTTTACTGCATGAGAGTAGTATTCATGAAATGAAATCACCAGTGTTCTTGGGGCTGTAGATCTAGGGAGCCTTCCAGTCACCAACCACCACCTCTCTCCCAGATGATGTGCCCCTGTTGTGATGTCAGGACCATAGCCCACCCACCTTTTTGCGGAGCAAGTAGCTTTAAAGCTGTGGTAAAAGGGGAAAGATCTTCTTGCCCTGGCCCACTTCTTTTGCTAGCCTTGCCACACCCCTCTCACTTTCAAAAACGTGGCTTGAGCCCTGGGTTTAACAAGAAGATAGTGATCATAGCGAGCAATAAACCTTGAATTGAAAAAGATCTAATGTAACCAGACACTAGCTAACACAAAGGTTGTAGGAAAAGACAGAAACTCATTAAATAATTGTGTTCAAGACTTGAAATACTCGTAGTCGACTTTCTATCTTAATTTTGCGTATAAATATATAAATTTTCAGATTCGTTTTCCAGCTATACCGAGGCGTGTCTATTTTTTAGAGGTTTTTCTGTCTAAGTTAAAGTTTATAACCTTTTTTCAATATATATTTATATAGGTCAAAATGGCCTTTAGTCTAATACAAAACAACATAACGTTAAACTTTAATCGCCCACACCTGGAATTTGAATTTGAATTTAACGGGAATTTGAATATAATTAAAAAGTTAAACTCTACATATCATGAATTGAATCAAATTAGAAAAAATGGGATAGGATCGAATCAAATGTTGAAAAAGCATTAATTATTACACCAGTGACAAATCACAGTTAAACAATCTTGATTTATAACTGAAACTGATGTCAAATGACATAATTAATTATGTTATGTTAATTATGTTAAATCTATGCGATTGAATTTGTTTCTGCTGTGTTGAAGTTTCTCACACTTACAAAATGCAACTGTCATTTTTTTAACCAGAAGCTTTTGTATCAATATTTTCTCGACTCGTCAAATAAATTTGTCTTTTTCACTAAATGTAGCTATGTTTGGATACTTTTTATTAACAAAAATAAGCGGATTATCTTTTATTCTTCGGTACCATTACGAAATTAAATTCATCCTCTCCGTGATTTTAAGAATTAGATTTTCAAAATGCAAAAAGTCTGTTTAATTTCGGTACAGGATTATAAGTGACTTTGTTTGATATACTTCCTTTTATTTTTGCTTCTTGAAATCAATAAAGTAAATATTCAAGGGCGTATATTCCCCTGCCAGAGTCACCTCTAGCTATTGTGCTCGGGGATTGGGTGTCAAGGCCCCATTTGCCGTCAAAGGGGTTAGCCATCTTTTATCAACAGAACATTTTTAAAATTCGCCGATTATCCTCCTGGATGGAAAAATCCTCGTTTTTGAAACGGACTTTTTCGACGACGCCCACACACGCCCCCTCCTCAAAGCTCCGACCCTGGACACTATAGCAGACATATACCTGTGTGGGTGTGCTTCGCTAGGGATTCAGTTGTATCCCTCCTCGTCCCTCTTAGTTTGTGTCAGTGTTGGTGAAAAGTTTAAGCATACACACTCTTTGCATAAGAATACCCAGTTTTTTGCCGAGTCTTAGATTATTCTCAAATTATTCTTATTTCTACAGTGTAATGTAACACTGAGTCGCTTTGTAGTGCCTAATTCTTGATGGAGCTTGAGCTTTGCATTTTCTTGAATTATTCTTGAATTTCAGCGATTTTCAGCCTCAATATTCTCAAAGAGTTTATTCAAAAATTGCATTTTTATATGCATTTATGCCATATAAAGCTGTATACATTTGCCATATAAAGCTATATGCATTTGCGATGGCTGCTTTTACATTTTCTCTGGTGCTTACATCCGTTTAGCTTGACTCTACTTTAGTGCTCATTGTTCAATTTACAAGATTATATCCTGTAATCCTCCACTACCTTTTACTCTCAACTGGCATCATCTTTTGGACAAATTTCTTGCATTGTCTTTCGCATGCCGCAACTAATTTGAAAGCCTGGAAGGGGAGCCAAATAAAGACATCGTTTCAAGTATAGCCAACATGTCGTAACTGCGCAAATATGCAGGCAGAATAATTACAATGCTGTCAACATGTCTTATGTGATGATGAGAAAAGCAGAAGACGATGCAATTTTCTTTTGTTAGCCTCCGGGGAATTCTCAAGCACGATGTTGTAGCAAAAAGGAAACTGCAAGAAGTCGGAATTCCGTTTTGTTACTTTGAACTGTATGCAGAAAATGAAATGAGAAAATGGATTGGAAGTTATGTTTTCGTTGGTTTATATTGTTGGTGCCCTTGCTAATTCTCAGATGTCTCGCACAAGATGGTAAGTTTCCATTCGTCTAAGCTCGGTCTAAGCTTCCGCGTGTTTATGAAATGTTTCAGACATGTTTCAGACATGGCTACATATTTGCTGTTTCACGTTTGCAAAGCTCAGAATTATTCAATAATAAGCAATTTTTCTGAACTACCTTAATTTTGCAAGTTTTGCAAGGAATCAAACACCTGGTTAATTCACAAAATGCAATACGATCTACAAATGAAAATTAATTAAAAACTCTACCTCAGTCACACCCGATATCTTGGTAAAAATTGGTAAACAAACAGGTAACAGTATGTTGAAACAAATAGATAATGCAAAAATCTATTTTTTCATCAGGTCTTTATGCTGAAACCTGCATCATTTATTTCCACAAATTCCGAAATAGATCCTAGACAGAAATTTGAAAGCAAGCAGGCAAATTGAATAAGGCTCTGTCTGTCTGGCTTTTTATAAAAATGCAAGGTATTGTTGAGTTGGTCAGGGTAGTAAGGAACATAAGGCTCTTTCAATGGAAAATTAAAGAGCTACTTAGGCCTATTACGTTTGCTAGTAAGTCTGGCAGTTGTTCAACCCATGCTTGTTTACATTTGGGTTCTTGTAGCAATTATGGACGTGAGTTATGCACTAATGACTTTAATTAAAATTCAATCGAAGGAAACACAACATTAGGCCTGTTATCTGCACCTTTGAATTTTGCCTCAATTGTACGTGGGAGTAAAAATACGCATGTTGTTAATTGACACTTCCGTCTTATTTGTTTACATTTTAAGTTGTGAATTGTGAGAGATGTTTCCGGAAATGCAGTTATGTTGCGATGTTGCAAGTGCGACAATGCATTCTGGGAACGCGCCTTCCCATTTCTGCGGGGCCTGAAAGCGCTTTTCGCCCCGGAAAAAGTTGCTTGCAATACAATACAATCTAGCAACTGAAGTTAAATAAGCCGTTTAAGCATCAGATCTGTTAAGCGTCCCTATAGCAAAAAAATTTAAATAAGTGCGGGCATATGAAAAGCCACAACAAAACCCCGCGTTTTCATCCTTGTTTATCTGAAAAAGATTTACGGAGCTTAAGGGTAGGAAGGATCAAGGACCAAGATACCGGGAGGCCGGGGGGCCTTGCCCCCCAAAAAAACCAGCGTTGCACGAGCAAAATAGCTACTTTTATTTTGTAAAATATGGCTGTTGTTACCCTAATTTATCAGGGCTAGGCTTCCCAAACAAAAGTTGTATCTCAGTTTTTGGGAAGGATAGACACTTCTCTGGACTAATTGATAGCTAAATGCTGATCAAAACTGCCTTTAAAAGGAACATTGTCGCTTCTGATCAACCTTTTACTTTGACCAATTAACGAAACTTCAGAATGAATTTCAGTATAGAACAATGCAGAGTATAAACAGGCCAATTTTTAACATACCTAACTGATTATGCGCATTTACGGGTAGTTCATTGTGTTCACAAGTTTATGTTATCAAGAGTAAAGTATTATAATAATGTATATTTTATGACATCACAGTTATGAACTCTATAGCTGGTAATGACAAAGAAAAATATTTTTGCCAGAGGAAAAAGCGCTAGGTAGGCCGTCCACTGGAATTGTCCCATCCTGCAATGAAAATAACGATAAACAATAAGTAGGACATGATCAAGCTACATGTACAGGGACAAAATCTCAGTTTATATCATGTCATAATTTTCGTTCTGCAAGGCATTCTCCATTTGTATTGTATTACACCTAGTCAATTTACGTTGTTTTGCCTATCGAGTTTTCCCATGTAACTATTTTCTCTCTTACTTGCATTGACTATTTTGCATGTTTCATTGTTATTTTTCTTTAAAAGCATGTGAAGATGTACATTCAACGTCAGACTGCCGCATTTACAAGCAGAATGGACAGTGCTCTACGAATCCCTGGTATCGGGAAAACTGCGCCAAAACTTGCGGCTTCTGCCAACCTCTAGGTATGTCAGGGTTGTGTTGCTTTAAAAATTACGATGGAGCCCTCGTGAAAAATTTCCAAAAAGCGATAGCACAAAGCAGGACTAATTTTTGGCATTACAAGAAGAGCTCAGCCCCCTGAACCCCCCCCCAAAGCTCTACGCCCCTGGGTATGATTCCAGAGTTTCGCTTATTGTTGAATTTTGGAAATGTCTGTCGTGATACACTTTGAAAGGGAGAAGAACAAGACTAAACCTTTTTTGCATAGGTCAACTTTTAAACAAAATTTTTGCAAGTCGGATTGTTGATCATTTCAAATAGTTAATGATAAGTGCAACATCAGACTAATTTTGATCAGTTTGTACAATAAGACACTGTATATACACCAGAAAGTGTAATTTTTCACATTTTTCAACGTTCTTTTTTCAAGTTATATTCTTTTTACAGCTAGATTATTCTTCACTCGTCACCCCACTTCTCAAGTAGCAACTAAAGGAGTTAACATAACATTTCAATGCGAAGTCAAATCGTTGGTTCCCAGCAGCAACATAGTTTATTTATGGAAGTTTAACTACTCGTATATTCAAGAGAACGACAGCCGTGGATTTCATTTTTCTCAAGAAAGGACTACACTCCACGTTTTGAATGTGACTGAAAACATCCATAACGGTGCTTATGAATGTATAGCACTTAGTGATGAAATTGGGTCCATTAAAAGCATTCCAGCTACGCTCAAAATGGCATGTAAGATTTCTTAGTTAAAGTTTTTTATTTTTCATTTTTCCTCTGAGATAGAACTTTTCTCTTTCGAATCATAACAATCTCCATATTTTGTGTAAGATCGCTAAAATAGTCTGGGGTAGAGAATGCCCACCTGAAGTTTTAACCCCTTCAAATTATACTCAGATAAAGTATTTGTCTTATCAATAAATTTAAATGGTCAAAGCAGAGACAGTTGACTTGACTATGATGAACTCTTTTCGGTTGACTACAAATGTTCTTCGCTCATTTTCTTGAGTCGTTTCGCTCAGTGGAATGATCGTTGCTTTTGATGCCACAATCTTGAATTTTATTCCGACCAAGCGAGGTATTTATAATCAAGGCAGCTCCCTTGAGAATGATTAACTTCCTACTGTCAGCTTTAGACTGCCGACCAAATTTATATGGTTTAATGCAGTGGCGTAATGGAGGCATCTGGTGCCTAAGAGAAAACACTAAACGGGGTCTCTATTCACGGACTGCAAGAAATTCCGATTCAACGCTGCAGATGTTTTCGTAAACTAGGGAAAGCTTGATAACGAAATTTAAAAGCTTTTTAATGAGGTAAACTTGAGCAAAGATATTCTCTTAAACTAGGAGAAGCCAGGGACCGCGGTACATATTACAGATTGACGGAGCTAAAACGTTTTGGGGGCCTAAACATGCTGAAAACCAAGAGCAGGGCGATTGCTTTTATAGTTTAAAGTATATTTTGGAATTTTGGGGGGGGCTAAAGCCCCTGTAGCTCCCCCACATTCACGGTCTCTGGGGGAAGCTTGAGTTACAGAAGCTTCTGTTGTCGAAATTTAGAAGCTTTTAAATGTGGTGAACTTCAACGAAGTCTTATATTATTGCACATAAAAATAGTCTAAGAGCCCTTTTTGGTCGGGTCCTAAGTTATCGAACTAAGGTGCCCTAAACTGCATTACGTCACTGGTTTAATGGCTCTGGTGAAGGCCTTTATGGCAAAACAAAAGAATCAGCTGACCAGGCTACTCAATAAACCCCCATAGATGGCTAAAAAGTTTTCTCTAGTTCCTTTTTTTATGACCTTATACGAATGTATGTATATCTGTTCATTTATACATTTATTTACATATATATATGAAATAATGGACACAATTTCCTTTTTCGTAATTCAGAAAGTCTACAGATAATTAATTTGTAATAGAAAGGTGACCGAACTAGGGTATAAATTCATTTGAAACTAAAGTTTCGCTCTGATACTCTTTATAAACATGTCTTTCTTAGATTTCAGAACAGACGTCCAGCATCAGAATTTGATAAGAGTCAAGCTAACACAGCCATATATGCTTCAGCTTCCCACCTACAAGTCCTTTCCTGCACCAGAGTTCGTTTGGGAATTCAAAGACAATACAGGAAATTTCATTAGCGTCTCTAGGGATCTCAGCCTATTTGTCACCGAGCGTGGTGATCTTCTCATACCCTCAGTTTCTCGTTCACATCAAACGACGTTTCGTGTCTTCGTCAAGCATAAAACTACGAGTCCAAACTATGCTGCTTCTTTTCTGTTCATTGTTAGAATAATAAGTAAGTTGAGTTTATTTGATTGTCAATTCGAAATGCTAGTATCGTTGGCTTACTCTTGCTTCACACAAGTAGGCTTTTGGATTGCTAGATGGCCTATGGCCTTCTGAAGTACCAATCTTATTTTGTTTTGAGCCTGTCCTGATGGAATCATTTTTAGGCATTAAATGTGCTTCTCTGTCTGCACTTCAGATCTGCCAAAAGGTGGGGCAAAGCATGCCTTTCTTTTCTAAGAATTTCTATATTAATTTAATCTGGCCGAAACAAAATCGAGTCCGAAAGTAGCAAAAGGAGTCTGGGAAAGAAGGAGCCTTTTAATTTGAGCTTATCAACTGATTCACTTACAGTTTTGTTAAGTTACAAATTTGTTAAGTTACAATATGTTCAATTCTTGCATGGTTATTAACAAACTTTAAACAAGCAACATTTGTGTTGGTCATTGTGACATTTTCTTGCATATTTTTGCGACTTTATCGAATAAATTTTGTTCAGAATAAGGAGAAATGTCGAATGTTTTCGATTAAATGAAATTTAAACTCAGGTTAAAGTATTACCGTATGTCCTTTAGTTAACTCCTCGCTCTGATAAACGCACCCTCTACTGACTCCGCACTTTCAGCCAACCATTTGTTAAGAACGCTGCCCTCTGATTAACGCCGCCCTCTATTAAAAGCCGCGTCTTGAAAAGCGGCGTTCATTAGAAAACACTCCAAACAAGAAGTAGCGAATAGTTTATACGCTCACTTTTCGAAAGTTGTGAAAGTTGTTATCTCATATAGACGAGGACTCTAACAAAACCAGGGATATTGACACTCCTTGACATTTCCATAACTTGAACACAACCTTAAAAACTTTTTCACACAATCTTCATTACGTGTTTTTGGAAAATCTCCGCCCTCTATTAAATGCAGCATCCATATATAGGATTTCGTAATAAACGCCGCGGGGTTCTTTAGAGGAAATGTGGTATATGTTTTGCACATTGCACCCAACGGGATCGGCATGAAAGCAAAAGATTGATGTGGCTTTTCGGCCGAGATCAAGTCAGCATTTTAATTAGGTTCTTTAATGGCGGTGTTGCAGAATAAATTGCTTTTTTCAAGCTTTTTATCATCATCAACAATATTTTTCCTTGCAAGTTTGTTGTTATTTGTGTTTAATATTTCAGCCTTTTTGGGTTTGTTCATGTGTCCTTTCAAAGCCATCAATAGTTCTTCAAGGACGCCCTTCTATTGGGTAATTCTTAAATGAAAGTAGAATAACCTTTCTGATTAACCATCCTGCAGTCAAGATTTAAATAATTTTTGCAGGTAACACAGATCCATGCAACGATGCAAGCATTTTCGCCTACTCTACTGCAGAGAAAAGAAATGCATCAGTTGGAGAGAATGTATCATTTGAATGCCTTGCAGTCGCTAAAGACTGTAGGTGAGCGTCACTTCTTTTGTCATCACTCTTTGTCATTTTGTCATTCAGTTCTTTAAGGTCATTTGGCAATGAAATATATAGACGTTTGATGTAATGGTTGGATTAGTTGGAAGTGCTATTTTACAAGTTGGGCGGACTACTAATTACTTACTTAACCAAGGGCTAGGAGATGGCTGTTTTCAACCTTTGAGTGTAAAATTTCACTTTAAATATTTCTTTCACTGGATGGAATTTTGCGGTCTATGTGACGAAACATATAGTATGGCTCTCTCAGCTAGATTTTCACCTTTAAAAAATTTTTTTGTCATGTAAAATTTTTGTGTCATGTATGGACAAAGTGTGTTAGAAGCCGTCAGAGATTTTTCGTGTAAAGTTCCTCTCGACTACCTTGCATGGTTTAGGAGACAAACTGGCATTTATCCGTAGATCGTTTGCTGGGAAATTTTGCACCAGGTGCACATGCGCAGTAGAAATTGATTACGTTGCTGTTACAAACTAACTTATTACACGAAAATACACGAATGACAAATTAAAATGTTATAAAAAAGTATTTTAAGTTTACTTTTTACCTTACTTTTAACTTAAAACTAAGAAAAGATGTCTTATTTCAAATAGAACTTGTGCAAAGAGCATTTTCCGGTCCTTACGTTTTGGTCGCTTTCTATTTTTCTCATTTTCAGATAAAATGATATTACGATTTAGATATAATCGTAAAATCTGGCTTTTTTCAGTAATTTTGAAAAGTTACATGAAATATTAAAGCGGGATAAAATAAACGGATGTTTATTTAACGCTAGACATTTAATGGCGGATGAGAAATTTATGCAATCATGAAATTAGCGTGGCTTTAATTAACGGGGAATTTTTCAATGGATTTTTCGTGTAGTAAGGTACTTGCAAAAGAGCAAGTAGCACCACGTGGAGGAAGCATTTTTGTCTCTTGTGGGAAGTAAGATGATTGACAAAGGTTGTCATGTGAAGAGTGAAAATGAAACTCGGGTTAATGTGATGCAAGTTATTTTCGATTAATGCTATGAAGTCAAATGAGATGGCATTTTTTTCCACAAACCTTCGCCCTAATGCAGATGTGCATTTTTTTATACCTCTTCGGACAAATGGATAAAGTAATTGCCCCATAGAGTAGCTTATTTTACTGTTTGCGTAGCAATACAGTTCAATCAAATATCCTTCGTTGTATCAAATCTAGAGTTACGGCTCAAGTAGTTGTTACTTAAGGAATGTACCTTTTTCGTTGTATCAAATCTAGAGTTACGGCTCAAGTAGTTGTTACTTAAGGAATGTACCTTTTGATCTCCTCCAGGAAGGTGGAGGGGGGGGGGAGGTTTGTAATGCACTTGAATACATTTTTTAACGGGGAGGGGCCACAGATCCCATTATACCTAATCATGATTTTGATTTAGATTAAAATATGCTCACTAAAAGTATCCATTAGTTTGTGCCAATTTTTATCCAAAGTATCCATTTATTATTATGGAAATTTTTATATGCTAAAAATGAATTTATAAGCTATTGAGAGAGTCATGTACCCTTTGCGGGCTCTTCTTTCCTATTTATCGTATCCACGTAATTTAAGCCGCAACAGGTGCCTTTTTAAAAACTTTGGCGGTTTTTGACACTGTAAGGCGCTGTAAAGAATGGAAGCAAACACTTAGTCGGTGCACCTTTTATTTCTTGTGTTTCCTATAGATTTTCAATGGCTGAGATGGCAACAATATATCTACCACTTATTTTTTAAGCTCTTATTTCAGCTTCTTTCAGCTCTTATTCAAATTTAAGCTCTTATTCTTAAGTTTTTTTCAAATTTACTGACTTAAAAGACAATATTGTAGTTTTATAAATGAAATTAAACTCTTGATAGGAGCCAAATTTCGATCACATGGACAAAGCAAAACACAGGCAATCACATTTCAAGCAACAGAAAAATTTCCTTTAATGATGTGCAAAAGGATAAGGAAGGAATTTATAATTGTTATGTGGAGGTCATTGGACAAGGAAGTTCCCAACAGTTTTCATTTAACCTTCGAGTCATCGGTAAGTCAGGTGTTTGAATTTGATGACATATAATCAGAATTTTACAGGATTTCTCTTTTTGTCACATGATGAAAGTTATGTATGTTTTCGAAACATGTAAAGGCAGTTTGATTCCGGGGAAAGTACATCATTTTGATATATGAACGAATGGATTCATTTAAGAGCAGCTTTCCTGTTTAGAGGAAAACTGTTTGTTTTCACGAGGAAGAAGAATGATTAAAAATGCGAAGGCTTCTTAGTTTAATAGTTTTCTTTTGTTACAGGGCCTATTTTAGTGTGCAGTATTACACACTTTGTGCAGTATTAATTTAAAAATGTGCAGTATTGATTTCGAAAATGTGCAGTATTGAATTTTTGGGATTTGTGAAAATGTCTAATTGCCGCTATCCCAGATTCTCGCTTTGTTCACAAAATGTGAATTTCCCCCGTCAGTTCGATATAGAGGTCATGTATTGCAAATCTCGTATGACCATCGGAAAGACTCTCTAATCAAAACTTAAAAAAAACGAAATGACTAGAAATTTCCAAAAATTGCAACAACAAAATTTCCTATAAAAAATGTAGTTATAAATGTGCAGTATTAAAAATTTCTTAAAATAGGCCCTGTTTTGTTAAGCGACGTAAGTAGTCGGCTAATGCACTTTCATAAAGATTTAGATGCATTTTCTTGAAGGCTAGAATTCTGAATAAACCTCCAATATCTAACAGTGCTATTCTATAACAAGATATTTTTAATGATACTTGTTTAAGTTACTTTAAAAGAAATAAAATACAGGAAATAGTTGGTGTTTTGCAAAAGCCTCTTAAAAATTGCCAGTGTAAGAAAAGTTAAAGCCTTGGACATGTGGAGAACAAAAACCCGATATAAGGTTTTTGCAACTAAATCTTTTAAGGGGCTTGAAGAGTCTGGGAAAAATCCGTTTCTGGTAATCCTGTAAGAAGCGAGTTCTATAAGACGCGATCAGGCGGGCACCCAGTAAAGGCGTACATCTAGCATAAGCCCCAAAACTGATTGCCGTAGATAGATTTTACTGTTAACATTTGCAGCCAACCCCAACCCCCAAGACAGTGGCCTGGTCTCAGTTGTGACCTGTTGCAAAGATAGTCGCTGCGCGCAACGCGTCTTACAAAGTCTTTTTACCGGCCCTTCACTGATATGTGCGCCACCCCATTAGTGCGCCCCTTCAGTAATCGTTGCGAGACAGGTTGTCGTGCTGCCGTGATAAATTGCACCTTGTAACAGAAGCTTTTCTTGCATCAGAAATTATGAAGCATTGGAAATGAATCAACTTGCTTGGCTTGAAAATCATTTCCCTCCAAAATGTTGAACTCGTTCTATTTTCTTGACAATTTACTGCGAATTAACTGTCCTAAACTGTGCATGCACAGATCTATTTCTCTGCAAATTTGTTTTTAAATTTTCCTGCGTACCCACCTTTACTCATGATGAACGGAGGGATTACATGAAACTGCATGTCAAAACCTTGACTCTCTCTCACCTAGAGTTTTTCACATTGGTGGCCAATGCGTCAGCCATCAAGTGAATCTAGAAGCTCAATAATATATTAAAAAGCAGGCCAAATGTGTAAAGTCGGTAAATCTTTAAGGTTTTGCAGAAGACTCTAATGAACATTTTCAAGGTGGTCTATGATAATAAAACTATTCATGTTTGTCAATATGCATAGCGTTATGATCTAAACTTCGTTTGACAACATGTGACCGTTAGTATATTTTGGCAGAACTCGTGTTACACACTACATTGCTCGTTGATAAGCAAAGCTGAAAAAGAAAAGCACTCTTCGTTATATCAAATCTTTGAAACGATTCAAATAGTTCTTATTTAAGGGAAAAAGGCTTACCTAAAAATTTCTATAATACCAGTGTTAGATTTCAAAGGCTATTTGCAGGGTTTCCAGTCTATTTTCATTACATGTTGCAAATACGAAACCAAATCTTTTCTTTACCCACGAGCAACCAGAAATTAAACTTATCGGTGAATTTCTTATGAAAGCTAAAAGATTCGAAAAATTATACTCAATGAAATATTTTTATTTTCCAGAGAAACCAAAACTCACTCAGGCCACCAGCGCAAGAGTTAATTTGACCTCCGCAGGGATACTTCATCCTGCTACATTTAGCAGGGTAGCGTCGTTTTCCTGGTACAAAGATGGTGAGATCATCAACAACCACTCCAATTTATTTAGAGTGTACGCAGACCGGCGACTGAAGGTTTTAAACCCGAGCCGCGGTCTTTCCGGCTTGTATCAAATTTTTTATACGAATGAGGCTGGGACAGTTGACGTCACGCAAGAGGTTTCGGTGCCTTCAGGTAGGCCCAAAGATATCCTATTTCAGTTCATCGCAGTTGATGTCAATAAATGAAAAACACTGTTTTGATCTTCAATTCATGCTGTTGATACTATATTTTATATCTAATTATCATGGTATCTGGTAGGTGTTTGTATTCGGGTCTTTCTCGTGATTCACCTTAACTTGGCAGTTTAATTCGGTTCTCTGATAGTTTAATCGGGCCAGTTTCATCTTACGTAGGATTTTCAATAGTACGACTGTTATCTGGCGAATAGTAAATTATTTGATTAAATGGTCTGAAAAAAGTAAAGCTTTGAAATATGCTTGAGAATTTTTTGTCACTCTTTAGAGTATAAAATGTCTAAATAATATTCGGAAATGTCCAAGCATTGCCGCTTATCAAAAGAAAATATCTTCATTGGTGTCCAGTCAGAAATTAAACTTTTCAAGATGTGTAGCAATTAAGGTTGCCTATTACTTCGAAATTCTGTTGATTGGAAAGGCTACTAACTTTTTGTGGAAAAGCTGATAAATGTTTTGGCCATATTATATACTGATGCCCACATTCTGGAATCATGGCTTTTTCGTAACTAGCTCCATTGGTATATGACCAGTGGCTTTTTCACTGCCATTTCTGATTTTTTAATATCTTTCATTATATCGGCTTATTGATTATACTATTCTAATCTGTCTTCATTTGTTATTAGTTGGTTGCGGGTGGACCACATTTGGCGCTCACGGAACCATAGAATTCAACAACGCTGGTGGAACCAACCTGGGTATCGGTGCCATTTGTACTTGGCTTATCCGGTTGCCGTCTTCCATAGAATATGAATTTACATTCACCGAAATGGACTTTCCGGAATCGCGATTCAATTGCAGTGAGAAAACTCTGTCGATCTATTCCGGATCGACAGCTTCCACGGCTCCAATTAAAAGCTACTGCGCAACCATTGCGAAACCGATACCCACTGCTTACGTCAATGGGCCATTCGTTACAATCTTGTTGATGTCAAAGAGTGGAAACTTTAAAAACGACAGATTCGTTTTAAAGTATGGACCCGCGGGGCAAAGTGAGTCACCATAACGTAATTTTGCAGAGCTTAAATAGTAAACCTAGACGTTAAGTATGAAGTGCTATATAGTTATCTACCACGTTAATTGTACCGTGTACATGTGACGGCCTTGTTGCCCTTGGCTACCTCTGTTTTCTGAGATTGCTTCTCATTACACTACGAGACTACGCTATGAACCGGCCTACCGAGAAAGGGTAAGGGGAGCAGATTCCCCAAGGCCCCTAATTGAGAGGGGCCGCAAAAAGCTTTATCAACATTATCAACATATCAACAAGTTCCTGGCAATATCAACATTAATAACAAACACAGATATAATGACGTCATTACGGGCTCAATTCCATCTTTCTCATTGCCCCAGTCCAAACGGCTGTCGCCGGGCCTGGCTTTAAGTAGATTAGGCCTTGTGCCAATCTCTTGCGAAGTTTGCGCTTAGATAGAACTATTTCCTGTAATCGTTCTTAAAAAGATGTGAACTTGATTCTCCTTTGACGCTTTCATGCTCAATAAGTCATTCTTCTTTGTCCTAGAGGTGTCAACTGGTACTCCAATCAAAACAGTCAGTTCAGTTAGTAGCGATACCCTGTCGGTCACCAGCGCAATATCACGCATGACCAGTGCCGCAATCCTATCTACTACTTTAATAGCGCAGAAAAAGAAAGCAATGAAGGAAAGTGAGTAAACTTTTTGTATTATCATTGGCAAAGAAGAAATATTTTCTGCTTGTGGTTTCCATTGAAACATGTAGCTTGGTTTCAAAAAGAGGCTGGTAACAGCTATAAGAACATTTCTCTTTTGAAAATAACACGTAAAAGCATGAAAGCGCATGAAAGTAGTTTCCGACACTCCTCGCAGTTTAAAAGTTTAATAATCACCAAAAGTAAGCAGGGATTTAGGCCGTGTTCACACGTAAACGAATATTTTTGAATCCGCAAACTTTCTATCTATGAAGATCCAAAAAAATACGCGTCCCTACTTACTGTATTCAAATAAAATTCAGCTATCACCATGCATTTGCATGTATATTCTCCTTTCGAGGAAAGCACTGGAAGATGTTTGAAATGAAGAAAAAGGGAAAATGTATAAAGAGAAGGGAAAAGAAAGACTTTTCGATAAAATCATAATAAAGTTGTTATTAATTGTAAATAAATGCCATTGTCAAAGCGAAGGAAACCAACCTGAGAAGTCAACAACGATGCAATGATTGAATTTTGGCGCCTTTGAACCATCCGCGCTTGCGCAAAGCTGATAATGTTGGTTCAGGGGGTCAGACGATCCAACCTTTCACCCAACATTTCTTTAATGTATACTTTACAGTATGCTAAATATAAAATATGGTATGGACTAATTCCAGCTATTCCATAATTCTTCTTTCAACCACAACCCCTACTGCCCCATCCCGCTTTTATTACTTTACATTTTAATAGATTTTCTTCAATTTCCCTCTAAAAACCTTTTTAGCTTGATTTCCATCGTAAAGATCCTGTAGTCTCTTGAAGCTTGTCTTAAAATCTAGCCTTAAACTTTATTCTAAATGCCAGAAATCCTTTTTGTTCCCTTCATTCTCTCTAAATCGAAGCGCCACTAGCGACGTTCAATGTCTAAATATTTGTTTGCTGTTTTCACAGGCAGTTTGCCAATTGGAGCCATTCTTGGAGGTGTGTTTGGTGGTCTGGTATTTTTTGCTGTAATTGCGGCAGCCTGCTTTAGGTATGTTTTTGTGTCTCTTTGCTACTTAAAAAAGTCCTACTCTCTGACCTGTTGCAAGATGCTCGTAAGAATTGAGGACGACAGGATCAAAGTGTTTTGATCACGCCCTTTTTGATATCAGAAGACACTCTTTAACGAATAGAGAATGTCAATACTTATTTTGGTAACGTCATGGCAAATTCAAAATTGTAGAAAAATAAAAAAATGGGTTGCTTTTCCCTCATGCCTCCACAAAATTCTCTTCGAAAATAGACGAGTTGCGAAACCGATCAGAGAACTTGTGAGACTGTTCTCCCAATCCTCCATCTATTACGCCTCCCGATTTATCAATTAACCACTTCTAAAACATGGCAGACTCAGAAAAGACGAGTAAACTCGAAACACAGTAAACCAAAAAACAATATCGGTTGTTGAAACACAGCCTTCAAGATTCACTGCCGGACAATGCTGTATTAATTGCTATTTCCAACTGATTTCATCAACGTCTGCTAATTCTGTCTATGTTTAACAAATATATTTCGACACTACACCCACAGGTGCATAAAAATATCACTATGATGAATCTAGGATCATCAAGGTACTTTTAGGCTTAAGCGAAGAAATTAATGTTCACCTAACTCTTATCTCTTTTGATGATCTGCAACGAGATCATTTATCATCTATAAATATAAAAATCTTACGTCAAAGCCTTGGTTTGAGTCTACAAGCGATGTTGACAAAGAGTTGATCTATTGTTCAATAGTAAAGTACACATTCATTCTGTACCATACCAAGATCAACGGATGTGTGCTCCGGACCGTGCCTTACAGGGCCTCTCCAGCCAAATTTTGCACTTGCATTTAATTGGCTACTCTAGAGAAGTTGAACCTGCTGATCACGATATCGTTATTTGTTTTTCGATATTTTTTACAGTTTATGAGATATAAGCTCTTGCATTTCGTCGTGACACAGCATGGACACATTCCGACCCGCAAACTTAGAATGATTGTAAACATTTAATATTTGTCGATCCTAAAAAGCTCCTGCTGTAGATTTAGATGCAATTATCAACGCGTGACCATGATTCCTTCACGATTCGGTGGAAGATATACGAAATTCATGGCGAACGAGAGCCGCACACTGTGACGTCAGAATGTCACCAAACTGATTCGGATTTTGTCGTTTTTTTCTCGGAAAGGTGCGACTTTAAAGCCTTATAACTTCTAAATTGATTTGAATTTTGCAAAAATAACGACTTTGCCATAATACACGCACCAGATGCTAACTTTTTAGTCAATAAAAAAAAATTTTTTTGGCTGGAGAGGCCCTTTAAGGGGTGTAGCACTGTAGCAACACTTATTGGCAGCTCCTTTTGGAATTCATGATTTACATTTGATTTCGACAAATGTTATAGGGGTTGCTAAAGGCTAAGGCCTGTCAACAAACAGTGGTAGCGCCAGGGGAGGGCCAGACGGGCTACATCCCCTCCGTCGGAAGCATCTAGCCCCCTATCAGAGGAAATTTTAGGTTATTGTCGGAGCAAATTTGACAAATAACGTACGAAAACTGCATATTTTAGTCGTTTTAGCTCCCCTGTTGGGAGCTCTAACTCCTCTATCGGAAGGTTTCTGGCGCTACCTCTGTCAACAAATCTTGGATGATTCGTTCACTTCAATGTACCGACGAATGCTTTGTTTAAAAAGAGTCCCTGGACATTTGTGAAGTCACAGCCAGATAGTCTAGGATTCATATTTTCTCTGCATAAGAACTGGAATCCTGGTTCTTTTCAGCTATGATAAGATACATTACTTCATTTATAGTCCCTCGAACCTTTTCAACCTTATTGAGAAGACAACTTACAAGCGCTTAGGGGTTTATAAACGAACGTTGTTGAAATTCTGCATCATTTGTTATCTTGTTGCCAACATCTTGTTGCCATACATCATCCATTGTACTTGCCTCTTAATGTTTCATGTTTCACTGATCAAATCTCCTCCTCGCTGCTTTCGACTGTCAAAATTGTTCACATTGTTGAGCTACGTCTTAGTCAAATGCTTGGATACTGCTAACCTTATTTCTAAGCTACTCCAAGTATTAAGTTGTGTTCTCGCCGCTTTAATGGATCATCTTTCGGTTTAATGTTTTCTATTTGTAAACCAATAAACCGTTTCCATTGATATTGGATCACCCTTGGACATGGGTGGAGATTCAACATGGATATTGAAGGATATATAGCAGATTCTTATGATATTGTGGTTTGTGCCCTGTTTGTCTATCCGCTCTTATAATTTGCATTACTCCAACTAAAACTGCCTTGCATTGGTTTAGAGACCAGTGTGTTTGGATGTTTCCAAGTTTCTGCCATATCGTGACAAAGACTTGGAGATCTTTAGCAAATCCTTTGCAAATTTTGCAGATTTTCAAACGTTTCAATCGGCTGGTTCAGCATTTAAGCGTTTTAATTTAGCTGGTACAGCACTGTACTTGATTTCGTGTAAAATAGTACAAACAATAAAAACGAGCAGAATCAAAAATCAACCACACATTCTTCCATAACCAGAGTTTTACAGAACATTTCAGCCCTTGCTAAACAGAAATTGAGTCTTTTTGTCTCAAGTTGGTACAATATCTAGCTACTCTAAATCTCAATTTTAATTAGGAAGTCTGTTTTACAAAAGTGATTTAGCAAAAAAGCTCGGAATCGTATCCCGTTTTGATTGTCATAGGTATTTGAGCTTATGGGTAAGATCATAAAAATTCTCCAAAATTTAGCGATATCCCCCCAGAAATGTTCTATTCTTTATGTTAAAATGCTTCAAGTAAGTAGATTCTATAAGCCCATGCTCCAAGAGACCTGGAGTCTGTTTTTCAACGTTAAAGAAACTCTTGAAAACTAGACAGATCTCAGTAATCTTTACGAATCCCTGTTGACCCGTTTAGAGATCTGCTTAACTTGTAATAAATCTTTTGTCTCCTACTACATTAAGAATCATGAACATCCATACTATTAAATAAAGAGGGAATTCTCTGTTATAGAATGTTGCAACACTCGTTCACTGAGCTGAGACAACCCTGTCTGATGAAGTCTCGTTCACTGTTAAATCTGGAGATGAGACTGATTAGTATTAGACATATCAATACATGTATTAACAGTTAATATCTTGCTAATGCTTTTTCTCGTCAATTCCAGGAAAGATTTAACGAAGCGGATCACAAGACAGAAATCGTTGCAAATACAAGCGAACATGGATTCCTTGCCTCGTTTTGAAGTTGCTAGGAATGGCGTCATCAACCAAATCTATGAAGGTACATTTGGTTTTTGCATAACTCATCTTGCATTCTAAAGGCTATTTCTTCATCATTGTCATCCCTTTTTGGCTTTTATGGTGCATATTTTGGGTAATTGCTAGGCCTTATGCTTCAAAGTGAAGTATTTGAATGCCAAGTATTTATGATATCTAGAAATATGTAGCAAACATCAATCAAAAGAATTTCGAAAGCAACATTTGTAGTGCTTTCTATCGCTTTACGGTCTTCTTTGGTACAGTTTTTTGGAATTCTAATAATTCAGCTATCAAAATTTGATTTTGACGCTTACAATTTAGTGCAATTTAGTGTAAAATACGGATTGCTTTTCTTGAATTAACATAAATGACGTCACTGTTAGTCTGTACTCTAAATTATTCAAATTTAAAGGATTAGTAATGCTGATGTCCATAAATACTTAAATGATTTTATTCATATTTTTGAGCAATAAGCACGGGTTGTTTCAATTTATCCTATCATAGGTTAATTCTGGATAGAAAGATTCATGTTCTCTTGTAAATTGCCTTGTAAATCGTATAGTACCATGCGCAACCGTTTTGCTGACAAAATTTGTGTTTGACATGCTTGTAAACACGGCCTAGATGAAATGATCTGTGCATGTATGAGTGAGCGATGAATCAACGAATCAACGTAAAAACGAATTCAAAAGTTAATACTGAAATGAGTGGTCAATTATAGGAGTGAATAGACGAAGAAATTTATGGATGAATGATCGCATAAATTCTTTTTTCCTGAAAATTTTCACTTGCAGTCCTAAGAGAAGACCCCACTCTATGTCTATGCCGAAGCCCAACTTAGAACTCCCATTTTATACCATACAGGCGTGCCAAAGAAAACTCAACAAAAGGGGAATCCCTTGAAGCATGAGGTCCCGGATTCAAACTTGGATTACGATGCTGTTGGTGCTGTATTAAACAGTGGGTTTCAAAATTCGCCTCAAGGTTTGAGCTCTGCTTTTTACAGTTTTAGTTTTAATAAATCTAGACCTACAGTGCTGTCTAGCCAATTCACTTGTAAATGCGTTGAATACCCGAAGCGCGACAGTTGATGCAAACCTTTTTTACCACAAAGGAAAGAGTTGGATATATCGTTATAGCATAAAACAGAAAGAATTGTTTCTGCTACACATATCTTATTAATACTCTCAGATATAGTCAAGTACCGTTCATTCTAAGTAGAAAGTTTTCTCCTTTTATAAATGGAGTTTTTAAGGTAAATGGAAATCTACTTCTTTCCATATACTCTGCGTCTTCTTACGTAAGATCTGCGTCTTCTCACATAGGATCTGCGTCTTCTCACGTAAGATCTGCGCCTTGCAAGAAATATACTGCGTCTTCTGATGTAAGATCTGCGTCTTCTCAAATACGATCTGCGTCTTGCAAGGAATATTCTGCGTCTTCTCACGTATGATCTGCGCCTTGCAAGAAATATACTGCGTCTTCTGATGTAAGATCTGCGTCTTCTCAAATACGATCTGCGTCTTGCAAGGAATATTCTGCGTCTTCTCACGTATGATCTGCGTCTTCCCAAGAGTATGCTGCGTCTTCTAAAATACGATCTTCTTCTTAGGAGTATCCTTCGTCTTCTTACGTACGACCTGCGTCTTCCAAGAAGAATACTGCGCCTTCTCATGTAGGATCTGCGTCTTCTTAAATAAGATCTTCTTCTTCTAAGGAGTATTCTACGTCTTCTTACGTAGAATCTGCGCCTTCCAAGGAGTATACTGCGCCTTCTCACGTAGGATCTGCGTCTTCTTAAGTAAGATCTGCGTCGTCTTACGTAAGATCTGCGCCTTCGCGCGTATGATCTTCTTCTCGACCCGAATATAGGGTCTGCTTCTGTTTTGTCTGTGGAATGCACAAAAAGTGAAATTTTTCATAAAACTGCTCGCAACCAGCACGCCAGCCTTACATGTATACACAATAGTGTTTACGCTAAAGACAGTGTGTTTGATTTATGATAGAGAAATATCAATTTGTCATGAAATCCAGCTGTTGCTCATATTCATCACTGTAAGTTTGCTGCGGACAAGCATAGCTATCTGGCTGGACTGTTTGATATGAAATTCATCTTTCCCATTAATACTCACCAGCTTCAACGAGCTCATTAGGATCTTCTTCCGTCATATCGTTATCTTCATTTTCATCTTGAGCGACATCCTCTTGTGGTTCTTCAACTCCATTCTCCGCTGCCGCGTTCTCCCCTTCTGCGTCTTCCTCTCCCACATCTCCCTCCCCCGCATCATTCTCTCCGGCGTCTTCCTCTCCCGCATCTTCCTCTCCTGCATCATCTTCTACATCTTCTTCCACCGGTTCTTTTGACGTTGCATCTTCCTCTCCTGCGTCCTCAACTTCCGCGTCTTCCTTTCCTGCGTCTTCCTCTTCCGGATCTTGCTCTCCTGCATCATCTTCTCCTGCATCTTCCTCAACTGGTTCTTTTAGCGTTGCATCTTCCTCTACTGCTGCTTCCACTCCCGCGTCCTCCTTTCCTGCTGCTTCCACGCTAGGTCCTTCCAAGTTACTGAGTTCGGCGGTACTCTCTGCTGCTACATCCTGGGACAATGCTCCTTCATTAACAGATGCAGCATTGCCTGTCAAGATTAGCAAAACGTCATGTCGTTTTCATGAAAACATTTTAAGAAAGCATAAAATGTAAATAGTTTTGAAAAAAGCAAACATCTTAAGTCATGCTAAAACTTCTAATCGGACACTCTTCAGAGCGTAAAACGTAAGAATATTGATAAAAAATAGCAATTTAGGTGTAGTTAAGATCGCGCGTTATGGGCGCAGCGAATTAAATTCAGTTACATGCGTCCAAAATGCGCCCGTAGAGCGCTTCAATTTGTTGTTTGGTTTTAGACAGCGAAGCGAATTAGATTGTGTAAAAATTTCGGCGCAAATCAAAAGCAACCTTTTGGCGCCAATTTTTTTCCGTGGTAAAATGCCCCCACCTTGACGAAGATGTATACACCGTTATGGATCGAAATAGGCCACTTAGAAACGTGAGCAAATGATCTTCGATTATTCAGTTTTGATTATAATAATCCGTTCTTTTGCAAGTGACCAATGACTGATAGAGAATTCACATAGCACACCATCGTCATGTGTAAACTCTGTTGCACATTTCTTTGTTTTCCATAGACTTATCTTTCCCAGATATAGGGTCATAAGTTCGATATGATGGAAATTTTTCTTGAGAGTTTTCCAAGTATGCTTTGTTTACGTGATATGTTCTATTTCAACAATGATTGCTATCAAGGACAATGTTAAATCGTTGCATTCTTCTTGCACGGCCGGCGCCACCGATTCTAAAGTAGGGGGGGGGGGGCACAGAAGGAAGTTATCTATTTAATGCTTAAAAGGGGGATTTGATACCTATAGTTAGCATGAAATGTGGGGGCATGGCCCTCGGTCCCCAGTGGCGCGGGCAATGTATTGCCACTTTTCTTTTATGTTGCTGAGTACCATTCTCGTTTCTGGGCATCGTATCTATGAGCCAATCGTTTATTTTAACATCGAGAAAAACAGGCTTCAGTTGCTTTACGGCTGAAACTTGTCCATAATCTTACCCCCTACTCTTAATTTTTCAAATCAGTAAAAAATAAGCATTTGGTGCTACAAAGCTTGAAAAAAACATGGAAAAGCCATTTCGAAAGAATGTGACGCACTGATTGGTTACTTGTTTTTGACCAATCAGCAACCGTTAATCTCTACGGCCAACCACTAACCTACGGCCAATCAGCAACCGGATACTTGTGGGTAGCCGAGAATGTGGGCGATTGGCAGGTTCGTCCTGTGGGACTGTCTATAGGAAATTTAAAGCTATCCATTGTTATTGCAGACTCGAAGAACGCCTCGCTATTCTTAGGCGTTGTTCAGAAATCCTCTCGGTATCAGTTTGGTTGCATTTGATCGTTAACATTCTGGTCAACTCCTTCCCCTCTTTGACAGAAGTCGAACCCCTCCTTTGTGGACTTATAGCCCCCTCTTTCTCCTTGGCAGAGTCTATAAATATAAGTTTGTTAACATGCTGCGCCCAAATATTAACTTGAAGGAAGTTGACTGCTCATATGTCAAAACATGAGAGGCATCACAGGGCACGATAAGAAAACAGACAATTCCTACCAGTTTCGGTTCGGTTTACAATTTTTTTATGTAGAATCAAATGGAATTACAGTGGAATCCCGATATAACGAACAGTGAGAGGAACCAGAAAAAAGTTCGTTATATCGGGAGTTTGCTAAACCGAGGGAAACGTTTTTTAGGTATTTTCGCAGTTCATTTCGTTGTTCAGGCCTTCGGTGGGCTTGTTTAGGCTATCTCCATCTTCTGTGCACATTTAACCCCCAAAATATCAAGCTGAATTCACATAATACTACTGGTTGGTAATTGAAAATGAAAAACTTAATGTTCATCTTATAATTTGGGATCAAGAGATTGGCAAAGCTGGTATCACTTCACTTCAAGAGCGTATGTTTGGACGATGTTTGAGTCTGAGGCTTTACATTTGCCTTTTACAAAATTTGTAGGCATTTTGTAGAGAATGAGAACCAAAGAATATCTATCCATGTTTTACATTATTGTTTATGACATGCAGCCTGTGATGTATTTTAGAAAAGTGTTAACTCCGTAAAAAGGCTGTTTCTTCTGTTGGCCAGTCTCTGAATCGAAAGGTTGTCAGTGACTATGTTAATGTTTTCGGCATTTATTTGAAAGATTAGAAAACAAACCGTCAATTCATACTTACAGTAGCTTGCGAGGCAAAGGAGCAAAGCGAAGATTGCGATCTTGATCATGTCTTGGCAGGCCTCTTTCAACGCTAACCAAGGGGCACTGCACTCTGTAGACTTGGTCTTTTGTTGTCCTTTATATATGCGTTCCTTGTGTAACCTGAGTCAGTATTTGTTGAGGAGTATACAGAAGGCTCTGGAGGATCCTTTGCAATCTAGGTGGTTGAATTAGCGGCACTGCTGCCCAAAGGACATAACAGGAAAATTGCCCCAAGGACGAAAAAGAGAAATCAAGCAAAGGACAAAACAAGAACAAGCTCAAAGGACAATGTAGGGATATGCCAAAAAGATGAAAAAGGGCGCTGCACAAACGATGAAGTAAGGAAACTGCCTACACGACGAAGTAGGGACTTCGCTCAAATGAAAAACAGGGACAGGGATATGCCTTAAGGGAAAACGGGTCACTGCACGAAGAAAAAGAAGAGGAAAAATGTCAGCAGATTTTCTGCAGGCTTTTCATTGCTCATTGAATTGGGATACATAATCGCTTTAATAAAATTGTTTCAATAATTGAACAAAGCTCGACCCGGTGGCTCAATACACAGTGTGCACTTTCTGTACAAAACTAAGGGTCCCCAAGCATTCAGGCCCCGTAAAGCACATGCATATCGTTACAAAATTTTGTATTTAATTTATGAAAATATAACAGATTGTGAAATTTAATTGATTTTCTCCATGAAGCTAAAAATGTTTTCAAATACATATTCAACCCACATCTGTATGCGCTGGATGGAAATCCAGGAAAGCTTAGATCAAGATCAAAGACAAACTCTCAGGCAACAGAATTTCTCTTCATGTGATGTTTTGGTTTTACAGGAAAACCCCGTAGAGTGAGTACTTAGACTCTAAAACCTCATTTAAGTTTAGATAAGTATAGAAGTTCCAAAACACTACTTTCAATAAGGGCCCCACACTGCTCCGTTACACCACTGGTTAGACGAAACCAGTTTCTGAGCAGCAATGGGTTGTAGATGTTTGCAAACCTGAATAAAGCACACTGCATAATTCTTCAATATGTTCATGCTCGCATCGTTCATTTCCCGCCAAAAAATTTCTGTCCCGACAAATTAAACTTTTGTAGTCAACAAATTTGCTGTGTAGATTGTGTTCCAGTCATTCACCTGCGTGGTCGTATCGGAATACCGCAAATCCTCAATTCATCGTATGCGCGCCCCCCTTAAGCAGTCATAAAGTTGACAGGCGCCCCCAAAAGTGATTTCCCCTCCTCGAATGAGCGTTCTTCGCCCCCATCGACTAAGCATCCTCTCATAGCAGTGTAAAAGTTATTAAGCGCCACTCTTGCATGAGCACCACTTTCTGTTGAATGTGTAGTCTTCTTTTTGCTACATGCAAAAAATTGAATGCCTGAAAGCCTAGGGGGGGGGGGATCCATAGGCCGGGGCGCTCATACAAGAACCCACTGTGTTTATACTCTATAACAGTAGAATTTACGTTGATCTCCCAGACCAGTTAAAAATGCTAGTACTGGAAGATTGCAGAAAACTTATTGATACATCGTGTATTTCATTTGCAAAGCTTTTTTTATAAGGAAGCCTTCCTCTCAATTTTGAGTTAAGATTAAGAAGAATCTCAGCTTATTACGCACTCTTTTAGGCTAACTTTGAAGTCACCAAAACTTTTCATCGTCAGAAAAGTGTTTTTTTTACTATGACCACACTTAAAAAATATCCAACAAAGGCAGGTCATGGTCTTCATGACACTATCAACACTGCATTCTTTTTTATAAGAAACTAAACTCGAGATCAGCACTCTGTTCCTCAATTTTTCTGTTGATTTCAAGGCAAAATGTTTCTTAAAGGTTTCTCAAATGTCAAAAAGCGAATTTTAAAGGTAACACGAGATTACATGAAATAGGACACCTAAGAAGTCACAAAGAGCTCTTTATTCTCCCGTGTCCATTAAACATGGAATAGTTGTCTAATTAATCGAAACAATTGTTTTCATCCCATCTTTAAAAGTAGGATTTTAAAGCAATTTCTCAAGGTTGATCAGTACCATTTTTTCTTAACTTTTTTGGTCACCTAAGGACTCACTAAATTGAAGACCCCAACCGTTGTCACTCATTTGAGTACCAACAATTCTGAGCTGTGGTCTTTTATAAATCAGTATACTGACCAGCAAGGGCAGATTTTGTAACAATAGGTTCTTTGGTTTGTTTACATTTTGTTGACTAGCCAATCAGGGAGCTCTATTTCTATGGCGTCATCTGATGGTAATGGCGGATGGAGGGGTTTGCTGTAGAGAAAACCACACCCTCGGTTTTTCCTCGCGACGAAAATATACTTTGAGAAAAACTCAAAATTTTTTGCACTCGTATAGAACGATAAATTTTACATATAATTTTATTGGCACTTAGCTCTGCGTTTTCTGCTCTTTGCGTGATTCTATACTTACCTTACCTTTCCTCGTGCATACAATACTTGAATATCCCTCATGCAATAACCTAACCTGCCCATAAACTAACCCAGCCCCTTTACATAAAATGACGGCAGAATCATAAGTTGAGGAAAAAACGCGTGTACTTCTCCATTGAAGAAGAAATTGCTCTTTAGAAGTTATCTCTACATCCAAACTCCATCTACTCAAAGTATATACATTCTATGAATGCTTGTACTATTTCTAACAAAAGTCCTTTCTATCTATAGCAGCTGTTTATTTCTTTCCGGATCTGCGTCTTCGCACGTATGATCTGCGTCTTCTCACATATGACCTGCGTCTTCTGAAGTAGTACCTTCTTCGGTGTCTGCGTGGACGTCTAACGACAACTACTACTTTACGAGTGCACTTTCTATGGTGATGGTAACGTCTTCTATGTCCCCAGAAAAACGGGTCAGCCGCTTTTCCGTCTGTTGAGTGAAAGATAATGTATTTACGCAGTGTTCTGAGCTCTTCAACAACGTGTTTTGAAACTTATGTATAAACCCGTGTGTCCCATATTATTGACCGTGAAGGTGTGAAAGTGACATACATTAACATAAATTAACATATAAATGAACAAATGGGACAAGCACATCTCCAAAATAAGGTGGTTGCAGAACATTGACTTTGGAAAATTTTATTTCTTATGCAGAAATAATAATCTAATCAATTATTTCCATCCATTGTAATAAAAACATAATTCACGCGAGCTACCTGATTCTGCAGGCTCGCTGAGATCTTCTTCAACCACCTCTCCTTCTTCGACATCTTCCTCTGGCTCATCGCCTTGGTCTTCCTCGTCGCTCTCTTCATTTGCTTGTTCCACTTTCGGGTTCATCACCGCGTCGTCAGCTGACACTTCATTGTCCTCTTCTGCTGGAGCAGCTTTGGCTGTGAAAATTAATAAAAATTAAGTGTTTGTTGGTTTGTCTGTTTCCATTTGCACCGTGTCAAAATACAGTGTTTCGATGTTACAACCTAAGTAAATTACATTGTAACTTTTGGCTGCCTATAAGATGATTATGTGTTCAATTGTAACCTTTCCTCAGTTTTGCCCATTAAAGGTATCAAAAGCTTTTGTTTTCGGCTGCTCGATGTAAAGTTGATAGCTCTGGAATATCCATTTTGTTAATCTAGGTAGACTATTGGAGGGGTGGCGAAAGAGGGCGGAGAGATAGTTGCCGCCCTGCGTTCTTGTCTCAAACTGTCAACAAGGCTAGGTTTTTGGTGGTATTTTATTCAAAATAACGATTTAAAGTAAGCACGGTAGACGGAGAGTTAACCACGTCATTCGAATGAACTGAGTTATTCAAGTCAAAAGACCAGACTTGTTTTTGTCCAACAATCAGTTCGTCAAAAGTCACATCTTACTTTTTTAGATACCAAAACCAAATTGTATTATTATTCTTGTCAAAAGCCTGGCTACACTACAATAAGTGGCGCGTCGTGGGCTTGTGCCTTTTCCCAGGAACGTCGTGAACCAAAAAAGGATGTAGGAAAGTAAAGACATTCGAAATCCTTTGATGCTAACACTATTGATGCTTCGGACATGCGTGTGTTTGAATCGAATGATACTGACTGCGTTTTACCGTGGAAATCTTTCCTCGCATTTGAGGGAGGTTGTAGTGTTGAAAATGATAATCAAAAGCAAATAGTAGTTGCTAAAATTAGAGTTTTGAGATGATCTTCTCCAGGAAACCTGTAGTCGCAATATTGTTCAGTGTAACTATGGTAATTACAAATATTCTTACACAATTGCTGGGTTTACCATTTAATAAGACATATACTTACAGTAGCCCAGGAGGCAGACGAACAGAGCAAGGAACACGAACAACTTCATTCTGTTGGTTGTCTGTCTTGAATGCCAACCAAGAGAAAGTGAACTTTAATGCATGTCCTTGTCATTTTATAGACGATATCTGTCTTGTAATACGAGTGTTTTGACCTTTAACAGCTTTCTTAAATGAGTTCTGCCCAGAGGAGTTTTAAAAATGTATCTGCACCTAGCAACCCTCGGCCAGAGATCGATGGCCGAAACAGCCGCTTGAGTGGTTTTCTCTGCTCAAATTCTCTGAATGAAATAAGTTTTATAAATTGATATTTGTTTAGCAGTGGATATTCGTATTTCAAAGTTGTGCTTTTATTAAGTTGGGGTTAGTTAACTGTTATGAACTAGCATTGTTCAATTCAATTAGGAAAGGCTAAGGAAAAAACATTTTTGCCTTTAAATGAATTTATCAGATCACCTAGATCCTCCAAGAAAATTTAGGCTCAAAACTGGTGAAATCTAATCATTTATAACAGACCATAGCCAGGCTCGAGTTTCAACAGAAGTTAAAATTCTTATTTGAATGGGTTCTTGAGAAACCAAGACAAACGTGACTTTCACGCAAGTATTCTAAGGTACACTCTTTAAGCTTGAATTGCTGTAGAATTTTCCATTTCCCAAAATATTCTCATTTTGCAGCAAGACTTGGGCTGTCTTTCTTGAATCTGGCCAGGTTTACACGTTGTGTCGCCTATGAATGATTTCTTAATAATTTTAGACTCAGAGTCACACATTTTTAGGAACATCCAAGCTCAGCAAAAATTAATATATTTTTCTAAGAAAGTTTGTATAATATGGCTTAATTTAGCATGAAGCTGATTTCTTTACGAGCCTTTTTTTAACAAAAATGAATATTACCTACACAAAAAGGGCATACAGAAAGGAATATAAATGGACAACAATGACGAGGAAGTGAAATGTCCCGTAGAAATATTTTACAGGGTTGCAAATATCCTTTTTTTATTTGAGCCGTACCAAAGTCCGTGAATAGTTTCTTATGGAAAAACCCTACTCAGATTACAGAGTTGTTCCTGTTTCACAATCAACATTGACTGAAAGAGGCTTGATTGTTTATTTGAATTCCGTGATTCACCCTCATTTTCAAGATGTTTCTAGAAGTAAGCATTGTAATCAAAGATTATTATTCTTATTATGATAAAATACTTAGCTCATTCTTAGCTGATGTTCGGAATTATGTATTTAGGGAATTAAACTGTTGACTAGTCATTTGCCACATCTCGTAATCAGGCACTGCGCAGCCATTGGGCTAGCAGTGGCTACAGCCCCTCCACCTTTTTGCAATAATAGATAAGAAATTTTTTGGAAAGTTTACTCTAACTATGCTTTAGCGCAATATTGAATAGTATACTCCTAAGGGGTAGCAGTTTTTTCTTGACTGGGAACCCTTTTCGTTCATTTTCTAGGTGTTTTTCTTGATGTTTTATTATCCCCAAGCTAATTTCATCTACTTCTATAGCTATTGATATATTCTCTGAACCAGAATGTATATAAAATTTCCGTAAAATTAAGCAAGTGTTTTCTAAAAGGGGCGTTTTTCGGCGTTCTAGAGGGCGTGGTCTCAAAATATTTCCAGTCACGTCTTATTAGCCCTCCCACATTTAAACTGGTGCGCGGTCATTGCTCGTAATAAGAGCTTTGCAACTCAAAGAACCTTGGAGCTACACGCTTTTTTATAAGAACATTGGGCTGGAGTTTCTTTTTTTCGCATAATTTCAGTCTCATGTGTTTCTTATTTTTTTTAATGGAATTCTCTGTGCATGGTAGTATCCGGACATAATCTGTGCTTGATAAAGTAATAAATGCTATTTTGCTGATCGCTTTCTGTTTTTTTGGTGCTCTTCTTTCATTTTTCAATTTCGCTGGAATTTTTGTGAGTTTTTTGAATTTCAGCCTGCCTTGTTTCTTATGGTGTTCTTATTTTTTGGGCAACTCTCGATCTGATGTTTCTTATAAGGGTTGTTCTTATGAAAAACCATGTAATTATGTGGATATTTGAAGAGATTCGAAGATATGGAGCATGTTTTTGTCATCTCACGAAAACCCCATGTCAGCCAGTTGTCAAGTCGTGTCAAGTGACCACGATAAAGTTTGTGGAAGTTGATGATGTTTTTTTTTATTAAATGAAATTTTTGATGATGAAAAATTCAGCAAAACCGCGGTGTTCCAACAATCACAACTATTCTGGGAAAAGATGGTTTTCAACCACATAAGATCTTAATGCCCCTCTCATTTCACCACACTGTCAAAATGCGTGAAATTCATTTGGGCACCCCACCCTTTCATAGGATAAAGGTTTTTGAAACAGATTAATGTCACTTCCAAATAAAGCCTATGAAACTGTTACTATAGTTGCAAAAAATATTGACTAATGGAGCTCCTTTTGTTGGCTCAAATTTCACAGGGTTTTATGCCCACTGCATTCCTTAGAAGTTTTCGGTAAATGTTTGAGCGTCGGGGTTGACTGCGGCTTCGGCCCGGCCGCAGAATAGAAAAGACTTTCTATAGATAATTCTTTTCTATGGCCTGGCAGCATTCACTGTCGTGGGCTTACATTTACACAACCCCATAACTTTACTTGTGCATTGATTCATGTTGAAACCCTATACTGCAACTGCAAGACGAGATCCTTTAGCATTCGTAAAATCCAACCCCGAAAAACGTGAGTCTACTACGAAACGAAACGAAACGAAACTATAGCATTTAAAAAAAGCTGAATTCTGTGAAATGTTACACGTCCTTGGATTATCATCTAGAATTGTCAAAGTGTAAACAAAATGAAGAATGTAGTTTAAAACGAGTAGAGCTGGAACTGTTTGTCTGACAATGAAGTTGTAAACGTCGGTAGGAGCCAGGAAGAATCACAGATTACGAACTTTTTATTCAAAATTGCGTTTCTTGTTTTAAGCTAGCCTTAGTATTTGACAATCAGAGAATATTAAGAAACTTCAGTACTCAATGCAAAGAAATGGATTTTTAATATTTCAAAAAAGCGAAACAATAGATATGGACGAGTTTCTGTAATTGTGGTTGCAACCCTGTGTTGTTTCAGTGCTTTTTTCTTATCGCTTTCTTTTATTTTGCTGTTATTCTTCAATTTCCATTTTTTGCTTGGAGTTTATGATGGCTGACAGCATCGAAATTTTAGTGCCAAAATGAAGTAGAACTTAGCTTAGCTGTGACGTAGTAAGGACAGAGATACCGGGGGGCAGGGGGGCAGGGGGGCCCTGGCCCACTCCCCCCTTAAAAAAACTTGATTAGTATAAGTAAAGCACTTTTATTTTGTAAAATGTGGCTGTTTTTACACTTATTTATCAGAGCTGGCCCCCCAAACAAAAAGTTGTATCTCGGCCTTTGTGACGTAGCGTAACGTTACAAAATGTGACGTAACGTAACATTGCAAAAGGTGAGTTTACGTAACGTTACTAAACGTGAGGTAACGTAGCGTTAAAAACGAGACGTGACGTAACGTTGCAAAAAGTGTTGTAGCGTTACAAAAGGTACGTTATATAAAGATACGTTATGTCAATCTACTGTACTAAAAGCATGTTCTCAATTTGCTTTAGATGAAACTGATGTTTACGATGAAGTCGGTGGTGTTATAAAAAGCTGTCGAAGAGATTTGGTGTCCAATATTGTACCTCAGCTTTCACAAAATTCAAAATCCTCTTCAACAAAATCAGAACCTCACTATCATCAGCTTGCTGATGGGCACAACATTGCATATGTACCAGCAAACGATATTAAAGGCTGCCTTAGGAATGACTCTAAAAGCGATCGCTCAAATATAAGTAGCCTAAGCGTGGCACGTGTTCCATCTGGTAGATCTGATACTCATTATACCGCGCTTGGTGACGACGCAACTCTGGCAGCTAAAGAAAACAGTATATATGAATGCTTGACACTTGACCGTGTGAAAGGCTCTTCAATGCAAAGTGGTTTAGAACCCAGAGCCCTTGGAGAATACTGTGAGCCATACGATGGGAAGATGGACGCTGCGAGTGGAGTCCATGATCGATCATTCCGAGGCCAGAGCTGCGTATTGTATGAGTCTGGAGGCAAGTATGCGCGGGAACCCGCAGACGGTGGTCCTTACGCTGAATACAGTGAACCCTATGAAGCGGGCGATTTCGTTGCTGCACAAGAGGAGCAGATCTACAGTGAAGCTATTTAAAGCCACCTAATAGTCTTTTTAAGGATAATATTAATGCGCACATTTATCTTTATATTCCTGCTTGCCTTTGCATGTAGGGTGCCATTAGTCAATGTAACGATATGAGAGCCACCTAAGTCCAAGGCTCGTTCTCTGGTGCAAAGTTCTGAAAATGGCTTCGACAATAATACAATGAGCTTATTAAGCAACCAGAGGTAGGTTTCTGTAAGGAGCAAATCGTTTTATGGAAATCTCATGGACCATAAATAGGTTCATTTTGTCTGAAAATCTTTCCAAAATCCTTTTGTTTATCTGGGAACCCCTTACATTTAGGAACCTAAAAGTACCAGTGCTTTCTGGTACTATTTTTCATGTACAAGGTGTCTTAATGGAGTTTTTGCAGTTTAAGAGATTTTCTACTCTATGCTTCTATTAAGAACTTGGCCTTTCAAGACCTTCTGAAGAATTGAAGAACATTTAAATTAGAATGTTGCTGTGTTTCAGAGCGTCGTGAAATTATTTGTATATGGGATTGTTTCTGAGCCTTAAGAAATATGAAGCCAAAACTGTGTTGTTAATTTGAATTGGATGTAATTTTAGAAGCCAGATATGCTTGGCCTAGCTTTTCTTAGGCTAAGTTAGATAACTAATGCACTTTTTTCCATCTACAGCTTTTTTATTGCATTGGAAAACTACCATTTATTTCTGGGAATAGGGGTTTAATGTTTTAGAAAAAAAGAAAGCTGTTGCTGGATAATTTCCACACTTATCATGTTTTTTTAAATCTCTGTTTCTGTAATATATCTTGAATGAATTTGTTCGCTAGTAATAATCAGATAAACTTGATACTTTCTAGTTAGATGTTATCAGATTTACTCGATAATTATGTACATTTCAATACACGCTGCCTAGATTCTAATTGTAAAGTTAGATGCTTTTGTTGAATCGTGCTGAAATGCTTCCCTCAAATAACAAAAATTGGAAAAAGTTCGAAAAACTTGAAAAATGATTATGAGAGCACGGCTGCACTAACATTATTAGCGCCCCGGGCCCAGGCATATACGGGCCTTTCCTATCAACAAGTGTGAAAGTTCGAGCACTTTATTTTTAGAAACTGAAATAAAAAATGTCACGAGTCATTGAAAAATAAATTCGAAGTCTAAATTTTGGCTCTGTAGCTACAGAAAATTCAATCAATGTGTCAAATAAATACGTTTTTTGCTATGTATATGAAATATTCGAATTATTCGCTCAATTTTTTATGATAACCATGTGTCCTTAATCATAACAAAACGTCTCGATTTTCCTACTATGTTGGGACAAAGTTTTGATATCGGGACTTATCGAGATGGCTTGGAGTTGTGAATAAAAAAGGAGTTCAAAAACTGAATTTTTATCACGTCTTGGCCCAACATTACTAAGAAAGAGCATGACACATGAAAATTAGTGCCGAAATTGTTTCTGGAGAAAACCTTGCAGGGGAGGTACAGTACAGTAGTTTCTTGCGCTTGACCTTTTGTGCTTATTGAATGAACATTTTCAAATCTATTTCAATTTTTTCGTCGATTACATTCAAGTTTTTACTTTGTCTGTCAGCAGATTTGCATGATTTCATCCTCTGGTGCAAAGATTTTTAATATTTTCTTTTTCTCGGCCCTTTCCTATGAAATGCTGGCTATTTTCCTAAAGTAATTAAAAAGTTATCGAAAAACGTGCATATTTTCGATGTTTTTTCACAATAAGGTGTTGTTTTTTAGTACATGAAGCCTTGCATAAACTATGTTTTGCTTTTATCGATCTTCGGGGAGGGCGTTATTGCAAAAAATCTGCTTCTTCAATTCTGGACAAAGTTGTGAAGAGCATCCTTCTCTTCTTTCGTGAAGTTGGAGTGCCATGTCAGTTCGTATAAGATGGAATCATCCATTTCAATTTGAGATATTTACACAAGTTTAGGGTGTGCATTTGCTCACTGATAAGAAACTCTTGCAAGAGAACCCCTTTGATACCATATTAAACTTCCGTAAAATTCTTAGGGCACCTTACTCGTTTGTGGGCCCCCGGGCCCGGTCCAGAGGAAAATGCTGCCCTATCTGAGAGAAGACTACATCGTATTATTGGACACTTTTCAACAAAGATGGTTGAAAACAAAGCAGAATTTTTGCCTGTTGTCTTTTGCTATCTTTTCCTCATTCTCCACCATTTCACTTCTCGTTTTTCCTGTGCCTTTCCTTGGGTAAGCATGATTCGAGAACGAGGCTCGAAGAAGTTCCCGCGCAGAAACTGCCCTGTCGGCTGTCGGTTATTAAAAATGGAAAGCCATCGAAGTTGGAAGATAGAAAACAATGCAGATGACTTGCAGATAGGAATTGCAAAACCGATATCAAACACAGAGCAAGGTAACTCTTTTCTTAAGTGATGTAAGCTATACTCTTATACGTTGGCCTATCATATGGCAAGTTTGCTGAACGACAAGGCCTAGCCTAAGTCGTTTTGTTCATATTGTCACCAATGACAAGATTGTCTTTCCTTTTTCTAAAGTACACTTAGAGGGTACAAAAGTATGGAAACGTTAGTTAAAAATGGCAGCTAACAGTGACCAAGGGTCTAAGCTGATGAATTTCCGAAACAAAGTTGCTAGGTGAAGGGGCTTAGGGACCATAGTTAATTGCGCGAAAATGCATTCGCCATCTTACAGAATTTCAGTTGAAAACAAAATTGAGCGATTCGTTTGTTGTTTAAAGGAGGAAGTTCAATGAAACATTGAACCACTGCTTCAAAATTGTTCTGTAAAAAATTTCTGAAGCATTTGTAAATAGTGACAATGAAATGAAGATATTTGAAAAAGGATATAATGCTTAAGTAAAAACATTGGTAAAGAAACTTCAAACTTTGCTCTGATGACAAAATTGTTACTAAGAAGACTGTTTTAGCAGAAATCTAGGGTTTGAAAGTTTCACTATTGACATCAGGTGAGTCGCTCTTCATTTGACAAAAAGACTGTGGTTTTTTAATCTTTCATATGTTCATCATCTACACAAGTACCACCTCAAAACAATAAGTTGAACGTTTTATCTTCATTGTGCTTTTGAAAATCGTGAATATAGTTATTTAAATCCAAACTGTTTATGTTATTTAAAGAATAAACTATTTTGATCACTAAACGACACCTTTAAATGGTACTTCATCTGGTTTAATTGACAATAATCTGCAGGCTAATATATCACCTAAAAGAATCTCTCAAGTGATAATTCTATTGTCAGAACAAATGTAAATGTATCCAGATTTAAGTATGAACGAAGCATGTTGTGCTTCTTCAAAATTGCAGAAAATTTTATTTTAATTGTTTATCAATCCTTTGATCATTTTTTCAGAATTTTTTTTTAATATTGGTTCAACGTTTCCCTATATTTTTGTTCTCTAAACAGTTGAATAATCCTCCAAATTTGTTTTTATTCCAAAGCCTTTGAAATAACGCATTATTTTGCTGCCCAAGTCACTAGCAACAAAGGCCTCTTCATCTAGTAATTTAGTTTTGGAAATTTATCGCCTTAGGCCCTTGGCCACTGTGAGCCGCCATTATTGACTAACCATACTTTTGTACCCCAAGTATACATTAATTATTAATAGCTTTATAACTATGTGGGCTTTAAAATGCTCAATAACTTTCTGGCTGAATAAATTATGATTCCAAGATATGCACTACATAAATGAATGCACTTGTAATGTACCACGCATACTTTTATAAGAAAGTGCTTCACAATGAGGAAGGTAGGACTTGGGCCCTTTGATAATAAGGAAAGGAAATCTCTGATATGGACATGAAACGAAAAGGTCTTGGCACAGTTGCATTACAGATATCCAAAAATGAATATTGAAGAGGGACTATTGAGGAGACAAATTTGAAGGCTAAACCAGTTCAGCAAATCTGAGTATTTGAGAATGCTCGAAATTATCTACGTTCTAAAATGGACAAGAGTTTTTGGTATTTAAAAGAAAAAGAAATTGGACCCAAAAAGACCCAAAAATGAAACCATTATTCCTATGTTGGCTCTACAGTACCCAATTCTTTAGAACAATTCAAATAATGATTGCCATTTCCACTCTTTGAATATTGTTGGAGAATTCTAAGGTATTTTAACCAGTAATAATGCACAATTTTAACCAGTCAAAATGGGGCAATGTTCTGACCGCAATTTTTAATGGACCACATATATTATAACTCAGGCTCTTTTACCATATGACAACTGACAAGCATAGAAAACTGTTTAGAAACATGACCAAAAATTATTTTGGTTTTTTCCAAAATGAGAGTGATTTGAGGATAAAATATAAGTTTCTAGCAAATTCCTACCTTCAAGAATAGAAGAAGCCTATCACAGATAACAATGCTTTATCAATTATATGCTAAAATGTTTCATTGAGATCAGTCATAATTTGTCATTATTCCAAACACCTAAAACATAAGCAATGCCCGATTTACCATTTTTCTAGGGGGCTACTAAAATTCTTTGTAAGTAGTCAAATTAAGACCAGTTTGTAAATTTTTAATTAAGTATGCAATTTCTCAATATTCAAATGTTAGTTGTAGGCGAGAAGAAGCATAGAAGTTAATGTACTTGTCAATCAGATCTCCAGTTTCCAAATTTTTGTGGGAAAGCTAAATTATTGGGGGCAAAGGGGCATGTTGCTTGATAAGTGACTTGAACACATGTAGAATTCTCTAAATTACTTTCAGAAGTAGTCATATCCCATAGGAAAGATTTTCATTAATTTTTAGTTGCTGAAGTAACTCTTTAAATAGATTTTTGTAGTGTTCTTTCACTTGATGAGGTGTCTGTAATACTTGTGGTAATAGTGATTAATTTGCTTTGTAACTTCACTATCTCTGTATTACCGCAAGTATTCTCTTTAAGTCCATCAATTACTCCGGTTAATAGCACATCTTTGTTTGCATTTTGAGTTAACCAAAAATAACTTCTTGCAAAGCTAGCACCTTGCAAAAATATCCATTCAACAACTGGATAAAACCCCTAAGAATTGAAACCCATTCTTATTGGAAAAGGAGACACTTTAAGAAGGCAATTCAATGACATTCCAACACGAACTTTATTGAGAAAAAGTAGTTTCAAGCTGGAACTTCTAATCTTTTCGATTTGTGACGGAAAATTCCTGTTAGACTGCAACAGACCAAGCGATAAATGGGGAGTTAGAAATTTGTGAGACCATTTGACTTCGGCCAGTCCAAATGGTCTCACAAAAAGTTCCCGGACTTTGTCGGTCAGATGGTCTCCCGAAATTTGTGAGACCATCTGACCGACAATGTCCGGGAACTTTAACCGCACACAGAAAATTCATGTTAGACTGCAACACAGCAAGCGATGAAAGGGGAGTTAGGTCCCCTAAGTGCGAAATTTATGAGACCATCTGACTTAGGCCAGTTTTGGGGTGCTGATTCCAAAAATATCGATGCTATACGACAGTGTCCTAGAACTTCAACCGCATTTAATGACTGAAGTCTTTCTACGTCATTTAGAGATACAAGGAGCTACTGAGGGATACACTTGTACGAACAAAGGTTATTATGATTTAAGGATGCTAACTGCCCAGCTCAAAGGGCTTGCGAAGGCTGTTGTAGCTAATGGATATTTTGTTGTTATTTGAACATGCACTGGACAAATGTCCGGTGTAAATGTTGCGTAGTTTTGCTACGTTCTTCAGTCTTGTTCAGTGATGTTGAGTGTTGTTCAGTCGATTTTGAAGGCAGTCCAAAATGTTCAGTGGACAGGATTCAATTTATTTTGTTCATAGATGTTGTAAAGAAATGTTCAGTTGTTTTGTCAATCTACTGAACATTGCCCAGTTCGCGCATGCGCAATTGATGTAATGGATTGGATTTGGCGTCAATTTATTTCCCATATTCAAATATTCAAGAAACTTTCCTAGTAAAAAACCGTAAAAGAAATGAAATCAACATTAACTTTCAATTCAAAGAAAAGCAGAAAAAGGCATTTCAATAGTAACGACGAGTCTTCTGAAGAGATTAGCTTTAGTTCCGATAAGAAAGACGATTATAGAGAGCGGGAGTACGGTGATTGTGATGAACCTAGCAGTCCTAGCCATTCTTTGATAATACACTCTATTTCATACGATGACGTGGTTAGGGCTATGAAAAGTGTATTTTCAAAGGTAAAGAGATGCCCTGTTGCCAGTTTTCCCGCGCGCATTCTTCAACAGGGAAAAAGTTCACTGAACAACGTTTTGCCACCACCAACATTTTCTTGATGTCCATACTCTGAACAAGTAAGCAATGTCCGATGCGTGACCAGTGAAAATGTCCAGTCATTTTGGCGGGGCTTTATGCAGGACAGGCAGTGCTTGCAAAAGACTGCGCTGGGCCTTGTCGCTGTACGCTTCGGACAGACAGTACTTGAGAAAGACTGTGCTGTGCCCCGTCGATTATTTGGGTTCGCGGAGAACCGACAATTGTATTGTTGTATTAGCGGAAAAGTAAATATTTAGCCTGGAAGGAACTGCATAGATAAAACAAGAAAGATAATTATTACTCGCTCGCCAACTGCCGTCATTGCTTGTAATACTCATCACAGACAGGGACGCTATTTGCCCACAGTTTTCCATATTACATAGCTTAGGATCTGCGCTTCCTACTGATATAGTCAAATTTTCTTACCTCAAACACATGGGGACAAAACAGCTTTTGTAAGTGGTACATTCGTTCATTTAAGCCTGGAAGGTATCATTTGACAATATTTGCCAAGAATTTCGATATTGTTTGAATCATCACATTTTTGTGTATAGAACGATTTTAGTTTAATCCGATTCCGTTAATAGTTTGGCTTTTTGGGAGAGAAAACCAAATATTGTATCAAAAACGTTTACCTTAACTTTAAGGCAATGGTCCACTAATATAAAGCATTCAATATACATCCTTGATCTTAGTGTTTATGGAATTTAAAAAACATCCCCGAAACATTGATTGCAATAAAGTAGATCAAAAGTGACACCAAAATCAGCCCTATCGATTCGTGGATGTTAGTTACTCTTATGAAAAACTATTTCTATTATTTTCATTCGACTGCTGTAATCAAGTCGCATTACTCTTCTTTTCTAGTGCACTTCCAAAGTCTCGAGTCTCCCAAATGTTGAAGGGGTCCACGATGAAGTAAGCTGCAACTTTTACTTCCAACCAAGTAATTACCGTAATGCCTCGAACAAGCGCCCCCCTCAAATAAGAGTCCCCTCGAATAAGCACCCACCCTAGAGGTAAAGTTATTGAATAAGCGCCCCTCAAATAAGCGCCCATCCTTCAACCTTCAGAAAACGGGCGCTTATTCGAATTTTCACCGAAAGCATAATTGGAAAGCAATTCAACAAGAAAGATTAATGAACAACACAATTTGCACTCAAATCTACATTTTAAATAAGCACCCGCTCGAATAAGCGCTTCCCTCGAATAAGCGCCCATCCTGGAGCCTCAAAAATTAAATAAGCGCCCGGGCACTTATTCGAGACATGATGGTATTTCAACTGAACTTAAACAAGTGACATTCGAGCGTTTTTAAAATATCAGCTTATTGTTCTAGAAAGTTCTTAATGGTCAGTCGTCGCGATTAAGGCTGTGTCGTGTTTATGTAGCAAAAGAAATTCGGCCTAACGTAATTGCTGGAATAATCGAGAATGTTGTGCATGAAAAATTCTAAGAAACTCTGACAAGAGTATTTTTAACAGAAAAACTGTCCAGCTTTAAAGAGTATCAACGGACATGAATATTGGTATCCAGAGAATAACTGGATGTTCCATTCAAACTCAGCAGTAGATAAAAACACAATTGTATGATCCTCTGGTAATAAGGAGTAATGCTATTAAGGTTGCCTTTGATGGATGCGAAGCTCGCCAGTTTCATATCAATTTGCTTGGGATACCTCCGACAAATGTATGAATGGCTCCCTGCACCAAACAACAAGCTAAATACTAGTAGTGTAAGGAGACATTGAGAAGCTTTATTTCGTGATTATCAACAATAATGTAGCAACAGTTATCAAGATTTTAAAAACTCTAGAAACAAAAGCTTATATTTGAGGAAAAGACAACAGTATGAGCATAAATTTGACGGCACGCTTCTTCATAATCTGAGTTATTGCCTTGATGCCTTGATACAGTGGCCATTTTAAGGAGGGTCCAGGGGGCCACTGCCCTAGGCCCCGCGCTACAAGTAGCCAGAAGAGGCCTGTACAAAAGAAAAACATAAAATTGAAAAGAACAAAGGCCCTACAGATGGCTTTGGCCCCCTGGCCCGCAGTCCCTAAAGCCACTACTGACCCTAAAACCATTACTGCTTGTCAACAATTATTATGTACGAAGAATGAGTACATGAAGGGGGGATTTTGCTCGGCTCGATGGGCATCCATATATATATATATATGTAGAATTGTTGCCAATTGTGTAACAATGGATCGGCATTTTGATGAGTTCAACAATGGACACATAGAAGCCGAATTCAAAGGCCTGAGACAATCGAAACAATGCAGGCATAGAATGCCAAAATCAAAGGATTTTCCCAATTTTCCCAAACGAACAATCGAGAATCTTGAGTTTCCCGATTAAGTAGGCAATTGAGGTTCGCTAATCGACACTTAGGTCTATAATCGTGCTATTAAATTGGGTTCGGCTGCTAGCCTGAGATCCCCTTTGTGGTCATCCTCTTAGATTCGACCAATCACCTTTAGTTTTGCTCGTGACGTTGTGCAGTAAAAATTGGTTTTGCACGTGCATGTTGAACGGTGGCCAGAATAGATCAGAACCTTCTCGCAATTGAGAATGGTGGTTTAATCCTGTCAAGCGTCAACATAATAAGACGTATTTGCAATTTGCTATGTAGGATACAAAAGAAAGTGCGGGAATATGCGATTTCACTTTTCACGAGTTTCTGCAAGAATTAACTTCCTTGCAAGGGCGGGAAATTCGAATATATTGCAAGTGTTACAAATCTGTTTAGTTTTTCGCATGTTTTGCAAGGTTGGCGAAAGTTATTCGAAGGTTTCCAGGCTATGCAAAATTGTCGCCAAATGCTTGCAGGTACTTTTCAGTTTTCTCTAGGGTTGGTGGGGGGTTGATCCAAAAATCATTCGAAATTCTTCAGACCCCGTTGGATAAGGTGGTTTGGTGTAGGAAAAACATAGAAACAATGGAAATTTGTTTAAAGTCTGAAGTCAGACCAACAGTTACGAGAATGAGCAATTAATTAATCTTGGGATCGGTGACTACATTTCTTAATGAAATAGTTGAATTGCCGAGTTGAAGAAATCTTTGCACTCGCAACTAGGAAGTTTACGAAATAAAAAGTTTGGCTGCTAACAATTACGTACAAAAGATTCCCCTTCGTAACCAAGTAATTGCACTGCAGTGAGATCATTATGCTGGAACCCTTTTTTGTTAGCGCGGGTCGTTAGGGATCGTTAGGCACGCATCGATTTCTCCTTCTGCAAAGGTTGATAGTACAAAGATCTGGAAACTTGCTGCGTCATAGACGTCCCCGCCCCGCCGTTTATAAAGAAATTTTGAATATGGGAAACGTATTTTGAAAAATCAACCGAATTATTCGTGTTATGTTGTTAAGCGAAAGATGTCCTTCGTCAAATAAAAAAAAACAAAATCCCAGTTAGGTTCCAATCACAGAGCCCCAATAAATGAGTTCTGTAAACTTGCTGAGTCATGGCTTGTGCCGCCGTTTTTTAGGTATTCCATGTCTGTGAATCGCATTCTCACGAAACATAAAGGCTCTTAGTTGTCTGGGAAACAGACTGGAAGCGCATCTAGAAAAGTTCAGACTTTTAAGACATTTGGAATCTTCGTTGGCGTCATCATTGTCATCGTCGTCATCATAATCATCATCATCAATCATCATCAATCATCATCAATCATCATCATCAATCATCATCATCATCAATCATCATCATTATCATCATCATCAATCATCATCATAATCATAATCATCAATCATCATCAATCATCTTCATCATCATCAATCATCATCATCATCAGTTTTGTCCACATCGCCAATTCATAATATCGAAGTACCATTCCTCCACATTCTTCGTACATTGCAAAAGCCGTGCTATTTTTATCAACAGTGACTATTCTGTAACCAAACATTCCAAGCCATTGAAAGGTTTTTCTAAATGGGAAACATTGGCTGTAGGGCTAGCTGAAATCAAAATAGATTAGGAAGTTATCTCTTTCATTAATGACATAATTTTGGCATCCTTCTTTAAGCATCTGCTGCTACCGGTTTACGGAATAGTGATGCAATTGCTCGCCGGCATCTTAAATTCCCGAAAATAATCATTACAGAATTTATGACAGATGAACAAAATACCAGCAAAGTACTCAAATCAGCTAGCACCTGCAAAGTTTCCCCCGGTTCGGAATGCGATTGGAAGTAACAGAACATTTTGACGGTTGAAAAAATGCAGTAAGGGAGGTAGCAAATGAATATTGCCAGGAATACCAAACGAATTGTTTTTACGGCAGAAAGCTGCTTTATTCGGGTATCGCCATCACGTGCTTCACTGTTGCTGCTGTTGTTATTGCTTATGCTGTTAATTTGCTGTATTCCTATTTTTGCAACTAGTTGGTGCTTTTGTAGATGTTTAAACATTACCATGTATAGAACAGTCAATCCGGATATACTAAGAGTGTTGCAAATGATAATTGCTAGATGCTGCCAAAATGACGGTATAAACACGTATGATGTTGCTATTCCAGAAGCAATTAGAACACAGCACATGATAAGGATAACCAAATGAAATCCGTTTAAATCCGAGCGGTATAGCCTTGGTTTAGTTATATGAACATAACGATCAACTGCTACGCAGAACAGTACTTGAAACGAAGTATAGACAAAAACGTTGCTCATGAAACCTGCTGCTGTTAACATCCAAGTTTGAGATTCTAAACTTTGTACAGAATCAACAGCAAAGACAGGCAGCACAAATACTCCAAGGCATAAATCAGAGACGCTCATCGCCAGTATCAATCTATTAGAGACATTGTTAAGCTGTTTTGACTTGTGTAAACCATAGATTAACAGAGAGTTTGATATGATGTTCAGAAATGAAATCAGAGCAAAAGCACCAGATGAAAATATTCTTTTGATCATGCTGCCAATTTTGCTACCAACGCATTCACTTGACTGAATTCGGCATTCCCAGCACTTCAAAAATGCCCACTTTAACTGCACATTAAACAGACCTTAGTTGTCAAAGTCTTGCACAGAATTGAACTTTTTTCTTGCGTGATTGTCAACAGCAAGATGATGTCGCTGGAAAACATTCAAAGGAAATAACCTTGATGTTTGGTTTTTTTTCATAAAGCTCGTCAAATTGCAGCTGTTAATTACTCTGAATTGAGCCGGACTCAGATTCTCAGTTTATTTTCTTTTGATCACTAATCATAAATAAAACAGCCTGGTTAAGGCTAATTACTTTTTCTAATTACTTCTTTCCATTTTATAGAGAAGATGACCTCATTGTGCTTCAAAACCATTAGAAGTCAACGCTTTCTGTTTGATCGCAATTTTGTAAGTACATACTTCGAAATTTTTTTCGAATGTATGAAGATGCAAGATGCTGAGAATTCATGTTTAGTAAGTCAATAAGATAAGAGGGAGCTGTTGATCGATTTTTCTACCTTCGCACCCCCAAATAACAGCAAACAAGCCTTTTATATTTTCTTCTTCCATTTTTTTATTTCCATTTCAAAGCCGTGCCAGTTGACTTTGAATTCTTCCTTTGGCATTGAGTACAGAAAAAGCCTTCTAATGAGAGCCTGTAAGGCTATAGACTTACAATAAATTGACGAAAATCCATTAAAATTGTTCATCATGAAAAAAAAATTCTTACTTCATTTTCAGATCCCAAAATGCTTTAAGTCGTGTCTAGTTACAAAGTGATGGAAGGGAAGCACTTAAAACAGACTGGAGAAGGACATCGGCTTCTGGTCAAAAGGTGAGGCAATAGGCCTATTGACGAAAATTTATTTAAAATCTTTTCTTCATGAAATTGAATTGTAACTTTATTTTCTGATCCTGAAATGTTATAAATCGTGTTTAGCCATAAAGAGATGGAGGAAAAGTACTTACAACTGACTTAAAAAGGATTTCTTGCCTAAAGGTATGGCTATAGGGTTACAAAAATGACTATGTTTGATAATAATTTGTACTCTTAGAAAGCAATGAATAATACATTTTCAAGTCTTAAAATGTTTCAAATGGTTTCTATAAAGAGGGGGGGGGGGAAGTAAAGCACATAAAACTGACTAAAAAAGAAGATCGTTTTCTGGCCAAAAGGTAAGGCTATAGGCTTACAAAAAAGTGACGAAAATTCATTAAAATAACAAGAAATTCTAACTTTATTTTTATATCCCCAAACATGAGCGTACTGGGTGAGTTCAGATAAGGGGGGCTTAGATTTTTGGCCCAAAAAAACCAATTTCCCTATTTTTACGGAGTTCACTTATGTTTGAAAAATATTGCACCACTTCGAAGAACGACGAACGAGTAATGGCGACGGAGTTATAAACAATATTACCTTCGAAATCAGACCACTTTTGTGAAGGCATTAGACGTTTGTTTATAGTCCAAAACCAATCAAATATAACTTTAAAACATAGACCCCGTTTACATTGTCCCGGGACAATTTTGTACCGTTCAAGTTTAAGTGAAAAAAGTGAAAAAAAAACTTTTTAAATTATGTAAATTTTTTTAGTGGCAAGTCTCGAAGCTTTGACACCTTTTTAAGGCTTGCTAGATTTAATCAAAAGCTTTTGAGGCAGTTTATTTTATATAATACATGTTGATTTTGACAAAACATTCGCAAGATCACATCTACTGAGATCACAGATGGTCATTACTGGCCTTGAATTCAGCATAATGTGGCACTTTTACGGCCGGTTTTTAATGAGGACTCTTTCGATGTCCTGAGGAACTTGCCCTGTCTATGAAGATATAAAGCGTATTTACTCATTTTTCATTTTCTTTACCATTCCTTGATAAATTTGCCATTATTTTCCGACAAGAAAGTAATCTTAAAACATTTATTTAACTTGCTATAGCTATTTGAATTTCGGCTAGCTAAAAAATTTTGCGGCATTTTGTGGCGGGTGGTGCAATGCTTTTCGATCGTGAGTGTATACTGTAACACACAATAGCTTCTAATATGGATCGATAAATAAATGGCAATGGCATCAAAATGAGGCTAACTAATCAGCATTTTTAAAAACATGACACATTACAAAATAGCTTTCGAGTTTTTTTTAAAAGAAACACGAATCTCACCGACGACGGCGACCAAATAAATCGATTATTTTATCAATATCTTTTTCCAAAACATGCTTTGAACATTAATGTTCGATAGTAAAGAGGGTGACATTGTCAAGTCTTTGCTGTGTAACAGAGATATAGTGTTATGAAGATATGTTCTTATGTGCTTAAGTGAGCTGAATTTCCGTTTCGCTTAACATCATCCTGCTGGAATAGTAGCCAGGATTTCCACCCCTTCGGCAACATTTGGCAACATTTCTTCAACCTTATTCCATTACTTCTGAAAGCGCTCATGATTACGGCCAATTTTTCCTAATCTCAGATATTTATAAACATGTTCTAAAAGTACTTTTTGAATTTGCCCGAAAAAACCAGCTGCCTGAATCTAGAAGTAGCTGAAGCCTGAATCAATGATTTAAATCGCGCTTAGTGGAAGAAAAGTACTTAAAACTGACTAAAAAAGGACATCGATTTATTAACTGAAGGTTACGCTACAGGCTTACAAAAAATTGACGAAAATTCTTTGAAATTTTTCTTCATAAAATGGGATTGTAATTTTATATTTAGATCCCCAAATGCTATAAATCGTCTATAGTCATAAAGAGGGAGAAGAAAAGCACTTAAAATTGATTAAAAAAGGACATCAATTTCTGCCCAAAAAGTAGGGCTATAGGCTTACAAAAAATGACGAAAACTCGTGGAAATTTTTCTTCATAAAATGGGATTGTAACTTTATATTTAGATCCCCAAATGCTATAAATCGTCTATAGTCATAAAGAGGGAGAAGAAAAGCACTTAAAATTGATTAAAAAAGGACATCAATTTCTGCCCAAAAAGTAGGGCTATAGGCTTACAAAAAATGACGAAAACTCGTGGAAATTTTTCTTCATAAAATGGGATTGTAACTTTATATTTAGATCCCCAAATGCTATAAATCGTCTATAGTCATAAAGAGGGAGAAGAAAAGCACTTAAAATTGATTAAAAAAGGACATCAATTTCTGCCCAAAAAGTAGGGCTATAGGCTTACAAAAAATGACGAAAACTCGTGGAAATTTTTCTTCATAAAATGGGATTGTAACTTTATATTTAGATCCCCAAATGCTATAAATCGTCTATAGTCATAAAGAGGGAGAAGAAAAGCACTTAAAATTGATTAAAAAAGGACATCAATTTCTGCCCAAAAAGTAGGGCTATAGGCTTACAAAAAATGACGAAAACTCGTGGAAATTTTTCTTCATAAAATGGGATTGTAACTTTATATTTAGATCCCCAAATGCTATAAATCGTCTATAGTCATAAAGAGGGAGAAGAAAAGCACTTAAAACTGATTAAAAAAGGCCATCAATTTCTGCCCAAAAAGTAAGGCTATAGGCTTACAAAAAATGACGAAAACTCATGGAAAATTTTCTTCATAAAATGGGATTGTAACTTAATATTTAGATCCCCAAATGCTATAAATCATCTATAGTCATAAAGAGGGGGAAGAAGAACACTTAAAACAGATTAAAAAGGGACATTGATTTCTGCCCAAAATCAAGGCTATAGGCTTACAAAAATTGACGAAAATTCTTTGAAATTTTTCTTCATAAAATGGGATTGTAACTTTATATTTAGATCCCCAAATGCTATAAATCGTCTATAGTATATCATAAAGAGGGGGAAGAAAGCACTTAAAATGACTAAAAAGGGACATCGATTTTGCCCAAAATAAGGCTATAGGCTTACAAAAATGACGAAATTCTTTGAAATTTTTCTTCATAAATGGGTTGTAGCTTTATATTGTAGATCTGCAAAATGCTATAAATCGTCTATAGTCATAAAGAGGGGGAAGAAAAGCACTTAAAACTGATTAAAAAAGGACATCGATTTCTGCCCAAAATCAAGGCTATAGGCTTACAAAAATTGACGAAAATTCTTTGAAATTTTTCTTCATAAAATGGGATTGTAACTTTATATTTAGATCCCCAAATGCTCTAAATCGTCTATAGTCATAAAGAGGGGGAAGAAAAGCACTTAAAAATGACTAAAAAAGGAAATCGATTTGTGCCCAAAAAGTAAGGCTATAGGCTTACAAAAAATGACGAAAACTCGTGGAAATTTTTCTTTTTAAAATGGGATTGTAACTTTATATTTAGATCCCCAAATGCTATAAATCGTCTATAGTCTTAAAGAGGGGGAAAAAGAGCACTTAAAACTGATTGAAAAAGGACATCAATTACTGCCCAAAAAGTAAGGCTATAACCTTACAAAAAATGACGAAAATTCTTTGAAATTTTTCTTCATAAAATAGGATTGTAACATTACATTTAGATCCCCAAATGCTATAAATCGTCTATAGTCATAAAGAGGGGGAAGAAGAGCACTTAAAACTGATTGAAAAAGGACATCAATTTCTGCCCAAAAAGTAAGGCTATAGCCTTACAAAAAATGATGAAAATTCTTTGAAATTTTTCTTCATAAAATGGGATTGTAACTTTATGTTTAGATCGCCAAATGCTATAAATCGTCTATAGTCTTAAAGAGGGGGAAGAAGAGCACTTAAAACTGATTGAAAAAGGACATCAATTTCTGCCCAAAAAGTAAGGCTATAGGCTTACAAAAAATGACGAAAATTCTTTGAAATTTTTCTTCATAAAATGGGTTTGTAACTTTATTTTTAAATCTGCAATTGCTATAAATCATCTATAGTCATAAAGAGGGGGAGGAAAATGACTTAAAACTGATTAAAAAAGAACATCGATTTCTGTCCAAAAAGTAAGGCTATAGGCTTACAAAAATTGACGAAAATTCTTTGAAATTTTTCTTCGTATAATGGGACTGTATCTTTATTTTTAGATCTGCAAATTCTATAAATCATCTATAGGCATAAAGAGGGGGGGAAGAAGAGCACTTAAAACTGATTAAAAAAGGACATCAATGTCTGCCCAAAAAGTAAGGCTATAGGCTTACAAAAATTGACGAAAATTCTTTGAAATTTTTCTTCGTTTAATGGGACTGTATCTTTTTTTTTAGATCTGCAAATGCTATAAATCATCCATAGGCATAAAGAGGGGGGGGGAAGAAGAGCACTTAAACTGATTAAAAAAGGACATCAATTTCTGCCCAAAAGGTAAGGCTATGGGCTTACAAAATTTGACGAAAATTCTTTGGAATTTTTCTTCGTATAATGGGACTGTATCTTTATTTTTAGATCTGCAAATGCTATAAATCATCTATAGGCATAAAGAGGCGGGGGAAGAAGAGCACTTAAAACTGATTAAAAAAGGACATCAATTTCTGGCCAAAAAGTAAGGCTATAGGCTTACAAAAATTGACGAAAATTCTTTGAAATTTTTCTTCGTTTAATGGGACTGTATCTTTATTTTTAGATCTGCAAATGCCATAAATCGTCTATAGTCATAAAGTGGGGGGAAGAAGAGCACTTAAAACTGATTGAAAAAGGACATCAATTTCTGCCCAAAAAGTGAGGCTATAGCCTTACAAAAAATGACGATAACTCGTGGAAATTTTTCTTCATAATATGGGATCGTAACTTTATATTTAGATCCCCAAATGCTATAAATCGTCTATAGTCATAAAGAGGGGGAAGAAGAGCAGTTAAAACTGATTGAAAAAGGACATAAAGTTCTGCCCAAAAAGTAAGGCTATAGCCTTACAAAAAATTTCGAAAATTCTTTGAAATTTTTCTTCATAAAATAGGATGGTAACATTACATTTAGATCCCCAAATGCTATAAATCGTCTATAGTCATAAAGAGGGGGAAGAAGAGCACTTAAAACTGATTAAAAAAGGACATCAATTTCTGCCCAAAAAGTAAGGCTTTAGCCTTACAAAAAATGACGAAAACTCTTGGAAATTTTTCTTCATAAAATAGGATTTTAACATTATATTTAGATCCCCAAATGCTATAAATCGTCTATAGTCATAAAGAGGGGGAAGAAGAGCACTTAAAACTGATTAAAAAAGGACATCAATTTCTGCCCAAAAAGTAAGGCTATAGCCTTACAAAAAATGACGAAAACTCTTGGAAATTTTTCGTCATAAAATAGGATTGTAACTTTAAATTTAAATCCCCAAATGCTATAAATCATCTATAGTCATAAAGAGGGGGAAGAAGAGCACTTAAAACTGATTAAAAAAGGACATCAATGTCTGCCCAAAAAGTAAGGCTATAGGCTTACAAAAATTGACGAAAATTCTTTGAAATTTTTCTTTGTTTAATGGGACTGTATCTTTTTTTTTAGATCTGCAAATGCTATAAATCATCTATAGGCATAAAGAGGGGGAAGAACTTAAAACTGATTAAAAAAGGACATCAATTTTTGCCCTAAAAGTAAGGCTATAGGCTTACAAAAACTGACGAAAATTCTTTGAAATTTTTCTTCATAAAATGGGATTGTAACTTTATTTGTA